TGGGCATCATTGCCTGGGCGCATCGACAACAACTTTTGACGGTCGAAGGCCGTTCGGCCTTTGTCCGTCTGTAACACAATGTAGTCAAAGAAATCGAACAGTGTGCCTGCGGTCTACGTTGGATTATTAAAATTACAAATCATTTTAGAAGTTCTACATCCCAGTGTTGTTGGCTTCAGAAAAATGTTCAAGCTTCTTTCATCTAGACAAACTGCTAGATCTCTACTAAAGATTGATGTTGGTGCCTCCTTTCGATGTCTATCCTCCGACTCGTCAGGAGCATTGAGTCCAGAGGCGGTCAAGGCATCCATCAACAAGCTATCGCAGGATTATCCCCTTAGTTCTCCACTTTTCGCTTGGTCAGAGGTTGGTACATTCATTCACAGTGCTATGGATAACTATTACACATGTTGTCGACATAAACAGCCGAAAATGACTCACAATGTCGATTTTGTCCCGATTTTTTGTTTCTTCATCGTGCAAGGTTGAAGGAAGAAACGCAATAATCAAGACTTACGAGTTCACAGATTTCAATCAAGCATGGTCGTTCATGTCGCGGACAGCTCTTTTGGCGGAAAAGATGGATCATCATCCAGGTGAGTAGTGGAGGTATAGAAACTAAACTTCCCCGACTTTTTTGTGACGATCATCATCTCACCCTTTCATTTCGAAACATATTGTAGAATGGTTTAATGTCTATTCGACAGTTTCCGTGACACTGACAACTCACGACTGTGACGGTGTGTCAACGAAGGTGAGTTCTTACGAGAGATAAGGATGTAGAAGTACTTATTCCACACAACTCTCAAATTTTGGCAATAGGATATCAAGATGGCAAGGGCAATGGATGCGTACGCAAGAGATCTGCTCCCAGTGAGACAAGTTTAAAAAATCTATGTCTACGCTACTATTACTGGTAAACCACGAGAAGAAAAAGAAGTGTGAACAATATGCTTAGATGGTAGTCACTATTGCTCTCCAATAAATCTGTTTCTTTTGTCAAAAATCTTCATGTAGTCCTCTGTTCGCATTTTCTTTTGAAGGTTGAAGATGCTCGCTGCTACATCACGATCTGCAAGCGGGTTTTCGGCCGCATCTTTATTCTCATTTTCGAAGACTTGGCTCAGTGGGCGAACTTCCCATTCTTCTGATTCGGACAGCTCCACCATTTTGTCTCCATCAAAAGTCGACAGTCCTGTCTCTTCATTTTTGTCTTTAGTGAATTTTGTTTTTCTTGAGTCTTGATCCATAGACGCCATCTTTGCCGCAAAGAATGGAACGGACTCGGACTTTTCTTCCTTTTCCTTGTTGATGGCTTCCAGTTCCTTCGCTTCGATCCTTGCTTTGGATTTGGCAAGTAGCTCTTTCGCCCGTGCAAGCTGTTTTGATACCTCGTCATCTACGTTATTACCGGCTGATCTTATGGCCAAATCTCTTTGTGCGTACAACCCTGTAGCAGGTGCGAAACCTTGAACGTGTTGGGGAGAAGAAATCAAATGAAGTGCCATGAAGCATAACCCCAGCCTTTTTTTACTGGTAGGGACGGTCGATCCACTTGATTTTCGCTCTGTCATGTTTAAAAATTAGCTCAGTGGTTAGCTTTCGACTGCAGTGTGGATGGGTGATTGTAGGAACTGGCAGCTTCTGCTTGACTACGATTGATATTGAGAAATGGGAGAAATTTGCGTGTTGCACAATCTGATGTTTGACAAACGTCTTCTCAAAACACGTCTTTCAGCGGACACAGACGGACAGACATTTTAAAAAAAAAGCATTCTTCTCATGTCGATGTCAGTATCGATCAATCGACAGTCTTACAGCATGGTCCACTTCCAATCTTGCATCTTCAAAGTGAAGCGAAAAGTCAAAAGTACATGAAGTAATTGTATAGCAATATCTATAAAATGGCACGCCTATTTGCAGGCGGTATTATTGAAGAGAGTAAGACTGATGTGTCGTTACTGTCAGTCTATTTACTTGGCTTCAGCGGTTTCGGCGGCTTCGGCGCGTTCACGGTTTGCTTGTGTCTCGGCTTCAATCTCCTTCTTCATCTTTTCTTCTCTTTCCGCAGCGTTCAGCGCGGCTTCTGCCTTGGCCTCCAGTCTCTCTGCCATTCTCTTCTTTTCTCGGATTTCAATTTCTTTCATCATGGTCTCCATCATATCCAACTTGCCCTTGACTCTGAAGTATAGATCACTGTCGTTCTGTAATTCAAAAGCATAAAAATATGTGAGAGATTTGAAATGAAACCAAAATGATGTCCCTCGCTCCAATAGTCATGTACGACTTACGCATGCGGACAAATGTGTCTTTCCAAGCTTGGTCTTCATCCAGTCCTCCATGATTGGATAAACTTCATCCTTGTCCATATCAATTCCAACGAGGTCCATAATCCTGACCATTCCGATTCCGAAGTATCGGGAGTACATCCAGAACTCATCTTCCTTGATGCCGGCAACGATGGCACCAAGTGGAGACGAAGGATCTTCTCCTACGAGAGCCTTTTCGATATCTTCCTTGCTCTTTCCAGTGGCCCATTCCTCCATAGATTTGGCCTCGGCGCGGATCTTGGCTTCATCCAAACCAACACTCTTGAATAGGGCGCTGGCAATCTTTTCACCGACGCCGGGCTCGGGGTAGTTCTTAAGGAGCAAGTCCAAAGAGGTCAACATACCAAGACTCCAGACAGCATCTTGTTGGAATCTAGCATTTACAACGATAAGGTGGGTGGTTCCAACAATATCAGTGACCATATTCTTGTAAAGAGCGTTGACCGATAGCCCCATTTCCTTTGTAAAGTCAGCAAAAGCATCACCGACGGTCTTAACCTCAGCTCCTACAAGATGTCCAAATCTCTTGGCAAAGGCAGTATCAGCTTGTCCTGGCTTGTAATTTAGCTATAAACGAAGATAATAAAAAGGTAAGAAAAGGACTCGGAAGAAAGACTAAGGCACGAAAAACCAAATTTGGACTCACTTCGGCCTCAATGTCTGGAAGGTCCAATCCGCCGGCAACAGCGCTAAGAGCACAGCTGGAAGATCTGGTGGTGACTGGGGCGAAAGCATCAGTGGAGGCAGCAAGGGCCAGGGCAAAAAGGGCGGTAACTTGGATTTGCATTGTGTATTTTTTGTTTGTTATGGCTTGCAACTTTGCAAATGGCGAGGTGTTGTAGGCACGAATATTGCTGATGTCTGCTGACTGTTTCCGGCGTGTATCAGTCGGCTTTCGAACAACATCATCAACGGAGTCATATTACGGCCGTAATGTACTGGGGTCTACGTACTGAGATGAAATGAACACGTCAGTGGGAATTACTGGTTGACTCAGACGATTGAAACATGTTAATGACCAGGACCAACTCATGCTGTAACGTTGGAGTTAAAACCACCACCTGTCCAAATTAATCAGTGGAAACGGGCCTATGGATAGAAGGCAAGAGGTGTAGATGAATGAATCAATCTTAGGTGGCAAAAACAATCATTGCCATTTTCATTTCATTTCAGAGTAGAGGCTATCATTTGACTTACTGGAGTAAAATGGGTGTCATACCGGTTCCTTGTACCAGGAAGGTATTAATACTCGTAACCAGTACCATCTTTCACAAAGATACCTAGATAATGCCTGTCAGAAGGTATCATCCGCGATGTAATGCCAGCAGTGCAGCGCATGATTGTTCGGTGGTAGAAACTGCTTGCAGTACGGTGGGGCTTTGGTTTCACGTTGTTAGTACTCCTGAAGGCAACGACAACGCCCCGTGCGTTCAATCATCTAGTCTTTGATTCCATCAAAACCTAAACGTAGAAAATGATTTCATTTTAGATGTACACTTCATATTCTGATTATAGCTAGATACACAATTCCTTCCCTTACTCTCCCCCTTCATTCCTAGTTTCTGGTTGGGCCTCATCATCGACTTGGTTCATATCCAATCCAACGGCACTGCTCGTACTATTTCGCCTAAGCAGCCTTGCCAAACTACTTTGAGACGCTCTAGCATCTTCTGGCAATAGACCTCTCAGTCCAATGAAGCTGGAACTCGCTCCAAAACTAGATCCCTCAGCTGGTTTGGTAAAGGCTGCAAAGGTGTCAGATTCCTTGTTGTCCACAAAGGGAGGCCTGCGTTTGTTACAAGAGTTGTGATCAATGCAAAGATCCGCATTGGGATTGGGTCGTGGACGAACTTGGCCTACTGTAGGGCTGACAAAGGCTGGATCAAAGCAAAAGGCACCATCGAAAGATTCGGTTCGCTGTCTGGGTCGGTTGGTTGGGGCTGGCAGGTCCATGAAGCCCTTGTCATCAATCTTTGAGAGCGATGGCATGGAAGGCATTTGCACTGTAGCGGGTGCCATATCATGGTGTCGAGGGGTACTACTCTGGCTGGTCGGTGTCAGTGGCATCAGACGACGACGCTTGTTTCCTGGTGAGAGGTTTGTGGTTTTGGGAGTCAGGTGAGGTACAATGGATGTCATGATGATTCTTGTCTCTTTCTTCTTCTTTAGGTTCAAAATTCAAAGAGTTTGTGGTGAATGCAAATGTGACAAAAGGCTTGATGCGAAGGAACAGCCGATGATGAGAGTGTCAGAAACAATAAATCCTTTTTCTGCTCTCAAGCTGTTGTGGAAGCTGATTTCTGTTCCTCCTTCTACGAACCCTACAGTACTAGGAGGTACCTGACGTTTGTGTGACATCATGGAACTTGGTGGAAGGTGAGGTGAAGGTGGAACCCGGAGAGTTCGAGAGTCGACATGAAAGCTCGTGACGTCATCATCATATAGCACTATATCTGTACTTTTCGAACCATCATTCTCAGTACTCCATCTACATACGACAAAGATTGGCGGAGAAGATATTACGCCTTCGCCGCTTGCATTCCGCAACGAAAAGGTCCGGCACATCAGATCACTTTGTCTGGACAATTTGGCTCCATCAGTTTCGGTTACCTACAACAACCATTTACATCTGATAGCAGCAGCCTTTCACTAAAAGGAATTGTTGCCGGAAGACCAATTCGAAATAATTTGGTCAAATTTCGATCGCCATTTGAAACTAAAACGGTCGTGGCAAAGATCTTGAATCCTTTCCAATTAAGATGCCTTATCCACTACTGTTGGCGTCCCAACGCCGTCTCCTAGCTGCAGGAAATAAATCTGGTTCTCTGAAAACAGCTGTAGCAAGGTCTTTTTCCACAAAGCCCCAAGAAATTGAGTCTTTTCTAAGTGGAACTTCGAGTTTGTACGCTGAACAAATGTTGGAGCAATACGAAGAAGATCCTAATTCTGTTCATCCATCCTGGAAGAAGTACTTTGACAACTTGCAAGAGGGGGTAGCGTTTAATCAAGAAGATTATGCTCGACCTACAGTCATTCCAGGAAAGCGTCAAGGGGCAGCTGTGAGTTTTGACTGGGACATTAGTTGTCCAAACTAATTCCAAAATTTGTTTTGCCGGTCTTTGCCACGCTCACATTCAATCTCTATCGTTCCTTTTCTTCTGTTTCCTTTTGCTTTCATCCTGCAATATCTCTCACGGTCGCCCGTCATTAGGACGCTGTTCCATCCGATTCGTTGGCTGTTTCCCACATTATTCGATCGTACCAAGTCAATGGACACTTGGCTGCCAAACTGGATCCTTTGGGCTTGTATACAGCGGATGCCTTTCCGTTTCGACCACAAGCGACGACACCAGATGGTTATCCTGAAGAATTGGGACACGAATTTCATGGATTCGTCGATGCCGACTTGGATCGCAAACTCCATTTTGTTGGAGGAGCCTCGGGTGGTAACAAGGGATATTTGGAAGAATTGAGTAATGCGCCTCACAAGGTGACACTGCGCGCCATTTTGGACGAATTACGCAAAACATACTGTGGGACTTTGGCAGTGGAATACATGCACATTGGAGACAAAAACAAGGCAAATTGGCTTCGTGAGCGCATTGAGAATCCTCGGTGGTTGAATTATGACAAGGAGAAAAAGACTCATATCTTTGAACGATTGTGCTTTGCGGATACCTTCGAGAACTTTCTGGCTCATAAATTCAACACTACCAAACGATTTGGTCTGGATGGAGGAGAAGCCATTATCCCTGCACTCAAGGACGCCATCGATCGAGCCAGTGAACTTGGAGCTCACTCATTTGTCATTGGAATGCCACACCGAGGGCGATTGAATGTCTTGGCCAATGTCATGAGAAAGCCCATGCCATTGATTTTTAGCGAATTCCAAGGAACCAACTACAACGTAGATGACTACACCAAGGGAAATAGCAAGTGGGGAATCTCAGGTGATGTCAAGTATCACTTGGGATCCAGTATGGATCGGACGTATCCAGATGGAAGAACCATTCACTTGAGTTTGGTAGCAAATCCTTCGCATCTGGAATGTGTGGATCCTGTGGTTGCTGGTAAGGCCAGAGCCAAGCAATACTATTCTGGAAATAGGTAGGAGATGAAAATGTGTTTCTGCCTTCTATACTTTCAAGGAGGATCAAATTCGCCTAACCTTTTTTCTTTCAGACCGGAAGATATGCGCGCTGTTGTTCCAGTCCTCCTTCACGGAGATGCTGCCTTTGCAGGACAAGGAGTAGTCTACGAAACCATGCAATTGGCTAAGGTCCCGGATTTTGATGTCGGAGGAACCATCCATGTGATTGTCAATAACCAAATTGGTTTCACCACCAATCCAATTCACTCGCGATCCACACCCTACTGCAGTGATCTGGGTAAGGCATTCAACTGTCCTATTTTCCATTGTAACGGAGATGACCCATTGGCCGTGTCGACTGCTTTGGAAACTGCTGTCGAGTGGCGACAAGAATGGGGAGGAGATGTTATCATTGATATGGTATGCTATCGTCGCAATGGTCACAACGAATTGGACCAGCCTAGTTTCACACAGCCACGATTGTACGCGGAGATTTCCAAGCATCCGTCGAGCCTTCAAATTTTCGAAAAAAGACTCATCGAGGAGGGAACTCTCACTCAAGAAGAAATTGATGAGATCAAGCAATTTACTCTAGATTCTTACGAGAGTGACCTCGAAGCATCCAAGACCTACGAAACGAAGATGGATGATTGGCTATCTAGTAAATGGACAGGGTTCCACGGACCCAAGCAAATATCACGTATCCGTCAAACAGGAGTCGATATTGACTTGTTGAAAAAGGTTGGGTTGCAAGCTGGTACGGTTCCAGACGATTTTGCTCTGCACAGACAAATGGCAAAAATCTTCAAGGGACGTCGCGACATGGCCGAAGCTGGCACTGGAATTGACTGGGGACTTGCCGAAGCCATGGCGTTCGGATCCCTGCTCGTTGAGGGAAATCATGTTCGAATCACTGGACAAGATGTGCAGCGTGGAACATTCAGTCACCGTCATGCTGTAGTGAAGGATCAAAAGACGGAGGAAGAATACGCACCTCTTAATCATATTACCAAGAAGATGGATCCATCATGTCCAAAAGAAGAGATGTCAGGGCCTGATACTCAAGCAGGATTCACGGCAAGAAATTCTATTCTTTCAGAATTTGCAGTTTTGGGCTTTGAGCTTGGATATTCCTTGGAAAACCCCAATGCGTTGGTGTTGTGGGAGGCCCAGTTCGGGGACTTTGTCAACGGTGCTCAAATTATCATCGATCAGTTCATTAGTTCCGGAGAAGATAAATGGCTGCGCCAATCTGGCTTGGTCATGTTATTGCCTCATGGATATGACGGACAAGGTGCCGAGCACTCAAGTTGCCGTTTCGAACGGTTCCTACAAGGAATTGACGAAGATCCTCACTTTGTCCCTGATTTTAGCAGGGATGAGAGAATGCAGATTCAAAAACATAACTGGCAGGTTGTGAACTGTACAACACCAGCGAACTACTTTCATGTTCTACGTCGTCAGATCCACCGTGACTTCCGAAAACCTCTTATTGTTGTTTCTCCCAAGAATCTCCTGCGACTCAAGAAGTGTGTTTCAACTCTAGAGGAAATGGGACCAGGAACAGAATTCATTGTAAGTTGTCATTCCCTTTCGTGTTTTGCGATTGAGAGTGCCGACAAGCTCACACTTAGTTTCCTTAAAGCGAGTGTACGACGATACTGACCCAATGGTCAATGAAGATCCAGAAAAGGTTGAGGTGAGTAGCTCTTGATCCCATGGTACAAATTGAGAGTTGGAAAACATTAACATATGATTGCGTTTCTTGCAGAGACTGGTCTTTTGCACTGGCCAAATCTACTATGAACTACTGGCAGAGCGTGAAACCCGAGGCCTCACAAACACTGCATTGGTTCGATTAGAGCAAATTGCACCATTCCCCTTTGATCGTATTGCTCAGAGCAGTGCTAAATACCCCAATGCTGAGGTCATTTGGGCCCAACAAGAGCCGAAGTAAGTGAACACTTAATTTTTTATTGTGTTATTGCTTTATTTACAAGTGAAGACCTCTAACACTGTCTTAGGAACATGGGAGCCTACTCTTACGTGAACCCTAGGATCATGACGGCAACTCGTGAGATTAACCATGATGAAAGACGTCCGCGATATGTTGGCCGCCAAGTTAGTGCAGCACCTGCAACTGGAATGTCCAGAGTCCACCAAGCAGAGTTTAAGGACATCATGGAAGGAGTTTTTGGCGTCCCTGAAGCCGCTTAGGTACTGTAGTACTAATCTTAGATTACGGCCGCTGCCGGTAATACATAAAAAAGCAGACAATTCATGTATGTACCTACCGTACCGGTACAGTGCTGTAGCATTTTGTAGCAAGTTAGTTTGACCGCGGATGGATGGATGGACGACGATTGTTTTAGATTCACTCGAATAAAATACCGTTGCAAGACGCACCTGCCGGCCAAGCATACGCGCGAGTCAGTCCTGTTGTTGGCGTTCAACGCAAAAAAGAGTCAGCCGAGGTGCTCCAAAAACCTAAGTACAATCGAAGTTGATGCGTTGATAAACGTTTTCGAACGTCGCCGAGAAATTGGACAGAATTCATAGTACCTTTCACGAGTTTCAACTGCACCATTCATATGACAATGGTGAAAATCATGCAATTTTATAGCATATGTACCTTCCTTCTGATGTGGCATTGTGCCCTAGGTGGAACTAGTAACGAGAGAACTGCTTTCAACTCGCGACGCGGCGTATCAGGTGATCATAGCAGCAGTTCTGCAGATTACTTTGAAGCCAATAGAATCTTCGAAAGAGTTGTATACGTTGACATCGACGCTGGAGAGGCGGATCTCGCTGGATTGTCTCTTGTCTCGACTTCGACTCTTGAGCATCAATTCGTGCAATCTTTCAACAAGCTCTCAGAAGAACTTTGCGATATTGAGGGTCTTCGCATCCTAGCTGCCAATATCCAGTACACCGACGCGAGCAAAACGGAATACATCCTTCGACGAGGAGGAAACAAGTACACGATTGAATTTCAAGTCTTTGCAACCTGCGACAACTGTAACCCATTTTCCGTCACCGTATTTGATCATCGTGTTCTCACCACCCGACGAACCAGAGAGATCGAGGGAGATGTGGAAACAGTCTTTGATAGGCAATTGAGCTCAAAGAAGAGCAGCAAGAAAAGTGCCAGCAACAGCAGCAGTAGCAGCAGCAGCAGTAGCAGCAAGAAGAGTGGTAAAGGAAAGGGCAAAGGCAAGGGCAAGGGCGGCAAAGGCAGCAAAAAGAGCGGAAAAGGAAAGGGTGGCATGGTTATCGGCGACAAGGCGCAACAAAACGGTCAAGTCATTTGCACGGCTAAAAATCCTCAATTCCGTGCACCAACAGAAGAGGAATTCCGCGAAGTTTACAGTGTTGCGGTTAGAGGTTTGATGACTGGATCAACCACAAGACGTCAGTTGGGTCGAAATTTCGTTGTCGGTGGATTGCTTCCAATCCAAGCAATCACAAAAGTCTACGAAGTTTTGGACGGACGTTGCGTTGCTGCATTCGAAGAATTCAATTCGATTGTAACCATCGAGGTGTCCGGTAACTTTGAAGCTGCCACTACTGCTGAATACCTAGAGCTTGCTGAAGCCTTCTTCCAAAACTACAATGCTCTTCAAGCCCATGGATGTGACAAGCCTTTGTTTAGAGAAGTTAGTGCTGTTGAAATTACAATGGCAACTCCTGATACCGATGGAAACGGTTTCTTCAACCTGGTCTTGAACGTCTTTGCATCTTGCCAAGGTGTTGGTTGCACTGATGACATCTCGCTTTTCAGCGACTTCAATGTATTCCGCAGGCTTCTAACAAACACAACCCTCGAAGTTGATGACCCTTGCGAATGTCCAGTATCACCGAATAGAAAGAATGCCGCACCATCGGCCCTTGAGATGGGAATTCTTTTTGATGAGACACTTCAAGAACTACGTGCAAGTGGATTGGTTACCAACTTCCAGACTGCAAGAATCATTACAGAGGTTGGTGTTCAAGCGATTTCTCCAGCGCCTTCGGGCATGCCAACTGTTTCCAATGCACCATCAATTTCCAATGCGCCATCAACCAGTGTAAAACCAACTGGAGGACCTCCTACGTTTAGTCAATCGCCTTCTGCTCTTGGTTCGGCTAGACCAAGTGTCAGTTTTGCACCATCCAACAGTATGGCACCATCGCTCAGTCCAACTATCAGTAACAAGCCGAGTGTCAGTTTGGTACCAAGTTCTAATCCTAGTCTGAGTGGAGCGCCTTCCGGAAAACCATCTGATAGTGCACCACCATCACAGGCTGCAACTACTTCGGTAAGCCCTTCGGGTGCACCAAGTACCAGCAAATCTCCGAGTGAAGCACCCAGTGGATCTGGTGCACCAAGTGTGTCCGAGAAACCATCTTCGAACCCAACAAACTCGCTTGTACCAAGTTTTCAACCAAGTAACAAGCCCAGTGTTGCAGCGAGTGGTGTACCAAGTACCAAACCAAGTCTTGCTCCAAGTATTACGCCAAGTTCCAATCCAAGTGCAAGTAAGCAACCAAGTTCTCAACCAAGTTTCAAGCCTTCAAAATCAGAAAATCCTTCTCTCAGTGTGCAACCAAGTTTGAACCCTTCTGGAAGTGACAATCCTTCTGCCAGCATTCAACCAAGCATGAACCCCAGTACTAAACCAAGTTTGAATCCAAGTCAAAACCCCAGTACCCAGCCAAGTAACAACCCTTCTCTCAGCTTGAATCCAAGCCAGAAACCCAGTACCCAGCCAAGTTTGAACCCCAGTTCCATACCATCTCAAAATCCTTCGGCCAAAGTACCTGCTGATCTTGATGAGATCGACAACAGTACACCTGACTTTGACAAACCACCAGTAAGTCGACCAATGTGAATGCACCAACAACACTGGAAGATTTCCATTATCAATGTCTCACAATTCTCTTTCAATTTATAGGACAATGACATCGTGTTCGACCCTCTAGCTGAGGAGGGAGCTGAGACTGCTGTACTCGCAGCTACCGACTCTCCAACAATGGCACCAGTTGAGCCAGTTGAGCCTGTTGTTGCCGACGATGATGACGCCGGTGATGATGACGCTGATGATGATGATGCTGTAAGTTGGTAACCCCAAAAATGACTACCTCTATCAATCACTTCAACGAACTCACGTAATCTATCATTTCTTGCTTCTCTACAGGACGATGATGATGCTGATGACGACGATTCAGAACGAAGACAACAATAGTTCCACACCACACTCAACTGGATCCACTGAAAAGGTATCGTCTTGAGGATGGTGTCTTCTAGTGGAAAAGTGAAAACAAAGCACTATGTACATTAGAAGCAAGTAGACAATTGAATCGTCTGGGTTTGTTCACGTGCAAGCAGTTGGAATGCGTGCATTGGTGGTCTTATTTTGGAGCCCATATTTGTTATAAGAATCTAAATATTTTTATGTTAAACAAGAAACTACTATTGAATATGCACTGGATGCATCCCGTTTCTGTTCCAATAGATGAAACCTAGTGTTATTGTTGGCCAGGAGTATCCATTATTCTACAGTGAGTATGAGGATGAGACTAAAAGCAATGACGCCGGACAGACCATGATGGATTTTGAATTCTTCGGGCATCCTGCATCCGCCGATTTGAAAAACGAGGACAGCATTGTTGCTTGTGTAGAGAGTGAAGAGTACAACAGCTGCATATCCGAAAGCGCAACGTACATAAAGCCGACTTATTGCTTCAATTTTTGTTTCGGGTGTAGAAAGAAGAGTAAAAGAAGGCGTTTTCTGCTGTCATTGCTTCTTCGAAGTTGAAACGTCATTTCGCAATCCTGGCATTCCCACCAAACCGTTTCAACATGAGACTCTCCCAATACCTTTTGATATTGAGTCTTGCAGTATCACCAACCATTGCTTCAGGGTGGTCTTGGTCGTCCTCATCTACGGAAACCGAGACTGAACAAAGCGACTTTGTGTCTCCAATCATCAATCGAGAAATTCAAGTTTCCGTTCAAGCACCTTGGGCAAGCTCTCCTTCAAACGTCTACTGCGAAGCTTGGTCATTCTTGCATGAGTGGGAATTTCTAAATGCGCTGGCTGTATCACCTCCAGCTGATAACTTTGATGACTTTGAATCTGCCACAAAGCGTGCTGTTGATATCGCTTCCAATGCATTGCCTGATTCCAACCACAAGTTGTTGCATTATTCGTTGACCATGAGAGCAAAAAGCCCAGCTTGTGAGATGCAACGCAGTTTGGCAACCCAATACAATTTGAACGGAGACTTTTGCGTTATCAACGGAGAGGCCGTGGTCCAAGATGTTGCTGATTTGCCGGCAGCAATACCCCGTTTGCCAGATGTCGAGCTTGCGTCGCTCAAACTTCCAGGGGAAGATCCTCATCCAACTTCAAAGCCTAGCTCTGGATTGGTTGTCCTATATACCAATTTTGGAAGCCCAAATTTCGGAAGTTGGTACGAGCAGCTTGTTGCCAAGGATTTGCCATTTGTTGTCCGCTACTCGGGTCACGGCATTCTTGAATCGCCCTCTACGACATTGCAGGGCTATGGTGTGCGTCTTGACATTCGCAATGTCGAATACAAAGTTTTTGATGATCGTCAAGATCAGGCTGAAGAGGAGGCTTTGGTGAATGCGACTGAAGTCTCTAGTGATGTTCCTGATTTCCTTGGCGGGGTCAATATTTCGGCCTTAGCCAGTGAAGTCAGTTCAGACTTGCAGGCCGAACTCTGGAAGATTCACGAAGCACAAACGCAACACTCGCAACTTATCCCTCCGACATGGCAGAGACGAAAATTGTCACTTCAGGCAGCTTCCGTCATTGCAGGGGCTGCTGGCGATAATGCATTGGTGACTTTGGAACAAGTCTCACAAAACCTTCCTTCGTTGGCATCAACACTGGTTCACGTCGAGGTACCGGAAAAGATTAGTGATGCTGCTGAGAAGATAGGGGAAGAATTGAGGGAATTGATTAGAGAAAGTGGAGGTGGCTTTTGGATTAATGGAAAGCCTTTGAATGTAGTTCGGTCGAGTTTCAACATTTTTGAAATGATCCAACTGCTGCAGGACGAAGCTAAACAATTGCAAAGATTCGAAGGCAAGTTTTCGCAACATTTTGAGAAGCAGGAAGCCTTGGAACAAGTCCAAATTGCTTGGTCAAAGGGCGAACAATTCTTTCAAGGACAACAAGTAGGAGGTGTTGAGAGTGTTAGCGACCATCGGCGTATCGATGTCGCATCTGGAGAGAAAGATGCTGTCATTTACCTGAACAATGTGGAACGTGATCCACAATATGCAGACTGGCCGACAAGTATGCAGCAAATGATGATGATGATGCAATACGGAATGTCACCATCCGTTCGAAGGAATTTGATTACTATCCTTGCGGTTGACGACCCAATGGAAAAGCAGGAAGAAACAGCGTGGGGAAAGGCCCTCTTTTATCAATTAGCCCAGTCCAATTTTCCAGCCAGAATGGGAAAATTGATTGTTGATGCACATGATGTCAAGGTTTGTGAGTATTGGGTGAAAACGAATAAACCAGGTCCGGATGAGCCATGCCCCACCATCAAGTCTTGGCTAGATACCGGTGATATTCCAGATACACTATCGAAAATGGAGCACGCAAAAGCGGAAGCAAGAGATGTGTACAGATGCTACCTGTACATGGCCAAAAAGTACAAAGGCAGAAGTGACATTTTCATCAAATACGATCAAATGTTTGGACCCACGCTTCGAGGAAACGTGAGCAGAGGATACACCTCATTATATATTCTCTTGAATGTCCACGCTGGAATTCTACAAGATCTGGGCCTTGTTGGTGAGAAAGACCCCATCATGAAGGTTGCTAAGGAAGTTCTAGAAGTTACCAAGGATGACGGGTACGGTAAGGTGGTCCGATTCGCAGTTGAAAAGGGTCTCAGGCCCGGTATGTCCTTCTTGAATGGCCGCCCAATGCCTGATGTTGGAGAGAAAGATGCTAGAGAAAATGTCAGCAAACTGGTCATGGAAGAGCAAGAGGAAATCTTTGGAATGATCTACAATGGAGAAATCACGGACACCCAACCAAGAAACTTTTACCGATCAATGCTGGTCGGGAAAAACAAGAAGAACGTTTTCCCCAGAGTTCACCCGCTCTTGACAGGAAGTGCTGATAACCTTATTGACCTGGATATTGACAACGCATCATCAAGTTTCTACTTGAAACCAGAAAGTGACTTGGCGGGTTCTAAAGCTGATGCTGTTTTCTCAGTGGATGCATTTTTTGATTTGCGGAAGTCGGTCGGATTATCTCTTGCTCATCAGTTCTTGACAATGATGAAAGATTTTCAGAGTAGCATTGATGAGACTTCCGTTTCCGTTGCATATCGAATCATTCCTAGCAAGTCCACATTCACGGATGCGAGCCTTTGCAAGCTTGTTGCTTCTGCCAAAAGTCTTGGCTCTGATAAAATGATGGATGCATTCAACTCGCTCGTGCAAGGCAAGAGTGCCTCCGACGTCGTTGCTTCGCTCGATGTCGATGAGAGTGCAGGATGCCTTGAGCTCCTTCCAGAGGACTTGCCTGCTGATAACTTTTTGGTTGCGAATGGGCGCTACTTCGAGATTGACGGGGATTCTGTAGCCCAAATTGATGTGGAACTCCTCATGAGGACAAGCATGGCCGAAACCAAGGCTGTGTCGTCAATGCTTCGCCCATACGTCAGTAGCGATTATCCTCACAGCGCAGTTGCGTCTACCACTGCTTTCCTGATGGCCTCGAAATCGCAAGATAGATCCAATCCTTCTGATGCAATTGATGATTTGGAGCAACGATCTGATTTGACCAAGAATCCTCTACGATTCACATGGGATGGTGATAGTGGAAGTGCTGCACTAAAGGTACGTTCATTTTTTGCCGTGTTGTTCTGGACAACAACAACATCTCACAAACTTTTTTGTCTCACTCTCATAGACTCGTGTTTTGGCAATAGTGGACCCTGTGACCGAAACCGCGCAACGTGTGTCATCATTGTTGAAAACTGTCCGGGATGATCTTGGGCTCTCCACTACACTTGTTCTAGCACCTCAAATGCTGTTGGAAAGTGGATCCAAGGTCCCAATCTCAAGCTACTATCGTTTTGTCACTGACTCTTCTGCCTACCAAGGCGGCGAGAATTCTCCCTTGGCCCACTTCTCGAATCTTCCTACTAATCATATTTTGACTGTTCGAATGGATGTTGCCGAGCCTTGGGATATTCAACAACGCAAGGCGATTCAAGACACTGACAATCTTCGTTGTGACTTGAAGTCTGGATGTAGCGACCACGCAGCTTTGGGCACAACACCAGATGGCGTTCCAATGTATGAGCAGAGACACCTTACAGAGGTTGAATTCAATCTGAACCATTTGCTATTTTTCGGACAGTGCTACCAAGTAAACAACGGAGTCCAACCACCCAATGGTTTGCAGTTGACACTATCACGGCAGTACGAGGAGCAAAACGAACAATTACAAGAGGTCCAGTTGGAAGCAGATGGTTCAATCAGCGCGCAAGGAGTAGATGTAGGCACAAGAGAAGTTGGGATCTACTCTGACACTCTCGTGATGAAGAACGTTGGGTATTGGCAACTACCCGCAAACCCAGGGGTGTGGGATATGAAGATCGATGAGAATTCTCGCGGGTCCGAAATTTTTGACATCGTGGCTGGAACAATCTCTCCGCATGGAGCAGTCAAACTAACTGACAGTAGGTTGAACAACCACACAGAACGACTTGTGATGGGTGATTTCGTAACTAGCAGTGAAACTCTACTTGTCAAACGAAGAAAGGGATATGAAAGTACCACCCTTTTCCATGACAAGACTGACGAGGACAGCGAGGATGTCATCAATGTATTCTCCCTAGCAACAGGTCATCTTTACGAGAGATTATTGAAGATCATGATGCTCTCTGTAACCAAACGGACATCGTCGAAGGTGAAGTTCTGGTTGTTTGAGAACTTTTTGTCGCCTACTTTCAAAGCTTCTGCGATCTCAATGGCAGAGAAAATTGGGTGTGAAGTCGAATTTGTGACTTACAAGTGGCCGCAATGGTTGCGCGGTCAGAGTGAGAAACAGAGAATCATTTGGGGTTACAAAATTTTGTTCCTTGATGTCCTCTTCCCGTTGGGTGTGAAAAAAATTATCTACGTCGATGCTGATCAAGTTGTCCGCGGTGATTTGAAGGAGCTTTGGGACATGGATTTGGAGGGTACGTTTTATTTTGACACTTTTTTCTTGCACGTCATCGCCGATAGTTTTACTAACCTCGTCTTTATTCGCATTTCCAGGAGCACCCTATGGTTACACACCTATGTGTTCTTCAAGAGAGAGCACACTTGGATTCCAGTTTTGGAGATCGGGATTCTGGGAGCAGCATTTGCGAGGAAAGCCTTACCATATTTCAGCGCTGTATGTCGTTGATTTGGAACGATTCCGAAGGGATCTTGTTGGAGACCAGCTACGCTCGGTATACCAGCAACTTTCTGCCGACCCCAACAGTTTAGCAAACCTTGAGTAAGTCTGGAATCTGTCGCAGTTTGCGTAACTTATTTGTCTGCATTTTGATGCTCACACATGTATTCTTCACTTTGATCCAACAGTCAAGACTTGCCAAACTACGCACAACATTCGGTTCCAATCTTCTCGCTACCACAAGAGTGGCTTTGGTGCGAATCCTGGTGTTCTGATGAAACAAAACCAGACGCCAAAACCATTGATCTGTGCAACAATCCGTTGCATAAGGAACCCAAGCTGTCAATGGCAAAGAGAGTTATTAGTGGAGAGTTATTCGAGGAGAGTTGGGAAGAATTGGACGCCGAAGTCGGGAAGTATGATAAGGAATTCTTCGAGACAAACTAAAATATTACTAGGAAGTGTTCCATAATAATACCGGTACAGTATCGTATATAGTGTAGGTTCGTACCCGGTATTGATACCTGTCGCAGTACGTTACTGCAAACAGCAGTCCCGCATGGCAAGTTAGTCACGACACAATTCAAAGATCGATGAACGAACCCGTCATTTTTGTGCAACATGCAAATATGGAAAGAAGAGAAGTTGCTGCTTGTACTGACACTTTCCTCAATACACCAAGGGATAGTTGCCAGAGACGGTGAGTCAGAAAAACAGCATGCTGAATGTGGAATCTACCTTGCACCATCGACGATTCCTGGGGCTGGATTAGGGATGTATGCTGGTAATCGAGAATATAAGCATGAAGACATAATAACAGATGGAGACTTGATGGTTCCTATATTCGAATTGGACTGGCACAATGGTCATCTAACATACAATGTGAGTACATCTAAATTTTCGCGTCATTCTGTAATATTTCACTTTATACCTGATATCGATAATGTTCAGTTCCTATGGGATGAGTACACATGGGCGGCGAGCATGTTCTGGGGTACGGAAGAAGAGCTCGACGACACGGGACTCATAAGTGTTGCCAGTTTCGGAATGGGAGCAGCTGTGAATTGCATGTTGCCCTTGGTGAACGTCGGCGATGCAGGGACCGAAGACGACTACTATGCAGACTTGATTGGTTTGGACAATGCTGGCTTGTCCTCACATTCACCAGGGATCGGTGCATTTACGCCCTATCATGGGCGTCCAATGGAAGCTCGAAAAGAAATCCCCAAAGGACAGGAACTATATGTCAGTTATGGAGAGGAGTATTTTGAATCGCGAGATTCTTACAGCTTTGTCCCTCTCAAGGAGCATTACCAAGAGGCCGATAGGATCATCGAGAGCTTTCAAGATTTCACAGCAAGTTTACCTGATTTGTCTCAATCCGCACGAGAAGACCTTTGGCGAGTAGTCGGCAATGAATCTTTTTGGAATAGTCGAATTTTTCATGCTCTACCTGATACCTTAGAGGAAGCCGTTCGAAGTTTGGAAACCGGAGGGACAGCAATGAAACACTACAATGCAAGCATCCGAAGCCTAGATTGGCTAGAAGAAAATGGAGAATGCATGGACAACATCAAAGATGGTATTAGCACCATTCCTGATGCTGGTCGAGGTGCATTCGCACGTCGCTTTATAAGGAAAGGACAGGTTGTCAGTCCAGCGCCCCTCATTCATTTGCCGAGTCGTAATGTATTGACTATGTTCGACGGAGAGGTAGTCATGAGCAATGAAGGCGACGAGAACTATATGGTGATGAGGGATCCGATGAAACCCAATCATGAGCAGTTGTTACTCAACTACTGTTTCGGACATCGAGATTCAACACTTTTGCTCTGTCCTTATGGCTATCTATCGGCGCTCATCAACCACTCGCAAAAGGAACCAAATGCCAAAATTGCTTGGTCCAAGAAGAGCCTGATTGGTCACCCAGAGTGGTTTGATGAACCTTTGAAGGAATGGGGAGGGAGGACGACTGCGGGTCTCGCGCTCGACTTTGTAGCTTTACGCGACATTGAAGAATCGGAAGAGATTCTCATTGACTACGGAGACGAATGGGAAGAGGCTTGGCAACAACACGTCAAGAACTTTAAGCCGCCTAGGAAAAAATACATTCCTGCATTCGAATTGAACCGAATGGCTGATTTGCAAGTTAAGACTCTCTCCGAGTATGACTACAGGTCCGAAGGAGTTCTCGTATTTTGTCGTCGGCATCACGTTATTCACTTTGGTCTTGACATGGAGGAAGCAGATGAATGGGAGGGTTACGAAGACGAGCCGCACTTTCGACTTGGAATCTACCCCTGTCGGCCTGTGGAACGCCGCGATGATGATTCATACAATGTTGAACTTATTGCCAAGGAGTACGCAAACGTTTACGACATGGACCTCTGGCCACATCATGACGTAGTATCGCACATATTGTTCAACGTACCAAGGGACATATTCTATTTCCTTGACGAGCCAGTGCACCGTGATCACCACCAAACATGGTCCTTTCGACATGATATGAGAATTCCAGATGCAATGTTTCCGGAGGCCTGGAAGAATCGCGCAGCATACAAATTGAAGAAGGAGGAGATGGAGAAAGGAAGCCATGAATCAGATTCTTCGAACGATGGTGACGTAGACAATCAATCGGGCTCTGAGCTATGATCGGTGTGTGTACGTGCAGACGGTGGTGCCATTTGGTCTTTCAATTCGTCTTTAGCAAACCTTTGAAACGTAGCCGATCTTTCGAATCATCGTAGAGTAGACATTTCCAATAACATCAAACAAGCCATGTGGAAAGGTGTAGGTATCGAGTCCTGTTTGAAGTTTTCAGTCACGTGCCGGTACGACAACAACCAAAACAAAAACTGTCATTTGTTCAGCGTAACATGAAAGGATGATACAGGACAAGTTGCTGCTGACCGTACTGACACTTACCTCAATACATCAAGGTGCTACTACTAGTGACGGTCATTCGAAACAACAGCATACCGAATGCGGAATCTACCTTGCACCGAGCACGATTCCTGGGGCTGGACTAGGCATGTACGCTGGGAATCGCGATTACGAGGCAGGAGAAGGTTTGACAGATGGAGACTTGCTGGTCCCGATTTTTGATTTGGATTGGCACAATGATTACGAAGAATATGAGGTGAGATGATACATCAGAATGCATCGTGAGGCTTCCAATGACAACTCAATTGAAAGTGTTCCAGTTTTTGTGGGATGAATACACATGGGCAGCCAAAAGCTTCAACGGTATGGAAGAGGAGGAGACCGACGATCCAGATCAAATATGCGTAGCAAGTTTCGGGATGGGAGCTGCTGTCAACTGCATGTTGCCTTTGGTGAATGCAGTTGACGCTTTAACCGTAGATGATTATTTCTCTGAGAAGAGCGGACTGGACAATGCTGGCTTATCCTCAGAGTCGCCAGGGGTTGGGGCATTTACTCCGCATCATGGTCGCCCTACGAAAGCACGGCGAGATATTCCAGCTGGCCAAGAGTTATTTGTAAACTATGGGGAAGACTATTTTACTTCGCGAGAAGGATACGCCTCAGTACCACTTACTCAAGACTACCGAGAAGCTGACAGAATCACAAAGAGATTCCAAATTCTTATAATTGCTCTACGTAGTCTGTCACTATCAGCACAAGGAGACCTTTGGAAGCTAGTCAAAAATTCAACCAGTTGGAACAGCCGTCTCCAAAATGCACTATACGACAGGTATGAAGATGTTCTTCGAAATGACGAAGGCGGTGCAGCCTATAGGCACTACAATACCAGTATTCGAAGTCTTGATTGGCTCGAAGAACACGGGGCATGCATGGACCATATCGAGGCCGGAGTAAGTACTGTTCCGGATGCCGGTCGAGGTGCCTTTGCACGTCGATTTATCAAGAAAGGAGATGTTGTCAGTCCAACGCCCCTAATTCACCTCCCAGATCGCAATATCTTGACAATATACGATGCAAAGGTGGTCCTCAATCCAGATGATGACAGCGAGCATGTACTTACGAGAGACGGTGATCAACCAAGTCATCAGCAGTTGATGCTGAACTACTGTTTCGGGCATCGAGATTCAACACTTCTGCTTTGCCCCTACGGGTATTTGTCCGCACTCATAAACCATTCTTACAAAGAGCCTAATGCAAGAATATCCTGGTCCCAGAAGGAGAGCATCGTCGGTCATCCAGAATGGTTAAATCAATCGTTGAAGGAATGGGGAAACAAAGGCTATGCTGGTCTCAGCCTCGACTTTGTTGCATTGAGAGACATTGAAAAATCGGAAGAAATTCTAATTGACTATGGAATAGAGTGGGAAGAAGCCTGGCAAAAGCATGTGTCCAACTTCAAGTCACCAAGAAAAGACTACATTCCAGCCTTTGAATTGAATCGAATGGCTGATTTGAGAGTCAAGACTATCTCCGAGTACGACTACAAGTACCACGGCATAAATATGTTTTGTCGCCGGTATTATGTTGTTCAGTTTGATAGCGATATTGAAGTATCCAAGGACTGGGAAGGTTTTGAAGACGATCGAAACGTGCTGTTGGGAATCTATCCTTGTCGGGTGGTCGAACGCCACAATGATAATTCGTACACGGTAGAGATTATTGATAAGGAATATGCATCTGTCGATGACCAATACGTTTGGCCACACCATGAAGTGGTGTCGCACATCCTCTTCAACGTACCGAGAGATATATTCTACTTTCGTGACGAGCCGAATCACCGAGACCATCACCAAAAATGGAGTTTTCGACACGATATGAGGATTCCAGACGACATATTTCCAGAGGTGTGGAAGAATCGTTTGCATGACGAGACGACGGAGGGGTTGGAGGATACTCCAGACTCTGCAGATGACGATGAATGCGACCAAGATTATTTGACATGCGCTGAATTGTAAATGGGCATGTTATTTTTTAATAGTCTGCTATTATAATAATACTTCTTTTTATTAATTTTTAAAGATGGTGTCATTTGCATTTTCTCTATCACCACTGACTTTTTGCTCTTTGAACACAACCCCGTGCATTCAAATTAAATCAAATCCTTCCAATATTCCAACCAACAAAACAGCATTCCCTTGTTGTTCAATGAAAATGTATTCTAACTTCATGTACTTAGTGTTTGCAGAACATTATGCTCGTGCACATACTTTTGAAAGACATCCCGATGAGAATTGTAATAACACTGACGACATAGTCGAATCCCTGGTCCGCTGGGCGGCCGTGGGAACACTTGACAATCCGTGCAACATCCTCCTCGCGTCTGCATGACCCGGGGCGATCGTCCCGTCTCGAGGAATTTAAAGGTTTCCTTGTCGGACAAAAAGTGAACACAGAGATCGCAGGCTGCTCGAAAGCCATGAACAAAGGGATTGAACTGGACGCCGCACTGTATGATATCACTGCCGCGTGATTTTGTTTGTGTTTGGTTAACAATGCTACATACAGATCCACCAGAAGTCATTGCATTCTTGCCGCTAGCAGTACTACGGGCGGTAGCAACGCTGGTGGCAACGCTGCGGTTGGAGCTGAACGTCTTTTTGGTCGAAGTTGGTTTTTTGGAAGTATCTTTGCTGCGGTTGGACCAGCGGCTGATAGTAGAAATGAAACCCTTTTTGCCTCCCGACTTTTTCTTTTCTCCATTGCCACTAGGAGTTGTCGTCTTCTTTTTGGAGAGAAAGGAAAGAGGTTTCTTTTTGGGCTTTTTAAGGTCGCCGATGGGTTGATCATCGTGTTTGTATGAAGTTGTGGGTTTGATCTTTGGAACTGCTGGTTTTCGGGAAACGACTGGAACTGTTGGCTTGCGAGCTGGCTTGGGTTTCGTCGTAGTGGGCGCTGACTTTGGTTTTGATTTGGGTTCTGACTTTGGTTTTGAAGGCGCAGGTGCCGGTGTTGGAGCTGGAGCAGGTTCTGGTACTTCTAGGGCGTCGTCAAGGAAGGCATCAAAGTCATCAAATTCAGATTCATCTTCATGTGTAAGGGGTGACATTGGAGTCTCAAACTTCTCGTCTTCAGCAGCAGCAGTTGCGGCAGGAGGAGTTGGTGGAGCAGTCACTTCTGGTTCCGCTGGTTTGACGTCATCCTCCTCCTTTTCCTTCTTTTCTTCTGTCATTGGAGTATCCTTCACTTCGACAGGTTCCATAGGTGGTTCTTCTTCATCAGGTTTTTCATCAGGTTGCGCCTCAAAGTCACCCAAATCCAAATCATCCAAGTTTCCGTGCAAAACATCACTGTCATCATCCTCGGAATCGTCCGAATCCTTTTCCGATGGTTCTAAAGCGCCATCCAAGGCATCTTCCATGTCGGAAATCTCCTTGGATACAAAGGAACCTCTAGTAATTTCTCCCAAATCTGGTTGATCGGGTTTTTCTTCTTCTTCTTCGTCTGGAAAACTTTCCACATCCTTTTCCGATGCTTTGGATGCCGCAGGACTGGCCAATAGATCGTCCAACATGTCATCATGTTCCACATAACCCGAAGCAATGGCAGCTGCTTGCGTCAGACTCAGTGAATTGGGATCCACCGTTGGCTTGCTTTCCTTTGCTGGAGAATTGGGTGCCGAGTCTAAAAGGCCGTCCAAGGAGTCGTCATCATCGTCATCGTCGTCCATGGCACTCGAGTTGACGGCGTCCAGCATTTGTCCTACACTCTCTTCGGTTTCATCGTCGCCAAGAATGTCGTCAAGGAAATCGTCGTGATCGTCGTCGTCCATGATCAAAATTGCCCTTTGGTGTTTTCTCTGTTCTCTTTTTTTTTTGAAAAGCAGTGGTTGCTATGCTTCTACCGGCGGTAGAGTCGAGGAGGAAAATAAGAGAGTCTTTCGTACGACAACTACCTGGTACTACTATACTTTGCGAATTGGATGAAAGTCCAATCTTCACGTCGTTTGTCTTTGGCGACACACAACTTTTCCATATGATACGTACTTTGTACGTCCTGCCGGTACTTTCCGGTATGCAGGAATTGGACCAATCGGCGATGATCAATCGTACCAGTCATTTTGAGGTACGTCATTCGCCCGCTTGCCATGAACCTGTTTGAGTTTCTGGCCTTCGTCGGTTCATCTGAAGAATGAAAATCCTCGACAATCGACAAACTCATCTACCTGGTATTACTCTGTATTGTTGATGTTTGGCAGAAGGTAGAGGTCATTATTTCCTTGGTTCTATTCAACAAATCAATCTCAATCCACCCAAGACGACTTTTTTGTCATTTGAGCTACCTGATTGAATATCGTTTCTGAGTCATTTTTCATTGCAGACATCAACCTCAAACAAGATCGTACAGTACCGTACAACATCACATTATCATCATGTATCGAAGTGTCCTTCGTCGTCACGCCAGTCGAATCTTGAGTGAGGGTTCTACCCATCGCCAATCTCTGATACACCGATCATCTACCACGTCTCGTTTCTCCCGTGCTCTGTCCACAAAAGGCGGCGGCGGCGGTGGTGGTTGTGGTGGAGGAGGCAATAAGAACCACCCAAAGGAAAAGTTTCCAATGCCCGACCGGGACAAAGAAATGCATCTAGCCTCCATTCAATCGGATATTACCGAGCTTTACAAACAAGGAAACTTTCCGGAGGCGCTCAAAATATCCAAAAAACTATTGAAAGAAACAGAAGCTCATTTTGGAAGAGACCATCCTGCAACGGCCAGTGCCTACAACAATTTGGGATTGATGCAAAAACTTTTGGGTGACTTTGGTGAAGCAAGGCAACATTATTCACGGGCCATGCGAATTTATGGAAAGGTGGTTGGTAGAGATCACGCTAGTTATGCCATGACATTGCACAATCTCGGGACTTTGTCCAAATCACAAATCCATTTTGATACTTCTCTCAAGGCAACGGAACGATTGTCCTTGGTAGAGCAAGCCTTGGAACAATTGGAGGAAGCTTGGGAAATTCGCAAGGTAGAACTGGGAGAGGAACATCCACTTACAGTGGCATCAAGGTCGGGGTACGGTTCAACTCTGGCGGCACAAGTCTTGCACCAACACAAATTGGTGGAATTGAAACCAGATGACGATTCAATATCATTATCACAATCTACAACATCAACGACAACAGCAGCAACAACGACAGAAGGTGAATCATCGGACGAATTCAAATCCAAACCCAAATCGCAACATCAACAACGACGGTACGTCGCTCTCGGTCCTCAGACCGTTACCGACAAGGGATGGAATGCGGCCGAAGAGCATTTGCGGGAGTCTCTGGTGACTTCGATTTACAATCCACGAGGAAGAAGTGTGCAACAAAAGGGAAACAAGAAAAAGAAGAAACAACCCAAGAAACAAAGTAAAAAGGAAGACATTGCTAGCGAAATTGAAACCCTATCGGCCGCTGCAGCTGCCCAGAATCTTGCAGTCTTTTTGAAATCCCGAGCCATGACAGAGGTCCCGTATAATGAGGATCGATTACAAGAGGCTCATGCCTTGTATTCACAGGTCGAATATGTTCGCACCCAGCTACTTCCGGAAAAGCATCCCGACTTGTACGCCACGAAATACAGTTTGGCCGAGTTGCTCGAAGCCATGGGAGAAGAAGACAAGGCTAATGCATTGCGACAAGAAATTGTGGATACCTATGATCCCCCATCGGAAGAAGAGTTGGCGAAACAAGAGGCAGACGAAAAAGAAGAGGAATCATCATCACCAGATATGGTGGTCAAGATTGACAAGACCATGGCATCAAAGCCGTAACCTAATCACTGACAATTATTTTAGCTATGTCAATTATTTATCACCTTCATTATATGATTATAAAATCTCGAAGCTTCACTCTGAGATAAGATCGAATGTAACGAAAATCCTAACAGGACGCATTGTAAAGTATCTCTGTGCATACTCTGATTTCAATGATGCTTCCTTGCATCAATTGTCATTTCAATAAAATACAGTAGTTCTTGTCTTGGTGTTGGTGAGACGCCAAATAAACCGAACTTTGCGGAGGCGTGAAGCGCTCACCAGATGGTACCAGTACCAGTACATTTGGGGTCCCAGGTACAGTACGACCGCCCTTTGTCTGTTCTTGTCATACATGGACATACGACATACGTCAGTTTCTCGCGTCATTTTTTTGAGACGCAACCCGCTAAATTCGTTACGAATAAAAACGAACCCTACAGTGCTGTACCGGTACGTCTTCTGCGTGCACCGTATCCTTCGAAGAACATCGTTTGATGGAAGCTCAGATTCCCACAAATCGTCCTCTGCGGTCATAATCAATTGACTCATCGACAAGAATCTATTACAAAACACAAAAACAAACATGAAAGCCTGGAGACTTGACGCATACAACGAAGATGTTCCCGCTGCCATTGAAGGCATGAAACTTGAGGATGTCCCTGTCCCCGAACCTCATGATGGCACCGTCCTCATCAAGACTGCCTACTGCAGTGTCAACCCCATCGACTGGAAGCTGTTTTCTGGCGGTTTTGATGGATTCTTCCCCGTGAAGGTCTTTCCCTATACTCCCGGATTCGATGTTGCCGGTGTTGTTGAGAAGGTAGGAGCTGGAGTAACAGACCTTGCTGTCGGCGACAGAATCATTTGCGATTTGGGTCTTGTCGAATCATGCGTCGACCCACCTCTCAAGCAAGGTGCCGGTGGCGCATTCGCAGAATACTGCATTGCCCCCGGCGACATCTGTTCCAAGGTCGGAGATGCCGACTTTGAGAGTGTTGTTGGATTGCCATTGGCCGGACTTACTGCCTTCCAAGCTCTCTTCACTGGAAGCCACAACCAAGATCTTGGACATTGCAAGGAAGGGGACAAGGTTTTGATCCTCGGTGGTGCCGGTGGTGTCGGAACCATCGCATTGCAACTAGCATCAAATGCTGGTTGCCATGTCACAACCACTGCTTCCGCTGCTAAATTCGACTTCGTCAAGGGTCTTGGTGCCAAAGAAATCATCAACTACCACGATCAAGACTGGGGTGAAGTTTTGGCCGGCCAAGACTACGATATGATTTTTGACTGCATCGGTTTAATGGACGATCTCAATGTCCGTGCGCCAAAGGTCCTGAAGAAGGGTGGAAAGTTCATTTCCATCGCGAACTTTGACCCAAGTGCCAAGGGACCTGACGGTGTCGAGTTCGCTGTATTCTTGCTGCTCAGTAAAACCACTGATTTGGACAAGATGGTTCAAATGGTCAAGGATGGGAAGCTGAAGATCATCAACGACAAGGTTTACCCCTTCGCTGAAACCCCAGCTGCCCTCAAGCAATCTTTGGGTGGAAGAAGTAGTGGAAAGGTCCTTATCAAGCTCTAAATGAGCGAACAAAATATACTATCAATAGAATACTGTGATTCTATGCACTCCATCAAGTCTATATTTCAAATCCTTCTAGTTTTGGTCAATTTTGGGTGGACTATCCTACCCTTTTCCAATGATTCGCAATCCTTGGATGCTCATGAGATGAAGAAGGACCACAGCACTGTTTTGTTTATAATTAGAAAGGCTTCTGTTAAAACGTTATCTTGGTTCCTTGGAAGGCAACAATACCACTCTTTTGCGCCTTTTTCGCTTCCCAGGATGGATGATTCTGGGCAACTGGCTCTGACTTGTTGTTCCCTGATGATTCTTCTCCAAACTTCACCTTGGTTCCCTTGAACTCTGCAATACCAGAAGGTTCGTTGCGCTTTGCTGCCCAAGACGGATGGCTGTTCTCCTCTTCCCTCGGTGGCTGTTCTTCTTCCATACTTTGTTGCTTCGCATGCTTTTCTTCGGCACTTCTCCAATTCAATGATTCGTATTTCTTGCCCTCTTTCTTTGCTTCAATGGCCCGAGCTTTGGCTCTTCTAGCACGCTGACCCTTGCGGTTTTTCTTGATTGGCACTTCTTCCATGTACGCTCCTGGTCCATAAGGACTCACTTCGTTTCCCTCTGCAGCGTTCTCATCCTCGTTAAGACTACAAAAGACGGATATTGGCTGATTCTTGGATCGCATGGTCGTTGCAATGGCTGCTTTTTTGGGATTCTGCCGATTTTCTGCGCGCTCATCAAAATTCAAGGCCCAGCGGCGATACTCTGTCACTTTTTTATGCCATTCTTCCAAAACTGCTTGAAAGCGGCTATGTGTCAGAATCATGTGGACCTGATTCTTCAATTCTGGTGACAAGGGTTCAGGTGGCGTAAAAATGGCCTCGGGGTCTGGATTTGCGTGAAGAAGTCCCAGCTGTCGCACTGCTTGCTCCACGACACTTTCGACAGGTAACTCCTTTATGGATTGAAGCTTTGTTGATGGTGATGAGGAAGCTGTGTTCTCGCCTTGTTTCTTGATTTTTCGGATACTCTTTTGGACCAGAAATGTTCGACATTGTTTGGCATGTTTGTGAATGTCCTTCCTGGCTTGGTAAAGTAACTTATCGAATCGTTCTTTCTTGATTTCTATTCTTCGTTCCTTTCCATCATCACGACGACGTTTCTTGGGTCGTTGTCTCACACGCTTCTGTTTGGGCGCTTCTGGCCGTTCTTTGCCTTCTGGTCCCCCTAATGTTTCCTGGTTTTCCGAGTTTTCTGGTGCCTCTGAAGATGCCACTGACGATTCCTTGCTTTCTAGTGCCTTTGACAACTCCGGATTGTCAGAATTATCCAGTGCTTCTGAAGATGCCTTTGACGATTCCTTGCTTTCTGGTGCCTTTGACATTTCTGGGTTGTCAGAATTTTCCAGTGCTTCTGAAGATGCCTCTGACGATTCCTTGCTTTCTGGTTCCTTTGGCATTTCCGGGTCGTCAGAATTTTGCGGAAATCCTGGCTCTTTGTCCATGCTTTCGAAACTTTTGAAAAAGAAGTTCTGACGATGAGGTTCTTATTCCGTCGTTGTTGTTTTGTGTTTGTTTTGTTCATGGTTGGACAGAATTCGATTCGATCGAACACAGTTGAAGTACAGACTCCCTAACATGTCCCCTGAAACACTACCAATCCACCCCCTTTATGATTCTGTGACAACCCAACATTTACAGAGTACAAAAACAACGACAACCAAAGATGAAGTCGTTGGCTCTATCCTCAATACTATGTCTCCGACAACTTGTCGCTGGGACTGAATATTCACCGATTGAAATAAATTTTGGAGCCTTCAACTTGGAGCCAGATCGATTGACAGAAAGGTCTGGATTGTCGTCTGATTTCGCAAGATCTAGGGCTAGGTTGATGGAAAGCCAAGTCGACAATGAGGATATTGACGCATGGATAGACGCCAGTTTGTCTAATAATGATGATGATGTTGAATATTCTACTTCATCGATAGTCGGATCTAGAATATCCAAGAATCAACTCTCATTGCACCTGGAAGGAGGATACAATGAAACTCCTGAATTTGAAGGCAACGCTTTCAAGATGAACAGTCCAACACGACTTCCAAACACAGCGGAGGAATCATATGGTAATCGGTATCAGTATTCTGGTCCAAAAGAAGAAGAACCCGCGAGACTGCTCGACAAGAAATTGCTCAAAAAGACTGGAACCACTATCGCAGGATGTTGTGTGGGGCAGCATGTCGTTTTGGCAGCGGACACCCGTGCCACCGAAGGCACCATGGTGGCCGATAAGCGATGTCAAAAGTTACATTTGTTGGCCAACAATGCTTGGTGTGCTGGCGCTGGAACCTCAGCCGATTTGGACCACTTGACCAAAGAATGTCTCTACACCATGTCATTTCAGACCCTAATGGACAAGAGCATTGGCAACTCAAACAGCGGCGAGGACCCAGAAGGAGATCAGAAAGCAAAGATTTCCTTGGCCGAAGACGACTTGATATTTGTTGGGATTGTGCCCATCGAGCAACTGTGTCGCTTCTTTCAAGACCGATTGTTTCGTGCAAGAGGGAATTTGGGGGCCAATTTGATTCTCGGGGGTGTGTACGATGGCAAGGCTCATTTGCGAGCCTTACATCCACATGGATCAATGGATATCGATCTTCCATTCACAGCCCTGGGGAGTGGTGGATTGGCGGCAATGGGTGTATTGGAAGAGGGTTATTCCAAAGTGCAATCTGTGCAAGAAGGAATCCAGCTTTGCGAACGAGCAATTTTGGCGGGAATCAAGAACGACTTGGGAAGTGGATCGCAAGTAGACGTCTGTGTCATTTATCCAGATGGTTCCAGCAAGATGAAGCGGTCTACTGTGCCAGAAGAAGAATTAACGAACGAAGATGTGAAGCATCTTGGAAGGAATGCAACAACTTCAGAGAATGCACAGGCGCCATCAACTACAGGTGCCAATGGATTTGGTAACCTTCCATTTGCAGTCGAATCGAAGAGGACGTTGTCGGTGAGAGAAGTTGAGACGGCACAATCACGGATCCAGGAATGGAATAGAATTCTAGGCATCGACAAGACGGATAAAGAAATATAGCCTGTCCTTTATTATATTATCTAGCGGTACATTGTTAAACATTCATTTAAAATACATGTTCAATTCATCATCTTTTCTAAACTTGTCAGGATATAGATATACGGTAGAACTGCTCGGCCGCGTGTGGGAGGCGCTTTTGCTTGTATGGTACACAGTTGACAAAACTCAACAAGCGATCCGTTTCAGGTTACATAATGGCACAGCTGGAACATATTCCAACATTCCCGTCATTTTCGATTCCATATTTCAGCATTGATTCTTTTGCTCCGACAAAAGATCCAACCTTTGATCCGTGCTTCACAAAGGCAAAGGTTGGCATGGCCCAAACGCTCAATATCGATTTGATAGTCGGTACATGATCTACATCAACCTTTAGAAAGACAACTTGGGGATGCTGTCGTGCAAATGCCTCAAAGACGGGAGCAATAGCCTAGAAAAACATTATGCTGAGACTTCATTTGTATTGCAGTTTCGAATGACGAGTCTCTCTGATATATGGCAGATCATATCGTCTTACCTTGCATGGCGGGCACCACTCAGCAAAGCAGTCAACGACAACCAGCTTATCTCCAGCGAGTTGCAGAATTTCGAAATAGTCCTCCTCGCTCGAGCAGTGAACCACTTCTCCTGGTTTGATTGCTGGAACTACCATTGTTTTTTACTTGTGATTATTAGTTGATGACATTGAAATCGAAAACAAAGCGATATCAGTCGTGCTAGTCCAGCTAGTCGCACTAGTCGCACTACCTTTGCCGTTTAACCTCCATCCAATAGAAAAATGACGACAACGTCACAATGATGCCCGATGGTAAAACCAGAACCACCAATAATCAACAAAATGGATGAGATAGAACCAAACAAGTCCAACGGTGAAAAAGGTGGAAATAGAAATGACGATGATAGCTACTGCGGAAACAGCGAAAAGGTCGATGACCGAGAACTCGTACCAGAACGATTGTCGGAGCCGCCAAAGCCCAACGACACCGAACCGAAGTGCACTTCAGCCTTCATATCAGACAGACGAGCCGAGAAAATCAAGCGGGAATGGAATGCGAACTATTCAAAACTCAAGATACACATGAAGAAAGATTACCCGAATGGAGGCTTTGTATCTTTTATCAAGGGCGATAATAATAAGTTTAAAAACTGGGTAACGAGGCAACGTTATTTGTATCGCTTAAAAAGGAGGGGCGAGGGTGAACAGCTGAGTAAAATCTCCAATGATCAGGTTCAGCGATTGGAAGCCATCGGCTTTCATTGGGAGAAGAACGACTCTGGATCCAACAAGCGCCCACCATCAGACAAGAGCTTGGAATCCAGCGCAAACTGTAAAAGGAGAAAGATCTCGGAATCACACGAGCGCCCCAGATCCATGCAAATCTCCAAATCCAACATTTGCCCGAAAAGAAGAACAAGAGCGCATCAAATTAATTATAAGTATTCAAGATGGGATGTGCAGTTTGAAAAACTCAAGAGTTATATGAAGCAACACTACCCAAACGGGGGCTATGTCGTAACATCCATGCCAGACAAAACGCTTATTGCATGGATATTAAACCAGCGTCGCAACTATCGAAATAGAGTCGCTGGAACTCATCCTACTATGTCTACTGATCACTTTGAAAGGTTGCAGGCAATCGGTTTCCACTGGGAGAAGTCAGGGAAAAATGAGTCAGTGGAAAAAACGGACGGCGATTCCCAACAACGTTTCATAATTGGCCCGCACGCGACGGATTCTGATGATGATGATTCCGATCCTGATTTCGAACGCCCTAGTAGAAGAAGAGAAGGAACGAAACAAAGTGATTTAGCATGGGAGGCGCAATTTGAAAAACTCAAGAGTTATATGAAGAAACACTACCCAAATGGGGGATACGTCAAATCATCCATGCCGGACGACAACCTTGCTAGATGGATACGAGCACAGCGTTCGCTCTGTCGAAAGAAAGTGGGTGAAATTGATACTACCATGTACAATGATCGGTTGGAAAGATTGCAAGCCATTGGTTTCCAATGGGAGAAATCAGAGGAAAGTGATGAATACACGAAATCTGTAGAAGAAATGAATGACGATTCACAAGAACGATCTGCAGCTCGGCTGCACGAGAAGGATTCTACTGATGTTGATTCCGATTTGGATTTGGATTCCGAGCGACATCGAAAAAGACAAAGAAGAATCAACAAAACAAACCACAACGATATAGCATGGGATGTGCAATTTGAAAAGCTCAAAAGTTATATGAAGCAACACTGCCCAAACGGCGGCTATGTAGTAGCATCCATGGCGGACGCGAAGCTTGGTCAATGGATAGGAAAACAGCGTGTCAACTGTCGAAAGAAAGTGGCTGGAATTGACACTACCATGTCTGACGATCGGTTTGAAAAATTGCAAGCCATCGATTTCCGATGGGAGAAATCAGGGAAAAATGAACACATTGAGTCAGTAGAAGAAACGGATGACAATTCCGAACAACGTTTCATAATTGTCCCTCACGAGACGGATACTGCAGACGATGATTCCGAATCCGAATATTTTGACTGCATTGCGGATGAAAGTGATGATAGCATTGTCGGAAACGCTGAACTTGCGAGTCTAAGTTGGGCCGAACTGCTCCTCCTTTGCAACAATCAGAAAAAGGACCTTGGACAGCTAAAGGCGAATGAATCCGCCTGCCAGACCCAAATCAAAGAACACAATCAGGAGATCGAATTACTGCTTAATCTGAATCAAGATTTGATGAAGAACAATGATGATATGATGGAATGCAACCAAAACCTCCGAAACTCTCATCGAATTGCCATGCTGGAGGAAAGGGCTAACATTCGACACGAATGTCAAATGCGAAAGCTGGTAGAAGAGAAGCTCGAAAAGACGAAGCAGCAATCTCAGGAGATCATTCAAAAGCTGCGTTCCGAAAAATCCGCTTTGAAGTCCATCAATGCAAACTTGAATCAAGAAAATTCAGCATTACTTACACGAAACCAGGAACTCGAAAAACGACTTGAGGCTCTTGAACGCCACAACCAGCAGAGCCTAGTAGTAGAATCACCTCTTCAAGATGCTGTGGAGAGCCGCCATTCGAAAACGGCTGAGCGCGAAGTAACACCATCAAAGTGAGGGTGCTTGTCGACATGATGCTTTTATCTGGAAATTATAACCAACCACACAAGCAATCGGTACTTAGTCTAAAAGTTAAAATTCAATTTCAAGGTACTGTAATAGTAACATTTGCCGGTCTAACTAGTCGAAAGTGATTGAAAAATTGACAATAAATTGCTCAACCAATGTCATCAACGACAACCTCTCATCAACGACAACCTCTCATCTCAGATATCAAACAAAGCTAGTTAGTGGCTGAGTGCTCATGACGCAAATAGAATTGCGTCTCATCCCCGTACCAGGTCAGAAGCCTGAATTTTTGGCTATTCTAGAGCCCCTTCCCGGCTCGCCGCCCTTGTGGCAAACCTCCAAAGTGTCACAAATCGTGCTTGAAAACTATACTCGAGAATCGTGGGCGATGGACACCGCAGCGAAATGGTACACGCTACAATTTCAATCCATCGATGGGAGACAGAAACTTCCAGGCTTTCAAACGCACTTGCGAGATAGAAAGAAGTCAGCTTTTGGAAGGTTCGGAGGAGATAAAGTGATCGTCGTACCACACAAGCAAATGAGTTCCAAGACGTTGACATGTCGAGTTGCCAATCTCGACGCGCTGCAAGGCTGCCCACTACAACCAAAAGTAAAGGCTCCGCCACCCATATCCAGCTCCAAACCTGTACCTACAAAGTCGGTACCCCCAAAGAGCTCCTCCACCAGTAATAACTCCAACCCAAAGAGGAAAAAGGCTGGACTCCTTGGTAATTTAGTTGGAGCTCAGAACCGAACGAACACCGCAGTGATGAGTTCCAGGGCTCAGAAAGCGCAATCGGATAATCCATCCTCACAGCCAGGATCTCAATCTCAAGGCTCAGCCAACGGTGGTAGCAGCGGTCCTTCGGCTAGCGGCGAGCCCTTGAAAACAGCGGGTCAAGTGCTGATGGACTTCCGTCAAGAGATGGAACAGGAAATGCTAGATTTTGATATTTCTCCCGAACCAAAGCTCACGGTCAAGGTCACTCTGGCCAGCAAGACCCGCTTACTGTCTGAAGAAGACAAGCTGAGTGGCAGGGTCACAATGGAAGTCCTCAAGTACATTGTGTATGAAGCTGCTGAAGAAGTCAACGAAGAATGGATTGCGCACAAGGAGCCATCAGAATTCATGGACGAAGTCGAAATATCTATTTACAAGGAGGGTGAGGCCCCGCCAGATGTCATTGAAGATATCAACAAGGCCGAGCTTCCGGATGAAATTCTGGGCCAGCAGCGTGCGATGCAACAGCAGCAACAACGATTGAATGCTTCTAGGGACATGAAGGACAGGCAAGAAAAGCAACGATTGGCGTTGGCGCAAGAGTCAGGGGAAGACTTTGCCCAACTCAATACCAAAAAGCGGGATCGCAGAACCATTGAAGAGATTCAAGCGGAAATGCAAGATCCCAAGCGACAACGTAGTTCATAGACAAGGCTGCAAAGTCTAACTGTTTTCATTATGCCAGTCCAAATGCTCTCGTCTATCCTGCCATATCGCAATCTTGAAAACGTGTTGTTCCCCTTCCAAAAGATTTAGTATTTTGGAGCACCTGTGACGGTGCTTTGGTAGGAAATTCATCGCACAATTGATGAAGTTTCAAGATGTTCTGTTCTGTTCTGTTATTCGCACTGAAACGCTCATACTGCTATCGCTGCAATATAAGTTCATAGTATTCTTCCATGAAAGGAATTGCTGTTAGACAAGACCTGAGGAAGATTCTGCTGCTGTTGCATGACTAGCAGGAGGAAACTGAGCTTGGGTGGGCGGCATTGCAGGTGGTGGTGCCATTGTATATTGTTGAGGTGCGTTGGGTGCCACATGACTAGAAGGCATAGGTGCCTGAGCAGGCGGTGCATGTTGCGATTGAGGTGCCGTCATGTATGGTTGTGCATTCGGTGCTACTTGATTGTTGTGGTGTGGTGGCATGGCTTGAATCACCATGTCGCCCACAAACTGCGCCTCTGCCATGGCTGTTGGATCCTGTCCTTCCCGTCGTTCAATAGTTAAAATGGACTTTGGTTTGCGATTCCATCGCATGTAGAGAGTGGGATTGTTTGCATTGAATTCGGCAATTCCAACTTGGAGATGTTTCTTTCGTTTCTTCATTTGGCTGCTATGTCGGACTCCCCAAACCATCAAGGGAACCATAAGGGGCCCAGCTGCTAACAAAGCCCCGTCTACTTTTCCTGGTCGGGCCTTTTTAATGAGATTGTTGAGGGCTTGAATGGCCGCAGTGAATTCGTCGTTGGTCATGATGCCATGCAATTCCACATCGTAAGGATCCTCTTCAAACTTTTCAAACATGCCGGCTTGACACGGTCGCGTTGGGACTACAATTCGAGTTCTATTTTTCATCTTTCGTCTTTTTGGACGGAAGGATGGTTCTATGATATGGCTGCAGAGTATGGGCCTACAAAGACGTCAATGACTGCCTGGATCGTGCTGAAGTATTTTGAACTTGCGTATTATTGTTGTGAAGTTCAAAGAATACTGGTAGGATAATCACGACTCACTCACTCACAACACCGTGACGATCGAATGCCAGACCAGATACTGAGCTCGAGGTATTTTCATGATTCAATTTGTTTTCTTGTCGTTGCTCTCGTGCTCGGCATTCATGAAGTGCCCCTTTTACAGTACGTGTACCGGTACCGAATAGTATCATTCGACATTTGCATGTCTTGCTAACATAAGAGTCTAATACTGTAGTCTACTATATCACCTGCTCACCTCTCGTTGTTCATCACTTTCAATAATCTCTTTTCAGTACAGGACTATACCATACAGCATACAGCAGCATCTAAAGGTTTGAAAAATCAATGCAAGACGCGTGCAACAATTGCAAGTAACATAATATACAAGAAAAGACTAATTTACAAGCTACTAGCAATGTGTAGCGAAATCGAAATTCAAAATAGAAGGCGCATGTTTTCTCGTGTTGCTTTTCAGCTCGAGAAACCCGCAGCCGCAACAGGTCGGATCATCATTTCATCATCGTGCTCTTGAGCTGCTTCTAGTTCTTCTTTTTCTTGCTGCGCGTCAATCTGAAATTGACGCCCAGCAAAAGAGCCGCCAGTGTCTAGTTTCTGGAAGGAGTCTCGAAGTCCAAACCTAGTATCCAAGACTGGCCGGACATCTTCTTCCTCGTCCAGATTGTGAAGCAAATCCTGGACCGCAAGCAGTGTCTTGTCGTTTGGATCCGTGAAAAAACTGGATACCAAGATTCCATTTTCCGGGTTGGCCAAAAAGCTCAGTGGGTTGTTATCCACCAGGACGGTGCGCTTCAATTGCTCACCACCCCAGGCAAACTCGAGGTCCTTGACATATGCCCCCAACGCAGGGTCCATGACGCAGGAGTCTCGGTACCAGCAATCGGCAAAAATGGTTCCATGGGGATCCAATCGCTTAATGATTGGAGTGGCGTAGACTTCCATGGCAGCTGTGAATAAATGTGTTTCGTATTTTTCCGAGACTGCTTGTAAAAAGTCGTGCAAAAAGGGTCGTTCGTGAACCCTGGCACTCTCACCACCCGGAAGAAAGATCTCAAAGGTATCTACTTGAGAGGATGGATCTTCTTCCTTCCAACCCCTCGTTTGTCGTACTTGGTGGGCGTACCTCGCACCAGGACCTTGCATAAACTGCGAGTGAATCAAACACTCGTCCAAGTCCAACACGACGACCATGTCCGAGTCATATTCTCGCTTCTTTCTTCTAGTTGCTTTCGTTGCTTCAGTGGAAATCTTGGATTTCGATGAATAGTTGTTCGGCTTTAAATCGTTCACATGAAAGGCCACACTCTTACCATTCACCACTGGTCGGCGTGGCTTCCAACTCAAGTTTCTAGAACGATTGTTTGGTGCCACCCATGTGGACTGGCATCGCAAAATTGAGCTCCGACGGACGGCAGAGCTTTCCAAAGAACGTACAAGCGAAGATTGCAGCAGCATGACGCTCCAATTGAATTGAGGATGGCTTGGATATGTGCTAGTTTGAGTTTGTGGCTCCAGAGGCTGTCGATTTCCTTCGCTCTTCTCGTGTGTCTTTTTTCTTTTTTTATATTTTATACCAGATATTAGCAATGATCTGGCTACCGTAACGAACATGAGTGAGCAAGAGAGCTTCGCTTTTGCAGAACACCCATCGACGGAACTTTGCAGATACGATCGACGCCGTCCGGATTTTACTTATAGAAAATGCTGATTTGTCTTGAGTTCTCCTCATATTTACAATAATGGGAAAACTGAATGAGGAAGACATGCGAGCACAAGGCAGCAGGGTTTGCACTTTCATTTTTTCAAAAAGTTCTGTTGTGATTTCTGAACCGAATTTTTCTTTGTTTCCGTGCGTGGGAAAGATGTGTCTGTTTCCAACCGGTCGACTAGCCCGAATGAATTAGTCAGGCTAGAGGCTCTAGAGGCTCAAAATACAGTCACGCTTTACTGTACCTACAGTACGAGTACTGCATTATTCTGAAGTTCAACCGCAATCTTTGGCGATGTAGCAACAACGTCTCTTCCCTTTTGGCCATCTTCGGTGATATAAATGATCATTTCATTCACTATTTGGACAATGGAACCATCATACGAAGGAGTCCAGTTGCCTGGCACCGAGACGGTACCCTGCAAGATAGTAGTATTTGGTGATTCCTTGTTGGTACTACTGGTACTACTCTTTTTGCAAGGTAATAGCATTTGTTCCCAGTGACGATCAAAGATGTCACCATTAAGGACATTTCGCTGGGTAAACTTCACATGGACCTTTTTCAAATCTACAACAATTGCTTCTTCCTCGTCCTTGCTTGGCGGGTTTTGACAAAGTTGAATCGCCAACTGTTGGTTAGGAAAAAGCTGAATCTTGAACTCGGTCGGGATCAGTGTACAGAAAGGATTCGGAGGCTTTGCTGCGAGACAAAAGAACGACGTCTGCGGAATCATGACTGGAGCACCGAGATCGACTCTCAACACATCATGCTGCCGTGTCTTGTTCTTGTTGTTGTTGCTCCCTGAATCACTTGGTACAAACTGTAGTTCCACGGCATTCGACCAATGACAACTATCGCAAATCTCATTATTGTATCTAGCTGGAATGCTTGTGATGGAAGCTTTCACCGTGTATTTAACCTCAAATTGACCTTCGCGGAGGTGGTGACCTTGACGGTGATAAACCTTTCCAGTGTGCCTAGGTTTCCAGCTCTGAGACTCTTTGCCCAAGGGAACCGAAAACGAGATTTGCTGTCCACCTTCGTATGATCTCTGATCGTCCCTGACGACGTATTCCTTCTGCAAAAGAATGCCTTCGTACGCTAATTGCGTCTATCCATGCGGCATCGTTCCATCATCAAACATGAGAATAATTAACTTTTCAATGTAAGAGGCTCTTTGTACCCTCTCTTGTTGTATTGCCTGCAAATGTAGCCTTAAGCATACGCCATTGTCACTGGATTTCAAGTCTCTAAAGCTACCCGTGTCCGGTTGGAGCTTTCCGCTGATTACAAACCCATTTTCGTTTTTGTCATTGGTCCCAGGAGTAGCAGTGACAGCTGAAAGTCTCAGTTTGGGAGGTATTTTGAAACAGTTCATCGAATTCAAAGTCTAGAAGATGTCAGTTTTTGCTTGCCACATGTCGCAACACAAAGTAGGGAGTTCAGGCTTCCGGGAATCACCGTGGTCTGTTGAAAGTTGACGGAGGGGTGGTATTACCGGTACAAGGTACCGTACCAGTATCTTTCTAGTGAACACGACGCGTTATGCCATCAAGTCGTGGCAATGAATCCAATTAATCGTATGGCAGGAGCTTTGGCATCTATCTACTGGATGATATCCCAATCAATTGTCGTCTTCACCCTTCGTCTTTCATCTCCTCCTGCAAGATCGACAAGATTGCGACAACCAAAAGCAGATTGGGGATTGAAATTACTTTTATTACTGACCATGTTTTCATAGATACATCCTAGACTAATTATTGCAAAAATAGCGATTTATTTTTTCAGTCTTCCTTCTATTGTCTGGTCCAAGAACTTTGAAGAAATCAAATTCAAGACGCCAAATTTCAAAAAGTATCTAGCAACAACAATGAACTTCAATTTCAGAAAAAAATGAGTCTATTGTATGATTAAAAAGTGAAGTGAACAACAAGAGCAAGGGAATCTTTGTTTGCAATGGCGGGGTCCACGACATCGTCAGAAACTCAAAAGCGAATTGTTGTTTGGAAGAAATCTATCGTCTCTTGGGCGGGCCTCCACGGGTGAGACCAGCTTTGGCAGCTTTTGTGGCTCCACCGGCCTTTGGTGGTGCCTTGCTCTTTCCGCCACGGGGCAATTTGACTCCCAATTTGCGCTCTAGCTTGCTAATGACTTGAGGGTTTGGGATTGCCTTTCCAGATTCGTATTGTCCAACTACTTGCGGCTTTTCGTTGATGGCGGTAGCGAGATCCTTTTGTGTCATTTTCTTCGCCATACGTGCTTGCATGATGGCCTTACTTAGGGACTTGTCGACCTTTGCGATTTTTCCAACATCAGTGGCCTCCTCGAGCTTTCTTGCTGACATGATTGTGCCAGTGTGAGCAGATGCATTTCCCCCGGCTCCATATCTGTTGAAACGGGAAAAAAAACGGGTGAGCAAGGAAATGAAAGACGAAACAAATCCGAGACCGAAACAAGCGATATCATACGCACTTTCTCTCAGTGGCAAGCATTCCATTTTTTTTGGCGGCGTCGATGCCATGAGAAGTTGTTGGCTTCTTGTAAGTAGAGCTCTTTCCAACATTTACTGCTCCCCAGTCTTGAGTGATTGGTACGTTGGTTCCAGTAGGCATTTTTAGTTGTTGTGTAAGTTGATACGTTTGAGATTAGTGAGGTAAGACAAGTCGGCGTTTGACTCTTTGTTTTACGGTATTATAATGTGTGGTGTTCAATAATCTTCGCAAGATTCAGTCTTCCACAACGTTCGAAACGTGTCTCGCGTCGACTACCTGGACTGTAACCCGTTCTCCTTCTCCTCCACGACATACGGTACCGGTACGTGTACACGTACACGTGTACCTGGTATTGTGCTGCATAGATCAGCCTCCCAAAAAAAGGACAGCATTATCGGAGTTTTGTCGCAACTTTGACTAACGCCAACGAACGCCGTGGCAGAGCCCCAAAAGTTTCATCTCAAAGGACAGTTGCTGTTTCCTACTGTACGTAATAGAAAGTAATACTGCAGAGAGCACAAGGTACTTCGGTCGACTTGCGATGGGAGAATCTATCTAGAGTGATGACGTAGCTGAAGCAAGCATCAAACAAGGGAAATATCAAACAAGATGAACTACCAGTAGGTAAAATAGGAGAAGTTGAACTTCAATAATGTATAACATAGGGAAGAGTGCCACCAGGTACCGATACCAATTTCTGTTGGCGCAAGTCTATCGTTCTAATACCAACAATAAATACGGTCGGCATCGAACACCTATTTTTACATCATCAAACTAATCGTAGAATTATTCTCCTAAGTGGCGACAAATAAGTACGAGCCGACTTACGTCATGTAGAGGAGTGCGAGATCTGATCAACCGGGTATTTTTTATCACTCTGGTTCTGCAACAGAACTTCCTTCAGCACGACGTCCAATTCAGACGACCGCATCTACTGTTGGAGATTGATGATTCAACAAAAGGGAGATCAATTGAATAGAAGATGGACTTCGGACCGTTCATCTTGAATTCAACATCGCCACCCACATGGCCACCCACATCAGCACCAACAGACCCTCCAGAAGGACAAGGAGGAGACGAAGGAAATGCTTCGGTTCTTACGATGCTCTTTCTCACTTTTGCATCAGTGGTTCTCACTGGCAGCACACTGCAGTGGGTCATTTCTCGCGGTCTGTTCTCCAAAGGACTGAGTAATCCTCGAAACACCTACAACATCATTGTCCTGCTCGCGGGAATATTCTCCGGCATTCAAGCGATTTGCAACTTTCTTCTCTACTACTATGAGCCAACCGAAGTGTGGTTCTTATTCCTGCGCCTAACACAATGGGTGATCATGACGCACACCTCTATTATGATTGTCAGCAATAAGCTATCCATGCTGTACCGGAACTCACCAAAAGTGTGGAAAAGGTTACTACTCATCAACGTTTCCATGCTTCCAATCTCGATTCTTGTGTTTGTTTTGTTGGTTGGCGACAAGTTATCTGACTCGGTCGCGTACACAAAGATGAATCGGATCATTGAACCTACGCAGATTGCGCTGTGGGGAATCATTGAGTTTGTCCTGTCGGGAATGTTCATCGTCAAGATGTGGTCATTCGAGTGGAGCGTGATGGAGCGGAAAGCAATTCTTGCGTTGGTCTTGGTTGGCCTTTGTGACTTGGCAACCATCTTTGCGCATTTTCTATTTTGGGATTTACCTTTTAAGGTCGTGAAAGCCTTCGCTTATTGCCTGCGGATCCGATTGGAGATCAACGCCCTGTGCGTCCTCGTTGACTGCTGGAAATCTAGGAGCCCGTCAAGAGTGTCTGGGGTTGGCAGCCCTCCCTCAACGGACAACAAATGTGTGTTGACTTCATCGATTCGAGGCCCTTTTTCAAACTCATCCATGCACGCACGTTCGGTGAGGTTTTCGACTGACGATGACGACTCGCTCCAGTTGCGGACGGTGGAACTCGATGAAGACGGTACAGCAAAGGTGGCTCAAATTAAACCAAGGGGCCACGTGCTGATGGATGACGACATTGAAAGTGAAACAGAATTGGATGAATCCCTCAAAGAAAGCTACAGGTGTCGGAGATGAGGCTTTAATCCACAGAGACAAGCCACACACTCGCACTAGAGTTTTTCACATTTCGTACAAGCCTGATCCAATCAGACTTTTTGCAATGCTTGCGGCGTCAAATTTTTGTCTTTCAGGCTGTGTACAATATTTTTCGGCACCACGTTGTGCCTTCCTTTCAAAATCTTTAATACTGTGTACAATATACAATATGTTTCCATATTCAATTCCAACAGACAACTGTTCAAAACTGAGATGAATCTGTTTGCTATAGATAGATTTTTGGAATGGCAGTTTTGCAGCCTCAAGCCTCAAGGGGTCTATCGATCGTGAACGATTTCTGCATCGCATATTTGCTGACATCGGCATTATGTCGCTGCAAGACCAAGAACTGCGGTTGGAATTGTAAATTTCAACCACGGCCGCCGCTTCATCGATTTGATGAATGTGGCCGAGACGAAAGTGCGACCTGCAAAAAACGCAGAGAGAGAGGTGTAAGGTAGTCCATTGTGAAAATGTGCAGGGTCGCCAAGATTACTGTAATGGTACAACCGGTACCAGGTACCTACTCCTACTCCTAGCGTCCTATCCTACTCTTTCGTTGCATTTTCGACTAGTGCGACCAACCGATTGCGTGTCGTGTTTTGGATCTTGCAAAGAATGGATGTCGACGAAAGACGAATAAGATTGCTTTTCGAAGTGGTACCCTGTGAACCACCAAACCCATGACTGAATGGCAACGTAGCAAATAGAGCGACAAAGGGGAAGAAGAGTATTGGGACCAGCATCGTTTGTGGATACTGGCAGTCGCTGTGAAAAATGACCGAAAAAGTATCTGACAGAATCTCGAAACTAGAGGGGAAAAACCTTCCCGAACCATCTCCGCCAGAAGTTATAGATGAAGAAGTTATGGAAGAAGAGGTCGTAGAGATTTCGGATGACTCGGATGAGGAGAACTCTGCTTCTGTGGAAATATCAGCAAGCACTCCTCAAAGTGATGAACCAGTGGAAGAGGAAGTGGTGGAAGAGCAGGAGATCGAAGAATACGATGAGGAAGTCGTATTTCAGCCCGTATTTGAGCCAGTTGAATATGACGAAATACTCGTGAGCTCCTCTCATCATATTAGCATGGGCTCTTCAACTCTAGACACTGATGATGTTGCTAGTTTTGCGGACGAAGAGATTGAATTTAAACCACCTAGTAATGACGCAGAAACTGGAGCGGAAACGAGAATAGATAATCTGGGACAAATTGATGATGAAGAAAAGGTGGAAGAAGTTATGGCGGCACCAGATGATGAAGTTGAAGAACACGATGATTCTTGGGATCCAGGGCGAAGGCACCACAAAGTGCTTATCTCTCCTGGAAACCATGTCGACGACCAATATGACAACGATGATGAATCCTTGGGCAGTCATTCCTGGATGCCACATCGGAAACAACCGAGCCACGAATCATCAGATGGGGTAACTCCGAGAACATCCCATCGGAAATCAGAAGGAATTCGCCTCGAAGATGCAATTAACAGCATAGATGGCGCTCCGTTCTCTCCTTCAACGAGTAAGATATCTTTTGACACGACAATAAAGAGTTCTGACACTCTCGATAATTGGAACATATCGCCACAAATTGAAGGAAATCCTAATGACCGAAAACATAAAGTGGATAAAGATAGTTCTGAATCGGACGATTCCTCTATGATTCGAAGACAGAAACAGGTTCAGTTTGCTGGCCTGCCCGAGCATCCACCAGAGTTGAGAAAAACTCCTAACGCACATTTGGCAGCAGTTCAGGAAAAGATTGAAACTGGGTCTTCTTCCTCATATGAGACTGATTCTGAGGCAGCTTCATCGGTTTATGAGACTGATTCGTCAAGTGAGGATGCGATTATTCGGCCAACATCCACTGAATCTGGCCGTCGTCTCGCTGTCAACTATCGCCCATCGACAAGCGTGAGGTCGGCACCAAGCGTTAATCCAGTATCATCGTTGCCGAAACCCCCATTGTCTCTAGGTAGCTCTGGTACTTCAGATGTGGAAAGTCAACCGCAAAACGAGAACTTTGTCCCAGCAGCTGAAACCAGTCCAAAGGAGAGCAAATTCTTCAAGGCACAAATTTTGTGTCTTGCAATCTTACTGCTGATAGGGACGGCGCTATGTTTATATTTCTTTTATGACTTTACGAGGGATGAGCACCGCAATACATTCAATCTTACACCAACCATTGCGCCAGTGGTACCACCAACGAGACCAACTGCTCAGCCAATCTTACCAACTATATCACCAACCAAATCACCATCCGAACCAACGCCAAACACTCCAACACCGATTACACCGACACCCGATGCTCCATCACCGAATAATCCAACACCGGATACAACGGCCCCTACTGCTCCAACGCCATCAACATCTTCACCTACCAGGTTCCAATCTCAGAATAATGATGAGTGTGCAGATGCGATCGGGCCTGTGCTACCAGGCACAAATATACAGGGGACTACTGTTAATGCGAGGGAAGATGATGTTAGCTCATGTGATAATACTTCCAATAACGGACTACCCGGTGTTTGGTATTATGTTCTCGGTAATGGGGGTGAAATGATGGCTCATACTTGCAGTAACACGTCAATTGACAGTAAAATATCAATCTATGGTGGTCCTTGTTCAAACGCACAATGTTTGGAAGTGAGCGACAACTTTTGCGGCCGGCAATCTGCAGTTTCCTGGGATTCTGAATTTCAAAAACCATACTACGTCCTCGTGCAAGGAAGAACAATACAACGGTCCATTGGTGACTTTGAGCTCTCAATCGAGGCGAGATACAACGATGAATGCAAAGATGTTATCACCTTGGAGGCTTCCCCGGATGCAAATGCGCCAAATGCTCCAATAATAAAGGGACAGACTCTCGAGGCAAATCCAAATTCATTCGTTTGCAACGGGGTGACAAATGAATCACCTAGCCTGTTCTATGCCGTTCGCGGAACTGGCGAAGAGCTTGCTGTAATCTTCCAAGAAGGGACTGATTTCAATCCGAGAATATCGGTACTTGTTGGCGATTGCTCGCGTTTGTCCTGTGTGGCACAAAGTGACGAAGGAGACATACAGTTTTCTTGGGCATCCATTCGAGATATGAAGTACTACATCTTAGTTCATGGGGAAACAGCAAGAGATGTTGGAAATTTTGCGTTCCAGGTGCTAAGCGCAGATGCTATCGCACAAGGAAGGTTGCCATGGTAATGCATCATAGAACGCGGAACTAGAAGCAAGGAGATGAATGACTGGGAAGGGGGGGGGGATGGAATTTGTCTTCGTAAAGTCGACGCAATTCTAGCTATAAATAATCCTATATCTTCTTTGTTACAATAATGGTGTGAAGCCAACTGCGATGAAGGGCTTCTATACTTTGTCCTTGGTCCAATAGGGTATCGACATAAGCAGGAGTGAAGAAAGCATGTTCTCGCAGTATCTCATCCTTCCAAAGATGGAATTGCAGAACTTGTCCTTGACTGTCAATTACCGTCGTTCGATCGAAATGAGCCTCAAATTGTTTGACTGGCAACTCAATTGTCCCAGCAGGTACCAACTCAATCGGATCTAGCAGCGGGACAGCTTCGTCGGACGCAATACCAATTCCATAAACTGATCCGTCGTTCATTAGAATGGACGTATGGTGAGAGCCACAAGAGATCCGCAACACTTTCTTGTTAGCAGGCAGTCCAAGAATTTCCTCTGGTACCTCTGCATCGACACTCTTCTTGGACAACTTTTCGTCTTCTGGTACACGTCCCATGTTCTTGCCCCAAATGAAAACTTTGTTTTCATCTGTCAACAAGGTCCCATGATGATTTCCGGACGCAATTTGTACAACATTAAAGTCCAGGTTCAGCCGCCGCGCGGTGGCATCTTGATCCGCATCCATCTCTCGGCCCAATTGTCCTCGTGATCCCTTGCCCCAACTAAAGAGTTGCCCACTTTGCGTTAGTGCATACCCGTGCTGGAAGCCAAGGGCCATTTCTACCACTGGTTGATCTTGCTCATCTTGTTCTGTGCCCTTCTTTTCTGATACTGAGATTCCTTTGACTCGTACTGGTGCCCAAACATTGTTAGACAAGGTTCCAACTCCACATTGTCCCCGGTTGTTGACGCCAGTGGCATACAAAGTGCCGGAACGCCCAAGCATGAGCGTGACGCCTACACTGCATGTTATTTTTGCCATGACCGTATCCCCAACTGGCTGACTTGCCTTGCTACTCGTCTCATCTGTTTTGCTATAATCCACTTTGGTCCATTCTTTCAATAAGGACAAGTCTCTGGCGGTTGACCAGATTTCACCCTCGTCTCCACCCGATGCGAGACCAATCAACTTGGATGTCAATCTTCCAACAAGAGTAATTTCACTAGGATCATTGTTTTGATTAGCCCAATTGCGAATGAATCGTGGCAATCGATTCATACGAAAGAGTGTCATTAGGTCTTGTGGTCGTCCCAATTGATGAACTTGACCCTGCGTATCCAAAAAGGCAGTCGATCCCCAACCAACAGCGGCTTGAGCAACATCGTCATAGGCATAAATCATCACGGGACCGCTCATCTCTCCATTTTCGTCTGCGTTTTCACCAACAAGGTTGCCTCTCATGTTAGCATCTTGGAAATCCGACATCACTTCATCTTCATCGTAGTGCCCAGGAATGGTTTGGAGTTTGAATTTTTCGCCCAATGCTCCTGTCCATCCTTCCCCAACGGCATATATTGCCATGGAACGAGTGCTGACCTCTACTGGTGACGGGACGTGCCGTATCCGCCGCAATCTTGTACATGCATGATACCACCACATCTTTTTCTTGTCTCCATTGAGCAGTTCTTGGCTTTTCGTGGTGAGTAGTCGAAGTGGTCGTTTGTTTCTGCAGATGAGTCGAATAATATGACCAACACGAACTACGGCGAAAACAGAAACACAGAATGACGATTGAACCATGATGAGCATGTTGTACATCGAACACTTTATCGGTATGTGTTGAGGCCTCGAGTATCTCTCAGCTCTGAGACCCGCTTTCCCGACGAAGTGGTACGAATGGGAGCCACTGGTGAGCTCTCTGCATCTGATAATGATTGGACTCTTGGAATTTTTGACACAAAGGCCCAGGCTAGTGGCACACATGAAGCGTGGTACAAGAGCAATCATCATGGCACATTTGCTACTACTTGGCATTCGACATATGCCAATGGCAATAAGCACAATACTTTTCAGATAGTAATCTCGGAGGCTATTGGGGGTGATATGGGAGAAGGAAACAACGTCTGTTTCTGCTACGGTGATATGCAATGGGGACCAGGCGATGTTCATGTTCAATCATCTAACAATAGTGACCACGCTCACATTGACTTTTCGGGTGGAACCTATAATAATGCGCCATCCGACAACTCTCTTGATCACAAGACCTGTTGCTTTCATGCTGACAAGCTAAAGGAATTGGGAACCAGCGCTGACTTTGCAAGTCTTTGCCATGCGCGGGGTACCGAGGCTGGTTCCAATGGCGACCCACACTTCAAGACATCGAAAAACGAACACTTTGAATATCACGGTCAGTGTGACCTGCTCCTGACCAAGGATCCAGACTTTGCCAATGGACTTGGCATTGATGTTCACATTCGCACCAAAGTCGTCAGACATTGGAGCTACATTAAGAATGCCGTCATTGGCATTGGCAATGACATTTTGGAGATTGAAGGCTCTGCTCTCGACTTTGATTCCAAGACTCACTACTGGATCAATTACGAGTCGCAAGGAGAGCTTACCGAGTTTGCTGGCTTTCCAGTAAAGATGTTCTCTCAACAAGGAACTGCAGTCACCAAGAATCGAATCGAGATTGATTTGGATTCCGTCTACTCAGGGCAAAAGATTATCCTTTCTACCTACAAGGAGTTTGTCAAGGTTTCTTTCGAGAATGCTAGTGAGGAATCGTTTGGAAATAGTGTTGGCATGTTGGGCGATTTCAATACTGGCAAGACTCTTGCTCGTGATGGCGTTACTGTGCTTGACGACTTTTCCGAACTTGGGCATGAATGGCAAATTCTTCCATCGGACAAGCATTTGTTCCATGAATCGTCTGCTCCTCAATTCCCCGACAGATGTATCGACCCCGAAGACCCCCGTGGGGATCACCGTCGCCGTTTGGATGAATCTTCCATTGACGAAGAGGAAGCAGAAGCTGCTTGTGCTGGACTGACGGACGAGTTGGACCGTAAGGACTGCGTATATGACATCTTGGCCACACGACAGGATTTGGAAATGGCTGGAGCCTACTGAACAATTAGCAACCCGTAACATTAATAGTCCTAGGTGACGTATTTGTTCCCAATGTTTTATAGTTATGCCGCTTAGCAAAGTTGCGGATAAGTGATATGGACATGGAATATTCGGTAGAATGACGGTTTATTTTAAAAGATAATCAGAGATTGCGAACGTACCGGTACTATACGGACCGCGCAGGTTCGGTGGGGGAATGTGACAGATGGTGCGTCGAAATTCAAAATGCTGCCGAGATTGGAGGTGGACGGAGCCGCGGCAGGTTTGGAGTGACTACTGACACGGCAACAGTGAGAAGATGTCGCTTGGCGTAAAATCGAGCAAATTCAATATCTAGTAACTGATGTACGGTAGATGAATAGTATGTTCTTGTATGAAAAAATGTGATTATGTTCTAGCAATATTATTGTAATGTATTTGGTATGTGATGTTGTAATGTGTAGGCACATGTATTTGAGTGTAGAGTCGCGCTCAAAGCTGCGTCCTCTTCCATGATCTCTTGTTTCTATCTTGTCTATGGTAGCTTCGGAATTGTCAATCTGAATCGAATGGCACGTCATAAGACGGTTTCCGTGTTGTCTAGTGTTGCTTTATGTGTTGAGAAGGCGCTTTACATTTGCATTCGCTCTTCACCCCAAAAGCTTTGACTCTCTTCCAGTGTGATTTCGATAGATGTTTCCATAGCCGATGCTCTTGTTGTCGCAGCTGGCTCTCGGGAGCCGTCATCGAATCGGAGTGCCGACAAATCCTCTCGGCTGCTGTCGTCAAATCGGAATGATGCCGACAAATCCAGTTGGAATTCATCCTTTCCCGCTTCTGGTCTCATTGCCAAAGCAACTGGTAGGACAGACATGACTAGTACTTCGATCATTTTGTTGTATTGTATTGTATGTAAATTTATGAGCGAGTTTTGTTTTGTTTTGTTGTAGTTTTTGTGGGAATGAGTCTGGCGATTGAATTATGAATTGAAATGCTTCCGACTTTTGGTGTGACCAGGACGGCGCTCGACGCTCCGTTCGGGTATCCCACAAAATCATTGTACTTATGGCCGTGGACATCCGATTTTATCATTTTTAACGGTTGTACCGTTACATGGTTGAGTTTGAGTCTTTTAGTGACTAGGCCTCCTTGTCTGGTCTGGCCGACGCCCCACAGCGGCTCTTGGCACTTCGCTTCGCTTCTGGTTCGCCTCTTGTCAATCGGGGGGTGCTGGATTTTGCTTGTGCCAGGTGAAGAAAGTAGCAGAAGTTCTTGCAGGATCATGACCATGAAAGGCGCAATCTAAAAAGCCGAAGTTGTCATGATAACTACAACCATTCACTCCAAAAGAAAATAGCGAGGAGCAGAAGGTGCTTGCAATAAACTTTGAGTGCAACAGCCACAACCATGCTGACACATACACTGCGAATAATCAACTCTGTATTGCAAGGATACATCAAGCCTCCAGTGCTTGACAAAGCCACCAAGACAGTGACGATTCCATTTCGATGCTCGCTTCTCGATATAGACCCGTATATGCACATGAATAATTCCAAGTACCTCTTTTTGGCCGAATTAGCACGCTGGAGAACCTTTCCTGCAACCGGAGTGGTACACAAAGCAATGTCAAAAGAGGGGTTCTTCTTTATATTGGCAGCCACGCAAGTCGAATACCAAAGGCAAATCACTCCGTTTGAAAAGTTTGTTATTTCCACCAGTGTCACGATGGGAAGTGACGACAAATGGTTGTACTACCATCATCACTTCCTTCAACATCCCGATGATGTCAAGCCAGGCAACGAGCCTATGACTTTTGCCAAAGTGAAAGCCAAGTCAGTTTTGAAACAAGCGAATGGAAAGACGATAAAGCCATCTACACTCGTTGAAGAATCGGAGCTCATTCGAGACTGGATCGTAGAATCGGAGGATGATGGGATGTGACAAAGCAGTAGAGAGTGGATGAATAGAAGTTGCATCATGATTGAATCATTGAAACGTCTGCCACACCGCCATCTAAACTAGTATTATAAACGTCTTTAGGATTGAACACGCGATTTTTGAAAGTCCAATCAAAGCAATTCTTTTCCAGGTGGATTATTGTAGTCCTAATTTAAACAACTACCAGCTCTACAGTGTGATTGGACACACAAAAAAGACAACTGATGAAGAAAAAAAACCCTTTTCTTGAATACTATCACAACCAGATTCCAAATTGTCCTGTCTCCAACCAAATGCACAACATAACTGTTCTTCTGCTCATTTGCCCGACTACAACCATCACTGCTTCATGATCACAGGCAAGCAAAATGTGAGGTTGAAATCAAGGTGACTCGAGTGAGTCGACAAGCGCTCGAAACGCCAGCTACTGTCCTGGGACGGCCGGGAAATAGAAATTTAGCATACAATTCTTGCGAGTAAATATTGATTTTACCGGCCGTACAGCTGCATCGAAGCGCCAGTCGGCTTTTGCGCCAAACCAATGCATGACGTAGCACCGTCTGACACGAAGCTAATTGCTTCAACGGTTGCCGTTGAAAATTGAAATCCATCCTTGACTGGATTGGTTCGTATCAGGGAGGTACCAGAACAATAATTCGAGGAAGTTTTAGTTGTACCGGTACCAGGAGTAGCCATGAGGAATTTAAGAAGTAATAGCTCTACCTTACCGGTATGATATCAATAAAGTATGCATCCGCCTACAGTAGACTATTAACTTTTTCTCGATCTCACAGCACCTGCAGCGGCTGGTGGAAATGAGTCCTCCCTTGAAGCAACTAATTAAAGTGATCATAAAGTCAGCCGCAAACCAATTGAAGACTATTCTAGGCGTAGGATTTCAATTCAGTGTGTGCGAAGGTGTTCGTCTATGCTTAAGTCTATGTGATCACTCTATAATGAAACAATTTCTGCTTGTATCGGAGCAGTAGTGGTAGGTCTAGTCTCTGGTGGTGTTTTTGCCTACTCCAGGAAAAGTCCCTATGACCCTTGCGAGGAAAAGCTGAATACCTTTTCGATAAAGTACTCTAGGCCTGTTGAGCTGCTCGTCGTTTGTTCATCCGATTCACTTTGAATGGATCGGACTTCCTTTTCCAATCGTTTTGCCTGTTTCCGGCACATGTCCTTGCAGCTTTGACTTGATTGCGAAGAAAAGTATTCAAGATCGTTTGCCTTGTTGTAGTCTCCCATTTCCTTGTACGCTCGGTGGTGAAGCAGAACTCGTCTCGAGTGGTTGTAGGCTCGAGCGTCTCGTTCTCTCAACGAACGCTTCTTGCCAGCTTTGGCGATGTATCGCTCTTCAAATGAAGCGAGTTCGGCTTCAGAATACCAGACTTTATCGTGATACTTTCCAGATACCCGGTCGACACAGAAAATATCGAGGTTGTCATCAAACAATACTCGTTTCTGTTGCACAATTATATAGGATGGTGGATGGAAATCTGACCTCAACTCTTTTGACACAGATTTTCTTTCTGAGCCGAAGACTGACAGCCAAACTGGCTCTTCATCATGTTGATAGTGGATGCTTTCTCTAATCTGGGGGACCATGATCTCTTTTTTATATGTAATGTGTAAAGTGGTGCAGGATTTCGAAATTATGATTCCGGCAGCGTCGTCATCAAATATTTTTGTCAACGTGTGGGAGTGACACGTCGTCACATAGGGACGATCAAACCAATCGGAGTTGGCGGCAAATTGCATTTGCACAACTTTGAATTCCACCAAACCGGGTTCAAAACGCATTTCGACTCGTTTGACTGCGATAATCAGAATTTTCAACGCGCGGGATGGAGATTTGGATTGAAAATACACGCGGTAAACTGCGAATTTGTGGCGGCAGAAATCTCACTTTCGTGGGAAAAAATATATATATCTTGCATTCAAAAAACATTTTATTGACTATTGGACGGTACCGGTACCGGTACGAACCAGGTACTTCGAGGGGATTTTTCTCCGAGAATGAACGAATGGAACGAGGAGTATGTACCAGGTGCAATTACTGCTTGGTAATACTCATGCTTTGCTACTAAAGACGGAAGCATCCAGGACTGCATTGGCGGCACACAGGACTGTATAGCCTCGACCGTTTTGGTATAGGGCCAAAGGGCGATCTTGAAAGATGTTTCTAATCCCCGTTTCAGATGTCGTGCTAAATCAGACATGGAATGCTGAGTGAAAAAATGCATCCTCTCCATCCATCCAGCTTTCTTTGGTTTTCCCAAACACTAAGAAGCAACGAACTGTCTCGGGGATGTCTCGAAGCACTTCTCCAAGATGTATGTTCAAACATTATGAATGGTGTCAATTACCTCCTCTCTAGTTGTCTTGGATAGCTTTTGCTTTTCCTATTCGTTCCCCTTGTCTTTCGTCGCATCTTCAAAATTACGCCACCCCTTCCGAAGACACGGACTCCGTATCGGTTTGTTCGATATGCCTGTCAAACTTCTTTGTGTAATTCAAAATTTCGTTTCCGTCAATGACATCAAAGTCCCAGTTTACACATGAGAAAGAGACACCGCACTCGAATGGGTCAGTAATTGAAGAAAAATCTAAAGGTGGAAAGTTTGATACTGACGTAGGTGAAGGCTGTATCGCTGAGATGTCTTTTCGATATTGAAAAGCAGCTTCCGCATTGACAGCCGCTGCCTTCAGGGCCTTGGTCTGATCTTTATCACTACAGGACTTGGATAATCGTGAGGCTCCATCTGGATCATATGCGCCTCTTGATCGACAATCATCTTGATGCTTGAACACCACTTGCCGCAGTCTTGCTCGGCTCAGCCATGCCCCTTTTGCAAACGTCTCGTGAGCGCCATCAGACGGATCTTGCAATCCCAATAATTCGAAACAGAATCCAAGCTCTTGCTGAGCATCTTCAATCCTCACTTGGTTTATTTTCCATGTTCTTTTGAATTCTCTGTACTCGTCATCGCTGTACCAAGTCTCTCTTGGGTTCCTTGGAAACTCACGAACAACATCTTGTTCTGTTTTTCCAAACTGAACCTTCCGCTTTCGTTTTGCTGCCAGTACGGCGGCTTCGGGTGGTGTGCCCGTCAATGTCATGATTCTCGTTCCACTGACAATAGCACTTGAATGCAGCAGGAGCGACTACAAGGAGTTTGCTGCAAGAGTTTACTCTACTTGTCTTGACTCTTGTAGGGGATGCACACATGCAATACTTGCAAGTTTCGTCAGCAAATTCACTCAAAATTTTCGGCCAGCGTGCTGATTGGTCGAATGGGTCAAGTGTGACCAATGCAGAAATGACGTTAAGGAAGTACCATATTTTCGTCAGTGTCATGGTGTGGGTATTGTGCACTGGACAACATTTTAAATTAGAGATGACCCGGGAGCTCACAAGTAATATCTGAATCACCTGAACTGGTGTCTGGTGTACGCATTCATGAAACCTATGGGTACGTCGTTTCAAGAAATCGTCCATATGTCATGCTGTACTGATTGAAAAAAATAGTTGCGACTTTGTGTTAGAAAGTAAAGCTAAAAAATCCTCTGCTATCTCAATTGAATGGATCGAACTTTGTGTTCTGAAGGTCTACAGTACTATTGGTATCTGGCAGGTGCTCCAAGTTTGATGCAATCAGGAGGCAACGGACAAAAGTTGTCATGCGTACGTCATCTCCGCCCTCCCGTCAACCGGAAATTGCCTCCGACTTGAAAATCAAAGCGCGAATCTTCAACCGATCAACAGTAACAACAATCACATCGTTGGAATATTTGTGAAAAGAAAAAATGACGAGCAACATGAGATCAATCCTCAACCTAGCAATACTTGCGCTTTGGTCACTTTTCACGGCCAACTCGTTTGTCTTGAAGCCACCCTCGCTTCACACGGGTAGTTCTTCGTCTGTGTTGTCGGCATCACAAGTGTTATCATCTGCCGATGACAAAAGCGTGCCTGAAATGGGAAATGTTGGGTTTGTCTTGTTGGCTGGGGGAACTGGAAGTCGAATGAAAGCCAGTATGCCCAAACAATACCTTCCACTACGAGGAGTACCCGTCTTGCACCACTCTTTAGATCTCTTCCTCAATCGATTGCCAGAATTCTGCAACGAAAAGGGTGTCGCCCCACCTGATCACGTGGTTCTAGTTATGGATCCCTCTTATCAACCGGAATACCAACCTATCGCTGATAAGTACCCCGAGGGCAAGTTATCTTTCGCTAACCCTGGGGTCGAACGTCAAGGTTCCGTCGAGAATGGATTGAACAAATTGGTTGAGGTTTCGGGAGGAAAGGTCACTTTTGCCGCCATCCATGACAGTGCCAGACCATTGGTGACCATTGAAGAAATCTGCAATGTAGTTGGAGATGCGCAAGAAAATGGTGCTGCAGTGCTCGGAGTTCCTTGTAAGGCTACCATCAAGGAAAGTGAAGACGGCGCCTTTGTGCAAAGGACCATCCCTCGTGCTCGTCTCTGGGAGGTCCACACTCCTCAAGTAGTCAACATTGATACTCTGTTAAGGGGTTTCAGGAAAGTGGAGGAAGAAAACTTGGAAGTTACTGACGATGTCTCCATCGTCGAAGCCTTGGGAGAGCCTGTCAAACTTACCAGAGGAGAGTACACCAATCTCAAAATCACAACACCCGAAGATATGGATGTGGCAGAAGCCATACTGGAGGAGCGCAAGAGCAGTCCTGTTAACATGCTAGCCTAAGTTCGAGGAATAAAACTTTATTAGAGACTAAATGTATTGCATGTCAACATCAATATCAATATCATAGCGTAGAGGTCTTCTCTGAGCTTCATGAGAAGGTCCTAAACCGATTTTTCGAAAGTTCTTCCCGACTTTGTCCATACAGCACAGCGCAAGAGACTAATGAACAAAGCAAAGACTCAACTGTATCGTTTTATTGTTTTGCTTATATGTAGTAATAGTAGTAGTGTACTGGGAGCAGTTTTGTATCTAAGGTTTTATGATAGTTACGGGATTTTTTTGCAAACCGCCTTGTGTGATGGCCAATTCTTTTTCTGACATTCGATGCTGCAGTAGGTAGCATTCCGACAGCGACTGCATTTCTTCATTCGTGTATATGACTGCCGCTTCTTGCAGCTATCACAAGTGACTAGCTTGTGTCTCCTCCTCCGTTCTCCTCTTGGCGGTTGGGATAACCGGTTCCCTCTACTCTTCTTTTGTTGAATTGCATCTTGATTGCTTCCTGCATTATCTGCCCCATTGTCCGAGTGCATGCTTCTCGATAGCACAATTCGGTAATCGTTTTGCAGAGCCTCCCAAGCTCCAGAGTGCTCCCACAAGTTGTATAGTGTCCATGCATCGAGAATGTCATCGACATGAGGGTGAGTCTCGGGTCTTGGTGGCCCATCTTCTAGGAACGAAGCCGATCCAGCTTCCGCCAGGACTTCGTTCGCTGGAAGTGTGAAGGAAAGCGCAGGTCGCCTTCCATTCATCGTTGCAGGCCGAACTTTCAGTGTCATTCCTTCTAGTAGATCCTCCATGCACTCTAAGCATGTTAACCGACATATGGTTCTAGTTCCCAGGGTCATCTGTGAGCCTTTCATAACGGTAATTTGGAGCAAGGGATAGAAGAGTAACCAGTACTCGTGATCAAAATCATCCCCTTCCATCGGTATCTCTGCTTTCCTTCTACACAATGGACACATCAAAAGTGACTCCACATCCGGCCAATCAAAGTTTCCATTGGGTGAAATGTGCATCTCGGAAGACTGGTCTCTCGTTCTCATCATCACTGTAAAATCTTGATAATTCTCGGGTGTAAATATACATCGTCCACCAACTGTCAGCGTAATGGGCATTGTTCGTTGCTGTGACCCGGGAGCTGGTTCCAACTGCAGTATTGTACAGCCGTTAAAGTCAACATAAAAATTTTCATCTTGTGGGCCACCATTCACAGTGGCAGGATTGTAACCCTTGTCTTGATACACCAGCACCCGTTGTTTCGGTAGACTCTTTATCCGTGGCTCAAAGGTTCCATCTTCTTGAATTAATAGACTGCATTTCGCTTCTCTCATGCCTGCGGTCTCCAAGCCAGACCATATTGTGTCTTCCTCCTCCTCGGCTTGGTCACCCGCCATCATGTCTCTGATTTCAGGAGCCGTCTTGGAAAAATATATGTATATATATGGTAGGGAGATAGAAGAAGAACTTTATCACCAATCAATCAAGTTTTGTGTTTGGCTTTTCAACTGGAAACTGGAAACTGGAAACTGATCAGAATCTGATGATGCAATCACACCTGAAAAAAGACTCGAGAAATCCTTCTTCACAATTCCACAATATTTGGTTCCTAGGGACACGCAAGACCGGAAACAAGCGGCTAGAATTGGCTATTCCTTTGTCCACAGGAGAAAGCAATCAATAAAATATGCCACGGCTGTCTTCTTCTTAGACAAAAAGTCCCAAACCGTACCCCTTCGGAAGATGGAAGTTCTGAGGTGCGAAAGCTGCCGCGGAGGTCCCCGCAAGAAAATTGGCGGCTAGTGCGATGACAGGTTGCTGTGTTCAGTCTTCCTCTGTCCAAAAAGATTCGATTGGATGGGAATAGATAGAGGTCCAAATGAAGCAAGTTTCAAGCCAGTCTCTTGGCGCTGCGGCTTGGTGCTGTTGCACTTGCTCGATTGCCCCGTTTCGCTACGGCAAGCGGAGGCAGGAAAGGGACATAGTACGACAGTGACCCAGGTCCAATCGTATGTAAGAACGTACCAAAAGGAAGAACGGTCACAAAAAACTCCCTTTTTTGCCTTGCGGCAAAAATCAGGCCGCGCGGCAGAAAATATTTTTCTTCTTGATTGGGGAGACCATGTTTTCAGGTATGATCGAAAATTGATTTCTCTGGAATTGGTACAATTGATCACGTACCGAAGATACCAAATACCACTGTTTAACGTTGTTTGAATACTATCGTTTTTCTTGGCTATTCGTAGATTATCTACCATGTCCTGGAGATTTCGAGATTCATAAATAAGTTGGGCCTTCTTTGATGACTTCTAAATTTTAAAAAAGAACTTTGTTATGACGTTTTTGGAGTCCGTCTAGTCGACAGTCAGTGCACCTTATCGGGTACCGGTAGGTCAATGATCAGTAGCAGCACCAGTATCAGTACAATTACTGTACACGTACCAGGTACCAGTACCAGTACGTACCGTATTCAATATGCATTCATGAATTGGTTACACTGCAGATTGAACTTATCTGTTGGAAAACGAAAATGATCGAGCATCCACTGCAATCGACATTCCTTGCGATACAGTCCTAGCTTGTCAAGAACATGATGAGAGTCAGCAGCCAGCAGGTCACGCCGCACAGCAGTCCAAAAGAGGAATTTACTGTTTCTGATATTGTACAAAGCAATCAACGTAGCACCACTGATACTTCTTGCTGTATGGCTTCAAAATGTATTTACCACTTTTTCTTGAGTGTTCCTTGTATTATGGTACTCGTACTTCATCCAATACTGTTCCTTACTTTGATCTTGCTATCATATAGTACTGTAGTTTCTCCTATGCAATTCTTGATTCATTGGATTGGACTATTTTCTGGACTAGATCGAACTCATGGGACAATCGATCGACAATGAAAATGATCCAGTACTGATCCTGCTTTCAATCTACTGTACTGTACTGTGGTTAGTCAACATGAAAGTCAAGTCACCGCAGTCCAAACGAGGGAATTTGCTATTTCTGATAGTATACAAAGCAATCAATATAGCACCACTTATATTACTAATGTTATGTCTTCAAAGTTTATGGTGGTTTTATGATCAGAATGTGACCAAAGCAATCAAGCACAAAATCCCCAAGATCTATCCCATACCAACAGAATCCAGCCCACTCTCTCCCTTCTATTCGGATCCGTACAAGGGATATGCTCGAGCTTTTCCAAAATGGGATCAGACTCAGTTTCCCTGTGGACCGTTGATACCCGATACTACCTTGGGAAAACGAACTCCTTCCGAAGAGGGCTTTTTGTTTGTCAAGGAAATGAAGTCGGGATCTACCACTCTTGCGGGCATTACGGCACGGATCGGTCGGAATATAGCCCAACGAAACTTTGGAGCCAATGCGACTACTTCTTGTACGGTTCGCATGGTACATACACGAGCGAGAAGATATGCTAGTCGACAACTTGCCAAGAGTTTTCTGTGGAGTGTGGTGCGAGAGCCCGTTTCGCGATTATTCAGCAAATTCTTTCATTTTGAAGTCAGTCGGAAGGGTGTCAGACCTAGCTTGGCCAAGTTTCAGTCCTTTATCAGTGACAATGAAATCAACGACTATGCATACTACTTCAAGACGCTTTCTGTCCGACAACGATTGAATCCCTACCGAACGGAACTGTACGAAGAATTTCTACAAGATTTACTGGACGGCTACAATTTCATTGGGATCATGGAACGTTTTGATGAATCACTGGCAGTATTACAGTTACTACTGGGGTTGGAGACCCAAGATATGTTGTATCTGAGTACCAAAACAAACGGAATGTACGATCGCTTTCGCAACGTCTGCATCAAAATCCAACCTACCATAGTGACCCGACTCATGAAAGAATATGTGTATTCACCCGTGGTTGAGGCCTTTACGGAAGGGGATGTTTTGGTTTATCAAGCTGCGAACAGGAGTTTGGATTTGACCATTGAGCAATTGGGGCGACCAGTGGTCGAAAAAGCCGTTCAACGACTGCAATGGGCCCAAAAACGAGCCGAGGAAAAATGCATTGGGGGAACAAAGTTTCCTTGTTCGAATGACGGGAAACTACAGGATAAAACTGATTGCTTATTCGCAGATGTGGCCTGTGGATACAAATGCTTGGACGATTTTGGGAAAAGCTTGTCGGAGAATGAAGACTTTCGATCCTTGATTGACAGTCAACTTCAATAGAGAAAGAATACCGGTGGGTTATGAACCGCATTGCCGAAAGGATGGCTTTTGGATGAATGAAAGAACCAATCAATCATCCAATCATCCCAACTGTCCCTCCTGGATAACACGAATCCTAAATTGTACATTAGCACTCGAGTATTTGTATTTTCTTCGTTAGAATTTTTGTATACTTTCTAAAACAATCACTATAGTTCAACACATAATAGAAGAGATCGGATCATGACCAGCAACAACGGCCATTCTCATGTGCATAGACAGAAACATAATTTACCATCCGTACCAGACAACCTTCTTCTTTGCTCCATACCATCCCTCAACGTGTTTTTCGTAGCTATCTTCAATGACGGCACGCTTGATCTTTTGGGTAGGAGTCAAGAATCCATTTTCGGGCAACCAGTCTTCCTTGATAATTGCCAAGAAACTCAACTTTTCGTGAGCCTCCAAGGTACCATTGACAGAAGCCAAGTGTTTTTCCAATTCGGCAGCAATCTTGGTGCGTTCCTCTTCGGATTTCGAGGCAGTTCCCTTGGGGCCTTCCGACAATTGAATAATGGCATAAGGCTGGGGTTGTCCACGACCACTGACCATCGCCAATTCGATCAAATTGTGTCGGACGAATTCGTTTTCGATAGGAGCTGGAGCAACGTACTTTCCCTTGCTAGTCTTGAAGATTTCCTTGGTACGTCCGGTAATCTTGAGACGTCCCATGCTGTCAATTTCTCCCTTATCTCCAGTGCGGACGTATCCATCATCGGTCAGTGACTCCTTGGTAGCTTCCTCGTTCTTGTAGTACCCCATCATCTTTCCGGGAGTCTTGACTTGGATTTCCCCATCTTCGGCGATGCGACATTCGACATCATCGTAAGCCTCTCCGACGTATCCTGGGCGAGTGCGTCCAAGACGACTCATGTGGGAATAGTTGAAATTTTCCGTCATACCATATCCTTCTTGCAAGTTCAAACCGAGGCGACGGTACCAGTCTAGAAGGGAGCCAGGAATTGGCGCCGATCCAGAACCAGCAATGCGGACCTTGTCCAATCCAAGACCCTTTAGAATCTTTTTCTTGACCAAAGTGCTGATGAGTGGAATCATGAGAAGAGTGTCCAACTTGGATTCTGACATTTTGGTAAAGACACCAGCTTGGAACTTGGTCCACAAACGTGGAACCGACAAGAAAAGTGTTGGTCGGCAGCGATTCAAGTCAGCCACAAAGGTGGCGAGGGATTCGGCGAACCAGATACCCTCTCCAGAGTACATGGGGATACACTCTCCAATCCAACGTTCCATGCCGTGGGAGACTGGAAGGTAGGAGAGGTAACGATCCTTGTCAGTGACCTTCAAGAGTTTGCACATTCCAATGGTGGAAATGGTCATGGCTCGGAAGCTGGTCATGACACCCTTGGGCCTGTAAAACGATAGTAATGACAAGAAATGACAAAAGTGAAAATAGACGTCGACAAGGATGACAAAAAGAGGAAAAAGGAGTGGTGAGTCATTGTCAGGAAGAAAGCAAGAGTGCAGATGTGTGTTTTGCGTTTTGTGTGTACTCACTTTCCAGTAGATCCAGATGTGTAGATAATCGTGGCCATCTCGTCCAAAGTTCGGGTGGCAGGAGTTTCGATTGGAGAAGCACCAGAAATGGCTTCTTCCCAAGTCGTCTTGGCGGAATCCTTGGGAGAAAGAGGGAAAGAGACAGTTGGCATACTGTCAGGGATTCCCTTCTTTTGTTCTAGCCATGGTTTTTCATCAAGCTTGCCCACAAATAGCAGCTTGGCTTCCGAATGTTCCAAAGTGAAGCTGGTCGTGTCTGCCGTCAAAGTTGGAAAGACGGGGACAGAAACGTGGCCAGACATCCAAATACCCAAGTCAGCAATGACCCACCAAGCGCAGTTCTTACTGCAAATGGCAATCTGTGACTTCTCGGGCAAGTCGAGGCTATTGATGTACCCAGCGACCTTTTTGGCTTCGGCCAAAGTCTCCTTGAAGGTAAAGGTCTTGACGACGTCTTTGCCCATGGGCTGTGTCATCCAAATGCGGTCGCCGTGCTTTTCCACATTGGCAAGGAAGTAGTCAAGGACGGTCTTTTCGTCGGCCATGGTTATCTTTCTATTATAATAAATAGAGTGTTGGAAAGGGTTGTGGGTTGGATTCAGACGAAATAATAAATGCGACGGCAAGCAATCGAATTGAAGAATCTTTTGTCAAGATTGAAGCTTCTCAAACTGACACAAAATAAGAAGGATTCTCAAGTATACGTCGTAGATTTTCTACTGTGGTCAACGGACGTTCCGCAACCCATCAACCGCCTTTTTCCCCTATTTTCGCTATTTTTTACTACGTGGAACCTCGAGTGTGTCACGCAACATAAAAACAGCTGCACACTCGGCGGTACACGTGTACACGTGTACGTGTACATGTAACGGTATCAACGATTGAATGATTGAGTCACACTTTCAATGGCGTCTTTCACTTGGCGTGTCTGAGTCTAAAAACTCGTCACACTCACTCCCGCCGTTACACCAAAATGTAGCGTTTCGTTGCCACGTAAACCTGGTACCGGTACCTGGTACTGGTACTTTCACTCGTGAAGCCTGGAAGGCGGATGACAGTCAACTTAGTCATGCATCAATTCTCCAAACTCCATTGCTCCAATTTTCAATAGTTTGGATTGATTGATTACTTAGCCTGGAAGGATGATACCTTATGGATGATACAAACAGTCAACTTAGTCATGCATCAATTCTCCAAACTCCATTGCTCCAATTTTCAATAGTTTGGATTGATCGATCGACTTGGACCACCAACTACCACCAACACATCAACCCAACACATTCATCAATCCATACTGTACCGTACCGGTACCATACCACCTTGGATAGAACCAAAAACATGCTGTCTTCGAACACTCTACAGCTTTTCAAGGCATTTTTTCTGATGATTGTATCGTCAGCCTCATTTTTCCATGCGTCAGCAAGTAGCAACATGAACTACAATGCCTACAATTACGACATGACCACACCCCAATTCACCCCCGATGGCAGACTGTTGCAAGTGGAATATGCCAGTGCAGCCTCGGATCGTTCTTCACCTTTAGTTGCGTTACAAATAAATTCCACTTGGATTGTCTTGCTCACAGTCTCCCAATCCAATACCCAAAATCGCATCACACTCTTTCAAGACAATCCAACGAGTCCCTTTCATCCCAAGTCGGGCAACAAGGAGAGTCCGATTGCCATTGCCATGAGCGGTGTCCTAGCGGATAATTTGAGTCTACTTCAAAAAGTACTGGAAGAGGCCGCCAATACCTATCTCAAGTTTCAAAAGGAAATGTCCGTGGTCCAAGCTGCCAAGACGATTGCGGATGCCTGTCAACAACATGCATTTGGAGGAGGGATGCGACCCTATGGATCGACCATGCTGGTATGTGGCTTTGGTGGTGGTGGAGGTGGTGGAGGAAGTGATAATAACAACAAACAACCATTGTTGTTTCAAACAGAACCCTCGGGGGCCATTTTCGATGCTGGGCGCACTGCTGCAAAGTCCAAATCCATTGCTTCGGTACAGTACATCATTGGTGGGAGTTCGGCAACCCAACGGCAACTCCGCAAAAAGTTGGACCAAACCTTGGAACGAATGAAAAAGAGTGATATTGCAGTTGGAGACGTCATTGCAGCTGCTTCGAAGATACTGCTGAAGGAAACGGGCAAGAATAGCAAGGAGAGTGGGGACAATGAAAAAGCCATTTCGCCACCATCTCTAGAGGTTGTGGTCCTATCGGCTACGGAAGGATGCTATCGAGTGACACCAGAGCAATTGGAAGCAATATTAGCGTAACCACACAGTAGTCGACGTAGGAAAGATAATAAACCAGACTAACTTTGCTCCATATTCGTGTTTTCATCCTTGTCTTCCGACTTGATTCCGCTCGGTGTTGTTGTTTTGCTACTTTTCTCGTCCACTCCATCTTCCTCGTCTTTCACTTCAGATACTACTGCACCACGGCTACGGGCATGCGCCATGCGGTCTCGCATTCGATTGTACCGAGCTTGATCTTTGCGTGAAACGGATGGTATGACGTGGTCAAAGGCGTATTGAAAGTGACTTTCTTTGATGCAAAGAGCCGCCGGAGCTTCGTCGGGGAGGGCGGAGGAAGCAGAATTGTCAGGCATGGCAACAGATTTTTTCATGCTTTCCTTCAAGACGGCTAAACCTGCCTCTCGCAACAGGGCAGCGCAGTCAGCACCACTGTATCCTTCGGCTCGAGGGCTGTGGGCGATCTGCTTCAAGTCTACATCTGGTCCAAGCTTTACCTTGAATGCCAGGGCTTTCAGAATGGCGTATCGGTCGTCCGGTGTTGGAAGCGGTACATACAGTAGTTTGTCCAATCGACCACTGCAAGGTGATGAAATGGAATGGAATCATAGTATTAGTAAAAAACAGAAAGAAGTAATTTGACTCTTCACAACAAAGCTGGTACTTACGGTCTCATCATAGCAGGGTCGATCAGTTCCGGGCGATTTGTAGCTGCAATGACAAAGACGCTTCGGCGACTCTCAAGACCATCCATTTCAGTTAATAATTGATTGACCACGCGCTCACTGACTCCTCCACCGCCACCTCCATCGCTTCCACGTTTGGGACACAGCGAATCCAACTCGTCGAAAAATACAATGCAAGGGCTTGAACTACGCGCCCTCTCAAACACCAAGCGGACCGATCGTTCGCTCTCCCCAACGTACTTGTCCAAGAGTTCGGGACCCTTGACACTGATAAAGTTGGCACCACTTTCGTTGGCAATGGCTTTGGCCAATAAAGTTTTTCCACATCCGGGAGGTCCGTAGAGCATGACACCGGCGGGAAGTGGAATACCCAAAGCTTGAAACTTTTCTGGATTTCGAATGGGTTCCAGTACACTAAGTCCCAATTCTTCCCGAATGCTACCTAGTGCACCTATGTCGTCCCAGCTAACTCCTGGAACAGTGGCAAATCCTTCGCGTTTGCTAGATGGTTGCACCAAGGGCACAGCCTCCAAAAAGTCATTCATTGTCACATGTAATGGTTCCATCTCTTCCTCTGTCAGCGGCGTAACGGACGAAATATCCCCATCTGCATTTTCAATATCGTCAGAGGGTAGCTTTTGATCCTTTAGAACATCCTTGAATATGCGGTTGATGGCAATGACCGCAGCTTCTTTGGTTAAACTTCGGATATCAGCACCCACGTACCCCGGCGTCCTCCTAGCCAAGTCTTTGAAATTAAAGTCCCCGCCCAATTTCATGTCCTTGGTCATAGTCTGCAAGATGCCAATACGAGCATCCTCATCTGGGACTCCAAGCAGAATCTCCTTGTCGAAACGTCCAGCCCGCCGCAGTGCAGAATCGATGCTGTCAGGTCTGTTCGTTGCACCTAAAACGATCACAGCTGCTTGTTGCCGGTTGTATTTTGGATCCAACATATCCAAACTGGTCAACAACTGAGCCACCATTCTCTTTTCCATTCCTCGACTAGATCCCCCGTCACTTCTTTTGGGAGCGATGGAATCAAGTTCGTCCAAGAAAACAACTGCTGGAGCGGCCTCCGATGCTGCCTTAAATAAATCACGAATTCGAGCTTCGCTCTCTCCCGACATACCAGAGACGAGTTCTGGAGCACTAACTCGAAAGTACGGGACGCCAAGTTGACCTGCAATGGCATTGGAGAGATGCGTTTTTCCACACCCTGGAGGACCCCGAAGCAAAACACCTCTCGGAGGATGAACTCCCAAATGCCGATATATTTCTGGCCGTACCAGTGGATATTCTACAAGCTGGCGAATCTGCTGAAGCACATCGTCCATACCTCCCAAATCAGAGTATCTTTCGCTTGGACGAGGAACAGGAGCAATCACGTCTAAGTCTTTAGCCCCAGGAAATTCTGGGTTGCTCGCCGAAGCCCGCCTTTGAGCTTTTTTCCGTTTGCCACTTTTCTTCGGTGTGATTTTCTCAACCTCGGTCTTTTCTTTTTCTCTCGCTTCATTGTCTTTGATTTCAGTCATCTTTCGATATTTCTGCACCAAGGAAGCGTTTAGACTGTTTGTTTCGCCAATTCGCTGCAAATCGTGTTCACGTGCCTTTTTCTCATACTCTTCTTCCTCTGGATCTTCTTCCAGGGGTCTTTTCTTTGATGTTGATTCCGATGCTCCTTCATCCGCCTTGACAATTTCCTCGATGGCTCGTTCGACGTTTACTTTGAATTTCGTTTGAAATTTTCGCCGATATTCCGGGTGATTCGTAGTCAAGCAGTTCATGATATAGTCAGCATTGGGCGGCTCGTCTGGCCTCGTTGGCATATATTTCTTCACCAGATGTAAAAGCTTCTTGTCGGTGCTCATAGTTGATGTTTTGTATTTTTCTGGTTGAATTTCAAAATTGTGTGGTGGGTGAGACGAGCACACGACAGGCGACATTTTTTACTACTCTGAGTACCGTTCACCGTGAACCGATAGTTTATATCATATATATCTTTAGTTTATCATATCTTTTTAAAATTAACACCTCTTCTCAACCTCCGAGTCTAGCCCCTTGCATCAGTTCGCTTGCTATTGCCACTCATCAATGATGTCTTGCCCATCTTCGCCGGTTTCATCTTCCTCCATCAGCTGACCCATTACTGTCAACCAATCGTCCCCGCCATCATCTTGATTCATGTAATCTTCCATCGCCTTGGCAGCAGCCTCTTCCTTGTTTTCCTTGGTCGGTACTGGATCGGAATAAAGAGATTTTTTGTTGGAAGCCGCAGCATCGCCCACAGGAAGAATGGTCTGTGGAAGTGTGTCTGGAAGGGACTGTACCCTTGTTGTTGCGTTTGATGCCCGAGTCGGGGCGTTTGCAGTAGCAGCAGCCCTCGTAGCACTTTGCACGCCACTCGTAGTAGTGGTCGTCGTTGCGTTCAAAGGACCCGCAAACGTTTCATTGCGCATTGCCGCTGATCCAGACGAGACTGCCGCCACTGGGTCAGTATCGCTTTGACCTCCTATCGCCAGACCAGCCACCACTGCAAGACTCGTAACACTACCAATGGCAATTTGGGTGCTCTTGTCGCCACCCTCGGAAGCACCACCTGACTGTGACATTCGCTGCAATGCTGCCGCTTGTTCTTTTTTGGCACGAGCCTCTTCGATTGTCTTGTAACGCAGAATGCGTGCTTCCTCTTCTTTTTCTGCCTTGATGCGCCTTTGCTCATCTCGTTGTCGCTGCTGCTCTTCAACTTCGGCAACTTCCTTTTGAAGCTTTAGATCCTTTTTGCTCACAATTGTCGCGGGATCCAGCCCTCGCAATCGTTCCAGCTCTACTTTCCCCAACTGGACCGTCTTTTCGTATTCACGATTCAAGGCCGACTGCTGTTGTCGTGTTTCGTACAACGTTTGGATATTTGCCATGTCTTGATGGAGTCGAACCTCTCCTGGTGCAAACTCGAGCTCGTGAACCTTGTTGAATGGGATACCGGCCATCATACAAGACAACAATGCTGGAGTACTTCCATCTGGAAATATCAACAGAACTGTATCGCCTTGAAATTGTGTCTCGAGCACTTTTACAGTACAAAAATTCAGATGTTAGATGTGCAGACTATGTGGAAGAATCAATGGCAACCATCATCAAGTCAAACGAGACTTACCTGATATCAGTTGGACCAATCGGATTTTTTGTTCCGCCAGGGTTTCATTGGGTGTACCATCATCATTCGGTGGAGGACGTCCCTGTTTTCCATCCTTTCCAGCTTCCGTCTCATCCAGAGCAAAAATTGCTGGCAAGGTTTGAGAATAGCTCATGGTGTCCCACTTTCCAATCCCTCGTGGATCCATGAAAGTAAATTCTGGAATGAGACGATTCTGTCCGACTCTGAGCGCGTCTTTGACAATGGCAGTGGTATCCATGGAAGATGCTGCCAAACTGTACTTTATGACAGACGGGTTGATTTGATTCTGTTCCAAAAATAGGCAGGCTTCTTGGACTTGCGCAATGCCTTTGGGCGAAAGTGCAGCCTCTCGATTAGTAAGAAAGAGAGGATTTGTACTGATAATGTCCTCCTCCTCCAATAGGTTTTGACCTGCTGCCATGAAGTGGTAGGTATTCAAAAGAGGCCGCTCGCAGGGGAACTGAACCAATCCAAACGCATTTGCTGATTGAGACGCCGCTACTAGCACGGGTGCGGTAAGGATCGCCGAGCAGCATTGTTGCAAAAATCTTCGTCGCTGCACCTCGTCATTCTTCGTCGAAGAGTTATCATCATCAAAAGACTCTTTGTTTTGGGGTGAGGAGTGATAAAGGGACCATGGTCGTTTGAGAACCGTTGAGGAGGATCTCCTGCTGGAGGAAGAGGATCGTATCTTGTCATTCTCTCTGACTGTTGAACGTGGCTGAAACGCGCAGCCATCTACAATGAGCTCTGCTACGAAAATGCAGGCTATGAGGGATAGGATATGGTTGTGTGCTTGTTTCATTATTATAATACTGGTACCGTATGCTCCTTCGCAACAACGTGAGTACAGTATGCGAACGACCAAAGATCTTCTTTGAGGAATAAGAGAAGAAGCCAAAGAAGCAGAACATTGCGAACATCAAATCAATGACGTCGACTAATGTGACCGCAGAACTAGAAAAGATTCTTTTTCGAAACGAAATCAGGGTGGGATGATCTGATTCCTTGATAAACCTACAACCGCCATCATTAGCAAATAGATCATGTTGTTATGATGTCAATTACTGTACTTTTATTTGAGGTTGCAACCGAACCATGATACTATTATTCATAGAAGATTGGTTGTTTTGCCAAAGCGGTGATTCGCATGCACTCCGTGTGACAACGACTGTGGCAACAAAAAGACTCCGATTGTGAATTTTATGCACTGGATGCAAAAGTAGAAAACTTGGTGGAATCTGCAGACTTTGTGTGGTTATGATGCGAATTTTGCAATGACTACGTTCTTTTGATGTTGGATCCATGTGTGGTGAGTGACGACTATTCCTGTTTTGCGCAGCAGAGAATCCTGGAAAGACCTCCGCCCGACAATCCGTTCTCCAACCAGTCCTTGCAATCCAGCATCGTCATCATCATCATCATCATCATCATGTTTCAATGGTTCTTTTCCGATCTGACATGTATGTTGTATGGATTAGCCTAGTCTTCCAAAGCAAAAGACAACCATTGATGTTGAGTTGCGTTGATTCTAGAACAACAACAGCAGCAACAACTGCTTCTCCGTCGCGATAGGCACATACGTATACAGTACTTTTCATGGCAGTGATGGTGATGCCGGACCTCCCACAATTGAGTATCCTCCATCCACATAAATGGTCTGTCCTGTAATCCCTGTCCCGCCTTCACTTGCTAGAAATTCCACAGTAGAAGCTACTTGTTCTTGCGTGACATTCCCCAATGGCGCTCGTTGATTCACATCCTCCAGCATGGTGTTGAAATTGGCAATCCCACCCTTGGCCGAAAGTGTAGCAATGGGTCCGGCGCTCACTGCATTGACTCTTGTTTGAGTCACAGCCATTTCCAGTGCCAATCCACGCACGACCGCCTCCAAACTCGCCTTGGCCGGGCCCATGGAATGATAACCGGGAATGGCCCGGACCGCACCCAAATAGGAAAGTGCGGTAATGCTGCTGTTTGCCGTAGATAAAAATGGTTGAGTCGCTCGGGCCACTCCTATTAAGGAATAAGCAGAAATTTCGTGTGCCTTTGTAAAATCTTCCATGCTGGTTTCCAACAATGGCAACTTGAGGTTGGGGGCATGCGCGAGCGAATGCACAATGGCATCCAAGGGTCGATCTTTCAACAGGTCCGCTAATTGGAGTGTCAAGGTGGTTTCCATGGTCTGCTGGGACGAGACGTCACATGCAAAACCACCCAATACATTGTTGCCGTCGCGGCCACCACCAACTTTTGGTATCAAACTGGTTTCCACCTTGGATTGAATGGCATCCGTTTGATACGTCAACACAACTTGCCATCCCTTTTCCAGAAATGACTTGGTGATTCCCCAAGCTATGGATCTATGATTGGAGACACCCATAATGAGGGCCGTCCGGGGAGGTGACATGGTGGTTGGCAGTGGTTGGCGTTGGAGTTGGGGAAGTTTACTAACTACAGTGTAGTTAGGATGGGTGATTATTGAACACGACTACGTACTACCTGGTACTCTATATTCAATGTTTTATGTTTGTTGTCATCGATATCGCGATCGTTTGGATCTTTGGTGTTACGACTAGATCGACTCAAGCTTTGAAACGGTCAGGCCTGCCGCCTTGCGTTCCATGCAAAAAACTGTGGTACATTGTCGCAGTAGAATTGGTACGTACAGTAGGTTGGGCGGTTGGAGCATTGTTGCTTCATCAGCTTCCGGAAACCAAGTGGATCAACTTTGTACTGCAGGTAGGGTGCCATCAACTACACAACACAACTTACACTTCCAATCAATCAAGCAATCAATCAATCAATTATTATAATACAATGTCAGACCCAGCAGACGAAGCAGGAGGAGAAGTAATCTTTTCCGATGATGGATTGTCGCCCGTAGCCGCCACCAAAGCACCCACACTTTCCCAAGCTTCCACCAAAGATGGGGAAACCATTTTGGATTCGGACGACTTTTCACCCGAAACTGCCTTTGAAGTCTTTCAAGGAAAGGTTTACAGTACGCAACAACAACAGCAACAACACGGCTTTATCAATAGATTTGCTCCCAAGGATGAAACACCACTGGAAAAACTGGCACGCCTTTCCTCGGAAGTGGCGGAATTGGAAGCTCAATTCAAAACGACGGCGTCGACTTCTGGAAAAGACTTTGACGAACAATTGATTGGCTTGGCATCGGATTTATCGACTCGTCTTCAGACTGCGTCGTCCAACCGAATGGAGCAAGATGACTTGACGCGATTGATGAAGCAACAATTGGACAGCATGAAACGAAAGGACGACTCGTCTACTCCATCGGCGGCTGCAGCAGCGGCTGCCAATGCCGGTAAAACGGGTGTGGTCTACGAACTATATGGAAGTGCTGGCAATGCTACCACTTCCATGGAATCCAGAATTATCAAATTGGAACGGTTGTTGGGTTCCTCTCAAAATACAGTCACCCACAATTCGTTGGTGTCACGGTTGGAAGAACTCGAGTCGCTGGTCCAAACGGTGGATCCCACAATCCTAGAGTCGACGGCCACCAAGGCCAAGGTCATTCGAGCCGACTTGGAGGCAGCCAGCAAGGCCAAGAACAAATTGACAGCCACCTACAAGAAGGAAGATTCCAAAATGATTCAACAATTGCACCAACAGATGGTAGAGCTGGAAGGATTGAGTGGCTATTTGCCCAGTCTGGTGGAACGATTGCAACAATTGTCAGGTCTTCACGTCCAAGCCTCTAGTTTTACGTCACGTCTGGGACAAGTTGAGAAATCGGCTAATCAAATTGGATCTACCCTTTCTGTCATTGAAGAAACCTTGGACAAGGTCCAAACCAACATGGTGGAAAATGTGCAATCGATGGAAACTAACATGAAGTCTTTGGACGAACGTTTGAACCAGCTGTAAAAAACTATTATTGTTTTTTAAATTTAGATCTTAGGACTAGACGGCACACAATTGTTTGTCATGCATATTATATAAGTTCTTAGGATGATCATTATGATCATTATTCATTCATTCATTCATTCATTCGTGCCTTTTTCGTGAATGGCTGCTAGATCCGCCCTGTTTCATTGGGCTTGTTTCATGCTGTACTGTAGGCACTTAGTTGAGTGCGTCCAGCAAATGAATGCTGGAGCATGTACACATGTACTGGGTACCGGTAATACTGGTAGTGAGAAGGGGACATCGAACCGATGAAGATGGAACCTAATGATTTTCAATTTCCCCATTTCTCTACTCTTCTTTTGTCTCACAGAAAGACAGGTCATTTTCACTATCGAAGATAGCCAACTGGCGCCTGCCGCCTGGTTTCTTCCGTGAGGGATTCTTTCTTGGTGTGACTCTGGTGGGTTGTGGTGTGAAGCTGGTCTTTTGGATTGCGCGCGAAGCGTGCGGTTCCAAAAGGCCAGTCTTTGATATTCCGCGAAGCGGAATATCAAAGACTTGCTTGCCTACTAGGCCTTACAGAGACGTAGAATGCGTCGATGTAAGGCCCAACAGGGATGTGGAGGGAGGGAAAGAAAGAAATAAACCTTATTTCTTGACGTATACTCGCACACAAGTTCGATAAACTGATCGGACTTGGTGTTGCTGAGCAATGCTATTGTGACGGTCGTTCGACCGTCGTCAGTATGATGAAAGGAATCCAATGATTCGTTCTCGAGCTTTCGTCTACGTTAGAATATCTTGAACTTGTACTGTCAACAACTGTCAACAACTGTCAACAACTGTCAATCATCGCCACCATTTTACTTTCAACATATCTATATTCATTCATTCCATTACAGACCCTGTCAGCGACAATTTGAATCACTTGATCAGTCGATCAATTCCTATACTATACTACACTATAAATATAATTTTAATTCCAAAACACAATGGAGAGATACGGGCAGCTGCGGAAACAGAAATCCAAACGAATGTCCCGCAACAGGGGTGGCGATGAGAGATTGCAGAGTGCCGCAAAGGCTGCTCAAACGATCAGTTATGGAGAAGGAGAACCTGTGGATGCACTGCCACATTTGGCTTCTGGAGAAGCCACAGCGGCCCGATCTTCCTGGTACAATGATGTCATCAATCAAGGAGGAACCGATGAATTGAATGCCATTTTGCAAGAAGCCAACATAATGGCTAACAATCAAGACGAAGAAGAAGTCCTGGAACAATATCGCATCATGGCACATGTAGAAGCTAGTATTCGAGTCAAGGAAAATACTGGGTTTGACATGTCAGAATACGAAAAACGGCGCAAACTGCATCCCGAACAGCCCAAATTGGATTATTTTGACAAGAGCCGGAAACCCAAACAAATATTGCCAGATGCCAAAGACATGTCAGGAGTTAACAGCAATGGTATGATGCGAGCAGAAGAGCCACCACTTCCACTACCTACACCCAATCGGCGGTATTTAGAACAGAGGGCTCCTCTCACACCAGACCTAGTGGATGGAGAACCGATAAGAGGAGGAAGTATCCCAACGGGTTTTGTGTCGGTCAAGTGTTTGGGGTGCAAGATACCACTGAAAGTCAACATGTTTGCGACACTGATGAGATGCTCTGAATGCTCCACAGTCAGTCCAGTGACTTCTTCAAGACGTTAAATTATTATAGCTATTCGAGTACAAGGTTTTTGAAATGGGTGATCTGCTCCAAGCAAAGATGCAGCAAAAGTGCTATTGATACTTTTATTATTTTTATATTGATACATTTCTTAGTAGGCTTGGCCTTGGAAATGACGACTGACAGTAGCAGCAGGGTTTCCAGGTTGTTTGCTCATATAGCGACCCATCTCCTTCGACATTCGCAAGGCTTGCAATTGTTTGAAGCGGTTAGCATCGCCTGAATTTTTAGAGTGCGATTTTTGGCTCAAGCGAATAGTTTCGTCCTTTGGTTCCACGGCAATCACCTCCGCTTCGACAATGCCTTTTTGGCGGCGGCTGCTCTTCTTCTTGCTGCGGAGACGCTCCAGCTTGGCGGCTCGCTTTTCTTCCACGCGACGGAGTTGAAGAACCAGCTGGCGTTCGAGCTTGCGCAATTCCTTGGTAGATACGGTTGACCGAATATCATTCTCCCCACCATCACCACGACTATTGCGGAAGTGCTCTTCTATCCTCTTCTCCAACTGTTTCAAGTCATCAATCGAGGCCAAATTGGACTTACTCTTCCCAGAAGAACTCTTCTTGCTCTTCTTCTTGGTGTCATACTGATGGTCAATAATATGGCCAGCCGGATCGTTCCGGTTGAGCGCATCATATTGTTTGGGTTGTCGAATACCCGCCTTGTGGCGAGTGCTGGTTTGTCGGGAACCCTGCTCGCCAAAGTAGTAGTTTCGGTGCTTGGGGTTTTTGCCATTGTTCTTGCCATTGGGAATAACAGGCAAATCAGCGGCACCACCGTGCTGCCCAAGTGCAACTTCCGGCCGCACGCGGCGGCGGGGGGTTCGAGGTGATACCGGCTGTCGAGGACTTTCCATTTCCTCGCGGACTGCGATAGGAGGGGAATCGGTTGTCCTGACAATAGGAGCAGCAGTATCACTGAGACCTGCTCTAGGTGCTTCACGATTAAGCATCTCTCTTTGTGCCATGTATTCTTCGATATCAATTGGGTTGTCTTGATTGTTGGTAGGAAGTGGTGAGCCGTATTGAATAATATTTTGGGTCGCTCGTGGTGATGACTCATGGGGCTGTCGAGGTGAGCTATGAGGCACCGGAGCCAATCTCTCCTGAGACTTGCGCAACGCTAGTGCATCATCTATTGACTGAGCCAATGGATCCATATTGCCACGGGAGGAAGTCCTCATATGCCTTAATGGCAGTTGGTGTCCCTCCACAGGTTGCGGCGACCGGGCTTGGACATAATTCTGTTCTGTATTAGAGAGATCGACGGAGCGGCCTCTGACATGCCGCGGCTCCTCCTTGACTCTTGGTTGATTTTGCTGAATTTGAGGATGAGAAAGCTCAGAGAGAGTTTCCTTTAGTTCCTCAACGGTGATGGATCCCACTGGTCCTATTTCTCCGACTTGCGAAAAAGCCCCTACCTCTTCTTGTTGTTGTGGTTGGCCGGGATGAACATTAGAGAACTTCTTTTTCTTCGATTTCTTCTTTGAAGATAGTCGCTTTGCTCGGGTAGCTTTCGGCTCTGCCTTTGCTGCGACAAAAATTGCTTCTTCCAATACGGCAACAGGTTCCGGGTGCACAATTGGCTCCGAAACGTCTGTTGGGTCAGGTCTGGAGTTTCTTCTTGGTTCTCGAATCGGCTCGCTTTCCTTGGTTTTCTTCTCATGAGGAGAGCGAGGAGCGTATACCATTGGAGGCTCTCTTGATGCTACCAGATCTATTTCTACGATCTCTTGTACCTGCTTATCCTGGACTTGTTGATCTGTATCTGGTTTGACATCTTTCTCTTCCATCGAAATGCTTCGGGCATCTCGACGTGTCGGAGTTGGATCTCGGTTGGAACGGTTACGAGGGGTATTTGACTGCTGAACGATCTTTGCAGCGAGAAATTCCAGCGAAGGACTCTTTTCGACCTCCATGTCAACCATTTCATCGTTGATTTCATCCACATTGATGGGTGGAGGCTTCGATGGAGATCTACCCCGTGTCTTTTTCGGCTTTTCTGCTTTTGTTTGAATTTCTATTGGTACGCTTGTTGCTGTTTCAGTAACCACAGCTACTGAAACTTCCAAAGGTATCTCAGCGGGAACCTCGGACGAATTCTTCTCAGGCGTTTCACTCGACTTTTGTGGAACCTTCGACTGTGCTTTTTTGGAAGAGGCAACGACCTTTACATCGGCTGGCACGCCAGCAGCTTTCCCCCCTAAAATCTTCACCTCGACTGGTACTGGTTTTCTGGCAGCTTTGGACATCTTCTTGCTCGGTGGTTCGAAGACGTTGGATGGCATTACCTCACTCTTTGCCTTTCGCTCTTTCTTTTTCATAACAGTCTTCAAGAAAGAGACGCGATGTGCAGCGCTGATTTCGTCCTCCGACCCAGCTGGGTGGTTAACCACCTCGTCCGAATCGGATTCATCCTGGCTCTCAGAATGAAAGAGGTTGATGTCACTTGCTTCGACAGCTTTCTGTTTGGTACCCCGAGGACTTGCAACCGAGGGCTTCACCTTGCGCTGCGGCTTTGAATGCTTTGGCGACTTTGGCGACTTTGGCTGCTTGGATTCGTCACCTTTTTTTCGCTCTTCTTCATATTCCATTTCCAGTTCCAGTTGTGGACCTTCGCTTTCTTCCATATCGTAGTCGTCTACTTCGCTGAAGTTGGAACGGGCAAGATCGGCAACTTGCGCCTCACTATAGCTTTCTTCTGGACCCTCCGAGTATTCCTCGACTTCTTGTGTGATGAAGGAGTCGGTATCAGAATCACTATCACTATCAATCTCTGGATTCTCTGCATGCGCTTTTATGTATAAAGGTCGGTTGGCCGTGATGTTTTGCAATGCTGAAGCTCGAGCGCTTTGAAGCAGCAGGGATTGCCCTGCAGTAGGAGCGGCACAGAGAGGTCGATCCATCCAACCGAAGAGAGTGTCAAGAACGTATTCTTCACCTGGTGTCAAAGAAATTTGTGATTCCTGCTCCGAATCGTATGAGAACATCCCCTTGTAGGTCTCGTTTTCGCTGTCCGAAGAATCAGAATCGAATTGGCTGCCAAACGAAGTTGCGTCATATCGATCTTCGACAGACGATTCCTCGCTCGAGCTCACTGTGATGTACCTCGCTAGCCTGTCACTCATCTTGATTTGGTTTGATGAATAGTCTGATAATAGAAGTTTGGAGTTCAGAGGTGCACTATATTCACTGCAAACCTGACAGCTTCATTGACAGAATTGTGATCGGTTAGATCTTTTCACAGTCTATCATTCACGCGAAGTTGGTGTGAAAATTTCTATTTAGGTGATCGGCGAGTTTTTGCGAGCAACTCGAGTCGCTACGACACTATAAACGCCCGCGCAGTTTTCAAATATTTTTTAAAAAAATCACCTTTCACCTAAAGCAACATACCGGTAGTACCAACAGCAGTCGTGCTGGACTAGAATGTTGATTGGCATCTAAACATGAAAAGAAAGAAACAAAGTACTGTATCCATTACTTCGCTCAGAAATACAGTGTAATTCTTTACGGGATTTGTTTCTCTTGCAGTTGTGTTCGTTGCATTATAAAGGGTAAAAATTGTATTCTGCAAGTAGTCGTGGCTAGCTAGAACCCGAGCGCGCAGCCAGGTGCATCTTTCATAAAAATTCGAAGTTCTGCAAGGACTATGCTCTAAGTTCTAAATTCTGAACCAATTGGCAACTTCGCTCTCCTAGTAAGTAGTCGTTTTGTGTAGAACCCACATTGCTATCTTGAGGATACAAGAAGTATCTTGTCAGAATACAATCGAGCTCGAGGGAGAACTCTGTTATCCTCCTCTCTATGGTGCTTCAACGGAAATCTTTTCAACTAATCTTTCTCGATGGACGGAAATCTCATGAAGTTCGACTTGCAGCATTGCGTGACTCGAACGTTCTGATCACATCACTCCCGGCTGGTTCCTCCCCGTATCTCTTCTTCATCGTTCGGTACTTTTTCAGCTGAATAACTCCGATCATCTCCTTCACCATGTACCGTCCCTTGCCGACGGCTTTCCGAAGCTCTTTTTCGCATTCTACCGACCTCCTTACACCAGGAGCTCTGGTGTCTGACAGAGGGTAACAGGCCGGGCAGTTCTCTGGTCTACGAAGTGCCTTTTTCCAAGTTTCTCGAACATATGGTAGGCCGAGCGGATAATCTCTTCCAACCACGAGGGCGCGTTTGTATAAATCTCTGACAAGGGGATGGATGCTCATTGTCAAATCGTCCCGGTCGACGAGAAGAATTATTGTGTCATGTTGAGAAGCCTTTATTCTTAAAATAGCAGTTATGCGCGAAAATATCGCGCAGCATGATTGAATTTTGAAAATTTTGGCAACACATCAAAAGCAGATGATGTGGCTCATCCTTTTGTTGTTGCTGTCTTTTTGCTTTGAGTATTCTAATTGCTGGACGACAAATCTTCTACCCCAAAGCGTGCTCTGTTGGAACTATGAAACTAGCAATCCCAGAATTTCAACTAGTCTCAGTTGCAAGCCATCAGGCACTCTCGGCACTTCCAATGCTGCTACGACTTCCAATCATCACATATGGAGCGCAATAGATCGCGTATCGCAGACCATGGCAGATCACCCATTGACTTCAGATGTGATTCGAATACTGAAAAGCTGGGGATCAGAATGGATGGATGTGCCTTCGCAACGAAATGTAATCAACAAGCCAAATCTTCTGCACGAAATTGAAGAATCGATGATTGCAATTGGTATGTTTGTAGAATGGTTAGATGATTCTTCACCACGGATGGAATCTTCCAAACAAGCAGTCGTTTTCGTGGACATTTGCTGTGGAAAAGGAATATGCTCTCTACTAGCATCATATCTATTCGAAAACGATAGTCGCGTGTCCAAGATCATCATGATGGACAAACCTGACAATAAGCTATCACAAAATGGTCATCTTGATTGGTCCCACATTGTTCACGCGAATGAAAATGCTGTATCAGAGCAAAGGCCTTTTATTGAAGCAAGAAAAGAGAATCTCTTTGAGACGGACAGTATCATCAAATGGTTGTCAACAGCTCGAGGAAGCGACCCAATGGCTTTGGTTGGAATCCACCTATGCAAGAATTTGTCTCCCACTTTTGTTGGAATCGCCAATGCTTTGGGTGCAAGTCAGGTACCCTTCCTGTGCCTCGCACCTTGTTGCCTTCCCCGAGTAGTGGTCCAAGGAAGGAACAACCATCGAAACAAATTGGAAGTAGCCCAGTATGAAGCTCCCCTACAACGACAAGCGAGGCTCAAGGCTGCACAACTTCGGCGCAATGCAAGACAGCGTCACTCCAAAGCTACAAGAGAATGTATCTTGTGTCAATCCACAAAACATGCAGTCCGACAATGTCCAAAATTGGTCTCTTATTCGATTGCACAACAGTGCGAAATCCTGGAGCGAGCTGCCGCAATGGAACCCTGTTGGAAATGCGGACAATTGGGGCATAGGAGGAAGGATTGTCTTTCCAAACAAGAATCCAGCATCCCGGCACTGATTCCACAGCCCGTGCTGCATAAGAATGTTTCCCACATCATGGGTACTGCAAATCCATTTGCTTCTTATTGTCAGTTGTTGAGTACCACAATCGACAGAGAGTCGATCTCACTTTTCGAATCTGATTTGGAAAAGACGGAATCATCATTACTTGAACATGGATCGAATTGGAATCGATATCGGAAGACAATCTACATTGTTGCAAATGACAAGTGACCTCTGATAAATGTGACTGGTCAATCAAACCCGGTGTTGACGTAGTCGTAAAGCTAAATTTTGAATTAACTCCTCCCTTGCGTCTCGTCATCGGTGTTTTCGGCCAGTTGGTCATCCCAAAGTTGCATGAGTTTCTGCTGTGGTGAGACTGTTTCAGTTGTTTGTTCACTATTCGCCCCGAGCACTAGAATAGTCGAGAATATTGCAAGTAGTACCAGTATTGTGCCCGTTGATGGAAATTCGTCCAGTCTCAGGAGTCGTCCATTGTTGTTTCCAGTATCAGGGTCAAATAGAGCAGTACACAGAATGGCTGAACCTAAGGCCAGTAAATCGGTCCGCGGTTTATCGAAAAAGTCGTCGTCATTGTCAATATCAGTTAATAAGGCCTCTTCCTTCTTTTCTTCTAAATAGTCTTCTTGTATTAGTTTGCGCCCAGCGAGGGAAAAGACTGTAAAGAAACCAAGCAAAAGCGCAGCACTTGGTATTGGAAAAAATAGGAATGTTGTTGCCAATAGCAAAGGGTATCCGAGTGCCAAATTGGGAACAATACCAGGGGTTGGAGCAGCAAGTAAGCTCGAGACACGTTCCACTATGGACGTTACGCTATCAGTGTCATTTGGTTCATTATTGTTGTTCTTCTTCAACCTCAGCGGTTTCAGTCTGTGGTGATGTCTGTTACTAGTACCGGAAGAAGTTGGACGATGATGCCTCAGAAAATCATTCTGTGTATCAAATGGCTTGTTGAAGATGAAATGTGGTGATAGAAGAGGCTGGCCAGCGTTGTACCGAGCAACTCCATTTGTCGGAACCAGCATTGGAGAGAGCAACCAAAGGTCTTAAAAATTTGAAAACTCAAAGCGTTTTTGTCAGCACAATGCGGCACGTTCCCCATCAACAAATGGGGGACGTGCGCGCAGGAAAGCCGCAAACATGCAAAGAAAAATTTGAACACCAAGCTGTACATTACACCCAGGTGGTACCAGGTACCGTACTCCAATAGTGACTGACATCAAAATATCTCCTTACTCTACCTTTCTTCACATCAAAAAGCAATAGCACTACGAGCATCAAGATGCGTCCAGAATCAGAAGGAATATACCAAGACAGTCCTTCGTCTCAAGCAAATGTACAAACACCCGAAAATGAAAAGGAACAAATTGTTCCTGACGCACAGGAGTCACCTTCCCTTGATCGTGCAGGGTTGGAGCGTACGAGAAGCATCATGGACGATGATGAAGTGGAAAACGACAAAACTGAGGATAGGACCCTCCCAGAAGATGACGACAATAATGTTAGTATTCTGGATGTGGATGATGTTGTTCCAAATAGGCCACAGAGATCGTCATCCATCAGTGGCCTGAAACTAGTAGATAGCAATGAATGGGAGAATACATCAGTTCAACAGCAAAGTTGTCCAACATGCCAGGATGGACTTCAGTTCACGACAGGTTGTGAGGGCCAGCTAGTCGAGCAGTTTCAGTTCGTTTCAGCTTGTCGCCATCCAAGGGACTTTTTGACAATTTTCCAGGATCATGCTGACAGTTTTGACGGTGCCGAACATGCAGTTGCTGGGTTCTATCATATTCCCAAAGATTGTGAGTACTGCGGGGCCGAATCAACAAAATTTTGTCCTGGTCGTTGTACGCGGCCAAAGTCGTTCTTTCACAGAAAGCGACCCCCTTTCTGTTCACCCAGCAAAACATGGGATTCTAAAACAGATATTCAGATTACGCTTAGTGATAGTAAAGACAAAAAGCAGGAAGTGGACGTTGGACGGTCACCCTTGCGCTCGTTACTTCTTTTTGGGAGGTAAAGCCGTAGTCCTGCCTTGCAGAAGAGGGGTCGCAATTTCTGAAAGAACTCGACTTATTTTAAAAAGCTTCGCTCGAGAAAATAAATCCATTTCCGGAAGAGCACTAGTTTGCTAGTGATATGTATTGTAAAAAGTTGAAGGAGTATATGAAACTACTGCTTGATGACCACGGAAAAGACCGCACTTTTACCACTTGCTTTTCTTTTACTCAAAGCTTTATATCTTCTCTCATTGAATCTAAACTAGTCCTTTGAAAAAGTGATGCACATGGTGTTGCAACGACTATTTTTCTACGTTACATGGGCACGCTCGATGATCTGCCGGCTCAAAGTAACGGTCACATTTTTTCACGAAACCCAGCACAATATCAATCGCTTGCGATACCAAAATACCATCATTTAGTAGCAAATACTAACACACATCTGGAAAAAATGGTGAAAGAATATGATGAAGACGACAATGGCTACGGTGACGACGACTCCAAGGGCTCCAGCACACTTCTAGTGGTGATTGTATCCCTCCTTTTCGTTGCAGTCTTTGGTGGTGCCCTTGTCGGCGGTGTCTTGAGTGGAGACGCAAACAATGGCTTCTATTTCACTATGATTGCTGCTTCAAGTATAGTTGTGCTCGCTGGACTTGTTTTTGCCATTCGGTACTGCTGCTGCCAACGCGGCAAGGATGCTGATTCTCTTGATATCAAGGAAGGCAAGGGAACTTTCAACAGTGACGAAGAAGAAGGTGAATTCGTCCACAAGAAAAAGCCACGCAGACAATCTAAGAAGGGTCCCAAAATTAGAGTACTTGATCCAGGAGCCGGTGTCAGCGATGTTAGTGTACTTAGCCCCGGCACCTACAATTACGATGTGGAATCTGTCATGACCGATGGTGATGCAACTGGAATCACATCCTTTGCAGGCCGAATCCTTCTTAACAAGTCCCGCCAAAAAACGGTCGGATTTGACTTTAGAAGTGTCATTCCTGGAGAGCAATCTCGTGGACGTTCCGATCCACCAGAAGCCTTCGAGAGTGCAGCTGTTACCGCGTACAACCAAGCTCGACAACTGGGACCGAAAGATCCTTCTGCTGCACGAATCAATATGAATGGAGGAATTCAACCAGTACAGGAAGAACCCACGAATGTGCGATTTGGTGCTATTCACACTCCTTCAACACAAAGACAACTCAAGGTCATTGATGTAGACGAAGAAGCGTCAGATGTAAGTTATGAATTGCCTTTCGCCGAAGTGATCAATGGTGGCTCGCTTTAACTAACATTGTTTTCATTCGGCCCCTCGCCTCGTCCCCTGATAGAGCCAACACAATATTTCGACACCAGCTAGTGTGGCAAGCAGTATTTTCCGAGGATTCTTTGCAAACGTCAAGAAAAGGAGTGCAGGCACCCCTGTTGCTAGAAATTTCAAACCACAGGGACGACCTCCTATGCCAGGTAGCAGCAATGCCAATGCTACTGCCGCTATGAAGCAAACCTTGCAAACAATCAACGGCGGAGGGTTGACAAAAGAGATGCTTCCAACCACTCCAAAGGCTGCTGGTGGTGTCCCTCCAAGTCCAGGCAAGAGTAGTGTCTTCAGCATTCCGCCACCAAGGCGTGTTCCTTCGTCACCTGGGGGTGTAAGTGAGGCCGCAAAGTCGGGATACAGTGAAGGGGTTGCTTCCTCAACGTTTGACCCAGCAGCACATGAACGTGCGTTGGCCAAGATGCGCCAGAACGAAGCATCACTTGGAGCTACAAGCAACGACGTACCGCTCTACTATGACGATGATGAAGATGATAACGAGGAAGAAGACATTTATGACGTCTTTGCCCCACCTGGCCCCATTGGCGTCGTCGTTGACACTACCCCTAAGGGCTGCGTTGTTCATTCGCTAAGAAAGACATCTTCGATGCAAGGTCTCATCAACCCAGGTGATTTGATTGTTGCCCTCGATGACGACGACGTCACAAAATTGGATGCCTCTGAGCTCACCAAACTAATGGCCAGAAAGGCGCAACAAACAGAGCGAAAGTTCACACTGATTGCAGCCTAATAAGGACATTCATTCAAAGCGCAGCCATGTCATTGCAGCTACCGAATTTATGGTATTCCACCCGCCCATGGGTACCATTCCATCTTAACTTTTGTATCTAGTCTATTGTTTCCGTGTACGTACAGGCAGGGTAATTCATTGCTTGCCTTTAACAGTCAATGTCAGCTAAGAGTACACAGGTACACGTGTGTACTGGTAGATCAGTACAAGTAGGTGACTACTAGAGTAGTGTCGAACTGTGAGAGCACCCTTTTTCACTCCTTCAGATCCGTTGAAGGAACATGTAGTCGTGATGCGTTAAGTATCCCCTAATACTCTAATTATCAAAATCGCCGTTGGGCTTTTTTACTCTTTTGATCACCGGCAGTTTGGAATGTGTTTGGATCCAGTGTGCAGGCAAGACAACCCGGTAAAAGTTCTAGCATCCGATAACTGCAACAAAACCTCTGGTTCCTTTTTGGTTCACACAAAGATAACCGAAAAAGTACGAGCAAATACAAAGAATCAACGATATGATTACCACAATGGTACAAACAGAAGACAATATTCAAAGCAACAAGAGAAGAAGAGTTGGCGAGGAGCCAGACCTTCACAGGTTCTCAAACCAAGCGGAACAGGAAAAGGAACCACCAAAATGCTACGTCTCGCTGCTGGTCCTCAAGATGGAGGAATGCCTAGGAGAACTAGGCGTCAAGGATCTAGAGATGTCGGAACTGGAACGAATGAGTATCATGATTTACGAATCGATGTCAATATCCAGCCGAGATTACCATTCCGTCCAACATGTGTTTGACATTTCCAAGGACATGACGAAGCCAATTTTGATTCTGAGTGCTCTATTCCACGACTGTGTCTACTTTCAGGTAGACAAGAGCCTCACCCCGGCACAAGAAGAGCTACTTCAGGGAACTTATACTACAGATAGCAGGGGGAACCTGGAGTTTAAGGCGTCTTCAGAAGAATGCAATGACGAGTTATTGAAGATGGTCGAGTATCTCTTTTCCTTGAGACCAGGGAAAAAGATCGAAAAGGGACTGAATGAATTCTTGAGTGCTCTCATTGCTGTCCGATGCCTCAAGAAATTTTTGCCCATGGATCAACTTGCCGAAATTGCTTGTTGTATTGAAGCAACGATCCCTTTCCGATCGGACAATCCAGAAACCAAGTTGCAACCAATGGAACACTTGTTCAGTAGACTGGTAGAAGCAAACAAGAAATTCAATTTGGAAATGAAGGAGGACCAAATGGAAGAGGCGATACACAAGGCTGTCAATGTGGCTCTCAGCGATGTTTCGAATTTTGCTGCCACGGATGTCTATGATTTCTTGGACGGCACTTGGAGTTTGCTTCCAGAGCAAAATGAGAATCTGCGAATGCAGTACTGCATTACTGTAATGGATATGCAAAAGGCTCTCAATGGAATGTATGGTTTCTTTCACTTTTACTTGAAACCGGAAAATGTCTTCGACGAATTCCGAGGCAGACCGTCTCAGAAAGAGCTTGACTGGAAGCTCGAACTATGCAGGCGAAATGTGTGTATTGCCAAGAAATATGTAGGGGCCAAGCTGTATGCGATGAGCGTAGTGGCAGCATTTGCATGCTTGACGGGGGGCGATGGACCACTCAGTCTTTTCTTGGGGGACCTAAAGTCAAACAAATCAATGTTGCAGCATACCAGCTTTGATGACTTTTTGCCAGAATCCACGCTGGATCATCTGAAAAAGTGCGACAAGGTTGTCTACCACATTCTCAAGGAAGGGAGAAAAACTGAAACTCTATTTGACACAAAGCAATCACCAATATCAGCATATCTGTATGCAATACTTGGGGATGAGAGGTTGAATGAAATTCTAACAACAGTCGAGCTGTTTCCAATGGAAAAGGAAAACGCTAGGCTGATATTAAAGGCGCTGCCAATTGAAGCACTGGAAGCATTATCTACTGCCTTGAAGAGTATAGCACTATCCAGAACGAAGAAGTTTGAAACGCTAATGGAACAACTTCGGGAGGAAATGAAACGCCAAGACTAAACATGTATATAAATAATAAATTATCTATGTTTGATAACAGATGTTCTGATATATGTTTGATAACAGATGTTCCAATAAAAGATGATTGATTCATTCCTAAATACCACAAGTTGGAGGAGTACTAAGTAATTATACCAGTATGTGGGATTCAAAGCCAATGAACAACAATTTAATAGTGATAATGACAAGAACAGTAGCTGAGCTGATCCAACATGGATTCGAGTTCTGGCCTCTTGGATTTAGCTTCAAGCGTTGACCAAGCTGAGCTGTGACAACCTTCCACTACCACTACCACTACCACTACCACTGCTCGAAACCACGATTGATAAAAAGCCGATGGGACTCAATACTGCAAGTCGTAGTTTTCGGCCTCCCGCGGCTGTGGACGTAGGTGAGCAATCGGAGCGTTCGATCCACATTTCCGTTCAAGATGCTGGCCGCGCAGAGGAATTTTTCAGAGCGCAAAATTGGGTAACACCCACACAGAGGACTAATGTATTCCCTTAATTTGTCTAAATCGTGTTGACCTCCTCGCGCCTGCCAGTATTACTTAGATGGAAGCACATGGCTGCATTTTAATTTCGTCGAAATCGCCTCACACAACAACCCAGCTTATCCCGGAACCTTCCCTTCCCATAGTTGTGTATTGAACTCGCTTGCTTGATCCAACCGCCCATACAAAAAGACTATTGTCATTGCAACTCCCACATTCGGAGTTTGTGTGGCAAGAAGCAAGAAGTTATTGGAACTGTTGTTAGCATTATTAATAGCATTGGAAATCAAATTACACACGAAAGCAACAAACCACTCTCCATTCCGAACTGAATTCAATTTGAAATACAGTAGCCCTTCCTTGTTTGGGTATTAACGATCTACGGCATTGCAAAACGATAAAAGCGCTGCAATTCAAAGGAACATGTGGTGGCAAAATCAACCATTGTCATCTTCGGATGAAGACCGGGAAGAAACCCCTCGCCATCTTTCTTACAACGATTATCGACGGACAACATCTTTTCCATCTAACTTTAGTGGATACTCGTATCGATCCAAGAGTGATGGAACACCAATGACTGTCTTGCAAATGACTCCTTCACCGGTGCAATCACCGCTGATATCGGATCTATCACCCATAGGAACCGCTTCCTTTTCCAGTATTCAACAAAATTACCTTGATCAAAGCATTCCCACGCCCACTGCGATTCTTTTTCGAGATTCCACGCCTACCAAACGGCGGCGCAAGAGAAGCAACCGACGAACAAGATTGTCTGATTCTTTGCATTTGGAAGACTCTGGCTATGACGCTCGACCTCCATTGGCAACCACTCGGCGTCGCTCTGGGTATCGCAAATACCGGGGATCACCTCACACTTCTGATACATCTCCGGAAACTAGCACTTCCGGGAGAATGGATGGACACTTTTCGCGACATCCATCTCCTCCTCAACGGCCTTATAGTCCTAAGGATGCTTCTTTCCGAGTGAATTATCACTGGTTCATTCAAATTACTTTTGCGTGCATGATTATTATCAGTGGTGCCGGCATCGTTTTCCTAACGAATTCGGTGGCCTCGATGGAACACTACGATCCAGTCCGACCTGAGATGCACATGACAGAGGCAGGATTGCGAGGAAAGATGGTCTCGGGACACTGGGACCGGCCATTCCCAGCTCCTCTCAAGCAAAAGTCCAAATCGAAAGAAAAAAAGCACGAATCGAGCCAAGAAAAGAAAAAAAAGAAAAATCCTGAAAAGAAAAAAGAAAAGACTCCAGCGTTGGCAGGTTCCAAAAAGGAAAAACAGCATGGATCATCTCATGAAAAGAAGAACCACGGCCTGCCACGGGTCATCACACCCCCACCCCTCCACAAATCGGATCCAATGTTTGAAAAACAAGACTTGGCGCTCTATTCCAAGGTAACCACCAATAAACGTCGCGTCGTGGCCTTGGACCCGTCCATGCCATTGCCGCACCACCGTACACTCAAGCTGTATCCCGCTGATTTTACGGATAATACCCAACTCTATCCCATTCTAGACTCGGACGATGAGAGGCTAAAGTTGATGGAAATCCGAGAACCTCATGAAAGTGAGGAATGTGTGCCCATGCAAGAATGGCAGACAACCTTTCATCCATCGTGCAATGAAATGCACGAATTGCCCTTGGCAGACTTGGGAGTGGATGATAATATGGAATTTTTACTCTTTGGTACCAAGGGATTCTGGAGAAATGCTTGGAGAGTGGACTTTCAAGAGGAAGAGAACCCAATTGTCTTGAAGACACTCAAGTAAGTTTTGAATGTGAATTGGAATTCTCCTTGGTTGTCTTGTTTCATCAGTTTGCTCATCAGATCCTTCAATTTTCAGGTTTGAACACAACTTTGAGGATGCTCACTTTGAGCACGATCGAATTGATGCCGTAGCTATGGAACGACTGACATCGTCGAAGCATGTTATCAATATCTTTGGGTTCTGTGGGCATTCCGTCATGACAGAGTTTGCGGATAATCCCAGTATCGGAAAAGTGGTGGAAAAGGCAAGAAAGAAGCCGCTTCAGCTACTTCGAATCGCCAGAGACATTTCCAAGGGTTTGGCCGATATCCACGGAATTGATGGCGACAATAACTCTACCTTTGTCCATTTGGATATCAACCCTGCCAACGTGGTAGGCGTGGGGGGGACACTCAAATTAAATGATTTCAACATTGGCATCATTCGCCAATGGAATACCACTTCCGATAAACCATGTGGTTTCCCATCCCAATATCCAAATCCTCAGTGGAGATCTCCCGAAGAAGCCCGTGAACAAAACGATCTAACGGAGAAGGTCGATGTCTTTTCCATGGGACATATTTTCTTTAGATTGATTTGTGGAGCGGAACCATGGAACAAGTTGGAACCCAATGGTCGGCCATCAAAGGACGAAATTGCCGAAAAGGTCAAGAGTGGTGTGCTTCCATACATTCCCGAGACTGTCATGGAGTCTGTTGATCCCGAGGTCGTGGCCATTCGAGAAGCGATGTTGTCATGCTATTCCTTCCATCCCCAAGATCGTCCCAGCGCTCGTAGTATTACCCGATCGCTGGACAAGGTCTTGCAGAATTTGAAAAAGGAGACTCTCAGTGAGATTTAAGATGTGGAGAATTACTTTTATTAGCCAAGTATCATCTGTTAATTAATAATATTACCTTCTATCTACAGTATCGGTACCGTATTGTCCTTCATCTCTAAACTTTCAGCGACTACTGAAGTACCGGTACATGTACGATACTGGCTTCTGTTGCAGTCCGCTCCTCCGCGCCCGGGTTGCGATGTATTTATTTGATTAGTCCGACTCATTCAAGTGACGTGTTATCATGTACGCAAACAACCGAAACCATGAACATTCCAACTTCGGTAAATCATCAATCTTGCAGGGTGGACAACCCTATCATCGACTTAGCTAACCCATCAAAGTTACAGCATACAAATTCACAGAGAGATGATATCAAGAATAAAAAGAACCCCTTACTTCTTTATTGGTCTGTTGATGCTCCCAATCGCAAGCAGCTTTTCGACCTACAGTCATTCCTCCTTTCACACTTCTCCATCGTTTCCATCCACACTGCTGAGTCGATCCGTGTTGAAACAAACTACAGCCGCCTTGCAAGAAAACACAGTGTCATTGCAGTGGACAGAATTTTACAATACCGATCAAGACAATACACCAGTCCTTTTGCTGCATGGACTCTTGGGTTCCAAACGCAACTTTGCATCGCTTGCATCTTCATTGGGCGCTCAGTTGGAAAAGCAACGACGAATAGTGGGAGTGGATTTGCGAAATCATGGAGATTCCGAATGGTCCGATCAGATGAGTTATACGGCCATGGCCCAAGACGTTTTGGAATTTTTGAAGGAACAAAATATTGACAAGGTGATATTGGTGGGCCACAGCATGGGAGGCAAAGTAGCCCAAGCCATGAGCTTGTTGTATCCCGAAAAAGTGGAAGGTCTGGTGGTAATTGACATTGCACCCGTAGCATATTCCCGAACAGATCCACATTGGAAGGCGGTCGAGGACATTCTGCATGCCATTCACGCCGTCGACATTGTAGAAGCAACCAGCAAGACCGAGGTGGACAAGCTACTACGACCGACCATTCCGGATCCAGCACTGCGAGCATTTGTCTTGACGAATTACGATTCTCGAAAAAAGGGATGGAAGATCCCAGTGGGTACCATTGTGGAAGAGCTGGAGTCGATAGCAGGGTTCGATGTTCCTGCTGACACGACCTATATTGGAGATGTCTTTATCATCAACGGAGGACAGTCTCGATTTGTAAGACATTCCTACATGGATCAAATTGCGGATTTCTTTCCGAACCATATGCTGACAACGATTCGAGGAGCTGGTCACTGGGTGCATGCCGAAGCACCTGATGATACAATTGCATTGCTCAGGAGATATCTTGATCGGTAAATATGTTTGGATGATGCATAAAGACAGGTCTTCATCACAAGAATTGCAAGCTCAGTTAAGCATAGGGAGCCTCCAGTCGACGATATGAAGCCGGCAGTCCAGGATATACGTTGGAGATGATTGATCAATCCAAGGAGCATTCACAAAACTGAGTCAAGGCTTAGTTCCAATTTCGGTGATGCTATCTCGACGATTACTGCGACTTGGCAGCCGCTGAATGGAACTCGCCAATTCTGATGTCAAGAGACGAGATAAAGTTGTCGCCTATAAGTGATGTATACTACTGTAGTAGAGAATACATAGTGTTAATCTACAGTAACCCGAAATGTTTTGCCAAACCAGCCCTAATACTTTTCTATAGGAGCAGTGCCTTCAGAGATGATGGCAACAGGGTCCTTGGAGGCGGCAACTGTTGGAGCGTCATCCTTTCCAGCAGGAGAATCAACAACGTTCCCCTCCATAACAGACTGGTCAAAACCGAAATCCTTCTTCTTTCTATCAGAACCAACAGCAGACTCCTCTTCCTTCTTTTCTTCCTCCTTTGTCTCCTACTTGTTGGGTGAGATGCGCTTGGACGGTCCTTGTCCGTCGATAGTAGCTTTCTCGGCACCACGCTTCTTGGTTGGAGAAGAAGAAGAAGAAGAAGAGGAACCAACAGTGGCCTTTCTGTCATTGGAGTTCGTGTCAGCTTCGCCATCATTAGGTTCCGTCAGTCCAGCGGCCACCCAGTCATCAAAGACGGTATTTTTACAACCAGCCCTTTTTTTAGCATCGGCTACCAAGTAATCATAGTCGATCTTCTTGCTGGCAGCCATTCTGTTATCATGGGCATCATCGCTCTCCTCGTTGATCCATGCCTGTAGCATTCCTCGGATTTTCTCAAAGGCAGATTCGATAGCCTCAAAAAGGTTATTGAGGGCGACCTCGTGGTAAGAGTTCTCTCCGTGAGAGAGGAATTTTTCGGCTCCCAGAATGAGGGATTGAGTCGACCTGATGAGATCCTTCCATCCTTCCAAGTGGTCTGCAGGGTCCAAACATTCGATTGGAAAACCTCCCGAGCATCCAGCAAAGTAAATGTGACCGGCGTCGACGATAGCCCTCAACAACCCATCCTCTCTGGTATCACCATGTTCATCATAATTGGCATCGTAATTATCACATTTCAAGATAGTATCCAACATCGACTGGATGTTCTCGATGGCTGGCCCAAGCTTGGCGAGTGCTGTCGGGTGAGGGGAAGTCCAATGATCAGCAATAAGACACTCGATGGTGTCAATAGTAGAGTTTTCGACTTTGTCAAAGTACGCCTTGAGAGAATACATGCTTCTCTTGGTGGTAGCAAGTTTGGCGGTGGCCTTGTCGCTGATCGTAATAGTCATGGTGATGATGATGATGATGATGATGATGGTGTGGTAGTAGTAGGTACCAGATACGGTGGCTATATTCTTCTATTCTTCTGTTGGTCACTTGGGAGACTGGCGCTCCGATTTCGTCTTGGAACGGAAAATAATATGAGAGGAAAACATGGTCCAACAAGATTGTTAAAAAGAGCCAATTTAGCCACCGACTATTTGGCTCGATCGCAGATGTACAAGTACGGTACCGATTATATAACTTTGAAAACAACATTTTGAATTTGACATGTCATCACCGTTTTGGCGCGTGATATATTATAAAAGGATAGATGACGGCGGACAGGCTGCTTGAAACGTCCAGTAAATTCTGAAAACTCAATCTGAAACATTCACTTTTTGCAACCAACGAGTGACCAACAAGAAAAGCATCCTAGTTCTCTTCAAACCAATCTAGTATGACCACTCTGGACGACTTGAACATTGTTGTGGCTCCAGTACAAGCCAAAGTACAACCAATCAATAGGAAGAAGAACAACAAATATGAGAAACGTCGTCGAAAAGCCAAGATTGCCAAAGAAGAAGGAAACGTTTCCACCGCCGCAACCACAGCTCCAACGACAACGGATTCATCTACAACTACGGTAACGAAGACAGAACCTCAAAAAGTTACAGCTCCATCGAAGGAGAACACTCATGAAATTACTGTTGAGGAGAAAACCACTCCAGCTGAAACTACACCAAACAGTACAGAAAAGAAAGTCGACGATTCGTCTGCAGAACCCAAAGCTGTCAAGGAAGACATTGCCAAGAGGGACAAACACAGTAGGAAGAAACAGGACTCAACAGAAATCAGCGATGACAAAGTCACACCAGAAGAACCAGCAGTTCCACTCAAGGCTTCTCGCCGCAACCGACCAAAGCCCCAAGAAGGCACGGAAGAAAGTGAGGAAGATCATGCCAAATACTTGGCCAAATATCATGCTCGTCCCATGGAGCTAGATCGACGATCAGGAGCCAGAGGGGTAACGAGAGTCTCCAAAGCATCCTCTCACATCTTCGATGCCCAGGAATGGGACTCGCTCAATATTAACTCTCGAATGACGGAGTCGTTGAAATCCAGATTTGAACTCAGCAGCCCGACAGGAATTCAAGCCAAGACAATTCAAACCTTTCAGGACAACCCCGAAAACAATGTACTTGTCCATTCAGAAACAGGATCCGGTAAAACACTGGCGTACTTGCTTCCCATTCTACAGCTGTTGGGGTACGGTGGATTTTCCAAAACTGGTGATGCGAAAAAAAAAACTCGCAAAGAATTGGGAACCAAATGCCTGATCTTGTGTCCAACACGAGAGTTGGCGAGTCAAACGCTACAAGTGTTGGAAAAGCTGTGTCAAGCCAACTTTGCGGGATGGATTGTTCCTGGCGGACTCCTGGGTGGAGATTCAAGAAACTCGGAAAAGTCGAGAATACGAAAAGGATTGGGAGTCATCGTTGCAACACCCGGTCGGTTGCTGGATCATCTGCAAAAGACGGAATCGCTGCTGTTGAATCTGAAGGGCAAGCTAGAATGGTTGGTACTCGATGAAGCTGATCGACTTTTGGACATGGGATTGGGTGACCAAGTGAGACAGATTGTACAAATTGTTCGGTCGAATGAAGCATCCAAGTCCAAGGCTTGGTTGAGATCTGTGCTGATTTCCGCGACAGTTACACAATCGGTGCAAGATTTGGCTAGTGAACGGATATTGTGTGGCGATCAAAAGTGGATCTGGGTGAAGGGAGCCAAATCCAAGCCCGGGCAGGACGGTGGAGCCATAGGTGATAATGTTGAAACGGACAACGGATACTCAGCTTCGACACCAAAACAGTTGGCACAGTTCCATATTTCTGTTACCGCAAAGCTTCGCTTAGCAACACTTGTCGCTTTTTTGGTACAACGCGTCAAGAAGGGCGAAAGAGTAGTAGTCTTCATGGGAACGTGTGCAACTGTGGACTACCACTACGAACTCTTCAAAGCGTCGGAAAGCCTATGGGAAAATGATAGTGATTCGGATTCCTACGGTTTGTTTGGAAGCAAAGCGAGGGTATTCAAACTGCATGGCAGCGTGGCGCACTCTCGAAGAAACCAAGTCCTAAAGAACTTCAATGGCATGAAAGAATCTGCGATTCTGTTATCAACCGATGTCTCTGCTCGTGGACTGAACTTGAAAGGTATCGATTGGACTGTGCAATATGATCCTCCTTGCGAAATTTCCGACTATGTCCATCGAGTTGGGCGAGTGGCCCGGGCTGGCAAGGCTGGTCATTCTTTACTATTTCTGTTGCCATCAGAACGTGCTTACTTGGATGTTTTGAAGACCATGGGTATCGATGAGCTAACCCCACTTTCGCTATCGAGCACATTGAATCAAGCTGCATCCGCTTGTAAATCCTTGTCGTTGGAGGGCATGAAGAATGGTGGTGGTGGTTCCAACTTTGGGAAGGAGAAACCCAGCAGTCGTTTGGGAGAATATTTTGCCATAGAAATCCAACGTCGATTCGAAGATTGTGTCATTAAAGATGACATTGAAGCCAAAAAGGACAAGAAAGAAAAAGACAAGAAACGAAAACGTAAGAAAGAATCTTCAATGAAGAATGAAGGGCTTCTCATGGGGCTCGCAAGAGATGCTTTCATGAGTTTCCTGAGAGCCTATTCCACAAAGAAAGAAGCCGCTGTTCGATCTATTTTCTCTGCCAGAGCACTACATGTTGGACATGTAGCAAGATCTTTTGCTTTAAAGGAGCCTCCAAAGTCTTTGGTGTCTAAACATCGCCAAAACAAGAAGGAACAAGAACAAGAAAACATGGATGCAGAAGCCAATAAACCAAAGTCATTGGCATTCCACTCTTCTGGTGGTAGTAATGCAGCAGGACGCGACGACGAGGAGGATGTAATTCCGGAGAGTTATGATAACGCCGTGAAGGAAATAGAGGAAACTCGAGTATTTAAGCGGCCGAAATTTGGTGGTGACAAAGATGGTGGGAAGGCAAGGAATGCCAAATCGTTGTTACTTGCCAATGCTTTCAAAATGCAAAACAATCTCATGGATTCTATGTAATCCTAATTTAATGACACTTTGCAAGTACCTTCAATGTTATCGCCAACGTAGAAAATGTAGTGGCATGCCGGCGGTTGAAAAAGATGAAAAAAAATACCGCGCCACTTGAGATCGACACCAAAGCTATGTTCACATGAAGTTCCCTCCAAACGACAACACGATGGTGCAAGTAAAGACCAATCGTTCGAAGAAAAGAAGTCGGCGACGCTGGTCACACTTCTCCGAATCGCAGCTTGTTCTGGCAACGCTAAATACTGCAAGTTGCAAAGCCGTCAACCGAACGGAAACGAGAACTACGAAGAGGAGTGAAATAACCGAGTCAACAGATAAGCAGCATGCTGCTCCAGCACCAGTGGTTACGCCGTCACCAGTGATAATGCGAGGGGAAAATAAACATGTTACTGAATCCCAAACTATTAAAGATGCACCGAAACAGTTATTTCGGTGTGTGAAGCAGACTCGAAAGCCGACGGATGCTTGCAAGGACTCTGATGGAAACAAAACGCTCAAGAAAAGGACAAACCCAAGAAGGCTTTTTCGCGATAAGAAAAGCGGAGCTGCAGTAGTGACGACGATAAATAGAATACAGCGAAGAAAGAGAAGCAAGTCTAAGGAACTCGAAAATACAGTGGACAAGCTAGCTGATAAAACAAAGCGGCGGAAAGAGAGCAGCAAGTCAAAGGAAACAGAAACAGAAGCAGTGGACAAGCCAGTTGATAAACTACAGCATAAAGGGGGAAGCCAGTCTAAGAAACCGCTTAAAACGGCCGGCAAGCAAATTGGTAAAACACAGCGAAGGAGGGGAAACAATTATAAATCTGATGTTTCTGATCCTCCAAGTATTTCAAAGACATCAGGGGTCTCACCAATGCCCCTCAAATCTAGAATGGCTACGCGAGAACGGAGGACTAAAGGAAAAGACAAGACACGAGACCGACATGTGAACTCTTGGGATTCATTAGCATCTGTGTGTTCAGTGACAACTAACAGGAGTGTGGCGGAAAACACAGTTGCATCAGAGGGCGCTACAGAGCCGATTCCAAAAACTGTGACGCAAGATGTTGATGACAACTCAGTTGCATATTCTGTCCTATCGCATCCTGCCAGCGTGAGACAATGTAGTGAAGATTCACAGCGATCGCCATCTGAAAAGAGCCAAGTTTCAACAATACCTCCGGCTCTTTTGTCGGTGCTGGCTCCGAAAGGTTTGCCTCGAAAGCTAAGAACATCAGCTCAGATATTGGAAGAAACGGAACCCCTTAGACCAGCCCTTGGTAGATCATGCAAAGATAAGAGGAAAGAAGTAAGCTACAATGAAGATTCTGACGACGAAGAAGGCTTCTTGAAAAATCCCTGGAACTTCCCCGAATCTCAATCGGATTCGTTGTGTGATAACGATTTCGCTGTCGACAGTAACGCAGCACATTCACTCGATTCACCCAACGATACGAACATGTCGCCTGGGACTACAGGTGTAATGAATTATATAACTTCACAAAGCTTGTCCCAATCCGAAGAAGCTCCAATTCGGGATCGACTGGAAAGTAAAATTTCTCGAAGGAATACTGACGATACGAAAGATGCATCTCGCAGACGAACGAAGCAGTCGAGGAAGGATTATCGTGCTTCGATGGCGCTACAAAATGCTATGGAATCAGACAGTAATGGGGCTGGCGAGCAGAGATCAAATAGAAGGTCCAGGTGTCCTCCCATTAAGTTCTCTTCATATGTTGTTGGAGATAAAGATCTGGATAGTGTGCTCCTTGAAGGTATCAACGACAATAGAGATGCACGACACAATAGCCACAAGAGGAATGCGACTCGCGATTACGAAGTTGTTAATAGAAAACTGCAGCAAATCGATCCATCACCAAAGAAGAAATCTATCAGTGAAGTCGGCAAGACTATCTCTACCAGTGCTACACTCCAACAGGAACCCGTAGAGAATCTTGATTCACAGAGTCATTCTGTCACAACCAAATCAGTTGTGCAAGTGGTTACCAAAGGGTCTAAGAAGAAGAAGCACTCGAAGAAGAAGAAATCAAGGAAAAAGAAGTCAAAGGTTCGTTGGGCTCCTTTACCAACAGCCACTACCACTTTTTCAGTAAAAATTCGGGTCAAAACTTCGATGGATAATGGTCGGTCATCTTCAAGCAACGTTCAAGTTCCTGCTTTCGATGAGTCTACAGTTCAAGCAATCGCAGACCAAGTGACGCAGGCATGTTTGATGCAAGCCCGCAACAGTCCGGGAGCTCTTGTTCCTAACAATGCGGTGGTCAAAACTGCCCCCCATAGGTCTAAAAGCAAAAGGGTCTTACCACTGTCCACTCGAAATTCTGTCGAGGATGCTAATAATCTTGATGACGATTCGTCAGAGGAAAAGAAGCCGAGGAACAAGCCTTTTGAAATTGACGTAGATTGCAACAATTCTGTGGTTAGTGATCTAACGCGAGAGCGGGGTGTAAGGGAATCATCAGCTCGAAAAAGGAAACTCCGAGATGAGGAAGTGGAAGATGAGGATGAGAATGATTTTGATGGTCCCATGGACGAACCAGAAGATAACGATTCTGTCTTGAAGGACGCTGCTGTTGAGCCCAATGCACGATTTGAAGCATCGCCTGCCCAAGAACAACTCCCCTCTATTCCAACCAGACCCACGGATTTCGTGACAAAGTCAGAACGATCCAAGAAAAGAAGGAGGAGAATTTGGAGTAGTGGCGACTCTCTCGCTGGGTCGTTTGTTAGCACCTCGCGCTCAAGTCTCAAGAAACCAAGCTCGAGAGGCGGCAGCACACCAGAAATGACTCCTGCTGTGACGAAACCGGTGTCTCCCGCTCGTATCGCTAGGAAAGGCAAAGATCCCAATGTTGGTGCTGGTACGAATACTCCTGTTGTCGCAGCAAAGGCTGGACCAGCCCACCAAGCAAAGGAACTACCGATTCAAAAGCAAAAGGATGAAACTATCGTTACTGCTGATGCATCAGCAAGCGCAAAATGTGGCAAATGTTCAGGGTGTACACGGAGCTTTGATTGTATGAACTGTGACGCCTGTCTTGCTCGTTTGCAAGCTGGAGACACGATCTTTCAAGATGAAGCCAAGTCCGATTGCATGAGGAGAGTTTGCCATCGAGTCCTCGCAAGATCTGATGAAGCGTCAATGGGAACCGCCTCCCAACCACCATCTTTTCCGGTTACGAATATTCTAGAGCAGGATGATATGAGCTACATTAGTGAAGTTGAGTGGGGAACAGAGAAACGCAAGTCAAAGCAAGGGAAGCCACTGTCCCGTGCGTCTCGTCTTTGGAGCCAACAATATGAGAGACAGCCTCCACAACAGCGTGCCACTGGCAGCATCTCCTCTGTCACAACACTAACGGGAATGAGTGGTCTAGCGGTCAAGGCAAGAAATGGCAGACGAAGAAAGGGTAGTAAGAAGAACCCGCTACATTACTTGGAAATGCCAGTGGCAACTGATGGATCAGTAGCCTCGTGGATGGAAAGTCGACGCGTTCGACAGGCTTTGATGAATTACGATGAAGCCGATCAAGATTGGGTCTAGTCTTGACTGTTGTTATAGCATTTGTTTGTAATGTTCACTATTATTTCAAAGACTATCAGTTATTATACCGCACGTCTACCAGATACTCTCCTGTGTATTTTCGTTGCTTCCCCAAACATGGACCTTCTCGTTTGGGGATTACCCGGCATATTGTAGTACTGGTACCAGGTACGGGTACCGACTAATGAGTTTGCGTACGGTGATTGGCTGCAATAATATTTTCGGACCTCGCAGTTTGATTTGGTGGCACCTGTTGGCACAGCCAAGAGAGAAATTCTTGGATTTATTCCTCTTGGGTTTTCTTTGTTCGTTTTGAGCAGAACCGACGCACCAAAAGATTTGTGTTTTGGATACTACTGTTGAGTCCACAAGATCTCCCATTGTCAATGCCACCGCCACCACCTCCTTCCAAGTCGTACCTGTTGGTACTGGACACAGATTCTGAAGATGAGGAAGAGGAAGAGACCTATTATCCAAGGATTCAGGCTCCGTCATCGTTTCCCTCAAACAGCCAATCGCGATATTCTCAGCCGCACATCGTAGAAGCGGATGAGGAAGATCGGATATCAGAGCCTGAAATGGACGCAACTAACGATGACTCTGAAAAGCTATCCAAGACACAGAAGAAGAACCGCAATCGACGCAAGAAAAAGAAGAAGAAAAAGAAGACCGATACTTGTGCAACTGATGCACAAGAAGAGGAAGAGGAATCAAAACCGCGAGTTTCCTTTGCGCATGATGTGCGGATACGATCCTATCCAAGGTGTTTTAGTGCCGTTGCAGTCCCCGGTGATGGCGGCTGGCCACTTGGAATGGAAAACGAACCTCTAGAAGAAACGGACGAAGTGTTTGAAGACTATGAAGCTCAGAAACAAGAACGATTGAAGGAACGTTGGGAACGAATTCTAGAAAAGGACTGCGATGCCGCTGTCAAAGAAAAGATGACAAAGCGACCGGAAGGCGTTCCATTCACCTTTGAAACGAGACAGTGGGATTATACCAGTGGCCTTAAAAATCCTCTTTTTCGGATAACCCACGAGCAAGAACGCCAAGCGATCTTTTTGGATGTTGATCCAAAAAGTCTGGAAAACAGCCCTCCTTCTCCCAAACGGCGGACTCGGTCAAATTCAGTGAACTCGGTTGGAAGCAGCACCAGTCGAGCTAGGTCCAACTCTGTTTCCAGCTCTGAACAGTTTAATGAAACATACGACCAGGTGATGGTTCATCATTGTCGCAATGAGTTGGAAGAGCTTCGTAACCTACGAACCAAATCTGGGGCCACTGGTTGCAACTGCCGTAAGCTCAACGTATACTTGCCGCCAAAGGATGGATCCGGTGGGAAGGGTGCCCAGCGTCGTCGACTCAAGCCATCGGTATTGGCAAAAGAGTTGAAAAAACGAAACATGTACAATGCAAAAGACTCGCGAGAAAAAATGGAAAAATTGTTGCACGATCTCGTGGACAAGGAACCATGCTGCAGTGACGAGGACTGCTTCTGCACAAGAAATGGAATTGATTGCCAGTCGGATGCTTGCTCTTGCTGGCATGACTCCCATGTCCATGCAAAAGGTGGATCAGCATTCCCATCAGTGGAGGAAATCAAGGCTCGCTGTGGCAACCCCAATGGAATGTACACTGTCAACTTCAACGAAATTGAGCTCTATCGAACCAATATTTTGCAGTGCATTCCCTGTTCCACTGTTGAAGGTTAAAAATACATACAGAAGAATCGAAAATGCTTGATAAATACATGACACATTCTTGGATGCTTTTATTAATATTGTGTTCATGTTTTTTAAAAAGCAGATTTTTATGAGTGAGTGAGTGAGTCAGTCGTCAGGTTGACATAGGGACCCGGATGTACTGAATCATCAACCAACATCTCAACTCACAACAATAATCGAAAGTCCCACTCTGTCGTTGAATCATCGCTCACCATGACATCAATTTTTTTGAGATTAATTCTATGCGTTTCATTAGCAACAGCAACGCTAGCCTTTTCTCCATCGTATACCTGCAGATCCACAACCGACCTTTCCTTGTCCCAGACTGAACAACAAGAAGCATCAGCAGTGGATCGTCGTTGTTTCATGGGTGCCATGTTGGCATCCACAACCGCTGCCTTGACGGCAGGAAGTCTTCCAAGTGTTGCCGACGTCGAATCAGAAACTCTTGAATCCTACCTGTACCGCGTCCTTCGTGTCCGAGAAGCTACGCAACAAGAGCGTCGTCTGATCAAAAGCGGAAAATTCAAGGACATTCAACGTGCCAACGTCAAGTTGGCAGTCAAGTTTATGGTTCAGAACTACCGATTGAGTGATGCTGTGGTTGGAGCTAGTGCTTACTTGACTGGAGCTAACTCAATGAAGGCAATCGATGCTGGCCAAACGGCCATTCAGAACCTTCAAACTATCTTGGAGTATTTTGATACAAGCGATGTCGAGAATATTAAGGTTGGAAAGAATAGCATGGCTGGAAAGGAAGAATTGGTTCTCCAAGGTCTTCAAACAGGTTAGTTGGGTCGTTGAAAATGGTCCAACTTGTTCAAGAGAGGAACTGAACTCACTTTTCTGTTTTCATCCTTCTTTCCAATCATCATCAGCACAATCCAACATTGATCAATTCTTGACGTATTTCCCCGAAGCGACTGTAAAAGAAATCAAGGAAAAGATCTTGTCTGAAAATGATTTGAATGTCAAGGAGTTTGACAAGTCATTAGGAGACATTATCAATCTTGCACCTCCTTCTTAGTGATGAAAAAATGATATATGATGTCTTGGAAGCAGAAGGCTACTATCAGTGTCATGGCAGGATTAATAAAAGAACTTACTTTTAAAGTATACTCTGAACTCTTAGTACCAGGTACCCTGATCTACAGGTATGCAATTTTCTAGCATCATCATTCAAACTCTGACTTTCGAAGTTGAGACTGCCTGCAAGGATACCGGAAACGTCTGTCGTGCACACTACTCGCGCCCTTTTTCTTGGAAATTCCAGGACTGACTGACGACGATGGCCAGCATTTGTCGTCAGTATTTCTCGTTACACTTGAGACCTACCGAAGGAAAAGAACCGACAGGAACGAGACTTATACCGTTGCAAGATGATGAATTCTGCCATGATGCAACAATCCCCGCACCGGGATGTCTTGGAAGCAACTCCAGACACAGATGATTCCAAAGCTCGATTGGTGGAAGAGTTGCAGTCTAGAGGGCGAGCAGCTGTAGGTGCCAAGTCTTGGATGGATGCCAAGCTTTTGTACGAAAAGGCGTTGACGGTTGCTTCTGCGGAAAAACTGGCTGTATTGGAGTCCAATCTAAGTCTCGTTCACAAAAACATGGGCAGTTTCGAAGATGCAAGAAAGGCGGCAGAAAGAGCCACCGATGCAGATCCCAAGTTCGTAAAGGGATGGTGGCGTCTAGGACAGGCTTTGCAATCGTTGCATCGTTCTGAGGAAGCTCTTGTTGCTCTCAAGAAGGCCAAGGTTCTAGATCCGGCCAACAAGGCTCTAATTAAGGAATGTCAGAAAATGGCAACGAAGGTGGAAGAGGATAAAAAGCTGATGGAGGAGGCTGCAGCAGCGGCTGCAGCTGCAGCCGCAAATGGTGAATCTACCACCACAACAGCAACAACCGATACTTCTAAAACAACAGCAACTACAAATTCGGCACCAGCTCCCGCTGCAAAGCCCAAACCTGTTGCCGAGACGAAGCCTTCGTCGACAAAAACTGAAGGTGACGACGGCATTTTCACCAAGAGTGATGCTGTGCGAGGTTACAAGATAGTCAATGGAAAGAAAACGTCCTATTTCCACAATGAATTGTCGGAGGAAGCCAAGAACTTGATTGGAGACATTGCCCCCAAAAAGATTGACGCATCGACAGCTGAAGCGGTGGCAGCCCCTGCACCAGCTGGGGCCAGTGCCTGGGTAAGTGATTTGACATTCGAATTTGTTGCACAACTTTTGGACTTTTGGCCTCACACGATATGGTGACAGAACAAGGCCGGAACATGGGAGGAGAAAGATCGTACAAAGTGGGCTGAGGAGTCGCTTAAGAAAATGTTGATGGAAACAACATACTCGTTGCCAGCATCATCGCCGGCTCCTGATGCCAAAGTGACCGTTTCCAAAATTAAGAAACTCGATGGACATGCTAGTGTTGCGCGGGCGAGAGGCAAAACCCGGTACATTTACGAATTTCTGCTCAAACTGGAATGGGAATTGAAAGGAGCCGATGGTTTGGAGTGTAGCGGAAACTTTGCAATTCCCGACATTGATGGAACCATTGAGTTAGGAGAGGGGTATGAAATTCACGAATTCGTGATTGATAGCGTCAGTGACAACAACATTCGCCCATTGATTGACCGATTCGTCCATCGCGGAGGATTCCACGAAGCATTGAACGAGAGTATTGACAACTGGGTGCGACTTTTCAAGAAAGAGCATGAGATGTAACCCGCATCGAAGAATGTGTAGACTGCAGCAACTGAACATAAATATTTTTGGAGTCTATGTCATGCTATTGAAACCATGGTGACACTGTATGCTGTATGGAACCAATAGTTTCATAGGTTCGTTCTGCCGTTCGTAAAAGTCTTGAAGGATACCACCAATACAAAGCTAGCTATGGAAATAATTTGGGGGTCAAAAACCCAATCAGAGCGACAGCAATGTTGTCATATGCTCCAGTGATACCTTCTGTGATTGTGGACATGACTGCCACTGGTAGGAATGTTGCCATACTACTTGGCTCCCCCCTGCAACTGCTTTTCATAATCTGGTATCCACAGATGGATGCCAAGAAGAAGCCAAGGGAGCCCGAAAGGGACTTTTTGCTCTTCGCGTCAAATGGGTAAGTCGGGTAACGTCCATACGGGTACCACGTTCCAATTAGAGGTGCAACACCATCTCCATAACCCAGACAGGACATGACATAAATGGACTCAGGCGCCCGAAAGGCAAATAGTCCAGTGTAATTCATCACCAAAGTGAAAAAGAGAGGGCCATAGAGAAGCTCTTTGGGATTACCTGTCCTTGATATAGTCTTGACAAGAGGATCGTCTTTACCGCCAAATAGAGCGGCTTGCGTTAGTTGCAGCGCGTACATAAAAGGAACAATGATATTGAGCCTCCACGAAGGATGCGATTCATCAAAATAGGGCCAGAACAGTGTCCACGTCCCAGCTGCAATGTGAACAATCTTCCGTGATAGCTCGGTTGATATTATGTCCTTGGAAACTGCATAATTGCACCCTATTACAACAGTCTTTACATATACAACAGTGGCTGCGGATGCCAAGAGATTCTGATGCAGTGGTTTGAGTGACATGGTGATGATAGAAATGAGCGATACTTTGCCTACGGTATCAAACGAAGGATACGAAGAATGAATGTATTGTGTTATGTTGACATGATCGGACAAAATCTTTCTCCGGTCTTTTTTAAGTCGGACAGTCATACCAGCGGTCGGAAGAGTCGACCCGATGACATCTCCAATTCGCAAATCGAATCCTAAATGTGCTTCTCATCTTATTAGTGACTGCTGCTTCAAGCTCTGTGTGTATCTGAGCAAACCAAGCAGCACTGTAACCATAATGAATGTATTCCGCAAGACCCCTTCCAAGGTAAGTTCTTGGATTGACTGTATTGAAAATGCAAAACTTCTGTTGGCTAACGCGGACAAATTCCCCCACTCTTTCGACTCGGCAATCAGCGCTCGTCACCCAGTAAAGGGGTGAGCGAAACGGGAGCGACGCAAGAGAAGGCATCGAAAGTGTTATTCGCTGAAGATTCCATGACAAGTGACCCCGCTGCTAAAGGATCCGATGATAGCGAAACCGACAATGGAGAAAAACGAGACAAGGCGTACTACAAGAAGCTGCTCGTGCAAGAAAAGGAAGGAAAACGTAAACTCTTTCACGCATTGGTTAAACTTGTCGGAGAGCTGAAGATCTATAAGGGAGCACAAAGTCCCAACCAGACTAGTAATCAGGCATGGTATGAAGGAGGGCTTTGGAGAGCTCCTCGTGTGCTTCCCAATATCGAGACACAACAACAGAATCAGGATGATCGGACTCGCGTACGACAAGCGGTCAGTTTGAGCGATTTATTCTTCAACTTGGTGATTGTCACTGCTTTTACGCGTGTTGGATTGGTAATTACTAGGTCCGGGGCGGTGACTACCGATTCCTTTTTATACTTTGCGGTATTCTGGACCATTTGGAGCAAAGAAGCGAGTTATACCACCCGATTCGACACAACCGATCTGAGTGCTAAAGCAGGGACTCTTGTCACTTGCTTTGCAGTACTGTTTGCGAGTCTCTCTGTCAGCGCGCCCATGGACTCAGAAGGGGGATCGAGAATCATGATTGCTGGCGCATTTTGTTCCTTGCTGCATTTTGGTCTGATGGCTAGAGTATTCTTTTGGCATAGTCACCAAGCGTCGGATGATACTGTCGGCAGTCATGTGCAACAGTATGCACTCTTCAATTCGGCAATGAATTTTATGGAATCGATAACATGGATATTGGGAACGCTGTTCTGTCCCAATGGATACCGGTGGATTGTGTATACAATTGGTGTTCTCCTCGGCCTACGGATTCCAAGAGCTTTCATGGCGAATGATTTTCATGGTAGGTTGCCAAGTTTTTGGCCACAATTCACAAGATGATTCCGTTCGATTCTCATTTCCATTACTTCGTTATATCGTAGCTGCTTGTACCAAGCGAGGAGTCCTATTCATCCTGCTACTGGGGTTCATGATGCAGTCAGTTGTAGTGGCAGCAACTGACTTTTTTGAGTACACGATTCCGAACGATGAACAGTATGCCTTCATAGGAGCAGCTTGTCTGCTGCTATTTTGCATTAAGCTTTTGTATGTGGATGATGCTTCAACTTTGGCAGCTGATCACGCATTGCTTGTCAATCGAACTGCAGCTCTGTTCTTCAACTTGGGACAATTCGCACTCTTGTTCAGCACAACTATTATGGGAAGCGGGCTGAACTTGTTGACTCACTCTTACCTGGCCTCGGCAGCTGCACTGCCGGGTAAGGCCAAGTCGTTGGTATGTGGTGGCTTTTCTGCAGTGCTGATCTGTACGGTCTTCATCAAGTCCATGCACTTGAAGCGTGTTCCAGTAGCGGGGCAACAAAAAGCTCTGTTCATTGGTGCCTACATTATTCAAACGGTGGCAACAATTGCAATCTCAATGATTACATTCCTCATGTCCATGGGAGAGGGTGGCTACTTCCAAGTGTTAATGCAAAATGACGTGGAACTAATGTGGGTGTTGACGGGCTTTGCTCTCTTCTTGGTGATCCTCAGTTGGCTTGACGAAGGCCTGGTATTGGCATTGCAAGATGACGGCGCGGAAAGTGAATATTTGGTCCATCCATTCGGCTTCTGGTGGTGCTTGAAGCCAGAGGTTGATATGGATACAATTCTGGCGGAAGAGCGCGCTCAAGAGAACCGATACGGTCGCTTGTCGGTCCTGTCGCCGCTCTTGGGGGAATCAGTTGCCAAAAATATGCAAAATTCAATGCGAGGATACGACTCGACGGAAAATGTGACATCCACTGATGTGTAGTGCGGGAATGTGTATGTATCGTCAAAAAAGATTTTAGTACAGCGTTTGAATAGTCTTAGATGTGAGATTGAATATCATTGATTCCTACTGTGCATTCATACTTTTGTTTCAATCATATTCCCTATATTCCCTTATATCTATCACCTACAGTATTGGTAGATTAGTCCATCTTTTCCAATGGTCGATTGAAACCATTCTTCCTGTTCATATACTGTCGATATTTTCTGGCTTTATTCTTGGCTGCAACGCCTTTGGCCGCCGAGTTCTTGTTATCCTTGACCTCTTTTCCTTTGGTGGTCCCAAATCCTTGAATTCCCATGAGCATTCTCATCTGATCTTCTTCGTCAAGCCCCTCAAGTTCTTCCTCATGCACTTCGATAATTGTTTCTTGAGGCTTTGGTTTTGCTTCCTCTTCTTTTCTCCTAATATTTTCATCCAAAGCAGCGGCTAATTCCATGTCTTCCTCCTTCAATTCCTGCCGCAGCTTTGCCATCCGCTCTTCTCTTTCATTTGCAAACTTTTGCTTTGGTGCTTTTGGTGGAGGCGCACTCTCTCGGCCCTCTCTCTCTTGTCGTCGTTTTCGACTTCGATAGGACTCGACGTCGTCGTCATGATCGCGATGGTGGTCACTCATCTTTTGAGTTTGAATAATTCTTGTAGGCTGTGGTTGTATTGTGGCAGTGTTTTATTTTTAAGGAATGAATGGTTGCGTTGATGTGTGTGCTCATGTTTGATTGTTTTTCTTGCTGTTTTAGTCGAAGTTGTCCAAGAGATCTGTGAACTTCTTTAGTTCTGACAACGCATTTTCCTACTCCAACAGACGCAAGCCAGTCCGCGTACATTTCCAAAGAGTGCAACAATCACAACGAAAAATTGGAAAACAAAGAAGAAAATAGACAACCTGACCATGGTTTTCTTCACTCGCAAATCAAAATCCGTGGAAAGCATACTGCTTGTCCTATTGACTGTGTTTGTGCTTTCTTGCGCAGCCGTATTTGAGCAAAAGAACGGAACTACCAGTCAATCGGCCGATGAAATTGTAGCTTCCAGTAAGTTCGCATTTGTACTCCGTTTTGAATCTTTTTCTGTTGATGCAAGTCATCTAAGACCATGGCCTTTTTTACATTTGTGACAGTTCCTTTCCCCGGGGCACAATGGATCGAGAGGATGGCGACGCCCGAGACCAAGATTACGTTGGAGAATGGCGAAACTTATTCCTCAGCGTATGCTGCCGTTTTGAATGGAGAGCCGTTGGCCAACCCTTGCCGAAATTTCAATGCATGGGTCAACTCTATTTTCATTGGACCCAAGACTGCTAGCCGCTTTGTAGAGACCATGGGGGTCGAATGGGGCCATTATCTTCTGTGCTATCTTCGTAACATGATTGCAGGAACCTTCATTTACTATGCAACTGCAGGAATCTTCCACTACTTTTGCTACGTTCATCCAATGTCCAAGGAAATCTTCAAGAACAGAAAAAGACCTGACTCGGCAATCATCTGGAATCAAATTAAGCTGAGTCAGGCAAGTTTGTTCATCTACACTATGCTACCAGTCTTGGACGAATACCTTATTGAAGCGGGTTACACCAAAACGTACTTTACGGTTGATGAAATTGGAGGCTGGGTACCGCATATTGCCACAATGGCCTTTTACTTTGCGTGTGTTGAGATTGGAATCTACTGGATGCACCGAACACTACATACCAACAAAACTTTGTACAAACACGTCCACCTGCTCCACCACTCATACAACAAGCCCGAAACGTTGACACCCTGGGCTTCCATCGCTTTCCACCCGCTAGATGGCATATTGCAGGCCTCGCCATATGTGTTTCTGTTGCCATTTATTCCTTGCCACTACATTACGCATGTTGTCATGGTATTCTTCACTGCTATTTGGGCAACCTACATTCATGATGCCATGGATTTCAACATTGACCCAATCATGGGAAGCAAGTATCACACTGTCCACCACACACACTACATTTACAACTATGGGCAAATTTTCACGTTTTGTGATCGGTTCTGGGGAACCCTCAAGATTCCAGATGGACCAACCGGAGTTCCAGCGAAGCGAAAGGGAGTGTAAATTTGATATTGCGTCCATGTTGTTTTGCTGTGATGGTTCGATGTAATCATGTCCTGGGAATTTGTCGTGTAGGTCCTTTTACGAAATCAATGAATATCTGTTTTCTCTTTCTCTCTGCAATGGGATAGGTAGTAGTGTTGCTTTATATATAGACGCACATCCCAGACTAGTAGGCAAACAACTGAAAATAATGTTCAAAGCTGATTGCTTTGCTGGAGCCAGAATGTCTCGTACCATTTCGGCTCGAACCTCCGCTTTACTGTACTTCCCTTTCTGGTACAGGGTTTGGGAAATTTGAGTATTCCAGTGGAACAAACAATCAAGTAGCGATACTACTGTAGACCACCAACTTAATGTCGACAGTGATTCGTTCCTGCTCACAAAATGTGGTCACAATCTAACACTTATAATAATATAAAAAATATATCATCTTCTGTTCGAGCATGTGGTGGCAGTTACGCCAGCCAACCTAGCCTATCGAAGATAGCCAACTGGCGCCTACCGCCTGGTTTCTTCCGTGAGGGATTCTTTCTTGGTGTGACTCTGGTGGGTTGTGGTGTGAAGCTGGTCTTTTGGATTGCGCGCGAAGCGTGCGGTTCCAGAAGACCAGTCTTTGATATCCCGCAAAGCGGAATATCAGAGACTTGCTTGCCTACTAGGTCATGCATTGATGCAAATTGCAGCAATGCATGGCCTAACAGGGATGTGGAGGGAGGGAAAGAAAGAAATAAACGTATTTCTTGATGTATACTCGCACACAAGTTCGATAAATTGATCGGACTTGGTGTTGCGGAGCAATGATGTTGAGACGGTCGTTCGACCGTCGTCAGTATGATGAAAGGAATCCAATGATTCGTTCTCGAGCTTTCGTCTACGTTAGACTATCGAAGATAGCCAACTGGCGCCTACCGCCTGGTTTCTTCCGTGAGGGATTCTTTCTTGGTGTGACTCTGGTGGGTTGTGGTGTGAAGCTGGTCTTTTGGATTGCGCGCGAAGCGTGCGGTTCCAGAAGACCAGTCTTTGATATCCCGCAAAGCGGAATATCAGAGACTTGCTTGCCTACCAAAAGTTGATGATCATGGTGTAATCAACCAACCACCACAACACACGAGACGCCATAGAAGAAACAAGATGGAAGAAAACAGGAAGAAATAGGAAAGAAGAAAGATCGGAAGGAAAGATGGATCTAAGAAGAAGGAGAAGAAGAAGAAGAAAATGTCAACTTCATTGCCCCTTGAATTGTTCGCTCAAGCGTGTCACCAATGGATTGAAAGCAGTCGCGGAGGTAGGTGGGCACAGAGCTCGGAAGCCAGCGTAATCGAAACGCGATTTCGTCATTATTGGCTCCACCTTTTTGTAAGCACACTGCTGCGGTGACCCGATTGGAATGAGGAACAATTAGATGCCGGTTAATCCGCATATAGTGGTTTGGATTGGGATATGCCAAATCAACGGAACGGCGCATCACTTCAGAGACCTCCCTGGATTTTAAGAAGTGATAAGAAGACATGGTGCCAGAACTCCATACGCCAATAGGGCAAGTGCCAGGCACACCAAGCATTGTCTTGCGACGAATGATACAAACAGCAGCATCGACAGGACAGTAAATTTGGTGGCCAGTGATCTTGAAGCGCTTCTTCACAAAGTTGAAAGCACTCTTATCATAACGCCAACAAAGCTCAAGCCACACAACATCACCACGGTTGTATCGTGTTACCAGATGATGGTGTGGGATCAACACATAATCCTTGTCAAAGAAACGAAAATCGATAGCCATCATAGCAAGTGGCATTCCCCGGAACGCTTTGGGAACATCATTTTTGTGTGGGATTGTATTGAACAGTTTTCCACGGTCTAAATCGCCTTGAGAATATTCACTGGCCCGAAAACCAGTGAAAATACCTAAGCGGGTCCAATCATATACACAGTGTACCTTACCAAGGAATGTGGCAGTGGGATCTGGTGAGTTAGCAAGCCATTGTTGCAACGCAACAAACATTTCCATGGTAAATGGTTCGTATCGTTCATTTTTCTGTTGCCAACAACGACGATCATGAATTTGCTGAAAGAGAAATGGGTGATACCGATTTTGCTTGCCGCCATAAGCAGGATCCATAACTTGGATAGGGCGACCTAAGCGATATTGCAAGTATTTGTGAGCTGTTGACAAATAGTTACGAAGTGTATCCGCTTTCAAATCCTCTTTTTCTTTGGAGTTGTCACCTCGTTTGACATCACGAAGATAAGTGCCAAGTACAAGGATGCAACCGGCATCATCTAACTTTTGTAAATCGTGCTCGGAAAGTTCTTGTCTGATGCACCAATTGGCAAAAAATTGGGCTCGAGAGTCAAAAGATCTGTCGTTACGCGCCCGTACTGATCCCCTGTCGGCGGTTCTTTCAGCGTCAATGCAATCTTGGACAGCAGTTCGAAAGGCAGAAGGCAGATGCGACATGTCTGTAGTTGGGACCATTCCGCGATAACGGAGGCCAATGAATTCTCGTGATCTTTTCCTTGAAGTTGTGGTCGACTTAGGGCGTCCGCTGCTCCGTTCTGATTTCCAGGATGATGTTTGGGACAAACTTTCATGAGTAATTGAGAGGCTTCAACAAGCAATGCAGAACCTATTCGAGCCAGTCCCTGTAGAAGAGGATCTTTTGTCCTGGATGCTGTCGACATCCAAGACACAGCCGTTGTATTATCGATCAATAAAGCTAAAATGTAGCCCCCATCGATGGGGCCGAGAAGTATCACACATTTGATGCAGATCCAAAGGTTGATGAGTGCACCCAGATATTCCAATGGGTTGATGTGTAAGAAACCATCAGGTAACGCTGGGTCATTAGATGAGATTTTTATTTCACGCATCTCAAAACCTGCTTCGACAAGAGTATCACGGGTCAGGCGCCAGAGGAAACTGAAATCAGCACTCCAGCCACCCAAGCCACCATAGCTTGCGTCGGAATATGCACGATGAGTGTAGTCACGATCCAGGTACAAAGCGATAGGCCGAGACCAAAGTGGGCTGTCCTCAGGCGCCAATAATGTCTCCAACAGTTGATGGATTGTAGCAACTGCCACACGCGATAGGTAGATACGAGAACATGTCCACCAGCTTCGTTTGTCGGAGAAGGCATTCTTGGCAGCCTGTGTCAGTGCATTTTGCAAGTTAAAGCTCAAGAAATTGCCCCATGGTGCAATTTCAGATGCAGATCGGACAATACCAACAATCTTTGCCATCTCACGAGGAGAAACGCAACGTGGACGACGTTTCAGGATGTCCAACAACTGTGAGTGCAAGTCTTCCCGTTTGTAGAGTGGCCAAGAAACCGTCATATTGTGTGTATTGATACGAAATCCTAGAAACAAAAAGGTTTCTGTAACCTCAGGTTCCCACTTTTTGTCCTGGAGGCAGTCACCACGGCGCTTATCACCATGACCAAAAACCTCAAAGGCAGACATCACACTGTGATTGATTGCTTGCTTGATATGTTCAGCAAAGGCGGCAACTGCATTGTCGTCAACATAGCTAGCATTGTACATTCGAACAAGTTCGGTCACAGACAACGGTGGGTGATGGGAATCAGCAGGGACCGTGCACAAAGGAGTAGAAGTATCAACGGCAATGGTACATTTACGGACCAGCGCATGTAATTTGTCCAAAGGAACATCAACACGACAAGTTGCCAAGACCTCCCGTAGGTCGGCAAGAACACAGTAGAATGATGGAGCATTCCTTGAACCAAACACCTGGCCCACTGGGACAATCAAGTAGTCTGAGTATACATATGCAAATGCCACAGCTACATCTGGATGATAAAGCACACGTCGAAAGGCGGCTTCAATATCGTCAGCATGAACCAAAATAGGACTTGTCGGTTTGGTGATGCGCATACGGAGAACTTGACGTAGAAACCTCTTGAACGCAAACTGGTAGTGGATTGGAGGGCACTGCTCACCGGACTTATCTTGCTTTGGTTTGGGGATATAGGTGTTGATTGATCCTAAGTCGTCAGGACCATTGGAACAGTCAATGCAAATCCGACCTTTACCTTTGTCAAAAACCCACTGGATAGGATTAATAACCAGACCTGGGATGAATTGGAACACAAACCGTAAATAGTGAATATGATAAGCCTTCCATTCTTCTTTTGCAAACTTCTCCTCAACTTTGGAAGAATTGGCAGCAACTGCTGGATGGTTATCATATTCTTCTCTAAGGACAGTAGCAGACATAGGAGTTGTGTATTGGGCTTTGATAGGAACACCCTCAGTTTGGATGCGATAAGCCATTTCAAGTTTGAGTGGTGGGTATTCAGCCGGAACCTCTTTGTTATGCAAAGTAGAGTCAATGACATCCCATTCTGCGTTGAAATCTCGATCAGAATTGACGTATTCGCCACCCAACCAACGAATGAAATCCCCATGTAGAAAATCGAAACGAAGAAGACCCGCAGAATTGAGCTTTGCCCGTGTAGGATCCAACCTTGTCGGAATACCCGTTGTTGGTAGAACACGTGGTTCTTTCAAACAAGCCAGCGAAGTGACAGAGGCAAAGCGACGAAGAGAGGCATATTGACGCCACTGAGGCAACGCAATAATCACGTTGTGTCTATCCACTGTCGACAGAAAGCCCCAAGCATAATGAATCATGGATCGAGGGTTGACCTTTGCGTGGGTGCTGTAGCGATCTTTGTGTACTTTTCCAAAACCCCATTGTCTTTTGCGAGTAGTCTTCCAAGGACGAGAGAAGGGAAACTCCAAAAGCAGAGAATTTTTCGCCAAAGCCGGAGTCACCAGGGTCAGCACGTTATAATCTGTTTCATCCAAATAGTTGCTTGCCTGTACCAGGTGGGCAATCAGCATAAATGTCGGCTGAACTTGTCCATTTCCAGGAATATTTTCATGTAGCGTCTTAGTAGGAGTGTTGAATTTCTTTTCTTTTCCCCATGGTAGACACGGCACAGTCTTAAGAGGCAACTCACGAATCGGAAGATATTGCCAGTCCCAATCTCCAGGCCATCTGTTTTTGATCCGAGCTGGTGGTGTCTTGTGAAACCGACGCCTTGGGGGAACCATGATCTTTACTCTGTCTGATACCACTGGCTTGGAGTCGTGCTCCACAAGCTGGGCCCCTTCGGGTACCAGTGGATCCCATCACCAAGTTGTACTTGGAGTCAGTTTCTTGAATGCCTTGCTCGGCAAAATATGATCGTGATACTTCTTTATGAAATCGACAATTGGCTTCCAATCCTCTTCTTTGTAGGTGGCCGCGGACCAACGCGCATCATTCAAATCGATATGAAGACGAGTTTTGCCAGCATAGCGGCCCACCTTGTGGGTCTTACAAGTCCCGGGTTTGGAACAAGTACAATGGCCCTCAAAGGTGGAATTTAAACAGATGGGATACAATGTGTTCTTACCAGAAGTGCGTTTAGCGTGAGGATCCACAATCAAGGGATAGGTGCCCCGTTGGACCACTGGGTATAACATTTCCGACGGAGATTTCTTTCCCAAAGGAGTGACAGTATGATTCCACACAAATAGTGGACTGGTGTTACGAAAGGGAACATTCTCTTTATCATCCCGAGTACGCTCCGTCGTCTTTGGCTTTGGTAGGTCCAAAAGCCGTGAAGGCGCAGCTTTTTCAGGGGCAAAGAAAGGTGAAGAAGACATCGCCCACGAACATTCGTTTGGAGCAGTATACCGACCAGCTCCCCAATTGCGCTGTATGCGAGTATAGTAGTCATGAAGAACATTTACTACACTCTCCGTCTGAGCCATAAAACCTGCACTATTCGTTTTTGACGGCACCGACATAAATACTGCATTACGGTCATTTGTGGGCCACGCATCACTAATACCATAATTTTCCACATCATGTCCAATACGATGGTCAACGAACTTCTTCAGAATGTGAAATAGTTCACTTAAATCGCGAACGTAAGCAGCTGTACACTGTGCAGGTGTCTGAGCCCATCTACGACCCAAATTTGTGTTCAGGACATATTGACATATGTGTCGCAAACAATGACCAAAGAGTGAACTGCAGAAAAGTTCATCATTGTAATCTCCGTTATCCGAAGTTGGGTTTGTAGAGCCCAAGAGTGCAAAATGATAGTATATCACCATTGCAAATTCTTTCATCTGCTGCCAACTTAATCCGTCACTTGGTAGGTAATCAGAAGAAAAGTCTTCCGAAATACAGGGTAGGAATGCTAGCAATGAAAACCGTTTGGACGTTCCTGGTGGTGGAGCGCTGTCAGGATCCACCCACCATGTAGCAATATCAAAACTACGCTTGATGAAGGCGCTGTCCATTACGGACCGCAAATCACATTGTAGCTCTCCAACTTGCGAGAATGTTCCAAATTGGTATTTGGTTCGGTACTCTATAGCCGTACAAACAATATTCGCAGCCACACTGCCATCATTTTTGTAATCAAAACCTTCCAGACATCTACGCCCAATTTCTGTTGGTAGTCCAAATTGGAGAACGTCAGATGCCATTCGATCACCGAGAGATGTTCGCACCATCCCCACCGTAGGAGGGACTGGATGCAACAACCAATATCCAATTGCCTTCAATTCCGGGGGGCAACAAATGCGCTCCATGTCCGAGTTAATACTGGCAGTCCGCACAGGGGTATATTTGGACCGCAAATTTGGCTTGTTTGTGGTGAATCCGGGATGGGCCGGATAATAACCCATCGGATACATTGCACTTCCGTACCCTGCGGGATAAGATAGGTTTGGATGCGAAGCAGTATACATGTGAGGAGAAGGTATCCCTGGCGATGCTGGAAACATCTGTTGATGGTGCATCGGTGTTGGCAACCCAGGCGTCGGCAATCCTGTGTTATGTCCAGCAAACGGGGACGGGCCCCGAGGGGTAGGATCAATTTGGACTCGTGGACCTTGTTGAAATGGAGAATTCCATGTTGAATTGTGGATTCCATTAGGAGGCATACCTTGGGCTGGCGACTGGAGTGGTATGTTTGTACCGTTCATAACACCAGCAAACGGATTACCTCCTGTGGCATCGTGGAAACAATTGGAATTGGGATGATTGACACCCATGTGACGATTTTGCAAAGGAGATGGCGTCACCGCTGGCAGCTGTCTATCCGCAAAAGATTGGGTCCCAGCATGATCTTCAGGTGGCTCATAATTAGTTCCGTGCCCATCTTCGAAATGACCATCCTCAGTAAGGACGATCAAATCTCCACGAGCTGGTACCGGTGTACGAATTGGTGCTTGACGCAAGCTAGGCTTGTGGCGCTTAGCCGCCTGAATGAACTCTGCCATGTCATCATCCACAGGCAGACCGGCAGGTGCTGCACTAGGCAACGGCAACCGTTGGGCAACATATCCTTCAGGATCTTGAGCAGAGGATGGGAGTGGTCGAGGTGTATATTGCAAGTACGATTCCGGAACCTCACTCCCAGGATCTAAATCCAGCAACTTGTACCATTTGGATACACGACCATCCCATGACCTTTCTTCATCTTCATATGGGAAGAGGTAGTTGACAAAGGCTTGACATTCAGCAGGTAAAGTTGTACCCAAAGCTTCAGGAAAGGAATCCGACACACGCATGTTGTGCATCTTGACACGAGCACGCATCTTGAATCCAAGAGGCGACGTTGGCAAAGAGGCACTGCGATAAATGATTTGCATGAGATGGCTTCTGAGGAAACGATCCATTTGTTCTTGGAATGGGGAGAGCAAAGCCTTATCCAAAACTTGATCGTTGTCGAGATCTTCCTTGGTGGGGAAAGAATACCAGAGTGGCATAGCATCCACAACAGGGACAGCAAAACTTGCAGGACTATCTTTAACGGCCGTGAACCAAGATTCAATAATTGGCTTTCGTGTCTTCATTAGATGAAGAAGACCCGAGAAGACCTTTTTCCGATTAGCAATACTATTCTGAAATTCATCAAAACCGCCGCTCGCAGGCCAAACAAAACCCACAGGACAAGCAGACATGGTTGGAAAGAAAAGAATTTTCCAAGCATCACGATTGAATGGTTTATTACCAATTGCATCTCCATCTGTCATCAAAACAGGAAGAAGAGCTTTGGCAAAGTCAATTCGATTGCCCGTCAAAGGGGACGCAAAAGTATGTCCGGACATTGATCCCAACAGAAAATGGGTCTGTTTTGTGGGATCACTAACATACTGGCGCGCAAGATCATTGGTGACAATTTCCCCAAGGGGAGCCGGAGCTCCACACGTATTGGGTTCCAATATATCCGGTTTGGTCAAGACCGGATTGGAAATAAACATAATGTGACATGGCTCTCCATCTTCACCTTTCCTGACCAAAAGGGCAAAACCAGGAGACAATGTTTCTCCATTTCTCAACCGCTGGGCTGTAGTCAACTGAGGATCGTTCCACTTGTCAAACAGTTGCTCCAACTCTTCCATCCGTTGATCCTCGGGCTCCAAATCCTCCGGGCAGGTCACCTGATATACCGGGGTGGTGGTATTGGTGACAGGGTGGCCGAATGATTGATGGATTGTTTTGTCCAATCTCATTCCTCGCCTAGGATTGATGAGTTGATCGTGGATGGTCAAGTCTTTATGGGGCAGACGAGTGAGCTGATCCCAGAAGGTACGGCCGCGGGTTCCATGTTCCGACGCGAAAGCATCAGTCAAGAACTTCATGATGAGGCAGCAAGCAGGGATGGTGCGGCGGAAGGGAAGATGAAAGAGCACTAAAGGTCAGGTGTGATAGAGCGTAAATTCGACAGCTAACACAGGCAGTTTTCGCAGATCAGATCTACTACTCTTCGCCAACAACTTGATTCGAGAGTATTGAAAGAAAGAAATAAACGTATTTCTTGATGTATACTCGCACACAAGTTCGATAAATTGATCGGACTTGGTGTTGCGGAGCAATGATGTTGAGACGGTCGTTCGACCGTCGTCAGTATGATGAAAGGAATCCAATGATTCGTTCTCGAGCTTTCGTCTACGTTAGACCAACCCAACGTTCGAATTACAAGATTGAGGGAGATTTCTTATGAGAACTCACACACAGTGGAATCCCGGTTGAGGATGTGCTTCCATAATACACCGCAATACTATACACTCCATCGTCTAGCGAAATGAAACGGCTTGTAATAATAGGGGGAATTCTTGGTGTGCTTTGCCACTTGAGTGTTGTGGATTGTAAGGGCCTCCCAATCAAGGGTACCAATGGGAAACGTGTACAATGGTGGTCAAAGCCGAGAAGTTACAATGAAGAACAACGACGTCAATTAGGTGTTGGGCCACGACCAGTGGACACAGTGGACAACGGGCCCAAAGATGCTGGGAAAGGCACCAAGGACAGTAATAATAATTCCTCAAATCAAGGTCCTGTTGACGATGAACGGGAAGGCAACACGGGAGGTGGCGGCGGTGGTGATCCCATCATTGTGTTGGATCCAACACCTTCACCAACGACTCGTCCCACCATTCTGCCAACGATGACTCTGGTCACCCCAACTGCAGCACCCTCCGAGACACCCTCAGCCTTGCCCTCTTCTCCCACCGTACTTGCGGAAACCATTGCACCAACCGGCATATCACCTACAACTAGTCCTTCCAATTTGGGCACCAATTCGGGAACCATCACTCGAAACCTTCTTCCCTTTGATATTACCGTCCAAGGGGAAGAATCCGAAATGCAAATGGTTCAGATTCCACTTGAGTTATCTCTTAATGAGTTTCTCTCTGAAACGATGGACGGTAGCTTTGAATCCTTCAAAGATATTACACTGGAAACGACAGAACTGGGCACCATTCAACGACAAGCTAGCAGAAAAAGCTTTGGCTTCACGGGAGACGCCAAGTTTTACGACGTCAACGTACCGACCACAGAAGAAGTCCACGACGCACAACAGCGTGCCTTGTCTGAATTTTCATTTGAACTACAGAACATATTGAACGAGAGAAATGTATCTGTCAATGTCGTCGATATTTCGCTAGACGACGATGAGGACAGAAATACCAACCAACAAGACAACGGCGATGAGGACAACGATGATGGGGATAATAGTGAAGATACATCGTCCGCTCGGGGAGGGATTGAACAGCAGATTGTAGGGGAACCTTCCGATTCCTCACCAGTTGCCATTGGCGTCGGTACTACGGTAGCTGTCCTGGTATTGGTTTGTGCAATACTGCTGTACCTGCAACAACGAAAGCAAAAGATAGAGGACAACAAAGAACTGGACCTCCTGGATGATCCAGATTTGATGGACGACCCAGATTTGGATGGAGACGCACCCGTCGATCACATGATAGATACCTCAGCAGGTCCTCCTCAATCGCAGTCCATGCTTGCTTCGGCTGAGTTCGTTTAGTGACCCAGTTGTTTGTGTGGCAGTTTAGCTAGAGGGTAATAATGTTCTAGTATTTCATTGTATAATAGAATAATAATGTTCTGTTCTAGTGTTTCATTGTACAGAAGAATAGCAATGTTTTGTTTCTCCCTTTCTTCGATTACCGGTATCGTACCAGTACAGCTTGAGTTGGATTGATTGTTCGTTTTCCATTTCTCTAGTTCTCTATTGGAATGTCACACTGTGTCACACATGTTCGCTCAAACGGCTAACTTTTCTCGACCACGGGAATCGGTTTACGTTGCGCATCTTTCCCGCTTGCAACTCGCAAGACTATGAAATCCACATTTAGGTGGAAATTTTGGAAAGTTTTATATTTTTTCACTCCAAGCAGCCAAAACGTCAACACCATGAGGTTCTCGATAACAATACTGAGCCTAATCTGTAATCTGCTTGCTGCTGATGCGAGAAGTACCGTAATCAGGGGATCCACGAGGAGGGCAGAAACAAAGGACCTGAACGAGTTTAGACTTTTGGAAGTGGGAGATGCCAACAATGGTGGGAAAGACGCAAAATTCCCGAAAGAACCAAAGCCTGATAAAGGCGAGGGAAAGGGAAAAGGCGACGAAGGCGAAAGTGAAGATGAAGACGAAAGCGACGACGAGACAGGCAACGCATCACTGCCTACACTTTCACCGGTGGCTAATTCTCCGATCCAAACTCCAACACTGGCACCTGCAACGACTTTTCAACCAGGGGTCGTGGGTCAAGATGATTCAGCATCGCACACGCCCATAATATTGTATCCCGAGACTCCCGCTGCCCCATCCTCGAGTCCAATTGTACCAACCATCATAATATCGAATCCTGATCCACCAAGGGCACCAATACCGTCAACACTGTCAACACCGTCACTGCCAACGCCAGCAATACCGTCAACGCCAGCAATACCATCCACACCATCAATACCGTCAACACCGTCAACGCCAACGCCAGCAACACCGTCAATACCAGCAGCACCGTCAATACCATCAATACCATCAGCACCATCAATGTCGTCAACGCCAGCAACACCATCAATACCGTCAATACCGTCAGCGCCAACGCCAGCAACACCGTCAGCGCCTACTCCTGGAACATCAACGTTGAGGCCAGTATCAGATGCAAATCAACCATCCATTTCACGACCATCTGCATCGGTACCCACACTCCCTCTGCCAACAATGAGTCAAACGAAGGCCCCCACCAGGGATCCAACAAAGGCTCCCACAAGGGTTCCAACAAAAGCTCCGACCAAGGTTCCAACAAAGGTTCCAACAAAGGCTCCAACGATGAAACCATCAGCCATGCCATCAAGCAATCCTACCATTATGCCGTCACTTGCCACGGTTGCGAGGGGATTGCTTCCCTTTGACATTACCTTGGAAGGAGATTCGGAGCAATTTGTGAATGTGGAGGAACCACTCAAGCTATCCCTAGAGTTCTTTTTGGAGGACAAATTTGGTGAAGTCTTTGAAAGTGTCACCACCGTGCGACTTCAAGAAGACGACGGCGTCCAGTCGATTCAACGACAGCGAGTCCAGAAAACATTTGGATTTGAAGGGAATGTCAACTTTCAAAATCGAAATGTGCCCACTACTCAAGAGGTTCACCGAGCGCAACAGGGCATATTGGATAACTTTTTATTTGAGTTGGATGCCATTCTGCGGGATAATGGTATTGTCTTGGACCCTACCAATGTCGTGCTAGATAGAGACGTCATCAATACGGTTGACGACGATATCACGTTACCAATTGGTGGTTCGGAAGATTCTGACAAAGAAATTGTGTCCGAGGATGACAATGATATCATTCAGTCCAATGGTGACCGGGGAATTGGCCAAGACGACGACGATGATGACGAAGCAACTGCTATCTGGGTCGGATTGGTACTATTTGGCTTGGTTCTTGTAGCTGGATTCTTTGTGGTGAAACAAAGACGGGCCAATGAAATTGAAGAGGATCTCTCTTTGGATGACGAAGAGAATTTGATGGTCGATACAAGCGAACCAAAGCCCCTTACCTGGGATGGTGTGTTCCGATGGTCTACCTTGGGATTCGAAGAGCTAGAAGGATCTGTGCCAGGACCGGAAACCGAATTTATGAATGTGCCGCAACTCGAAGAACGAGAAGTGGTCAAGCTGAAAAGTGTTGAGGACGTATCCAAGAATTTGGATAGCATGTTTGTAGAAACATTTCACAAGCCGGATCCAAAATTTGCCAGGCCCTCGACTCCAACAGATTCCAATGATTGCGTTGTACATTAGGCTAGCCATCAATAGACAAGATTGCGTGGCAGTGTAGAATGCCATGAGACTATTTAAAGTATAATGAAAGTATTAGAGTTGTTTAAAGAAATCAAAAAGTAAAAATAAGCAATTGCCTTCTATAGTCCTCTAGCTTTCTATATCCATATTATAAATCCATGGCGAATGAAATTTGGTTCTCCTCCGATTTCAACTTGCGAGTTGCAGCCTTGGCTCTCCGCTTTTCCCACTTGAGCTGTTCCAGAAAGACTGGATCGAATTGAGAGGATGAATCCTGGGACGCAACACTTGAACTCGAATAACTAATGCTGTCCATAGTGGAGTTGAGAGTTGGAAATAAAGTGCTTTCGTCAAAGATATCTCGCTCGCTGTGAACCGAGCCAGTCTGGGAATATTCAAACGAGTCGCGATTTTGTAGAAACCTAGTTTCTTCATCTGAAGGGGCATCGTTCTCTTCGTCTGAAGCATTCTCATGACTTGATGTGGTAGGTGAGACAATTCGTGGCTTCGCATCCGGCTCATGGTCCTGATCATTTGAATTACGCCCGAATAGTTTCTGATTTAGATTCAACGGGGAGGGAAGGTTTGTCTTACTTTCAGATTGTTGCGAGCTAAAACTGTCGGCTGAACGAATGGACCCCACAGATTTCAGTAATAACTGTGGAGCCTCAGAACTGCCATCTTCGGAATCTGCAGAGTAATCTTCCTCTTCAGGTTCGGAGATTTGAGAGGCGCTATCGCTGTCGACAAACACTTCAATTGGTCGATTGCCAGCTTCCTCGGTGTGTCGAACAGGATTCAACACACTTTCTAGAGCCATTGCAGAGGTATCCGCCACTGTAGAGGAATCTGACCGCAGCAAGTCATCCAGCAAGTCATCGAGTGGAGTTACAGGAGGCTGTCTTGGTGGAGCAAGCCACTTGTTGGGAGGATTGAACCGTCTCTCGGTTTCCTCCGATTTGGTACAATTGATTTGATGCATTTGTGAATCTGTACGACTTGGAGAAACACGAGTTGTATCTCGGCGAACAAATATATCCTCGTTTGGCTCTTCCATTCTGCCATATCGGTAACCTCCACCTTCATCGGCAGAATCGTCTGTACAACTTTCAGAAGAAGAAGCCAGCATAGATAGTGCTCCAACTACTTTCGTAGAGTCTAGAGTCAGCTGAGCCGAACTGTTGTCGGTATGACTTTCGACTGCTCGACTTCTACCAAAGCGCATTGCCGAAGATCGCAGTGCTGTAGAGTCGTTGGAATTGGAAAATACAGACATGGAGCTTGGACTATGGCTTCTGGCAATGCTACTTTGCGACGGGGACATCATTGGGATGGATGCCAATTGGACAATTCGGTCGTCTTCTCCGTCTGAATCCAATTGCACTACTTCCATACCGCCCCCCGCCAAACACTCCTGAATCATAAATTTGGAAGACGACAATCTGCGCAGCGAAGCTCGTTCGCTGGGTGATGTTTGCTCTGTTTCTGTTTCTATCTCTATCGTTCTTGATTTGCCAAATCTTGGAATGCCTTCATCCAGCGATACTGAGGAATCACTATCTTCTTCAAAGACATAGGGAGGTGGTGATGCTGGGGGTTTGTTTCGTCTGTAGCGAACGAGCATGAAAGTTGCTGCCACAATGAGCAAGACAGCAATCGACACTGGAACAATCAGTCCAATGTTTGGTGTTGGGCTGCTGGATGTCGCGTCATTTTGTTTTTGCGCTTCAATCGACACTGGATCCCGGTCACCGACTTGGACTCTTGTGATCAATAAATCAATGTCCGAGCTTGAAACGAATTGATTTAGAGTGGCAATATCTTCAAGGGCGGCTGTTTGGGCACTCTTTGCAGATGGTTCCATCACCGAAGGATCACGAATAGTGACAGATCCATGATACATTCGGATACTCTTCACCTGCAATCCTGTTAATTTTCGGTCCGTGTTCAAAACTTGCAAATCAACATTCACCAAAGTTGCCATCGCTGCATTCATGCTAACATAAAGATACCTTTCTACAAGTTGATTAAAAGCAGTTTCGTTTCTGGGAAATTCACTGAGCTCCAACACAAATGGTGTGAGACTTCTGATGGATGACTCAAAACTAAGAGTGGGATTCACCGTATGCAATTGAAACGTTGGTCGAGATGCTTGCTGAGACGTTGGCCGTTGAGTTGGTGCCTCAGTTTGCTCTTTTTTGGGTGCTTTGGTTGGTCGGATTGTTGGTGGGTTCGTTTCAATAGAGGGAGAGGCTGTAGGAATAACGGTTGGGATTGCCGTGGGAGAAGATGTTTCAGGATCACGCTTGTTTTCCTTTGCCTCACGGCGACGAATCCCAATGGATCCTCGAGGTTTGGCTGCTTGTACAGTGGGGCTCAGCAGCATGAAACACCACAAACAACTAACCAACAGTAGTTGCGATCGAGCAAAATATCGCAAAACCATCGTGATTCTATAATGAAAGTCCTCATTTTAATGGATCTGGAGTCTGGGCCGAACCTGACAGTTGAGCTTCTATCAAAATTTGCAGGATACCGTGGTCAGCTCAATTGGCGGTTGCATCTCTCTGAGCAGATTTCATCTTTCGTGATGGGACTGACGTTGAATCACTATCTAAGATAGCCTACTGCCGTCCTCCGTGTGTGTGTTCGTAGTATTTTGTCTTGGCGTGTAGCTGGACCCTCCGCAACTCGTCCGTCCTTCGTCGTTTTAAGGGGGATTTTGCGTATTGAATTTACGGGGAGCGAATACATGATTCTTTAGGGGGAGTTGTTTAAAAGGGGGCATTACGGTTTTCCAAAAAATATTTTGTCGTGTTTCAAATTGATTTGTCGTGTTTCATTCGAGTTTGTCGTCTTTCGAATTGGTTTGTCGTCTTTCGAATTGGTTTGTCGTCTTTCGAAAAATCTTGTCGTCTTTCGAAATTTCTTGTCGTCTTTCAAAAAATCTTATCGTCTTTCGAAATTTCTTGTCGTCTTTCGAAATTTCTTGTCGTCTTTCAAAAAATCTTGTCGTCTTTCGAAAAATCTTGTCGTCTTTATTTCAGCTTGAAGTTGTCGGATGGAAATACATATGCAGCATGCTCGCCTATCTCTCATGATCTTATCATCGGACGAAGATCCGCCCATGAACCACATCCTCACTCCATCGGAGATGACGAATATCACGGCCTTTCTCCATTGGGGATACGTGTGGAAGGGAATCAAATGTGCGAAGGGGAAAGGCGAATGTCTTCCACTTCAAGCACCGACCTGCAACTAAGCAACATTGCAGACACCAAGATCAAAGAAGGAGACGAAGATCTCAAGTACTTCTTAATGGGGCTTTACTGTCTTCGAAAAGTAGTTTTTTGGTCAACGATCAAAACATGGGAAACGATCAAAAAGATTCAAGACGTGATTTTGTTTGGGAAGAAACTGTTCAGAAAGGTATGAGTTGGGTGCTGTCGACGGATGGTAGTCACCGTTGGATCGATCAATGAGCCTTCTCATTCGGACTGCAGTCAAGATCCCCGATACTACCTTCATAGATACAATAATAAGCCACTGGTTTGGAATTTCGGTAGTGGACAATCGGCAATTGTGGATGCGTGGTCCCATTCCATTCAAGAGCAGTCTTCGCCACTCTATAATATTCTGACTGAAGATGCTGTAGATAGATGTAAAGACAATAAATAAGAGTTCTAGACCAGCAAAAGACCAGCGTATTATACATATATCCTACCATCCCTGCTACTTCACACAACATGTGATACAAATCTCAACAGACAGATATAAAATGTTCTTTGAAAAGCATTTCTTTCAAAATTCTGCTCGATGATGCATTTCCTTTGACATGTCATCTAAACTGATTGTGACACTCGTCGAACCAGTTGAGGCGCCAGTAGCCCGATCATAGTTGGAGACAACCGTATCTGGGTTGTAGTAGAACTCAAACTTGAGAACGGGAAGCTTGGCAATAAGAATATTGCGAGAAGTCGGATCATGGAGCTTGATAATAATCCAAATCCTGTTTATTGTTGGATTCGAGTTTAGTAACAATTGTCGTCACATCTCCAAATGGAATCCTTTGTGCCTTTCAATGATGCCACTTGATATTAGGCTCCTTCCCGCCTGGAGCCAATGTTTCACCGGGTCCTCCAAAAAAGGCATGTTGTCGCCTTCCTTCATGACCTTGACGTAGCGATAGTTCTCGCACATGAGCGTATTTTCCTGGTTTTTCTGCCGTCCGTCGCTTCTACTTTGGACCATGAACAAGTTTGGGCGGGCGTGATGAATTTTGTGAGGACTTCACCAACGTAGCTTTCTCTTTGTAGCCATGATGATGATGATGATGAAAGGGTCATGAGCTGCATCTTGTGGGTGAGTCGAAGACGGATTTCGAACCAAAGAGTTGGCCTACGGTCCTTTTTCGTCAATTGACACATCAGTGATGATGAGTTCGAGGTCGGTTTGTTGTCGTCGTCTTTTGAATTGATTTGTCGTCTTTCGAATTGATTTGTCGTCTTTCGAAATTGATTTGTCGTCTTTCGAATTGATTTGTCGTGTTTCATTCGAGTTTGTCGTGTTTCATTCAAGTTTGTCGTATTTCAACTTGATTTGTCGTGTCTCATTCGAGTTTGTCGTCTTTCGAATTGGTTTGTCGTCTTTCAAATTCTGTTGTCGCGTTTCGGAATCTGTTGTCGTGTTTCGAACTGGTTTGTCGTGTTTCGATTCGACCCAAAAGTAGAACTTGGGGCCCCTAAATTTGACTGCAAAACATAATGGGGGAAGACTAGAGAACAGTGCTTCCCCCCGTTTAAATTGGACGACAGACAGACGAGTTGCTGAGGGTCCTGGTGGGTTGTGGTGTGAAGCGGGTCGAACTGATCGAGTAATAGACTCGATTCGTTCGACCAATCTCAGAAATCCCGTGTGCGGTATTACTGAGATCTGCTTTCCTACAAGGCACCGCCGATATGGTACAATGGAGGCGGTGCCCAACAGGGCGGGTGAGGTTTGGGAGAGAAAAATTGAATTACCACGACACAAGTGGGTGAATTCAATCTCAGTCGATAAACTGGGCATCATTGCCTGGGCGCATCGACAACAACTTTTGACGGTCGAAGGCCGTTCGGCCTTTGTCCGTCTGTACCACAATGTAGTCAAAGAAATCGAACAGTGTGCCTGCGGTCTACGTTGGAATATTATATTTCATATAAAAGATTTTCCGCCACGCTACTAGTAAATTTTGTCCGTGGAGGGTTCGTGAAGGTTTCGTGAAGAGTTGGTGAAATTAAAATTCCTCCCGTCATTGTTTTTGGTTTTCGCAAGGCACCCATCACACAAGCGGACTACCATCCCACCAACGCGCAAACAAGCGGACTACCTCCCCACTACTAGCCCCCTTTGCACTTCCACAGTATTTTGGTGAGATGAAAAAGCTCCGAGGAACGATTCTAAGAAAAGATCCCTCCAAAGGATTCCCCACCAACCTCAACAAGAAGAAGCAGCACAAAATAACCACAAAAGAGCAACATAAACAAAGTCTTCTAAGAATTGAAGAGGTAACAGCAGATTTATGTCGCAGGCGTGGTACCTCAACCGATCCCAAGCCAATTACACAAGGCCAAGACACGGGTCAGAGTTCTGTGAGTTGCAAAGATTCAACCCTCCAACGCTACATGTCTGATTGGAAATCGTTCCTGAAGTTTCTCATCCTCATAGAGGACTACGAATCAGCCATACTGCTCCACCAGGTCAAGTGTCCAGCAGAACCCCCACCAGTGCCCTTGTGAGCGCTGTGGCCTATATCAGATACCACTCACTAGTCCCAGGGACAATTATCAACAAGCTAGGATTTGAAGAGCCTTTCACATATGGCCCAAACCACACAGTGCTCAAAGCCATTGGCGGCTGGACCAGCCAAAGCACTGTGGGTCTCTTTGCCACTTCTTTATCAAGGCTCCACAACTATTATGACACAACCAAAGGCGAATACATGGAGCAATGCGCAGGTTGCCAAAGCTTACCTATTGAGCAAATCCGACAAGGACATACATGCAATCTTCATTCAGGTCATAATCGGTATTGGAGGTGTGGCAACGTGGCTAAAAGCAAAAAATTCCTTGATAATATTATCCAGTGCAAGAAATATGCCCAAGACGAAAACCACCACCGTTACACCATCGGTTTCCTCCCAGCCGAACTTCGGAACATCAGAGATCACCTCATTGCCCAGAACTCCCTTCCTCATCTAATGCTTTGGACAATGATGATCCTGGCTTCCAGAATGTACCTCCGTGTGGAGGAGGTGCGATCACTCAAGGTTGAAGACTTTCTGTGGAAATACTTTGTCATCCGCAACAACAAAGTAACCTCCCTCATGGTGAAGGTTAAGGGCAAAAGGGACAAGGGACCTGTCAACCTTCTCATTTGAGATGACGATGAGTGTCCAGAACTATCTGCTGTCCGCCCCTTGCTGCTATATATATGGCCATCTCTGGTAGGAAGAGCGGTTATCTCTTCCCCCAACTTGAACAGATCAAGGATGAATCCCCCACCGAAAAATACCCATACGCCAACATGCTCAGCGACATGGCGATTTTATACATAGACATCCTCGGTAAACTGCTGGTAAATGAAGATGGAACAACAATGTCATTTGGGACCCATTCCTTGAGGAAGACTGCATACTTGTTGGCATACTGGATGATAAAGACAAATCCCCTTGGTTTGCAGAGTCGAATCGAAGCACACCATGTTCTGCCCGTTGAGGAAACAGCATCCATGTACAATGACGCTAGGCACAAGAGCACCAAAATGAGTCAGATCTAACTTCAGGAAGCTCCAGCCTTATTTCAGTTGAATCTCTCAAGTGAGAACCCATTACCAAACAAGGCCGGTCCGTACCTACCCATCTATGTCAACTTCCCAGATTCAGTATTGGCGGTGATAGACTCCACAGGTCTGTCCTGAGGACACAATAAAAAGACCTTGCCAGAAGTGGCAGAATGGTATGTTCACACCATATTGAAAATACCAATTCACTGTAATTTGGATGGACACGTTCGCGAAATGTGTAAGACAGCCCAGTCCCACAGATTGATTTTGTTGATAAAGATTTTGTTGATGAAGTGTCATGGGACAAAAGAATGACAGTATGGTACCGGATGACATTGTGGCGGACCGTGTCCAGACAAATTGGGTTTGAGCCAAAACACTAAGGTAGGTCCAATGATTTGGTGAACAGTTGGTGAAATTTGAAATGTTGGTGAACAGTTGGTGAAAATTTGGGTCACGTAGAAATCCTACCAGTGAACAAGCACAAAAAAGTTGAGATAGACATTCTTCCGCGCGTCAGACAGAGACTGATGACTGACTGACGAGCGATCAGGAGTTAGCGATATTGAGTCAAGAATAATAGATTGGATTGAGAGTGAGTGAGTAAGTTAGTAAGTGGGTCGTATCTGCCTGGTACCGGTATGGTACTACTCCAGAAGTCGTTCAGTCAGTGTAATGACCTTGGAGTGACCTTGGAACTAGATTAGACCCTTTGGAGGTACAGACATAGCTTTAGGCCTAACTCTCACGTCACTCCTTTCTGTGGCTTTCTGAGAGACTCTATAACTTTTGTTGTGACCCATTCCTATCTCTTCTTCTAGGCTGGTTCACTATTCGAATAGCCATAAGGCTTAGATTGAAGACTACAAGAGTATACTCTCACACACACAAGCAATTGCCGTTTGATTTGATCGCGAAACCTCGATGCTTGCAGATTTACAACAAGTTTTACACTCCAGTCCTTTTTCTACAATAGCTTCTATGCACATGCTCCGTCAAACCATCATTGTCAATGAGGGCGACTCTCCATTGGCATACAAGTCCAGGGAAGTCACTAATCCAGTGATGCAGTATGTCAGTTTTTTCGACAACAACTTTGAGCGCAAGCAAAAGGTTGAAGTTTGGAATGGTGCAAGTGGAAAGAATGTTGAACCACTCCTCAGGTCCATTCAATCCTTTTGCAACATTGCTTCAGAGTGGGGACTCAATCAGGGTCATCAAAAGAAGGCCTTGTTCAAGCAATTCCTCACTGCTGAACCGCACATGACCTATCAGAGAATTTCTGATACTCATGGGAACTCAGTTCAGGACTTTGAAGACTCTGTCAATGAGTTCATTTGCGAATACACTGGTGAAAATCCCAAGTATCAGGCGAACATGTATCTCTTTGATACTTCCAATCACATTCGCAAACTGTATAATACAGAAATTGGAATTCACGCAAATTGCTTGAAAACCCTATTTATGTATCACGATATGCTTCCTGGAAATTGTTCCAACGTGAACGATGAAAACGATCCGGCTCAAATCCGGAAGGGAAAGCTGGCACTGTTTTGCTCCTTTCCAATTGATTGGCAGGGAGATTTTATCAATTCGCGAAATGATCCGGCGAACAACGATAATATTATGTGGAAAGATGTTGTCAGTTGGATGACACATAAGAAAAGAACAGTGGACAGAAAGAAGCTTATGCGGGAGAGTTCTCAACGTCAAACTCCACCTGGTAATTGCACAGGCAACACTATTATCAAGAAGATCAGCAACAATGGAATGATCAATTCAACTTTGAACAGGAAGCATATTATCCTGAAGAACAGGAGGCGCAGGAACATTTTTTCTATGATGAGGATTCGCCATTTTCCTTTCATGAAGAGCATTACTGACCCACAACTACTCGTAAACTAACAGGGCTTCCTAAGCTTCCTAAGCTTCCTAATCCATTTCTGGAACCTGATTTGTCTTCGTTTCTTTCAGCATAGGGAAAATTTGATGATGAAGATGGTCCAATGACTAAAGATGAGAAAGAGTTTCTTTTGAATGATTCTTTGCTTCGTATACCTACACCACTCTATGGAGGATTCGATAAGAAAAAAGAGACTTTCACCTACATCATTGGTGATTTGGAAGACAATTGGAGGACGCGTTGACTTGTATTGATCCCGTGACAAACCTCACTGAACTTGCTTTCATCAAGAATAAAACTGCAGCACACGTGGCAAATGTGTTCGAAATGCTGTGGTTGTTGCGATATCCAAGACCACCATACAAATGTATTCACGATCAAGGAGGCGAATTCATTGGCGAAGCCTTTCAAGCGAAACTTGCTACTTGGGGAATCCATGATGGCGGAACCACTAGCAAGAATGCGACTGCAAATGCGATCTGTGAACAAATGCATTTGACAGTGGCAAACATTTTGCGAACCAGATACAACAATGCTGCTCCAAACTTTCAAGTCGCTGTTGAAGAAATCAAGCGAGCTCTTGCTGCTTGCAATCATGCAATGAGATGTGCTGTATCGACAGCATTGATGAACAATACTCCTGGTGAGACTGTGTTTCATTGTGACATGCTACTAAACATTCCTGTGATTGTCGATCTACTTTCTATGCAGCAAAAGAGACAGTAAAAGATCAATGAAAACTTGAGGAGACAGAACGCAAAGCGAAAAGAATTTGATTACAGAATTGGTGGAGAAGTTTTGATCAAGAATACTGATGGAAGGAAGATGGATCCGAAGTGCAGAGGTCCCTATCCTATTACAAATGTTTACACTAATGGTACAGTGGAAATTCAGCGCACAGATGCGATCCGTGAGAGGATCAACATCAGACGGCTTGTGCCGTTCCGTTGAGTCTATTGGACGATATGCTTGTATCGCCCATTGCGTCAAGAACCACCTCTGAAGTTGAATGGAGAATCAAGTGGATGTAAGGGCGCCTTGTGACTTTTAGTGTATGATCAATCGACTGGCTCTGATCATAGAAGGGAAGAGTGTAATGACCTAGGAGTGACCTTGGAACTAGATTAGACCCTTTGGAGGTACAGACATAGCTTTAGGCCTAACTCTCACGTCACTCCTTTCTGTGGCTTTCTGAGAGACTCTATAACTTTTGTTGTGACCCATTCCTATCTCTTCTTCTACCGGTAGGCTGGTTCAGTCAGTCGTAGGTAATTTTCCTGACCGGTACCACCACGGTACAGTACCAATACCTTGTACCGGTACAGGCAGGTCCCGCCGGTACAGAAGCAGCGCAACTTTGAGCAATACTTTTGTTTCACGTGTCACTTCAAGCTCCTCGTCCTCGCGCTTCTCATTTTTTGGAGATCCAAAAGCGCCCCTACCGGTACCTGAGAAGCGCACAGATCAAACGCTAATATCGGGGAAACACCAGAAGTGTTCAAAAAACGTCCGATGGAAGATTGAGGGAAAACGACTTCACTGGTACATATATATTATTGGTACCGGGTACAGTACAAGTACGTGTACAATATATAATATGTCCCCATCTCTGATAGGACACGACCGGTTACAATATCAATCGACCAGAAACTATCGAAGTAGCCATTCGACCCTTAAACGGGCCCGAAAAGTATTTTCTGTTGCGATCGACACGGCATTCATTTTTATTGAGTCAGTGCCTGTGGTACTCGCGGAAGGAATGTGAACAACTCGCCAGATTATAGTTCATTCTAGCGCTACCCGAAAGCAATCAAGATGCTACCATACGAGCCTTAAATGTACTCTTCAAGGAGTTTTGGTTCGCATCGGGAGTGAAAGCGAACATAGCCTTTTCCACTTTGCAGGATAAAGACCGGTGAGAGAACTTCTTCGTAATTGAATGTCCTCCGGTTTTCAATTCACGTCCAGAAACACCCAGATCAGACTGGAGGACACTTATGGAGCATCGCTCGATTTGGGTCACGAGGTCTTATGACAACCATCTCAAACCCGTTGAAGAAGCGCCGAGTGCAAAGAACTCTCTACACACGACGAGCTCAAGATTGGAAATGTCCATTCTACAGGAGCATTACAAGTACCAGCGTGTTTGTTCGCTTTCTGTTCACAATTTCAATCATCCAACTCCTGAAAAAAATTTCCATTTTCACTTTCAAGTCAAGTGCCATACACACAATCTTCAAACATGGCGCTTTTACAAAAACCCCTGATACACTGTGACCCCTTCGGAGAGCCCTCTGAGCCTTGCATTCAGCAATGGCCGGCTCATCTAGCCAAAGATGTAGCCGATATCATCCACAAAGACGTGGTTGATACTTTGAGCCAATCTAGATTAACTCCCACAACTGATGGTATTCAACTCGTTCAGCGACAGGACATTGCCCGCGTTGAGCGAGTTCTTGGATCTGGTGCATTTTCACAAGTCTCGAGTGTGATAACGCGAGATGGTAGGCGGTATGCTTGCAAGCACCTGCAGCAAAGATTGATGGATCAACCCAATGATTTCCGAACGGCTGCAGTGGAGCTTGTATATGAAGCTCACATGCTATCTTCATTTGATCATCCAAACATTCTGAAAATTAGAGGATGGGCTCACAACGGCGTTGCTTCGTTCGCAGAAGGCTGGAACGATTCATTCTTTCTCATGCTGGACGTGTTAGATGAAACTTTGGACATGCGCATTGAACGGTGGTACCGAGAGCAGCAAGATGGTATGTGGGCCATGATGGCCTCTCCATCTTCAGCAGCTCAGCAAATGGAAGCGCGACATCTCGAAAAGCTGAGAATCATGAACGAGCTTGCATCTGCATTGGATTACATTCACCAGCGTGGTGTTATCTTCAGAGATGCTAAGCCTCAGAACATTGGTTTCCTTGGAGACCGTGTTCAGCTGTTTGATTTTGGTTTGAGTCGTGAGCTTCCGTTGCTTGACACATCGGCACAGTTCGAAATGTCTGGGAAGGTTGGTACACTACGGTATATGGCTCCTGAAGTCGCAACGAACAAACCATATGGTGTGTCTGCTGATGTATACTCTTGGGCAATGGTCTCTTATGAGATTTTGTCTTTGGTGAAGCCGTTTGATGGATGGACCAGGGAGATGCACGCGAGCTTTGTGTGCCTGCAGGGTCAGAGACCTGATATGGTGCATTGCAACCAGCCGATTCCTGTGGAAGTTCAGGTCCTTCTGGAACACTCCTGGAATACAACTCCATCGATGAGACCACAGCTATCCCAAATAATGAATCAGCTGGATTATTTGATGGCGTGTCAGGTTCAGAAAGTTCAAGATCAACAGATCCAAATGAACATTGCTAGACAGTTGGAGTCGGAAATTCAACAGCAACAACAACTCGTGCACACTTTGGCACCGCCACAGCCACTGATTCATATTGATTTGAACAGCTACATTGCACGACCAGCTCTGAGAAAGCTAGCTCGAAAGAATTCTTTTGACTCAATTGAGACGATTGAAACTACAACTTTGAGCATCGAGAGCGAAGACTTCTATTAGATGTAGTCTTCACCTTAGTAACAACTAGAATAGAGAATAGAACCAATCCAATCTAGATGTAGTTGGAACACTGTAGGAACTGAAGCTTTCATGTTGAATGCCAAGATAGTTATATTTTATACACAAGCTACTTTTATCCACTACTGTGATCTGTACTTTGGATTGATTAGTTGCGTTGCTTGTCGAGTTGAGGACTATGTATACTATTCTCCAGGCCATGTCAAAAACATTGCATTCTCTACAGTATACATTCGAGCCGTACAATTATATGCCATCATGTCATTCCCTCTTATCATGTTGCCCGCATCACAGTTCAATGGAGAGTCTGCATCTGGATCGCTCAACAACGCAAGAATTGCCCGGCAAGCGGCTTGAATTCCCCAAGCAGGGCTCCACTCCTTCTTCAGAATATCCAAGCAGACATCACCTGTTCGAAAGTGAACATTTGGATGAAACACTCTGGTCATGAATTGTATCGATGGAGGCGCCAGAGGGTAGTCATTGCTACAATCAATGGACAGCTGAAAGATGCCGCTTTCATATGGAGTCTCTGAAGGACCACGAAGCAAAGCTGACCATTTTAATATATTCTCGGAGTCAGGTATCAAGTAAATATATGGATCCTTCTTGTTCCGTTCCAGATTTTGTAGTTCCTTTCGCAGTCTCTTGGAAGCTTGCATGACTCTGTATTTTTGTTTTTCGCCTTTGCTTGTTGAGGCGGCAGGTATCACATCCGGGTATCACCCGGAATACTGCTGTGTGGAGTTATGTACGTCAGCTCTGCGACCGCCGACTATGCAATGAAAAAGAAGACAACGAGATCTGCACAGAAATACTCATTTACCAACATAAATAAAATACAATGGCTCGTAGACTACTCGCCTTCCTTCTCTTGGCTATTTTCGCTGCATCTTCGAATGCTTTTGTTCAACCAAGAGCAGCAGGTTCCATCTCTCAGAGCACAGCAGCACCTCCATCAGTGACTGCTCTCTTCGAGAGACAGTGGAATTTCAACGAGGGACAAAGCCCATGGGGTTTGAAGAAGAATGCTGAAATCTGGAATGGACGTGTGTCTCAGGTATGCTTTCAGTTGCGAAAGAGCTGATAATTTCCGCTCTTTACTTTTTGCTAATTATCTGCTTGTTTCTTGAAATAGATGGCCTTTGTCTGGGTTTTCTTGCAAGAGTTGATTACTGGAAAGGGAGTCGTCCAAGGAATCCAAGAAGGGGATTTTTTCTTCGTTGCAAACGCTGGCCTCTTTGGTGTTTCACTTCTTGCGCTTACAGTCTGGCTAGCTATCAAGGGTGACAACGACTACACTAAAGAATAAGCAGATGAAAAACTCAACAAAAATGTATCCTTAAACTTTAATAGAAAAACTGGCTACAATTTGTTCAATATTTTGTGTTTCAATTGGGACAAGTACAAGTCTTTCTTCTTCCCTTTTGAGGGCAGAAACTTGTGCTACATAGGTACTCTTGGTGCTGCTATTCTAACAAAACACTACAGTAGTACAGTATTTATTTTGATTTGATATACCGGTACCGGTACCGGGTATCGTACCAGGTACCAGTACCAGCGTACTGTAGTACCGGTACACTACCTGGTACCGGTACCACCAGGCACCGTACCGGTACTTGAACTGGTCCATTGTTTTCGTGACTTAAACAGTACAGGACTGAGCGCGTGTCGTTCCTCCTTTTGAGAAAGTTCGTTAGAAAATGGAATTGACTTCCAACCGTCTCACAAAATCGTACCATTTTAGTCTTTGCAACGGCCAAATGTTGATCACCATGACGACAAAGCATTTTCACCTTTTCACGCTTGTTGGACTCTTGACTTTTCACAATATCCTGGGTGCGCCAATCGAGAGAATGTTGCAAGGAAACGAAACGAATTTTCCGCAACGACGAAATGCTACAGCAGCAAGTACCAGTACCACCTTGCCCCACATAGATCCTACAACTGCTCCAACCGAGTCACCAGCACCTTCCCCTGCCCCCTCTGCAATTCCCACTGATATACCAACAGCAAAACCATCATCTACTCCCACAAAAACTCCGACTGTCCCATCTGATTCACCAACCGAGTCACCGGCACCGTCACCATCGCCTTCTAAGATGCCAACTATGCTTCCGACACGAACTCCAACAGCATCGCCATCTGCTTCTCCAAGTGCTAGCAAGAATCCTTCCACTGCACCCAGTACAAAGCCTACATTCCAACCGACCGCGGCGCCGACTCGCTCGCAACAACCTTCAAGTAACATGCAGCCGTATTCAGCTTCTGGGGTGGAAATCGTCTTGGAAAATGTTGTTGAGATGCCAAGTATGAATGAGAAAGACATTTCTCTTTTTGAATCTACTACAAAACAAATACTACAAAATGATTTCTCGTCTCCTGGCATCAACGAGATCTTGTTTCTGAAAGTAGAGCTCAAGGAACAGAAAATGATGCCGACAAGAAGAAAATTGAGAAAACTCCAACATCACCAAAATGCCGACTTGGCAATCTCGTTCGATGTCACAGCACTGGTAAACCATGAATGGAACATTCCATTTGATCTCAATGAAGGAATGGTGAAGTACTTTGGTACTGACGAAAAGCTGGAGAAGTTGAGATCCCAGCTAGAGGCTGAGGGAGCAAGTTTCCTTGACAAGCTGGGATCCACAAGTGATGGCACTGGATCGATCTCGACTGCTGCAATAATTGGTGCACTTGCTGGCTTGCTAGCCATTATCATTGGAATTGCGGTAGCCTATCGCCAACGCAGTGCTAAGTTCCAATCGAAACTCAGCTTGGCTTCGACCGGAAGTGATGAAGACGAGGACGAAAGCTCCGATACACAAATGATTTTCGCTGGTCAAAATACTTATGGAGGCAACATTCTTTCTTGGCCTACCCCAACTGGCGAGAATGAAGGAGTTGAAGCCGACTATTTCGGTTCCTCTCGGCCAGCATTCTTGACAATGGACAGCAATATCGAGGTTCCTGACACACCGGTTGGACATACGCCACAGAAGTCAAAGCCTGGGGTATCTGCCTTGGACACACCAAATTCGATTTTTGGTCCTCAGAATAACTCTACTCGAAGCGTTGGAGCTCGTCAATTTCTCATGGATACGCCGCCCTCAGCAATGAACGGCAACAACACATCCAGTCGTGGATTCTGGCCACCAAGATCTGGAGGCCAGAGGAACGTGACTCCAAAGAAACAAACTATCGACATGTCGCCGGCAAGACTCGACACGTCAAAGGCAGAGGGCCATAAGGTTGAATCTTCGCCAATCAAGTTCCCATCTGATTCCAACAGCAAGATCGACCAAAAACATAAGCTTACGCCCCCTACACGAGACACACAAAGGAGTACATCGAAACTTCGTCAGCGAAGGTGGCCTAGTGGGTATTTTTCTGATGAGAGCAGTCCATAGGGGACAAGTTATATTGTTATAGCAGAATTTCGACAATAATTCTAGAAAGTTTAATGCAAAGCTATCCTTTTTCGTTGTAGTGTAGAATCCAGTCTTCGGTGATTTTGTTCCATTAGCACTTTTTGCTTGATGAGTATTCGCGAGTCGGCAGGTTTTCAGGCTGCCAAACGAGGTTTTTTCCGTTGTATATTTTAATATTCCCTTTTTCAATAAGTACCAGGTTTCTACGCAGGTTGTGCAGGCGAGATTTCAAACGGTTTTCGAAAACCTGAACTGTCATGTTTTGTTGTATACACAGAAGGTAATCCATGACCGCTACTGTTATCATTTCAATCAAGTATAGATTAGACAAAGAAGTATAAAACGACAATGCGACAAATATTATCGCTACTCTTAGTGCAGCTCCTTCTTGGGCAGACTGTACTCACCCAAGCCGCCAACACCACCGTTATTGGCGCTATTCCAACTCAAGCGCCAGTGACATCAACCGAGACTACTAGTACTACGAAACCGGATTTCGTAAGCTTCCTCAACACTCCAGTCCCATCAGCCTCAACAACATCTCCAACAAAGGCATCACCACCAACACCTACACCATCTGTATCGACAACAGCTCCTACAATGTCACCAACAAAGTCACCAACCATGGCTCCAACAACCTCAGAGCCAACGATCGCGCCTACGACAAAGAATCCTACCATCTCCCCTTCTCTAGAACCGACTCCTAAGCCTTCCTCTCATCCAACGATTGAGCCCACCGCTATGCCATCGAAAAGTCCAACTTCGTTGCCTTCTTCTTCCCCGTCTGCAATGCCCTCACAGTTTCCAAGATCTCCTGTGACCGGGCGGGCGGAACTCATGTTCCGTTCTGTTTCTGGTCTCTTGGTTGGAGATACAGAGGAATCATTTGTTGAAAATACCATTGCTTTCTTGACAGAGAACATGCCGGAAGTAGAAGCAATCTCGGTTGATATTGAAAGGCAAGCGAGGCAATTCCAGAATCGTCGATCTTTGAGAGAAGAAGCCCTTTTTATCGACATTCGAGTCAGGGCCTCACATATTGTTAAGTCCGATGACATGTTCAACTTTGATGTAAATCTTATGTCCGTCTTTGCGTCGGAAGAAAAAGAATATGTTGAGGCGTTGAAAAACACTGGTGATCCTTATTTCAGTTCGCTTGATACTATCATCTTGCCAGATACCGCTGCACCAACTGCCGTTCCATCTAGTGCTCCTTCCCTCTCGCCAATTGAAGATGCATCGTTGCCTCAGGAGTACCTCATAGCTATCATCGCCGGCGCAGCTTTCTTCGTTCTTGTTCTTTTGGCATTGATCTACAGATTCACTTGCTCCAAGAAGGGAAAAGGAGTCCAAAATAAGGCTCCTTCGAATAGCTTTTTCGCCTCGAAGAAACAGCAGTATTCGAATCAAGATGCAGGTGCAGGTAGTGACCTTGAGTCTCACCAAGGCCTGGAAAGTCCGAGTGCACCTAGTGATCAGAGCTCATACTACGGAGGAAGCATCATGCAAGCATCAACACAAATGGATTCTAACTCATACTCTTACAGTCTCGATCCGGGTCTCCCTTCAAGTGTGATTAGTGGAAAGACGAGTGGCTCTAACGGAAACGCTGTACCTATGGAAATCCCCCAGATTGATCTACCAGCAAGTGCCGACCAAGCAATGTTGCGTGATTCAGGAATAGAGCTAACCGCAAGCGACCTCCAGCTGACTGATTCAGAGCTTGCGATGCTACCTTCTAACCTAGGAAGAAGTGCCGATAGCGCGGCAAGCAGCAAGAGGCAACGACGGGTTGTCAAGGCACCTCCTGGAAAGCTTGGCATCATTATTGATACCACTGTTGAAGGGCCTGTAGTGCATCAAATCAATCCAGGTAGTGCATTGGAAGGTCAATTACAACCTGGTGATATTATTATATCTATTGACGATGTTGACACTCGTGCGATGTCTGCGTCCGCAATCACTGACCTCATGATTCAAACAGCAAAGCAATATCGCAGTCTCACTGTTGTTTCCAATCCAAATTAGATTATCAGGTGGCTACCGTCGCTGAATAATTTGTATAGTAGTCTGGTTGTAGTGTTGCTGTTTAACCACCATAAAAATACATCTTTGATACTTGCATCCGTGATTGAATCGAGATAGTGCCGCATACGAGTACAGACGGGCAGACGACAAAAGGAGTCTTAGACTTTAAAGAATCTTCAAAAAGCAAGAGACACAAGATATTACTATATAGCGGAACTATTAATGTGATCGTAATATTTGTCACCATAAGTGGCCCTTCGGACGAGGAGAATTATACAAGGATAGTAAAGGGGTGGAGCTTGTTTTGCTCATCGTTCCTTGTGGCTGGGAAACATGCAAAAGTCACAAGGGACTTTAGCATATTTCCTTCCTCGAAAATAGTGGATGAAGCATGGCTACAAATTACTGAAAAACGAGATTTGGGAACTAGAATTGGAACTGAAGATAAAGTCATAGTCAGCTCACTCCCACAACTCTGCCTGTTGACGATACGATTGAGACTCCTCATCATCATCACAGTCGGAGCTAGCTAAATATCTTTTTAAAAATCGATCCGGTCGATCCGGTCGATCCTAAGTAAAGACAACACATTAAATAAATGTTTTGCGTTTTGTCGCAACCCACGAGCAGCGAAATTCTGCAGTCTCGCAAAAACGACATGATACCAACCTCCACTTTAGGTAACATCTTCGTTTCATTTTTCGTTGATGTTGATTCATCCATCTTCGCAAACAAACACTTTCCTTTCTTCTCCAACAAAAACGATGAGCTTTCGTTCCGAATTGATCTCGCTCCAAGACGACGATTCTCACCCATCAATTCACTGCCACGAAACGATATTGACCGACGCCACACTTTTGTTTTAAATAAAACGACATTCGCTTAACGAAATGTTCTCGGACTCGAGGAGCGTGAAATATTTAGCTACAATTTCTTATCCCGAACATTTTTGTATAGATAATCCCTGCTCGGGTCTTGAGGCCAGCACACGGTGAGCGTGTGCAGGCCGGTGTTTCTTGTGGGGGACGTAGCTCCAGCACCCCCGATTGACAAGTCACATTGTGTTTTGTTTTCCAAACTCGAGTTCAATCATCATCACTGACACAACTTGCAAACGATGGTAGTTGCAAGGTCATCAGCCGCCGATGTGCTACAATCCTTCGATCATTATAGCAGCACTGATGAAACTTTCACATACAACTTCCGACCCAAGTTTCAAAAATCGACCAAGAACAATCCCATGAGTGGAATCTGCTTGTTTGCGTGGATTGAAATACTTTCCAAGAGATGGCGGCAAATCGATTACTTGACGTATTGGCCACGCGTCTTGATGATCTCATTGTTAAGCATTTTTAATTCATTGTTGGCAATTGTGGAACATTTGCTGTTTGAATCGTCGATACGTCAGACTACGCCAAACCCTCGACCAGTATTCATCCTTGGCCATCCGCGAACTGGAACAACTTTACTCCACTCATTAGTGGCATTGGACGAGGGCCAGTTTGATGTCTGCACAACTTTCTGTGCTGGTTTTCCTTCTAGCTTCCTTTGGTTTGAGAAATTTGGGAAACAACTGTTCAAGGGTATTCTTGATGAGACTCGCCCAATGGACAATGTTGTTCTCGATTTTGATCTTCCCCAAGAAGACGAGCTCGCAACAAATTTGGTATCTGCTGGAACTTCGCCGTATATGCCCCTTTTCTTCATGCCTCAGGAGGCGCAATTCCGCCCTTACTACGCTTTTGACGATCACGCCAGTGGCGATGAAAAACTCCAACCAGAAGAAATGGCAAGAGCTCGAAACCGTTGGGTTAACACGTTCTACTACCTCTGCCAAAAGCTTACTTTAAGATCTTTGAGGACGAAACAAGCAGCTCTTCGGCTAGTATTGAAATCACCAGTGCATACAGCAAGGTATGTTGAACTTTCTGTAGCGACCTTCAAGTCAAGGTTAACCGACAAGGTTTCTCACATCATCATGTAGAATTCCGTTGCTACTTCGAATCTTCCCTGATGCTCAGTTCATTTACATACATCGTCATCCATACCATGTGTTCCAATCTGCTGCCCATATGGCTGATACGACCTATTGGTACACCTATTTTAGCACACCCCAACATGAGGAGATTCAAGAATTCATTTTGAGACAGTATGAGATATTGTGGGATCGATATGAGGAAGGTAGAAAGATTCTACAGCAGCAAATGGCCAAGACTGATGGGGGTGCAAAGCAATTAGTAGAAATTGCTTTCGATGACTTGTCACAGAAGCCTTTCGAGACCATGGATAGAATTTACAATGAGCTTGGCTGGGATATGTCTTCCGAGATGAAACGCAGCCTCGAGCAGACTGTATCCGGTGACATCAAAAGTTACAAGAGAAACAAACACGAAACTCTTGACCCAAAACTACGAGCAACTCTTCAAGAGCGCTGGGGTGCTTCGTTCGATCGTCTGGGGTATAAAAGATAATGAGGTTTCTTTTTAATTACCTTCTAACCTCGACGGCTATATTAATAGTACCACTCCTGTCAATCTCCAGGACCCATATTACATCTTTGGCCATGGCTGCTTTGGATGGATGTCTGCATTCTTCACCATGACTATTAGAGACATTTATTTCACAGTGTCCTTTTGTCGTGTTTTCCTAAGTCTTTACTATATTTTCTATTTGTTAATCATGCGACTGCACTAGTTCTAAAAGTAGTCTTCGCTGTCGGTGCTCATAGAGCGGGTATCGATTGTCTCAAATGATTCGACGGAGTTGTTTCGAAACCGCTTAGTGGCAGCGGCCTGAACAATATAGCTTTCCAAATCAATCTGAAACAAGGCTTGTTGCAATTGAATTTCCGACTCCAACTGTCTAGCAATGTTCATTTGGATCTGTTGATCTTGAACTTTCTGAACCTGACACGCCATCAAATAATCCAGCTGATTCATTATTTGGGATAGCTGTGGTCTCATCGATGGAGTTGTATTCCAGGAGTGTTCCAGAAGGACCTGAACTTCCACAGGAATCGGCTGGTTGCAATGCACCATATCAGGTCTCTGACCCTGCAGGCACACAAAGCTCGCGTGCATCTCCCTGGTCCATCCATCAAACGGCTTCACCAAAGACAAAATCTCATAAGAGACCATTGCCCAAGAGTATACATCAGCAGACACACCATATGGTTTGTTCGTTGCGACTTCAGGAGCCATATACCGTAGTGTACCAACCTTCCCAGACATTTCGAACTGTGCCGATGTGTCAAGCAACGGAAGCTCACGACTCAAACCAAAATCAAACAGCTGAACACGGTCTCCAAGGAAACCAATGTTCTGAGGCTTAGCATCTCTGAAGATAACACCACGCTGGTGAATGTAATCCAATGCAGATGCAAGCTCGTTCATGATTCTCAGCTTTTCGAGATGTCGCGCTTCCATTTGCTGAGCTGCTGAAGATGGAGAGGCCATCATGGCCCACATACCATCTTGCTGCTCTCGGTACCACCGTTCAATGCGCATGTCCAAAGTTTCATCTAACACGTCCAGCATGAGAAAGAATGAATCGTTCCAGCCTTCTGCGAACGAAGCAACGCCGTTGTGAGCCCATCCTCTAATTTTCAGAATGTTTGGATGATCAAATGAAGATAGCATGTGAGCTTCATATACAAGCTCCACTGCAGCCGTTCGGAAATCATTGGGTTGATCCATCAATCTTTGCTGCAGGTGCTTGCAAGCATACCGCCTACCATCCCGCGTTATCACACTCGAGACTTGTGAAAATGCACCAGATCCAAGAACTCGTTCAACGCGGGCAATGTCCTGCCGCTGAACGAGTTGAATACCATCAGTTGTGGGAGTTAATCTAGATTGGCTCAAAGTATCAACCACGTCTCTGTGGATGATGTCGGCTACATCTTTGGCTAGATGAGCCGGCCATTGCTGAATGCAAGGCTCAGAGGGCTCTCCGAAGGGGTCACAGTGTATCAGGGGGTTTTGTAAAAGCGCCATGTTTCTAGATTGTGGTTACGACCTGGATTGCGAAACCAGAGTTTAAAAGGGGCAATTGCATTCCTTGATTGAAATGTGAGCGTGGAGTGAACAAATTAGGCTCATTTTAGTACTACCGTAGAAGCCTCGTTGAATGGACATTTCTCGAAGTGAAAACCAAACCGGTTGTTTCTGCCTCAGCGTGTGTGGAAGATCAGAAGATCGCGCCTTAAATGACGGAACTTGTTTGGCGTTGAAGTTGCATTGGCTTAAGTGAAGAGTGTGACATCCAATCAGACATAAGTGTAAAAGACTTATGGAAAGAAGCGCGGTCAAGGATGCAGGAACGACAGGAAGGTTGAGGAGGCATCGGGACCATTTGACGCCAAGGAGACTTTCACTCTTTGCTCTTCTCATCAAGATCAGGAAGCGAACTGATGTAACTCTCGGTGTTTCTCCACGACAAAAGAGTCATTTTTTTTTCTCGAGCTGAATCCGGCTGACTGTGATATTCCATCGTGACGGGATAAATAGTCTCTTTTTTTCCTCTTCCGGTTTCTAGTGGGATTTTGAGAGGTTACGGTACTCGTACCAGCTGAAAATACACCAGGCGCCAATATAACCAAGGATAGAATATAGCACCTTTTTTTATGTCGATGAGAGCGCTACCTCACCCTACTGTACACTTGTACCTGGCACTGCGGTACCGAACCAATGTGATGAATCAAGGTGAAGGAGCCTCCAAACTTTCGGTACCTGGTACCTGGGTACCAGTACCTGTTACTCCGTTGGGATGATGGGGATGGTGGAGATGTAACGTACCACCGTGATGAGTCAAGCAACTAAAGGCGTGCTCGAAGATTTCATCAAACGCCGCGCTTTTTATGTTCACTGCACCGTTGGTAGGTAGAAAGTTGTCAACTGGCTATTTATTACCTATTAGAATCACCGTGATTCAACAGCTGTTTGTTGTATATCCTATATTCTATATTATTATCCCATTTTGATTTTTGGACCCCAAAGCTCTGTTGTCATCTGAAATCTACGCACTGAATGTATCTTCTTCCTCATCGTCCGTTGGTGACACGGACGAAACGGAATCTGACATTTTCTGCTCCAAAAGCATGTTGTTTCCCTTCGCTTGCTTCTCAAAGGAGGGCTTGATTACTTCCATCTTCAGAATTTCATCCTCAGAAGTTAAAGCTGGTTTTCTCAGCTGTAGCTTGTGTGGGGGGAGGAATATGCTTTCCCGACGGCCAATATTCACAACTTTAGGTGTAGGTGTGGGTTCTTGCTTAATTTTCCGAATCATTTGCTCCAGCATAGCTTCACCTTTGACTGCCCATTCCTTCCTGTTTTCTAGGGCATAGTTTAAACACTCATCACTGGCAACACCGAAAACACGACATTCCTCCAACTTTTTGGCAAGTGGGATGACATAATTGTCGCTGCATCAAACGAAAGCAAGAGTGAGATGAGATGTAATGTAGTCGAAAAATGCAAGTAGCAACACAATTACGTACAAGAACCAAAGCTCGCCCTTGTACCAGCCCTCTGAGGGATCCTTCTCAGAGCGCCCGGCTTGAAAAGCTTCATACATCTCGCAAAACAAGCATTCGTTCCACTTGGTATACACCTTCCAATGTTGCATTGTGTGAGCGACGTCTGCAGCTTGAATGATATGCTCGATAACAATAGCTGCCTTGAGATTCCTAAATTCTGCTGAGGAAACCGAGTCAGAAATATCTGATCGGAAAACTCTTGCCCACCGGGCCTCTCGGATTGACTTCATTTCTTTCTCAAAAATATCTGTTGCCATCACTAGATTGACCACAAGTTGACGAAACCTCTTTAATTCCGCTTTTGTAGCGAATAAACATCGTCGCAACCGCTGAAAGCGGTCTTCCATTAGAAGGTCCCAAGCCATGTCTACAGAGTTTTGCTCAGCAACACTTCTCGACTTGTACTTTTCTGCCAGAAGAGGTTGCTCTTGATTTCTTCGAGGATTTGATACTCCCGTATGGTCGACATCATGGATTAGAGTGGCAAACATGATTGCGAAATGTGTTAGCGGGTCTGATGTGATTCCATAAGTGTAATCATGCATATCAGAGGCAATTTGAAAGACAGATTCGCGATGATAGTTAACAAATTCTGGCTTCACAATTCGGTCCAAGAGTTTATTTGCGGACATGGTGACATGAATCGCATGTGAAAAGTTATGAAAGGGGTTCTTTCGGTAATTCTTGGAAACAGACTTCACAAATTCACGCAACTCAGAGACCAACTCGTTCGGGACTCGAATTGCGGAAGATCGTGCAGCGATAGCCTTCGCAGCTCTTGGATCGAACTTGGGGAGTTCAATACTCTCAGTTATCTCCTCCAACACAGTTCCGTCTCTAGCGATGACTTCAGATGGCTCAAATTCTTCCCGCGACTTTCTCCCCCGACCAGCTACAATTTGACTGATCAATCGCTGCAAAAGATCAACGAGCCATTCCACTTGGCGATCAGCTTGGCGGCTAGTCTCCATCTCATCACTGTCTTCCTTCCACTCATCTTCGTCACCCCAGACTGATCCATTGCTACTGACGCTCTTCTCTTCTTCTTCGTCACTCTGCAATGTTGTGACTGGAATGAATTTTGGTCGATTCGCTTCTGTATCGGAAGTGTCTGTACCGGAAGGTTCTTGCCTTCGCGTCAATACCCAGTAGGTTTGTCTTCTTGAGTGCCCCTGAACTTCAGTGTTTCCATCGGAACGGGGTGCTATCCAGTTCTCTTTTCCAGCCTCGATGAGAAGTTGAGCCGTTGAAGGTGAGATTTGGATACGATTTGCTTTTCCTGTGCTCTCCATTCGTGATGCCGCATTTACAGTAGCTCCAAATAGTTGAAAGCGAGATTTTTCCCCTCTTAGGACGCCTGCTGTAACAGGACCACTGTCCAAACCGAATCTCATCCGTAAATTTCCGGTTCCTGGTCCCAAAGATACCTCAAGCTTCTTCGTGATCTCGTTGACCTTTTTCAAGCAAGACCTGGCAAATTTTGTCATTCTCAACGCATGATCTGGTTGAGGGTCGGGGAGACCGGCCACTGCAATATAGCAATCGCCAAAGGTCTCCACCTTGAATACTTCTCTCTTCTTCGCAATTCGATCAAATGCCTGAAAGATTGTCTGCAGGAGAACAAACACTTGTTCCGGCTGACGTTCGGAACTCCACGCTGTAAAGCCCTCAATATCTGCAAACAGGACAGTGCAATGCGGAAAGAGATCGGCAATCGGTGCGACATTTGGGTTGGGGTTCGAAGCGTGCTCATCGTGATCGAAGTCTCTCTGACCGTCGTGGTTGGATGCATTCTGCAAGTCCTCCTCGTGAAGAAAGAATCGTAACCTCATCTTTGCTGGCGCCAACGACGCAACACCGGCCATCATGGACGAAATGGGTGTGGCAATTGGTTTGATAAAATCCTCGACAATAGAACCGTTTTCATTGCTCGTCCGACGGGGTGACGTGGTATCACCAATGACTACACTTCCTCGTTTTGATTCGTTACTTCCACGACGACTGTCAGGTTCCTGAGTCCCCAAGATGCGATCGCGAACGTTTTCTGGAAAGAGGGAAGACACAAGTGCGCGACTTGCCTCTGCTGCATCTTCAACATTCTTCATTCTTTCATGCAAATAGTAGTCGTATATAAGCCCGATAAAGACCAAAAAGAGAGCTACACACGCTGCAATGACGGCATAGACGTCTGCCTGGTTCGTGTTGTACTCGTTGTACAGAGCATCTTGAGGGTAGATGTTAATCTCATAAGGACAATAAGCATCATTGATTGCAACCTCAGATGCTGACCGAAATTGCGTGGACGAAAGATCAAAACGTTTGACCAAGTTGTCGTATTTTGCATTGTGCAGGTCAAATGGCCCAAGATAGCTGGCAAGTCGGCCGTCAATCTGAAACGAGAAAACGTCCCCACACGAATTTTCGAGAACCGCCAAGAGACCTCCTGTGTCTTTGGCAAGTGCCTCTACAAAGAGAGTCTCGAAATCTACCAGTGCAGATATAAGTCCCACTGTCTGCCGACTCTCTTTGGAGAACGACCCAAAGACTGGAAAGAACATCGTTGAGAGCGGTTGATTTTGATACTCTGAACCGTCTACAATCAATGCATCCGTGCTCTTACTCAAGAGACAATTGTAATAGTCCTTGAACACAGCGTGCGCTTCCCCAAGACTTGCCGCGTCTTCCAGTTGTGATAGGGTGATGGAGCCAGTCGAAATAGCAGTAGTGGCCGCATCTGCAAACCGTGGATGTGACAAGTAGTTGATATTTATCAAAGAGCCTTCCGCTGGGGTTTGTTGCCAGGTAGGAAGGAAGGGTCCATTCGAATCGTCCCTAGTCAAACCCTCTGATGTATCCACTTGAAGAATATCACTGGAAACGGTGAGAGTGCCGCATATATGGTTGGCATCGGTGAGCCATTGAAGATTCTCTTGTGTGGCGTTTTGCCAGGTGTCACGCATTGATGAATCTACCAAAGGAAGAAATCCTACGGATAAGAAATCACCCAGCTCATTGACATGACCTCCTCTGAGTTCGAAATTAGGGAGAGTCACCATTGGCCATGATTGGTCAGATGAAAGTTCATAAGACGTAAACGCTCTCCCAAAAGAATCCATCGCATTAAGCTTTTCCGCAAGTTTCAGCTGTACACTGCTCATAAGTTTGGCAGTTAAAGTTGACAGCAGTTCTTCAAAGTTATCATCCGAATTTTGTTGAGAAATTGTGTAGATGGTGAGCGGTAAGCATATCGTAAATGCAGAAAACACAATCACAACCAATATGCGGTACATTCTCGCTTTCTTGGAAGCTCTAATGACAGCGGCATTATCCGGAATTGTTTCATGATTATTGTGATGAACCATTTCCGAACTCGCGTGGATGGCACGGTCCGTGTGAGATTCAGCAAAAGATCGGTTTTGCGATTCCGATGAGGAATCATCATCGTCACTGGAGGATGTCATTCCAACGAAACTAGCTTGTCGTAATCGGCGAAATCGATCTTGTAATGATGTATTTTTCTCCCCTCCCAGAGGTTGTTCGTAGTCTTGCTCCACAGAGCCTATCATTGTATCCATTTTGTATGTCTTCTGTATGTATTCTATATGAGTCGACTTTGCACAATACCCTTCTGTCAGCTTGAGGCCATGGAGACTTCCTGGTACTGACAGTTTCTTGTTTGATTGCTCAGTGTACGGTCTTGCTATCACTCCCTGAAGGCTTTCGAATGACCAAGTTGAGGAATCAACCGTAGAGTCAGTACTCAAAGCTCCTCCAACCTTTGCGATTATTTAGAAAAACTCTTTTTTGGAACACGTGGTTTTTGAAATCCTCTGAGTCGGCTTTTGGGGCAAGTCCACGGGTGCCGGTACAAGGTACGGCATGGACGGTCTACCGGCGAAGCCTCTTCGCAGGAATATTATCTAGATAACGTTGCCTAGATATTCAGCGAGGCCACTGCGCTGTAGAACCGAAATGTATTTGAACGATGAACATCAGGTGTGACGAGGAGGCCAGGCAGGATGGATGCAAATTCTTGATGGTGGATCGCAAAAGAGAAGGATGATCATCCAGAAACAAGAGTTACAGATTATGCTCTAAAACCATGAAACTTTCCCTTTGGCTCCTGCTGAGCTGTCATAAAAAAGCAATGACTTACAGCTATGGTATCACAAGCATTTCGTAACAATCCCCAACAACTCTCCCCAGCACATACCTGTGTCACGACCAAGGCCTTCTTGGAGATATTGAAAAAATTCAATCTGTGTGGTCGACAAAGATCCACAAGTTCTACACAGAAGCAGACATGATTGGCTCGACCAACCAAGGGAAGCTGAACTGTAATGTAGGTGCTGGGAACGCATTCATTTTAGGTTTAATTTTTGGTAATCTTGTATATTCTACTCATATTATAGGTAAAATTTGATACGTCTAGTATGCTTGTTTAGCTCAGTTGGTTAGAGCACCTCATTAGTAATGAGGAGGTCCGTGGTTCGAATCCGCGATCAAGCTTTTGCCTAGTTTGTCTAGGAAGACTTTCGTACATACCATTGGGACTGAAGAGAAATGTATTTTTGCAAAATCGTGTTGTACTGTAGTTTTCCCTACGGCGATGATGGTCGTGGAGCCATCACACGTGGATGCAACGTACCGGCACCATAGAAAGTGACCATAGCATCACTGCTGAACAAAATAATAAGGGTGTGAGGACGCAAAAGCTTGATCGCGGAGTCGAACCACGGACCTCCTCATTACTAATGAGGTGCTCTAACCAACTGAGCTAAACAAGCCCAGTGCAGAGTGAAGACTAGCAAAATCGCAAATAGTGATTGCCAAGACCCTAATCGTAGCACATCTGTAACCCTGCTCGGTGATCTGTGAGCTACAGTGGTAGCCTTTGCCTACAATCCAGCATTTGATTATTCTCCAAAAATTTGGCATCTTGAACAGCTATCAATAATCAATGTACGTGTCGTCATGTTGTACACTTTTCTTCTTCCTACTAGGAGTTAAAATGGACTGCCAAAAAGGACACCCTTACACCGGTACATCTAAAAAACATTTCATCTGGTCTACATTACTCACTCTCTACTACGCATGCTGCGTGAGCCCAGCCCGCAGAAATTTGTGTTACCTTCTCGTCAACCATAGTCTTTATCATTTGAGCTTGATTCAGGTTTTTGGTCCCCGATCCGACGCCCAAGACTCCCGTTCTTCCAGATCCCCACGTGTAGATGTGGTTATCTTCTGACAAAGCCATGGTGTAATCATTGCCGCATGCAACGTCAATAATCTTAGTGTGCAAAACTTCGGCCACTCGAACAGGTTCGAGATGTAGAGAAATGCCCCACCAGAACAGCTCACCACTCGTTGTGATACACGCTGCATGGTTAGCTCCAGTAGCAATTTTTGTGACGGTTCGGTTCATGAGTTCATCAGCATCGATTGGGCGTGGAACTTCCTCCATCGAATACATATCTACTGCCATTCCGAAACCAGTTCCAAGCTGACCTTTATGATTACGTCCCCAGCCGTATACAATACCTTCGTTCAATGCGAGCGTGAAGGATTTTCCTCCTTCAATCTGATCAGCCCGTTGAAGCAGTTCGACTGGTTCCAAGTAAAGGGAATCCACAGATGTTTCACCATTCCCCAAGCGGCCGTAACTACTAGAACCAGTTGTTAATACTTCACCTTCCGTTGTCAATACTGTCATGTGTGATTCCCCTAGGACTACATCCTTGGCATAACAATTATCTTCGACAAGAGACTCCACTAATTTCGGTTGCAAGTATTGTTCTCCATTTCCATGTCCCAAACACCCCAATCCAGAAACAACAGACCCACCAAATCCAGCGGTGTACAAGTCCCCATCCTCTGTAATGATTGCAGAGCTACTAGGGCCAAGAGCAACCTGCTTTACTGGTGGCAAGTCGGGTATTTTTGTCAATTCTGTAACAGGCTTCGTGTGATTCAACCCAAGTTGTCCAGATTTGTTCGTTCCGATAACATAGACGGCTCCATCAGAATCAATGACAGCTGAATCAGTAGGACCGCACACCACACTTTTTACTTTGAAAGGAAGGTCCTGGACTAGCGTTGGTTCCCATACAATCTTGTCGCTTGTTGTCTGCATCAAAGATCCATTTTTATTGGTTCCCCAGGTGTAAAGCGAGGCTGGAACGTTTGCTGGTGTTGATGACGAGGAGAGTGATCGCATCACTAGACCCCGATTGAGACATGACTGAGCAGCTCTGCTTGTCGATAAAAATGAATGAAACATATTTGAGAGTAGTCTTTTGGTTGTTGTGTGGCAACTGTGTCTGAGAGTGATGTGGGGTACCAGGTACGATATCATCGTTCTCAAAGTGGCAGTCGCCTTGACGACGGACGCACGAAGAGATGGGACATTTGACTCAATCGACTAAGCGATAAGATTTGGTCTTGGCGGTCTTTATCTGAGTCTTTTTTGTCGTCGCCTGAAGGCTGGAACTGTCACAAGTCAAGTCTCAATAGTTCCCAGTATCAAAGAAAGAACGACGACTGCTACCAGTACCCTCCGATCCGAACAAGGATTAATTCATCATGGCCAGTAGAAGAAGTAGTGGGCCTCTGTCCCCTGCTGCCAAGAAGAAGTTATTGAAAATCCCTGAAAGCTCTAGGTACGAGGCTGTTGTGTATCACAAACCTCCAAGCAAAAAGGAGGGCATCAAATTTGTCAAGGATGAAATGCAAGGCGTTTGGGCGCAAGACGCAAGTATGCATCAGAATCCGGTTCTCCTCTGGGCATTTCCTTATGAGAGCATCCCAGATGGCTTGACGGAGACAGAGCATACACAAGGAGTCTGGGGATACATGAATGGTGTTGACGGCAAGGATCCTAAGAAGTTTCAAGCTACAGACATTTACTTTTATCCACCGAATGCCAAGATTCCCGGAGAATTGAATCAGAAAGGTATCTGGTTATTCCCATTGATTGAGAGAGATATTTCTCACTTGAAGGACTATGAAACCTCCTTTTTGCCTATCGGTGAAGCGAAAAAGAGTGAAAAACTCGACGTAGGAGGTGCCTGGAAGCTGTTGTATAAGAATGATGGTAATGAGGGGGCAATAGGACCTGGAATGAAGAGTAAAGCCAAGAAGGAGCCTCCTCCGATGAAGATCAAAGTCCGTACTCCTGAGGGCAAACTTATCGAATTGGATGTGAAACCAACTGACACCATCGATGAAACAAAAGACAAAGTCTTGGACAAGACAGGAATTCCAAAAGATGATCAACGACTTACATTCGATGGAAAAGAACTTGACGATCCAACAACGCTCAAGAAGAACAAGATTAAGAATGGAGATATTCTTGACATGGATCCTATGCAGATCACCGTCAAGCACTGGGATGGCTCCGTCTTTCCACTACTTGTCACTCCAGATGAGAATATCGACAGCATCAAGAATAAAATCAAAAAGCACAAGGATATTCCTAAACCGCAACAGCGAATCAAGTTTGGAAGCACACCTCTCACTGAAGACACCAATACTCTCGACGACTATGGCATTAAGCACAAATCTGTTATCGAACTGCTACCTATGGAAATCAAAGTTCGAACCCCAGATGGAACGTTGTATCCGATCGCAGTTACTCCAGAGGATACGGTTGCAGATTTGAAGAAAAAAGTCGAGAAGGAAACTGGTACTCCAGTGCCCGACCAAGTGTTGAAATTCGAAGGAGAAGAACTTGATGATAAACCAACGCTCGACGATTATGACATCAACCATGGCGATATTGTGGATTTGGGAGGAATGGAAATCTTTGTGAAGCACCCAAGTGGGTGGACTATCCCATTGAAGGTCAGTCCCTCGGATACGCTCGATAGCATCAAGGATCGTGTGAGTGAGGAGAAGGATATTCCAAAAGAGAATCAACGCCTTTCGTACGACGGCAAACCTATGAAGAAAGACGAGAAAACGCTGAGTGACTATGGGGTTAAGAACAAAGACACGTTGATGCTTGAGCCCATGTCGATTAACGTTAGAACACCAGAGGGAAGAAAGATCAAGTTGAAGGTCGATCCAGAGGACACCGTTGAGGATATCAAGAAGAAGGTCGAAGAGAAATTGGAAATCCCTGTCCCAGAGCAGACTCTATTGTTCAATGATAAAGAACTGGATGACCCAACAACCCTTGATGAGAATGGGATTAGACATGGAGATACTTTGGATCTACAACCAGCTATGAAGATTCACGTAAAGCATTGGGATGGAACAACGCTCACCCTGGATGTCAAGCCAGAGGATACTATCGATAGCATCAAATCGACTGTGAACGATAAGTTGGGAATTCCAAACAAGCAACAGCGCCTAACGTTTGACGGCAAGCCGCTCAGAAAAGACTCCAAGACGCTCGAAGAGTACAAGATTAAGGATCAAGATACACTTCATCTCGAACCAATGGAGGTTCACGTTAAGACTCCAGATGGCAAGACTTTGACTTTCCGCGTTGAGCCTACCGATACCGTTGAGGATGTTAAAGATAAAGTGGAAGAAGAAATCGGGATGCCAGTTCCTGATCAGAGAATGCTTTTCGATGGAGAGGAACTCAAAGATGCTCCAACATTGGAGGATTACAACATTCAAAATGGAGATACTCTCTTCTTGGACCCAATGAAGATTCATGTTAAGCATTATGACGGCAGAATCATCACGCTGGATGTACAACCTGATGACAAGATCGATGACATCATGGAGCGGGTGGAAGAGAAAGCAGATATTCCAAAAGATCAGCAACGGCTAACGTTCAATAGCAAGCCCCTTGATGATCCTGACAGTACTTTGCGTGACTACGACATCAAACATGACGACACTTTGAACCTCGAGCCAATGGAGATCAAGGTCAAGACTCCAGATGGCAAGATTATACCAATACAAGTCGAACCCTCAGATACCGTGGAAGATGTCAGGAAGAAAATTGGAGACGCAACTGGCGAACCGGCCCCTGAGGAAGATCTTATATTCAAAAATAAGCCATTGGATGACCCGAGTTCCACTCTTGCAGACAATGGCGTCAAGCACGGAGACACTATTTCAATAGATCCGATGCAAATTAATGTCAAGCACTGGGATGGGACTGTCATTACTTTGGATGTCAACCCCAATGATATTATTGGTGACATCAAGTCCATGGTGGATGATGAAATGGACATCCCTCCAGCATATCAACGGATGAAGTTTGAAGGCAAGCCACTGAAGAAGAACAAGAAGAGTCTTAAAGATTATAACATCAAGAACAAAGACACCATTGAGCTAGAACCGATGCAAATCAATGTCAAGACCCCAGAAGGCAAGAAGATACCGATCGAGGTGGAACCCAAGGATACCATCGAGTCAATTAAGCAAAAAGTTGAAGATGCAACGGGTCTTCCTGTCCCTACTCAGAAACTCCGCAACCCTGATGGCGACTTGCTGGACAACCCCACAACAGTTGCCGACAATGGCATCCAACATGGTGATACCTTGACTTTGGACCCAATGAAGATCTATGTCAAGAAACCAGATGGAGAAAAGATCGAACTTGAAGTGAAGCCATCGGATACGGTCGAAGACGTGAAGAAAAAGGTCGAAGATATCGCAGGTATCCCGGTTCCAGATCAAACACTTACATTTGACGGAGACGAATTAGATGACCCTACAACTCTGGACGAAAACAGCATCAAGGATGGTGATACTCTAGTATTGGAGCCTATGCGAGTCAACGTTAAACATTGGGACGGAACAGTCGCGACATTTGATGTTCAACCTGACGACACAATCGAACACATCAAGTCGCTGGTCGATGATAAAATGGACATCCCCCCAGAGCAACAACGTCTAGCGTTTGATGGGAAGCCACTCAAGAAGGACAGTAAGACTCTGCGAGACTACAAGATCGCAAATGGTGATACCATCGAGCTTGAACCAATGACAGTAAACGTCAAGACACCAGATGGAAAGGTGATCCCCATTCAGGTTGATCCGCACGACACGATTGAGCAGGTGAAGAACAAGGTCGAGGACGAAACTGGAATCCCCACTCCCAGCCAAACCCTTCGCGACCCCGCTGGAAATGTGTTGAAAAACCCTACAACTATCGCCGACAACGGTATTAAGCATGGTGATACCTTGGAATTGGATCCAATGAAGATATTTGTCAAGAAGCCCAACGGAGAAAAGATAGAACTCGCTGTCTCTCCAACGAATACAATTGCTGACATTAAGGACAAGGTGGAAGACAAGGACGGAATTCCTGTAATCGATCAACATATGGAATTCGATGGCAAGGACTTGAAGGATGAACCAACACTTACCGATTATAAGATTCGGGACGGAGATACCATCGACTTGGTGCCAATGGAGATTATTGTCAAGCATTGGAACAATGCCATTTTCTACTTCCCTGTAGAACCCGATTTTACCCTTGATCAAGTCAAGGATATGATTGAGAAGAAGCCCCCCAAAATTGAGAAGGATCGACAAAAGCTCACCTTCAAGGAGGAACCAATTGAAGAAGATTCCAAGACTCTGCGTGATTATGGAATCAGGCATCGCGACGTGATCAAACTCGTCAAGACGGCCAAGAAGGAGCCCGTGAAAGAGAAGCCGAAAAAGAAGTCTTATCTCCCTGATAACTGGAAGGAAGAAACCGAGAAAAAGTACGGAACCGTCAAAACTACCACCTTCAAAACCAACTATTCTGGTGACAATGACGAGAGTTTCTTCCAAGGGAAGATTGGAGAGACGGAAGAAACCTTCCAATTCAGTGAAGTCACTACCAAGACTAAGGGTGACGAAAAGAAGATGACCCACAAATTCAACTAATGATGAAAAATAGTGTAGTCGTGGTGACAGTCAGGCCAAGAGGTTGCCTTTTCCTTGCCATGGTTAGTCCTAATCCTAGGTTTGGGTTCAAACGTGCACAGAAAGTTGATGTTATTAATAGTAGTACAATTCAAAAATAAATAAAAATGAAACCTTCGTGAAGACTTGCGCCGATGATTGTCACTGTTATCGATATCGCTTGGGGGTGCATACCAATGAGTGATGACAATTTTTCATTCCACTGTCAATGAACCATCCTCCACGCTTGATGAATTGCCAGCCCAAGAGCAATTCTATGCGTCGAATGAATGATCCATCTTCGACAATACTTTTGAATTGGATGGGATGCTGACCACGATTTCATTCTTCCCTATATCATTGTTGTTGCCACTCTTCTTCTCTCGATTGCCGTCCTGTCCTCTGCAAGCTTTCAGGTATGTTTGCCAGTTCGTATACAGTAGGATACAGTACTTACTTTCCCTCATTCTTGCTTCTTGTGATACAACGAGGCAATCGACCAAGGCGCCGTATCCGGACAATTGATCTTCAAGTCGCCTTGCCACTCGTGTCCATCCTTCGAGTCCAGTCTCCCGTCTACAATGACTACACGAGCTCCCTTGGGCAGACCTTGCAAGGCTTTGGACAACAATGGCAATTTGCGGCCTTGCAAACTAATCTTTGTGGTTGCCTCTTCCGCATTGGCATTGTTGTTTCCTGCACTCCATGTTGTAGCAAAGCAGACAACCAGTGTTGAATCCTCCAGAATATTGTTCAGCGTGGAAGAATCATAGGCATTATTGCTGGAAGCAGCTTTGTGAATGTCACCTAGATGAAATTCGACGGGCGACTGTTGCTCTCTCAGAAATCTTCCGTCGACACCTGTTTCCTCTTTTAGAATATTGGAAAGTTTTTCTTGGTGTTTCAAGGATCGTTCGTACAAACCAGGGACAATTTCCAATCCCCTTGCTACTGCAATGGCATTCTTCTTTTCATCATCATCATCATCATCATCATCTCCAGCATACAATAGACTGGCGCCCAAGACTAGAGCACCATCTCCCGATCCTATATCCAAAAACTTGTCTCCAGGATAAACTCCAACCGCATCCAAAATGGTGGTCAGCACGGGCAGGGAAAGTTCTCCATAGACTAGCTCATACGATTCCATTTCGGATGAAGTTTCCCATTCCAAGGCAGCTCTTCGTGCCAAAGCATATCGATCGTCCTTGAGGAGTTTGTTGGATTCCTCCTTTTTGGAAGTGCTACTAGTGCTGGTAGTAGGAGAGGAAACTGATTTTTTCAGGAGCAGTGGACCATCATGATCCGCCGTGTCCTCCTCCTCACCTTCTTGTTCCCTCCTAGTATTGTTGGTGGTGTCACCCAAAGCACTTGATACCAAATTGGAGACTTGTTCGAGCCGTTTTGGTGAGACTTCCGGCACTGGAATAGGAGTGGTCGTCGTCGTTGTTGTTGTTGTTGTTGTTTTTGTTTTTGTTGTTGTTGTTGTTGTTGTTGGATGGACAAGTGAATTCGCAGGAAAAGGCAGTGACAGGAGCAGTACTAGTAGTAGCATAAGTAGATTGTGGCCGAGTGCCAAAGTAAGGATACCATGAATGGAAATCCCTCCTTTTGACATGATGATTACAAGATGATCTATATTTATAGAGAATGGATCACTTTTATTGTTAGCGGTAGTCGAGAGGGAGACCTTCGAACGAATGATGATGGAAGCAAGTACGGATGATGGATTTTCCATTTTTGGATGATGATGTGGTGCGGAAGAGGGACAGACCACTGAGATCATCTTTGTTCGAGCCAAAACTCTTTTGCCGTAGCGAAAGTACGATAGACTACTCATTCGAAGGGGTCGATCCTCGTAGGTTTCGAACAAAGCAAAAGACAATAACACACGCATTCATTCGTTCCGAAAACTACAGTAAAGCTGTGCAAAGGCAACCAAGCCAAAAGTCCACCACAAGGCGCACGCTTCGGGAGACTTGAATTGCCAACAGCTTACACAGAGAACTCCGCAGATTGTCTTTGCGCTATTGGTGGCAAACGTACACATACACGTACACGTACACGTACAGGTACGATAAAAGTAGATCAGATCCTTCCAAACACACCACCAACGCCGTGACTGATCTGAGGAGCTTCTAGTCGCAAGTTGAAAAGAAGACAGAACACGAAAATAGAAGAGACTATTGCCCTTGAAGCGTCTTACTTCTTGCCTCCAATCTACCATTACTGCTTGAAGCAATCAGTCTTGCGACATTTTCGACTTTGGACCAAATTTGACACCACCATCATGATTTTCAAACGACGCAAGACTCGACCTTCCTTTGGCGCCGATGGACAGCGCCTCGATGGTGCACCTCGTGGACTGCCTTCTTTTCTATCCACTACCAACACCACCAACAACAACACCACCACCAACAACAATAATAACAGTAATAACAGTAACAACAACACATCCACTGCTGTTGTCGGCCAACGACCCCGTCCAGCGCTTGGCGGCGTCCGTTCCAACTCCAATCGCAAACTGCTTGGTTGCCGTCCTCAAATTGGCAGCAGCAATCGCCTCTTTCGGACCGGCCAAAAATTGGTAGTCCAGAATGCTACCTTTATGCCGGGTCTCCAATGCAGCACTGGCGGTAGCGGTGGGGGTGGACTCAATAAGAAATTCCAGCGCCCCATGCAGTCTCGACGGGCCTACAAGGGAGGAGCCGATGCCGCACTCAAACGGTCATCGCTCGGTGCCAGGCAGCGAACGGATGGCATGGCCAGGATCTTTTCGAGAGCAGGCAAGGGTTTAAACTTTCAGTCCTCGCGAGTGCAACGGAAGGAAGAGGATACGGATAGCTGTTCCAATTCGGAGGACGAAGACGAAGATCCAGCAGATGAAAAACCATTCGAGCCGCTGCGTGTCTGGCAGAGTCCACATCAGGGAGGCAAGCCGCAGGGATTGCCGTCGCAATTGTACGTTGGATTTATGTGACGTTGCTTGTTTTGTTTTGTATTGTTTTTGTTTGTTTGGGAGGAACAAAGCTCATACATTCTACTTTCTACAGAGTCTCCGCTGTCCAAACGGATGAATATGGAGTGGAAGAAACGGTCACGGTGGTACAAGCGGCCCCCTTGCAAAAGTACAGCAAACAAGACGTCTTTGTACCTCCTGTATTGGCCAAATGGTTGCGACCGCATCAACGGGAGGGAGTCGACTTCATGTATCAATGTGTCATGGGAATGAAAGAGTTTGCGGGAAATGGATGCATTCTGGCCGATGATATGGGTAAGTCTTTTTGTTTTGCTTTGTTTTTTTGCTTGCTTGCAACCATTTGGAATGGTTCTTCGTCCAACAATTGCTGTGAAACTAACGAACGAATTCCTTGCAACGTCTCTCCCTCCCTCCATTATTTCGACAGGACTTGGAAAGACATTACAGTCCGTGACCTTGATTTGGACCCTTCTCAAGACAGGAATCACAGCCAACGGTGATCCCACTGCCAAGAGAGTCATTGTCGTTTGTCCTTGTAGTTTGGTCAAGAATTGGGACAATGAATTTGTCAAGTGGCTGGGACCAAACACTGTCAAGACTTTGGCCATTGCAGAGGGGAGTCGCAAAGAAGTCGAACGGGATCTGGATTCCTTTGTCCGTACCAGACTTTTCAATGTCTTGATTTGTAGTTACGAATGTCTTCGAACTCATGCCAAGCGTCTGACCAAGGTTGCCGATTGTTGTGATTTGTTGGTCTGTGATGAGGCACATCGATTGAAGAACAATGAGAATCAAACCAGTCGGGCTCTGAATTCCTTGCCTGTGAAACGACGAGTCCTCTTGACCGGAACTCCCATGCAGAATGATTTGCAAGAGTTCTATGCCATGGTGGACTTTACCAATCCTGGAGTCTTGGGAACTCAAGAAGAATTCCGAAAGAAGATGCTCTTTCCTATCCTCCGGGGTAGGGAACCAGATGCCACCGAGGCCCAGAAGAAACGCATGATGGACATTCAAAATGATATGAGTACTATTGTCAATCAATTCATCTTGCGACGAATCAATACCTTGAATGCCCAACATCTTCCCCCCAAATTGGTACAAGTCGTATGTTGTAACCTGACGGAAATTCAGCAGAACATGTACCAACACTTGATTACCAGCAAAGATATGCACCACGTCATGGAAGGAAAACAAGTCAACTGTCTTGGATCTATCCAAATGCTCATGAAACTGTGCAATCACCCAAGTTTGGTGGCGGAAGAAGATGGTGGCAACCAACCCCAAAAAGGCCGCAGAAAGGGTACAAAACAAGTCAAGTACAATGAGGACGAGCCCGCATCTTCGGCTGCTCCAGGAGCCGATGGAATTGTCAAGTTCTTGCCCATGTCTGGCGGTGGTGGCGGTCGAGGCAACCACAACGTCCCTGTCCATCCCGAGTGGAGTGGCAAGATGTTTGTCCTCTTTAGACTCATGAAGGAAATGCGGAGGCCTGGTAATGGGAATGACAAGATTGTCATTGTGTCCAACTATACTCAAACCTTGGATTTGATCGGTCGCATGTGCCGGCAGAATTCGTGGGGATTTTGTCGATTGGATGGAAGCATCACCATGAAGAAGCGGCAAAAGATGGTCGACGAGTTCAATGACCCGAGTAGTCCATTGATAGCCTTTTTACTTTCCAGTAAGGCCGGAGGATGGTAAGAGCTATGTTGGATATGAACAGAAATTTTCTGCTTTGAACATTCAATCTTACCTTGTTTTTTGTTTCTTGCAGCGGATTGAATCTAATCGGAGGCAATCGACTTGTGCTTTTCGATCCAGGTAAGATAATCGGAGTGGTAGTAGTGTTTACGCTCAAGATTAATTGCTGACTCCGACATTCCACCATCACTACTTGTATAGATTGGAACCCCGCAGTCGACAAACAAGCTGCGGCTCGATGTTGGCGTGATGGGCAAAAGAAGAGGTGCTTTACATACCGCTTTCTTGCAACAGGAACTGTGGAGGAGAAGATCTTTCAGCGCCAACTTTCCAAGGAAGGTCTTCAGTCGGTGGTGGACGACAAGGAACAAGTGAACGCGCTCAGTACAAAAGACTTGCGAAATCTATTCAAGTTGCGAAATGGTACTCCTTCAGACACTCACGACAAGCTTCGATGCGAACGATGTAAGATCATCCATGACAATGCCGAGTCGGACGCGTTGAAAGTACTGCCGAAGAAGCTTGCGGCTTGCTTGGAACTCATCGAGGAGATGACGAAGCACGAAGATGCGTCTCATTTTCTTGCACCACTCAATCCGGAAGATCATGGCGTCAGCAAGGAAGCGTACGAAAAGGCGGTCAAACAGCCGATGGATCTTGGTACAGTTCGCAATCGTCTAGGAATGACCCAGGACCAACCAAATGCCTACACCAGCGTGTCCACTGTTTCGAAAGATGTCAACAGAATTTTCTCCAACGTGGTGAAAGTTTGGTCTCCTGGTGATGCAATTGCGGACGCCTCTCGAAGGCTACAGACTTGGTGGGTCGAGCAATGGACCGAGCTAGTTCCTCGTCTGATGATCATGAAAGCGACCGAGGACCAATGTCCGTTTGCGAATGATGCAGAGTCAGATCCATTTGAAGGCAGTGCTGCAATCAACAACGAGCGCGGCGACGACTATCAAGAACAAATCGGTATGCCTGACGAGGAGAACATGCGCCACTGGTCTCATCATCACAGCGCAGATACTGTTGATGATCCTGTATTCCGTGCTGCAATGAGAGGATCAGATGCTGTCTCTTTTGTGTTCGGGCTCGAAGTAACATGGAGCCTCATTCAACAGCGCCAACAGGAGGAGGAAGAGCGACAAGCAATGCAAGAATTGGAGGCAGCAGAAGCCTTGCAAGAAGACGACGAGAATGAAGATGATGAAGAGCCTGATTCTGATTCTGGTGCGAAAACTGATCATGTCGATATGAACGACAAGAGTGAAGACAATGAAATGGCCGACGTTCTAAACGACGAAACAAATCTGCAGCACTCCGAGGGTCCAGCTGAACCTAAATTGGTCGAGCAAAGCACCCATGTTCTATCCGTCGATAGTCCCTCCTCTACTATTGTAGCAACGATTCTTTCTGCGGAGATTTGCACCCAAGACAGCAGCAACAATGAAAACTGCAAACCTTCCGTTGCTGAGATTGCTACACCTTCTCAAACCGAATGGGAGTGTTCAGCATGCCATTACTTCAACCAAGATAGCTTGAAGAAATGTGAAATGTGTACAGCCAAACGGCAGAAAAAGCGCTCAATCGAGGAAGTAGACTAGCGATCGAGATACATTGTAAACTAAGCCTGTAATTGTACTGCGTGACTACAGTCGACAAGATGGTACTGCATGTGTATCCACAATCCACGAAGTATTGCCTCCCATCCAGCTCAACAGCATTTCAATAATCCCTCGACAGACAAATTCTTTTTTAATTCAAGAACAACTTGGTGCATTGGTCCTATAAAGAAGATTTGTAAAATGAGCGTGAGGGTGCAGAGTTTCGTGAAGCAAAAGAGAGGAAAACAGATCACGCATAGAATCATCTACCTTAGTGTCTTCGGGTGAACAAACGGTGTGCCCAATAGTGCGCTCGTGGGTAAAGATTTCAAAGTCATTGCCTGCGAGAGAAAACAATCCGAGAGTGAGTCTATCATCTACTATGCTCGGTCAAAATACTCGACAGTGACTCACCTCCTTCGAATGTTTTGTCGCCAAAGAAGTCTTTTTCACAAGAGATTTCACAAAATTAAGTTAGTATTGCTCTCATCGGAATGAAGCTCCACACAATCTCCTCTGTCGCTGACTCACGGACTTCATCAAAGTCTCCCTCAGGTAAGAATTTGAGGCAGTAAGTCTTATCCCATCCTTGAGGGAAGCAGTCGAACGAGATTTGTCCACCAATACTGTAAGTCAAGTCAAGATCAGCAAATTCTTTCTTCATAGCTTCAACCATTTTCTTTCGAACATCATTCGCCAAGTCAAACTTTTCGTAGTCATTTCGTTCCTCTCTGGAGCAGTTTCGTCCGATGGGTGAAATGTTGAACATTCCAGATCTAAATTCAAAGAAAGTTCCACGCTAGGCAAAGGAGGAAACATGAGAGATGACTTCCTTTCTTGTCGTGTGTTGGGGGAATCCATGGTGTACTTAAGCCTACCTTTACGGGCAAATCAATGTCAGCCAAGTATTTCATGACCCAGTTGGCAATGCGCTTAACATTGTCCTCTCCCAAGTGCTTGGAAATTGTCTGGATCTCAAGGAGTTCCCCGTTCTTGTATGCAACCAATCCATTCTGACTGAAGTTGTAGGGGAAAACCTTGGCAATTCCTTCTCCAAGTTGCTCCTCTTGCTTTGGAAGATCCGAGCCTCCAACAATTCCAACAGTGATCTTCTTCGACAAATCCTTCATGAAAGTCATCATTTCAGGAGTGACTTCACCACGAGGGATGGTCAAAGTTCCATCCACATCGAAGAGGGCAATGATACGGGGATTTTCTGGCGTCATTATCTTGTCCAACAACTAAAAATCGTGAGAAACTGTGAGCAAAGAAGTCTTTCTCATTGTCGGAAGTCCAACGGTCATGAAAGTGTCCGATAGTCGACCAATCCGACTTGTAAGAACAGTTCTTTTAAAAAACACACACATCCAACAACATCATCATCTCATCTGCTTGCTTGCTTGTCACGCAGAGATCACGACGGTCACTACAGCCGGAAGTAGTCTGTGAAAATTCTTCACAATGTCAGGTCTTGCCCGTTTGAGAATAGTCGCCATCAACGATGTTTATGAACTGCACAATCTTCCAAAATTGCAGACTTTCCTATCGAGGTTGACCAGCGAGCCTTCAGCAGTGACATTGGCAGGAGATTTCTTGTCTCCTTCTACTCTATCGTCAGTAGATGGAGGTAGAGGTATGGTATCCACGCTAAGAGCTACTGGGGTGACTCATGTTTCCCTCGGCAATCACGAACAGGTGAGCAATAGTCATCAATATTCTTTGCGATGAAGCATTTTCTATGTTGGCTGCCGTCACTGACATATCCTCTGTCGGAACAATGCCGCGTCGATTATCGTTTCTTTGTTCTCCATTTCCCAAACTGAATGAAATCTCAAACAGGATCTTCGCCTCGAATCATTGCATGACCGCCTAGCTAGCCTTTCAAAGTCAGTTAATGTCATCAACTCGAATATGAGAGAGAATATTCCAGACAAAGCACAATGGATGACGGAAGTCACCGTACCTTATTCTTTGATCACGTCGCCATGCAATCGTGTACGGGTGGCACTTTTGGGTTTGTTGAGTGACGAACCCGGAATATTCCGAGACAATACATTCAAGGGTGTTCCGGTTAGCGACGTCATCGAAACATATGCAAAGATGTACAATGAAATCGTTCCCAACATTGCAGATGCATGTATACCACTCACTCATCAGTCAATGACACGTGACAAAGAGCTTGCCGAGTCAATGTTGGACTTGCATGGAGGCAAAGGAGTCATCATCGGTGGCCATGAACACGAACCTCTTGACGAGCTTGTTGGGAATGGATCAGATGGTGACTCAATACGGATCCTCAAAGCTGGAATGGACTCTATGGCTGCTTCTGTGATTGATCTTTCATATGATGTTACAGAAAACGAACGACCCACTACAGTTGCCGTTGACTACAAACTGGAGCCTCTGGTGGACATAGAACCATCAGAGGTGCTACAACAAATAGTGGACAAGCACATGTCCGTAATCAAAGCACTCGATGGTGAACACATCATAAATTCTGACACAGCGCATATGCTTCCACCTGGTGCCCTTCTTTCTTCGAAACGAACCCGATTCGAGCAGACCACAGTGGGCAGTATATTCCTGCAACTCCTCAAGGAAGAGATGGATGCAGATGTAGCTATTGTCAATGGCGCTTGCATCAAGGGAGGTACCGACTATTATGATGGGAAAATGACCTATGCACAATTGAAGAAGGAACTCCCCTTTCCTACGAAGATGATTGTTGTTATAATGAAACGTTGGGAACTACAAGATGCTATCGATTACTCTCGAACTTCCACTGAAGGTAATGCGGAAAACGAAAACGGCGAAATACCACGCCGCGGGTATTTGCAAGTTGACTGGGATTATGATCAGGTGGGCTACCTTGGTTCCCCCGATGACGACTTGAAGGTTGCATTACCGAGGAATCTATTGAATGGATTTTGTAAGATCAAACCACTCATGAAAATTGGCGACCGGCTGAAGCAGGACAAAATCTTCCCCGGCGATGATGATTATGTCCCTGCCATCAATCTAGTCACGAGGTATGCCTGTAAAAATCGCTGGTCACAAATGATTGGCGACATTGACGATTTTGATCAGTTTGATTTGGACGGAAATGGTGTACTTGACAGAACGGAAGTCAAGCTTTTGATGGAAAAATTTCTTGGCCATGAACCAGCGGATTTTGTAGTCGATGACATGATCGCTGCTCTAGATGCTGATGAAAATGGTGTTATTGACAAAGGTGAGGTCAGCTATTTGCTTGCCAGACTGGAGAGGGAAAATGACTGGAGAGGGTTTTGATGAGATGTGCCAGACTGTAAATAGTCACTACTGTAGTACTCCTCGTCTTGCCGTCTGCAGGAATCATGGTAGTCGGTCTTACGTGGTGAATTTTCCGATCCAATTTGGCGTATCCAGACTGCTCGTATCCATCACAACAAGCGCCTCGCCTCAAGCAATATACACAAGCTATCATTCCACAAGAGCACCCTGCTTCTGTAGTGATAGATACAACGCGAAAAATCTCAGCGAAGAGAAATATGATGGGCCGCCGATTTCCTACTTTGCTAATTACCACAATTGTCGCTTTACAATGCTTGACTGCCCTCGGCTTTCAACAGCAAGTCGCCCACACCAGCATTGCTGGACGTAAGATCACTCTTCCATCCGTAAATCCAAGGCCCGAACATGGGTCGATATCGAGCTTTTGTAACACTCGAAGTCATCGAATAAATCGCAGTAGACTGTCAACTGCAACAACATCGGCGGAGGAAAACCCGAAAGTGCCTTTTCCTTTGGTTCTATGGAGATTCACGAGGCCCCATACCATTATTGGATCAGCACTTGCCATTCCTGCGTTACATGTTCTAGCAGCACCAACATATGCATCGGCTTTTACAGCTCGATCTCTAACCAGCATGATATTTGCCATGATACCAGCCTTACTGATGAACTTGTACATTACTGGTTTGAACCAAGTCACGGATGTTGAGATTGACAAAGTCAACAAACCAAACCTTCCGATTGCTGCTGGGGACCTCAGCCTGAGAGCTGGAGTAGCAACGGTCGTATTGTCATTGATTCTTTCATTGCTGATGGGGGTCTCGCATCCTGTTCTTGGATCACAAGGACTCAACGTGGCTTTATGGTTTTCTGGGATTTTGGGGACACTGTACTCCCTGGAGCCATTTCGTCTCAAGAGATTTCCATTCTTAGCAGCATTCTGCATTGTTTCTGTGCGAGGGGCAGTCATCAATGCTGGATTTTTTGCCCATGCGAAGGCAGCTGCATTTGGTCAAACTACCACAGTGATGGACTGCTTGGTTGGAGATCGTAGATGTCTTCTCTCAAGTCTCTACTTTGCTATTTTTGGAGTTGTTATTGCATTGATGAAGGATGTACCCGATGTAAAGGGCGATGCTTTATCTAACGTTCGGACCTTCTCCGTTCGGTTGGGACAAAAGAGGTGAGTGGTAGTTCATCGATCCGTCCTTTTTTCTTCTTTGCAAGCACCATCATTCACAGTTTTGTTTGTGGTATCAGGGTATTTGGTTTGATGTGTCGATTGCTAGCATTCACTTTTTTTACCGTAGGCGCAAGCTTCTTACGGGGATCATTATTGGCTCGGCAATCAGCACCTCTATTTATTGGACGAGCAATCGTCGGACTCTCTTCCGTCATGGCTGGAGTATCTGTACAAAAGGAAGCAGCTCCTGTGGATGCTGAAGACCCAAAAGAAGTCTACAACTTCTACATGCACCTATGGAAACTCTTTTACTTGTCATACCTGGTTTTACCTTTTGCCAGGTAGCTATTAACATAATCGCGGTTCTTGCTATCAATATAAGGAGGCTCTCCGTAATTTTGTATTCTGTTTGCCTGTGACGTCAGTAGTATCTCAGCTTTTCCTTGATGCGAAGCCCAGCGATTTTGCGATCCAAAACCGAAAGACACATCAGCCAACACACCATTTTTATTTTTTTAAGAAGGACAATGATTTTTCCCACAACGGTCTTCTGTTTGGCTCTTTTCTCGTTTGTGGAAGGTTTTCAACTACTTCCAAGGCAGCAGGCAGCAGGTCTAGCCAAAGTTGGTTCAACTCCATCAAGAAGCACACGTTTGTTCTCATCCGATGCCGATGAATCTGAGAAAAAAGATGATCGGATTGATTTGTCTCTTGATGACAGGCTCTATCGGATGCGATTGCCACGAGCGCCAGGCATTGAATGGGGGACAGACCTAAGCTTTTCATTTGTGTATGTTAGAGACTTGGACCCAGTGGGACCAGCTTCCATGTCGGGTAAGGTGTCAAAAGGAGATCAATTGTGTGAACTCATTCCAGTTGAATCCGAAGGGAAACCACTGAATCTACTTGGGGCTTCTTTCGACAACGTTATGGGCGCATTTGCTGGATTGGGCAAAACTGTAACTGAGGTAGATCTAGTTTTCTTCAAGGGTACCAAAGATGAGCTCAAAGAAGCGTGTACTGGCGATGAGAGCGGAGCAAACTCTGATATCATCACCGTCACCGTAGTCCAGAACAAAGGCGCTGAAGATGAAAGTGTTGTAGAACTACAAGCTAAAGCTGGGGTGAATATCAGACAGTTGCTGGTAGACAATGGGATTAATGTCTATCAGAGTGTGACGAGGTTCACGAACTGTAAAGGAAAGCAACTTTGTGGAACGTGTATCGTCAACGTTCCAAACGGCTTGGAAAGCACCAACTGGAAGTCGATGGACGAGGCTTCGACCCTTCGTGACAACCCTGATTCATACAGATTGTCATGCATCTCATTTGCATACGGGGATGTTACCGTCGAGACCCTCCCACCTGTTGAAAAGTATCAATGGACAAGATAAGCTGATACGGAAAGCATAATACTATTGTGTAGCCAAGCAGTCAAACTGGAAATTACATAACTTAAACGACAAAAAGCTATTACTTTCCCCACTCCCCTCCATAACCTATCGATGGCGCTGGATTAATAAAGTCAATAATTTCCTGTGTACCGCTCGGATACAGGTGGCCACACGAAGCCGCCAGTTTGAAGATTTCCATGAAGTGAAGCAGCTGCACCAACTTGGTTGGACTCTGCTGTCGGATGCGCGGCCGAATTTGAACCACCACCTGATTGCAAACTTGCAAACGTTGGAATTTTGCTTGTTTCCGAGATTGACGGTACCCCAGCACCAAAGCCGTGTGAAGCCTTACTCTTTGCGTCTTCAGTGGCTGGGGGGGCTTGGGTTTCGGTCTCTTGATTTCCAGCCACATCACTGGATGACGAACTTGATGCAAAGTTTGCGAGGGCCACCAAAGCGTCAGCAGAAACCAACGTTCCAGTAGACTCTTTTCTGGAAATCTGAGAAGTCCGTGGTGAAGGGGCTGGTGCAGGGTTAGTTGGAGGTCGGGCCGTAGATTGAATCAAGGTTGGACCGGGGCGAGCCTCTGTGGCAAGATTGGATGGAGTTCCTGCCTCAACTGCAAGTGTGGCAAATTGCGAGAACGCGGATGTAGGAGCTGTCTGCGCTGACTCGGCTTCTGATTTGTCTTCCATCGATTGCAAGGCTTGCCTTTGCTCTTGTATGGATTGCAGAAAACTCAATGCCCCTTCGTTCCCAGTTCCATTTTGCGTAGCAGGCTGAGCTGAACCAGAGTCAGTATGATTTTCAGGTTGTGGGAAGGTTGGTGCAGAAGCCACTGGAGAAGTTTGTGATTGTTGCGCTTGTAAAACTTGCAGCAAAGCAAGCCCCCCTTCAGGATTCCTTGAACTCAGGCTGGTCGAGAGTCTTGACTCGAGATCACGTGTTGCAGCTTGCGCCTGTGAATATTGCAAAGCTGCGGCAGCTTGAACCGAATTCAATAAGTTCGCATGCGCCTGTCCTTGAAGGGCTTGCAGAAAAGTGGACGCCCTACCGTTTCCAGCTACATTTTGTAGAATTGATTGTATTAGGCTTCCTTCATCCTGGGTTCTCGATCCAAGTGCGGGTGTGATTGCTGTAGGCTGCTCGAAAGTTGGTGCAGCAAGCCCTTGCGGCTGTGAGTATGTCTGCAAAGGAGTCGCTTCAGCTGCACCTATCACAGGCACATGATACTGTTCTTCCATGGAGATTAGAGTATTTGCTTGTGGCCGGGCAAACGCCGTTTGGTTCACAGTCAACTCATCATTTCTCAATCGCTCTGCCTCTTCTTCGCGTATCCTGCGCTCCTCAATCTCACGCTGTTTGACCTTTCGGGCTTCTCGCCTTCGTGCATCGGCCTGACGACGCTTCTCTGCTCGGACCTTTTTTTTAGCTTCTTCTTCTTTCTCCTTTTTCTCTCTTTCAGCCTTTGCAACTTGATCGTAATCGATTGGAAGAGAACGTTGTCCACAAGTGTGAAGGACGTGCCTTCCTCGGCATGCGAAACAATTGGGGTCGCGTTTTGTTTGAAATGTCAGATCTAAAGAATAACTCCTTGCGCCAGTATCGGAAGCTGTGTCAGATGTTACAGCGGAACCTGTATTCAATGGGGAACAACGAGAAGCCGGTTCTGATGCGGTGTTAGCTGGTGATATCGCTCCAGAACTGCAAGGGCTGAGGCCCAGCAATCTCAACGCAACTGCGGTTTCGTCGGATCGAATGCCACCCAAAGTTGTGAGCGACGACTTGGGCCCATCCTTGCTTCGCTGAAAGCCATTCTCTTCAGTTGCCTTCTGCACAACTTCCACAGACACTGTGTTCTCGGTACCGTTTGTTTCCGTATTGAGAGCCACTTCAGCATCCTCAACGTCCTCAGTTCCAACTTCTGGACTTATTACTACACTTTGCGACTTTTCCATCTCAAGGTCGTTGGAACGCATGCTACCCGACCCATCGGCCCAAGTATTCTCTCGGGAGATCATGTATTTTTGCAATCGAGGATTGATCGAAGACTTGAGCATGGCTTCCAAGTTGCCTGCTCGCGATCGTTTGCCACGTCCAGGTCTATTGGCCGCTGGGTTGGTAGTAGCAACAATAATCTTGGTTACCGACACCGTAATACCATCTTCGCTGAGTTCCTTCTTCTTGTAGACATTTGGCATGCGACTCAAAATCTTGTCAATGAACAATGGCGCCGAATTGGAAACCGGATTTCCACCAGGAGTTGGTTCTGTATATATTTCATCTGAATCACCTGCGCTGTCATCTCTCTTGGATTTGTTGATTTCCTGTCGCAAGTACGACTCTGGTCGACAAGGAACAACTACCGGAAACTCCACGTCGGCGCTGGTGGCATCTAAAATATTCACTTCGGCATCTTCTGTGTCCTGAATGACTTGATCCAACAGACTCTGTCTCATTGCTTCTCGCAAGTCGTCATCTATTTCCTCCAACTCTTCCAGTTCCATGTCATCTTTTCGCTCCTTCGTGGATGGCCAAGAGTTTGAGAAATCAAGCTCATCTTCGTTTTCAATGTACTCTAGATTGTCAGTAATGACGTTATACCCGGGAGGATACATGATTCCTGCAAAATTGGACTTAATCATTGGCAGCAGGGTATGCCCAAAACCATCACTGGTGGCCAAAACTAATCGATCCTGTCCCATGACGGGAGCATTGAGCACCCCATTGACCCCTTCAGCTTTGGCGGGGAGAGGCAGTGATAGCGTTGGTACTGTTCTGGATTGATCCGTCTTCCAAACGTGAATGGCCTCGCATAGTTCCTTGGGACCCTTGACGTTTGGAATCCCCACCACATATGGCCCCAAATCACTGTCTTCCGAATTGTCATTCGTGGCCAGCCAGTCATCGCAAATTTGATCGCCCCCACTGCATGAATGTAATCGCTTGTGAAATTGTCGGGAATTGAGAAGCAAACAATCTTGCCACACTACTGATTTGCCGTGCAAAGCAAGTTGATCTCCATAGGTATTGAGGAGTTGCAAAGTTTCTGTCTGATACAAGCGAATTCCTCGAGAGCCTGCTACCAATGTGTAGGTTCCTTTGTCAGATTGACAGAGACGTGTTTGATGATTCGATGCTTTGACCGGTATTCTAGTTTTGCAGGCCACCTTCCAGTTATCAATCGAACCTCCTTGCACCAACACTAGTTCGAGTTCTTGATCCGTGTTGGACACTGCCACAAACAATAATCGTGGTTCAATAGTCTCTGAGGTATCCCAAATAGCTGTACAACACGGACTCTTTACCAACAAGGGTGAATTCGCATCGCAAATTTCAATATTGCTTTGAGAGTGTTGCAACAGCATGAGCGGTGAAGTTGGAGCCTGACCCATGGGCGAGGGTCCTCGATTCTTTGATTTCGCAACATCGCAGCTCACCAAAACATCAAAGGTTTCGACATGAACATCCAGAGAGGTAACAATACGGTCCACCGAGAGTGGGCACACCCACAGACTTGATTGGGATGGAATATCCATGCACTCCAATTCGCAAGAAGTCGCAATGACCACCCGTAGCCCTACCATTCCAATCGCAAGAATCGAGGTCTCACTAGTGTCCTTTATCAGAGATCGTAGCTTCCCCTTGCTGTTCTTGATTTGTTCTCGTATGCGTTTTTGTTGGTCTCTTGATCGTTGTTGACAGGCCACAGTCTCGAGGCGGGCAATGGGGCGTATATGCGTTCCTAGACTGTAAATTATACAAAAGCCAGCGTCATCTCCTACTGCCATGTACTCTTGATCTGGTTTCGAAATGGAAATGCAGGTAATGGAGCGTGTGACTGGCAAAATCGAGGGATCGAGTTCTCGATTGTCATCGGAATTGTAGTCATCCTCGAAATAGACATTTGGCGAGTACAGCGGTGTCCAATCTGTCTTTTCTAGGGTGGAATCCTTGCCTAATCCATTGCCAAATATCCTAGGATATTGTTGCTGCATCTTAGAGGAAGCATTCATTGAAATGACCGCTGGTAAAATCGGCATGACTTTGACTGCGTGGCTCAAAAAGGTACCTTCGGACACAGGTTTTCGCCTGATTATAGTGCAAGTTCTAGCAGGAGAGGCGCTCAATTGGGGCGGTGAGGGGCTATCTATTGAACTGATAGGGCCATGATCACTTGGACTTTCGTCTAATGACGGTTTGGGAGCAGAAGAAGCATCAGAAGGCCGTCGTCGTTTTCGGCCTGCCCCCGTCGGACGAGGTGTCGGTTTGACCTCCGGAAGGTCGTTTTCGTCCTCTTCCTTAGCGGCAGCATCCCTCTCTTTCTGACTAAATGTAGTGCTGACGAGGGAGTGCCGGTTGTATGCCTTTTTCCTCCGGGAAGGTCGTCTTGGAGAGGAAGAAGAATCATCGTTTTGTTCGTGTTCGTCGAATGCATTTATTGGGGACGAAATTTCTTCTTCTGACGGCAAATCTTCCAAACTGCCGTTTCGTTTCTTCTTGGTGGTGAATGTAGAGGGATTGTCATCGGAATACAAAGTGGTGGGCGTCCGCTGTCGCTTGGGTCGCCCTCGACCTCCATTTTTCTTCATGGTCATGATGTAGGAAGAGTGAATGCACACTGTTCTCGATGTTCGATTTCCAATTGGTTGATTGCGATTGAATGCGAATGTACCGCAATTGCACGCACGTACGACGCTGTATATTCCGGTAGGAAATGTCATCCCATCGGCAGCTTTGGCATTTCCAGCAAACTTCCGTTCGCTTCGAGGCAGCACGCCATCCACGTGGCGCCTTTGGGCCCGAGGGGAGTCACTAAAAGGCGTTTGAACCGGCATCCGGCAGTAGAAGGAAGAACTGGCCTATACCATACCGGTGCAGTATACCGATATGTATTAATACGAGTATGTTATTAAAATAAATACTGTAGGTTCCTCTAGAGGTAATCTATCCTCCTCACTTTTTATAAACCTTGCTACGATAATATGATAGGACTATGGCAGTTGCTATAAAGTACGGTATTTATTTGAAGAGTGACTGTATCACAGATTGTGTAGAAAGCTTTTGCAAGTGATGGTATTTTTGACCCGTACCCACAAACAAAATAGGAGCATTGGTAGCGTGGGTCATGGTCAAGGCAGCTCCTACCTTGTCCGAGACGGTATCGAATTTGGTCAGCAAAATGGCATTGACCTTTTGGTTCCGGTTCACGCTGGATACAGCTTGGCTGAACATTCTAACCTGATCGATTCCATCATTTCCAACTAGAGCTTCTCCCACAAAGACTGTCAAATCCGGTTGGTTCTCGTTGGCTAATTTGCCCAAAGCTTTCATCAAGGGTACATTGTTTTGCATTCTACCAGCAGTATCGACCAATACTACATCGTTATTGTCCTGCGTGGCTTGTTCAATGGCAGCCTTGGCAACACTACTAGGATCCTTGGAATATCCCTTGTGGAAAATGGGGACTTCCAAGCATTTCGCGTGCACACTCAATTGTTCCACTGCACCGCTTCGAAAGGTATCGCAAGCTGCAAGTAGCTATGTATTATACATTTCATTGGATTGATATAAATGAAAAAATAGCAAAGTGCCAAGTAAGCGTCACCATTCAAACTCATTCATCACAATAATAAAACATACAATCCCACATGTGTCTTACCGGATTGCAGCCATTGGTCTTGAGAAAGTAGGCAATCTTGGCCAAGGAGGTGGACTTCCCAACTCCATTGATGCCGCACACGACAATGACGTAAGGCCGTCGCTTTCCAAACAAGGAATCTCTCTTGGAGACAACTCTTCGTAGCAAGTCCAATTGCGCACTGGGCAAAAGGAGCTTGTTGATGGACTTTTCCAGTGCTTGTCGAACAGCAGTCTTGACGCGATACATTGAATTGAGCTTCTTTCCGACTAGAGAGTCTTCCATGCTTTGGCAGACTTGTTCGGCAATATCGGACGCAACATTCTTGCTTGTGAGCATCTTTTGGATCTCTTGGATAGGTGCTTGCAAGTCTTGTTTGGAGAGGACCTTTTGTCCTGTAACCTGTTGAAAGAGCCCCTTCAGCGAACCACCCCACGAGTTTTCTGATTCATCGTCCGCATCGTCATCTAGGGTACTTGTTGGAACAATTTCAAATTCGGCCAAGTCGGCGTCCGTAGGAAGATAGGCAGCTCTGGCTTCCGCCAGGGCCACAGCATCCCTGTCGGCATCATTGACATTATCATCTGAAGCACTAGTAGTCTTACTTCGATCCAGCTCTGCCATTGCTTCTTTGGTAACTTTGGCTTTACCATCGTGCCAGTGTCGTTTTTCTTTCCCTCCTTTCTTCGATTGCTGCTGCTGTTGTTGCTGCTGCTTTTGATTCGAAGTCTTATTCCGGGTAGGAGCAGACGGATTTGATTTGTGTTGTTTGAACAAGACGCGAAAGGCAGCATCAAACAAGCCCATATTTTCGGGATAGCTCTCGTCCATGGGAATTTCTTCTTCTGTTTTTTCTTCTTGAAGACGTTTTTGTTCTTGAGCTTGACAGAAAAGCTGAAACTCAGAGAGCGATGCTGCCAACAAGGATTGAATCCATGGAAAGTCTTCTCGTCGAATATCAGGATACAATGCCAAAGCAATCAATTCGGAGGTTTCCTCCCATTCAATAATCATATTGGTTGGATGTCCATCAATCGATGCTTTGCGATCCGTCCTTGATCTTGTAGGATTCAAGTAAACCTCACTCAAGAATGTGTTGATGGAATCGGATATGGAGGATTGAGATTGGTCTTGTGTGTCTTTGTCAGAATGCTGGTAAAGAATCATACCTCCTTTGTTGAATATTGTAAAAGATACTAGCATGTTTTGTGTTGTCTTGTCTTCTGCACCGGTAAAAAGGAAATAAGAATGAATGCTTGCACCTTCTAGTCTGTAGAATGAATGAATGAATAATGAATGAATGATGCAGAAAGTATAGTAGTAAAATGACAGTTCAGGTGGTTTGCCGTTGGTTTGATCGAACTAATCAATATTGTACTGAAAGAGCTCTCTACTACCTAACGTTGTTCGTTCGATTTCTTACACGAGCCAGCAACGTTTTTTTCTCGCTTCAAAACAAAAAAAGAACTGGAGACGTGCAAGAGTGAAACATTTACTGAAATAAATAAAGCAAGAACGAAACAATGGTGAAAGTACTGGCACTAAGCGTTGTGAGAACAGGAACAGAGCTTCCAGAGCCTATTATCTGCTCGTTGGCGACTGAATTGTCCTCATTCGGATTTTTCCAACGGCCGGTGAGTTTTGGTGTTGTCATTGAAGCTTGCTTCCGGGTCTCTCGTAGAATTCTTCGTACGATTTACGTTTTTGAAAACAATCGAAAATATGTTTGACCCTTGAGAGATGGAAGACTCCTCCATGGGATATAAGAAAGATGACCATCTTACATCTCGTGTCTTGGAGAGTCTTTTGTTTGATTCATTCACTTATGACTTCACGTCTCACTTTTCCGCTTTCCTAAACTGTTTTGCGACGAAAAGAGCGTCAAAGAAATGATTACATTCTTGACCAAGACATTCATAAAGAGAACAGAAAGCGGACAGCGTCAATCCATCACTCACGAAGGATACGTAGTTCACTGCTACGTCCGATCCGATGGACTTGCTGGAACCGTGACGACTGACATGGAATATCCTGCTCGTGTCGCCTTTGTTCTGCTGGGTCAACTGTTGGAAGACTTTACCGCAGAAGCTGGGGACTCGTGGAAATCATGCACCGTTCCTGAAAGCATGGCATATCCAAAGGGAGAAGAATACTTGCAAAAATACCAAAACCCTGCTGAAGCTGATAAGGTTACCAAAATTCAAAAGGATTTGGATGAGACAACTCAAATTTTGCACAAGACCATTGACAGCGTTTTGGAACGTGGAGTCAAGTTGGATAACCTTGTGGAGCGATCCAATGATTTGTCGGCACAATCCAAAATGTTTTACAAACAGGCGAAGAAGACAAACAGTTGTTGTGTCATCAGTTAGATGAAGGAATGCATGAAGGAATGGTTATGATTGTCATTGTTTATTTTGGTATACCATGTTCCTCACTCGGTCAGTGTACGCGTACATGCAGTACAACGTGGCTTGATATTTTGATAAAAATGGTACTATAGAAGAAATTACATCCAAATGGCTAAAGGTGTGCTCCCATCTGAAATTCACTACAAACTGACAAATTTGTAATTGTTGGATCGCTGCGTCCGTGATCCCTCACCATCATTGGTCAAAGAATTCGATCCTTCGTTTACAAAGGCACCTGTCGCAGCTTGGACGCCAGTGATGGATGCGACTGCGGTAGTGCGAACCGCCATCCAAAGGAGCTTGGACGACAGCAATGCTGGCATTAGCAACTGCTTTCCAGCCACAAAAGCTGGACCCAAAACCTCCCGAGTTGCGCCTCCCAATGGCGAGTTCATAAATACATCAGCTGGTAGCAGTGCCAGGTTTAGTGTCCCATCCACGATATTCTTGCGTTCAATTACAAAAACGGAATTCCGATGCAATCGCAATAGTGCTCTTTTGTCCCTGGAAGAACGACGACTTCGCCCTGGTAGTTCATAGTCCACAAGCAACCAAGAACCTGATGTCTTGACTACTTGTAGTGGAAGCAAGGGCGGTAAGATAGGGCGACAGCTGGATTTTCGAGGATTCTGCCTCGCGAATGCTTCCAATGCCACAATATCGTTGTGCTTTGGTTCCATTCCATTTGGAAGGTAGCTGACAAGTATTCTAACTCGACCTGTCGCGTTTACGCAGTCAGCTGAGCCGTCTTTTTCATCTTTTGTAGCCTTATCCTTCTTATCCAAATCTTGTGCGTATTCCTTGTGCTCTTGTTTGGCAATTTCATCTCCTCCTTTCTGTTGGGAAATGTTGATCCAAGTGTCCAAAACACCTACTTGTGGCTGCCCTGTTTCCGCTGTTTGACCAAGGCACAAAGACGTAAGATCCAATGAACCGGTACCCAAAAGTCGAGAGTCACCTCCAGAAGGAACTCCTGGCAACAGGTTCTCTACGGCAGTGGCATCTTCGTCTACGCGCACCGAAAGACAGATTTTCTGTCCATCTTGAAAATCACCTTTCCTCAATTTAATATCAAAGAAGCAGTTTGTCCAGACTGGATTATCATCCTGTGCCATAATTGGAGAGACAAATGCTGGCGGAAGTTCCAAAGGCTTTGCCGCTGGTTTCGAGTCAAGAGACTGCTGCTGATCGAAATCGCTACCGGGACGATGATCCAATGAGAAGGAAACGAAACTACTGACAGGACCGTGGGCCTTTGACAGTCCCAATAGCTTTACTGGCCCCAGACCCAGCGGACTCCAATAAGATCGTTTTAAATTCGCAGCTTCCAGCAGTCGAATTTGGAAGGTCCCAATGAAACCATTTTGATGATGCAAATATCGGTAAGGTTGTTTTCGAAAAGCAGCATCTTGCTCCCAGTGAACTTTGTCAGCCTGTGACGAATTCCATTCTTGTGCTCTAGTCTCCTCATAGGTCGAGAATTCTTGATGGCGAAAATCCCTTGAATGCGCAACACCAAATGACGCCATGTTGACAGGACGCACTTTTGAAAGGCAAAGGTGTTGTAACAACACGATCAGTTCAACAACTGCAACGACGGCTGTCATGTTTAGTCGAAGTGGTCAGTTTTAGTAAACTACAGGTACATACCGTACATTATACAGTACCAGGTACCATACAGTACGAAAAAAAGAATGGGTATTTAAATTTTACAATGTCGATCAATGAGCTGCAGCAAGTGTACCAGTATTGGTAATGGTACCGGTACCAGTGCGGGTATCTGAGTGAGAAATGATGTGATCTGCTTTTGCGATAGATCCATGGTACCAGGTACCACCTGAGGCGCTAGGTTCGTACCGGTGCCGGTCCCTGGTACCACTACAGATAACGCTCTACTGAAGACCGAAACTGTGTAGCTTTCGCATTGTAAAGAATACGTAGACCATGTCATCCCCATTGGTTGTTTGTTAAGTGATCTTTGTCTCGATCATTACCGAGTCGAAACAAACAGGTACAGTACAGTACCAAGCTGTACCTTCGGACAGTCTGCGAACTGTTGACACTTTTCGGTCCAGTCATTGACAAACTGGAAACATCTGGGAACATCGCGGATTACTTATATGCCTCACGATATGCAATAGTCGTAGATATTTTGTTGCTCCTAATATCACTTAAGCTACGAATGACTTTTCTCCACAATAACGTAACGGCGAAGTCATGGAATGCTAGCGAACGTTCCACCATAGGTTCTGAAATCTAAGATATATTCAAAACCGTGATTGTCATCTGTGAATCTGGGTACCGGTACCGGCGGGTTTTGCCGAAGTCTCACAATCACAGTTTGAAGGGAAAGAAAAACCGAAAAAAAAATACAACATGGTGTCCTACAACAAACCAAACCCACTTGCGACATTCATCAAGGATGATCTGGACTACTTTGCAACCTTGGAAGACGAGCTCTTTGACTGTGAAGAGTGCGTCGCAACGAGAAGATCCGGCAGTAGCATAAGCTTTTCGGAGGATGTTGCGATCCAAGAAGTTACTTGCATCAGCGATATGGAGATTAGCGAGATTGATAATCTCTGGTACACACAGGAAGATTTCACTACCATGAAAGCAGAATGCAGGCAGCTGGCCAAGTCTGCCAAGTCTGCCAGAATCAAAGAATCTGCCGACATTTGCATTCGAGGTTTGGAGGAGAAACTCAATGGACGCAAAAAGAAGATCAACCGAAGTGAAGCCATTGGTGCAGTTCTTTGTGAACAAGACGCGCAATTCAGCTATGGCGAGCAAAATCCAGAGGTGATTGCACAAGTCTACCAAGAATTTGCTTCTCACTGTCTTGATGAAGCTGTTGAGCAAGCTCTTCGAGATCAAGAAGCAGCTCTCGCGATCCATGATCTTCCTTCAAATTCTAGCTCATTATCATCCCAAGGTGATGGATGCACGTCAAGTATTCCGAGTCTTGGAAAGTTAGGAGGCCGAACAATGCTCATTGCATAAGCTTGTTCAATTCAAAAGGGGGGATTCAAACTGCTGTACACTATGGTAAAATAATAATATAACAATAATATCAATAATAAGAATCCTAGGATAACAATAACATAAAACAATAACAATTATTCAAATAGAAATAGGAATTAATGAGTCGGGAACAAAGTGCTCCTACATCATACTGTAGTATAGTATGGTCAAGTGATATATCATGGTTTGACACCACTTTAGGATTGCTCACGAAGTTCGCTTGGCGTGATCGAGTTGTTGCACCGTACAATAATAAGTGTACTGTACCTGGTACGTCTACATCATCATTCTACAGTATTGGAAAGGGGACAGAAAAATCGCGGACATTTGTTAATTACCCTACGTTTTTAATATATATGTGTTTGCAGTATATATATACATTCGATAGTAGCTCACTTTGATACTACCCAAAGAGTACGCTGATATTTTTCCAGTCATCGAAAACGGAAAATTGACTCCTTTTCCGGGCATTTCTCAGCCTTTTATGACACTTTTTCCTGGAAAATGTTTAAGAACTAATTTCATCCATGATAAGGAACAGTACTCCTTTCGGAAAAAGTCCTAATTGATGTTTTGGGTCAGCAATTCAAGATTACCGAATCCAAGTACCGGCAGTCTCACAAACTCACAAACTTGGAAGTGTGCGAATTTGTAAGTGTTCAGAATTCCAAGAACTCCAATTCATCATGCATACTCCTAAGAACCAAATGAAAATGTACAAAGCAAACTCGCTAGCAACTTTCCTCAAGGATGATATGCGTTTCTCTTGGGAAGACAATCTCTTTGACAGCGATGAGGATGAAGAAGAAACAGTCGTCATGAGCAAAACAAGAACGAGTATCAGATTTTCTGACAATGTTGACACCCAAGAAATTCCTTGCATCAGCGACATGGAGACCAGCGAGGTTGCTGACGTGTGGTACACCCATCATGACTTCGCCACCATGAAGGCAGAATGCAGACAGCTGGCCAAGTCGTTTGTATCTGGCAGAATCCAGCTATCCGCCGATATTTGCTTGCGCGGCTTGGAAGAGAAGCTTCATCGAAACCAAAAGAAAATCAATCGAAGTGAAGCTATTGGTGCAGTTCTTGACGAACAAGATGCTCAATTTGGCCATGGAGAACAAAACCACGAGGTGATTGCACATGTCTACCATGAATTTGCAGCACACTGCCTTGACGAGGCAGTTGATCTAGCACTTCGAGATCAAGAAACAGCTTTTAAGATCCACGGCATTACCTCAAGTCCAAGCTCCTCATCATGTGAAGACAACAGATGTACGTCAAAGATTTCTGGCATTTCAAGTTTGGGAAGCCCAGCCCTGGTGGCTGCATAAGCTTGTTCAATCCAAATGAGATAACAATTTTGAGGATAAATATAGTAGGAAATGTACAGTGTCTACAGCATAGCTTATCAGTGGTTAATGATAGCGTCGAAACACACGAAATGGACTCATTCCCCGTGCGATCCTAGGTCTCATTCATTCGTTGTACCAGCCCAAGACAGGGCATCATCCTAGTAGACAAATGAGAATGTATCATCGGACATATCATTTGAAAGTGATGGTTTTCTTGATGGTCTGGCTTTGCCATACGACTTTCTTCGCTTGTCACGTTTCAACGTCGATCCTCTAGGAGGCGACATGTTTCGTTGGGTTTGATGATGGGCCGACGCTTGAGTAAGAGGAGAGGAAGACTGATGCAGGTTTGTAAGCTCAATCACGAACGGGACTCTCTTGGATTCCAATGGAGTCACAGATGATTTCCCATGTGAGATCTTTCGTTTCTTTGTGCTACGGACTGGTGCTTGTTTGGATGCTTTTCCCATCACCATTGTTCTCTTTGGAGAAGGGCTAGGAGTGCTCGAGGTGGTGGGAGAGACATGGTCTTCTTCCTTGGGACTTTCTCCTGGAGTTACACAAGGACGCGTTTGACCTGTCTTTGAAGTTGGAGTGAGGTTTTCTTTGTCGGAACTATGTTTGATGCGCTTGGACCGACGAACGCGTTTGCTGGGTCCTGCTGCGTATGCAGTTTGCAATTGCCCAAGATCACATCCGGGAGAAGCACCTCGGCGTTTCTTGGTAGTAATTCGTTCGCAGCTTCGAGTATCTGGTCTAGTAGGCAGTGCTAGCGACTTGTTCCCAATGCAACTGGTGTTGCTACTGTCAGAACTCTCCTTGCAACAACCAGATAGAGGTGCCTCGGCAACTGTGGCTTCGGCCAATGCGGACGGAAGCATGGAGCTTATCATCTTGGAGAGCATTGGTCGAATCATGTTTGGTAGGGCTTGGACTGCTTCAGTGTGAAATTGCTTGTAGCCACTCAAAAAAGATTCGGCAGTCTTCGCGACATCATGGACTTTCTTCAAGGTCACTTGAGAATACTGGGACAAGCGCTGCATTTGGCAATCTCCTGCATCCCGAATACCTTGGGTCCAGCAAGCGCCTTCGCTTTTCAAGTTCGACTTTTGCTCGTGAAAAAGGCGATTGAGATTATTTGCTTTTGAATCGAATGCATCATTGAGCTCATGGAGTCGTCCTTCGAACAGAGTATCTTGTTCTTTTTTATGGTTCCGGGATTCTTCTTCCATCTGGCTCTGCTTTCGATCGAGCTCGGTGGATTTCTCTTCAATAGATTCCATGCTCTTATCAACGAAAGCTTTGAGCTCCGACTGGAGACGTGGTAGATGGTGTCTTTCATTGATTCGTGCCTCCAATTCCAAGTTTTCCGAAAAGGACGAATTCGAGGAGGAGCTTGTTTTGTCGCCAGACTGGGTGACACTCAAAGCAGAGTTGTGTGGAAGAGTAGAGTGTGGAAGAAGGTGTGACGGACGAGTTGAGCTACCCTTGGTTGGCGAATGTTCTCCCGACTTTCGGAACAAAGAGGGAGTAGGGCTGCCAATGCGGCGAGGGTTCATCCGCTGCAGGAACATGGAAACTGATCTCCGCTTCGACTGGACTGAGCGAGCAGGTGCTGGCATGGAAGCAAGCGATGTACCTGCAGTGTTATGGGTAGAGATGTTGCAATGAGACGGCACGTCGCAGTCTTCGGATTGCTGGTAAAAGTTGGACCGAAGGGGCGGCAATCGAGTTTGGTGGTTTCTGCTGTAGCCACCACTGGAATGTGAAGAAGCGTTGGATAGCGACGAGTTCTGGTGGAGCGGAGGGTACTTCTGTGAGTGTTGCAACATCATGTGGCTTGATTTCATGCTCATTGAGTCGTGGTGTTCCATGACGGAGCTTTGAGAACAGGACATCTGCGATAGCTCGACTTGTTCGGCGTCACCCACAACGCGTCCAACGACGGAAGCGTTGTCACGAGAGACCGTAGGTCGGTATACCTGGCCCCGAAAACTCTGACTACGTGAACAAGAATCGCTTCGGCATTGTTTGAAGCTGTGTGCCTTCTCTACGAGCTGCAAAGGAGCAAAGTAGCTACCCGAAGATTTTCCGTGAGACGTCCGGTGGAATTGCACCATGCCTGGAAAGATGGAAGACTGCCTGGCTTTGCTTCCTGTGTCCATTGCGGTTTTAAAGGGAGATTGAGAGGACAAGAGAGGTGGTTAGAAAAAATGAAGGAATACGATTAGTACTTGTCTGTGGTCTTCTTTGCTACTGCGGCTATTGACAGATTCAAAATTATTCAAGGCCAAAATTTCAGTGTGGCGCGGCGGGAAATATAAAAGGTCTCTTTGCTAAAACGAAGAAAGAAAATCTTTTGTCCGGGCGACTGACTCGTTCGACTCGATAAACGCTAAGAACGTACCTCGTATCCTAAAAAAGTGACTTACAGTACGGTACTGTAGGTTTTTGAAACGGGAGTAAAGTACATTATATATTATTTGCATGATGTTCTACGGTATTATGAAGCTGATATACTTGTCAAACTAGCAAGTTTAGAAACCCATCGCTGTAAATAGAGAGGATTCGTCGGAACGTTTCACGACTGGAAAGCTTGTCATGGATCTACGATGATCTCGAACAGTCATTGGTTCTTGCAAATCCTTGCAGGGATCATGCATAGAAATATCTTGTAGCAGCAGCAAGTCATCGGACGAATCCGGCGAAGGGAGACTGTTTGTTCGCTTGAGGTTTCGAGGTGGAACTTTGGTGGAGACAGCCGGCGTGACACTCTCTGCCTTGTCTGCTTGGATTGCTGTCAATGCGATGGTGTAGACAATATCATCCACAAGCGCGCCACGAGACAAATCGTTAACCGGGCGTCGAAGGCCCTGTAACATGGGTCCAACGGCCACAACATTTGCTGTTCTCTGCACAGCCTTGTATGTTGTATTGCCTGTGTTCAAATCGGGGAAGACAAGAACTGTGGCTCGGCCAGCCACTTTGGAGTTAGGAGCCTTGGACATGGCGACTTCAGCCGTACATGCGGCGTCGTACTGCATTGGACCATCAATCAATAGGTCGGGTCGTCGTTCTTGGGCAATACGAGTTGCTTCTCGGACCTTTTCAACGTCACAACCCTTTCCACTGCTTCCCGTCGAGTATGAGAGCATGGCGATACGAGGCTCAATGCCGAAAGACTCCGCAGAAGCCGCACTTTGTAGCGCAATATCAGCAAGCTCTTCGGCATTTGGATCCGGATTGATAGCACAATCACCATAAATCAACACCTGATTGGGCAAGCACATGAAGAAAATGGAAGAGATCAATTTGGAATCGCTTCGAGTCTTGATCAGTTGTAGCGCAGGGCGGACAGTATTGGCAGTTGAATGAACAGCACCACTGACCAAGCCATCAACTTCTCCCACTGCTAGCATCATTGTGCCGAGAACAGTCACATCTTCCAATTGGGCAAATGCTGATGGAGAGGTAAGTCCTTTGTGTTTTCGCAACGCCACCATGGGCTCGACATAGTTCATGCGTAATTCATGATCAGGGTTGACAATCTCAAGGTCATCGGGAAGCGTGATGCCTTGGACATCAGCAAGACGTCGGATATCAGTAGGATCTCCAATAAGAACGCATTGTGCAATGTTGCGTTCGTGACAAATGGCTGCTGCTCGGATGATTCTTGGTTCTGTTCCTTCCGGTAATACAATGCGCCGTTTCTTTTGTCGTGCGAGATTGGCCAGCATGTACATGAAAGCAGCAGGAGACAAACGAGGTTCCCTGACAAGCTTGATGCGATCCAGTAGAGGTGAAATGTCCAGTCTTTCTGCCGTGTAGTCCATGATGTTCTCGATACGCTCGATATCATCAATAGCCACCTGCATGTCAATAGATGCGGCATGCGCGGCAGATTCAAACGAGTCAGTCGATAATAGCAGCAGAGGAAGTCCAGTTTTGAATGCCATTTCGCATAGATTCAACACATTCTTGTCTGGTTCGTAGTCTCCAGTAAGAGCCAGTCCAGCAAAAGGAACGCCATTTATTGCAGCCATGCATACCGCCAAGATAATGTCATCTCGGTCACCAGGGGTAATCACAAAGGTTCCCGGCTGCAACACGGGCCCAATCATGTGCTTTATCGAACGCGCCACAATCTTGACCGATGTCACACGGCGAGTTTTGATCTCTCCTTCATTGAGGATGTAAGCACCAAGATGCTCGGCCAGATCTGAAGTTCTCGGACTTGATATTTTAAAGTCCCACGGGATGACACCCAGAAGGCTACAGTCTCCATGGAATACCTCACATTTCTTCAAGATTTCGGTAGGATCTTTGTAGAGGGGATCTAACGTCGGAGCCTTTTTCATGAATGGAGATTCTGGGGCATTGTATTTGTTGATAATGCATCCTAGCACGTTCGAATCTTCCAATCCTCCGTATGGAAATGCTATTTCGCGGAGTCGGTCTTGGAAGGTTTCCAAATCGATTTCTGTTCCTTTCTTTGGAAGATTTGAAACAATTATGACTTCTGCATTCAGTGCTTTGATGATTAAGTGGTTCAAGTGATCCAACTCTGGTTGTTCGGCTGTTGGTTGTAATCCTTCGACCACAAAAACAGAGTTGGCATGGTGCTCATTTGAGCACCCCTTTTCGAAAAGCTCTACTACGTCCTGCAATAGTCTCCCTTCCTTTCCCGACTTTAACAGATCTTGCGCGTGATGAAATGACAGGGGCTCAATAGGATGACTGATTCCAGTTGCACGCAGAAAATGCGTCGAACGTTCTTTGCCAGTTTCCGTTGGCTGGCGTATGGGCTTGAAGAATCCAACAGGAAGACCTTGGCGATCCAGTGCACGGAAGAGTCCCAGACTCATTGATGTAAGGCCTGCGTTAGGATTAGCAGGACTATAGATATGTTCAATACGGAGAAGGGTGAGAAAAGGGTCATGAAGATCTCAAGGTTTCGCAAACATGCATATGACGTACACAAGATAGAAGACTCGGCGAAGCTTCATCTGATCTTGAAGAGAGAACTCCATTTGCTTCATGGGAGATGCTTTTATATAAAGTCGCTTTGAATTATCGCTGCTATTCAAAAGGTAGTGGTTGTAATATTATGAACGGTTGGTTGAGTTTGATGTCGGCTGAGATTTAGAAACCGAACCCCATGAAATCGAAGAAGAAGATCAAAGCGAATGAACCGAATCAAATTTTTTTTAAATGTCGAAGGGAAGAATTGTCCGTCTCGGCTTTTCTACTATGGCCTTTTTATCATATTTTGAATTTAGCCTGGATTTGCTGTCCCCCCTAATAACCCGCTGTGATTGGCTCAGACCCCAAAAATTGGTCGATTTTTGGTGATTTGACTAACTTTCATTGGCTGAAAACTCATTAAGAATATCTTGTTATTAACCCTTATGTATATCCAGGAATGTCTGGGGGTCCGTACATTTCCACGGCGCCTACGGCGCGGCTGGTGCGCATTCTGTCTACATCTATCCGTCATACCCGGTATTGAGCCATCAATAACGGCATATCCTGGTAAAGACCAGTACCAGGTACCGGTACTTCCGCATCAGATAGGCAAGGAGGGGCATTCCAAATAAATAAAAGGGGATTGCGAAAATGCGCTCCTTTTGAAACAAAGACTTTCATGAAAACAAACGACAATGGCACAGAGTGCAGATTCGGCTACCATATCGACAATGAAATTGGCTGAAAACGTAGATTCTAATAGATAAAAATATGTGCTAATAGGGCATGTAACCGTTTTTGCCGTTCAATTGGATCTCCTTCCGCGATTTGCATTATTGGGTATGAAACCCTTGACTTGAAGACGGTGCTTTCCATAGTCGTTGATGTTTCCACAATCGTTGATATAGGCCTCGTTCCACTCACGACAGACATTGTCCAGAACATTCCTTCCATCGATCTCCTTCTGCACCGCGCTGCATACCCTGCTCTGGCTTGAAATCCAATACGCCGAGTTCTTGCTCCTCCACTTTGACCCAAACATCTTCTCACCCATTCTTCACCTGTCCCTCCAGGGAGTGGAAAACCATCACAATCCTAATGACCAATTCAGCCATCATCGATACGTCGTATATTCCCTTGTGTGCTTGTGACTAGATGGTTGATTGCCGATTCGTCCTGGTCGTTGATAGACTTGGAAGGCAAAGGATGCTGGTTGTCTTGGGCAATTTAATTTGTCTGAAATCACGAAACTCAAGACAAAACTGTTTCACCGCGAGATCAAGAAATAGTTTCACCGTGAAAAATGCTACGGCCTATAAATAAAAGAGATCTTTGTGCGACATTTCACGTACACGTGTACAAACAATTCGCGTCATATATTTACCTAATTTCAAATTGTTGGATAATCTTGAGCATATTGCACTCTAATTTTTTTTCTTCACATCATCTCCTCGACGATGACCTTGTCTCTGTCGTGTGCTTTGAAAAAGGTGAAGTGAGTATCCATTTTTCCTTCATACTTATGTTTGGCTATTACGTTCTTCCAAGCGTTGACGAGATTCATCAAGTTCTCGCCGTTTCTTTGCCAAATTTGAGATCAATACAGGCTTGTCGCTTGTTGATCGGGCACGATCTTGTTTTCTGAAAATGTTGATTATTGCTTCGTAAGTATTCATCGCATGAGAACAGATACTGCCTATGGCTATCTGAAGAATAGATGCTTTGTCCGAGCCGTTAGAGGGGCCAACATGTCTTTCTGTTATGCCGTTGTAGTATTCCTCATGGTTGAAGCGTCACTTTCGCAAACCATTTTCTTTGGACGGAAAACCACATGGCACATGAAGTCTGTCATAGACTTCATCATTTGTAGCTAAAAAAAATTCATGAGAGCAACGAAGGTACCTATGAACAGTATTACAACACTATTGCTCAACACTCTTCTATTTGTATCGTATGTTTTTTTGTGTTCTCCTTGTTGTATCTACCTTAGAACACTGACGGCCTGATTTTGCCAAGCAATAACCTCATTGAACTACTCATGATTGTTACGATTAAGAGATCGATTTCCTTTGTGAGGCGGAGGTCTGCTGCAACGACTACAATTTTTACATGCATGGATACGACATTGAACATGTTGGAAAACAATACGATACGAGATTTGAAAAATGCTTGTATGGGGTTCTGCCTTGCCTTGCGAGCTTCCCAAACTTGAATCTTGAGATAGCAACCATGATGTTACTGATTGCTCCATCCGTTTTAGCCATAAGTAAATGACGTGTTGAGCAATCAATAATGGCCTTGATTGACTCAACATATCTTGAGTCAATCAATAATGCGCATTATCGCACGCTCAATTATTGTCTTCGGCTATCGTGGACAGTCACGATCTATCTATCCTGCCTAGAAATAATAGCACCAAAATCATGTAGAGTACGAGACCACTGTGCACGAGTACTGGTACAGGTACCTGCTGGTACTGGATACAGTAAAAAAGATCCTCAGTTTCGAAGTTTGATGATCACTCCGTTATGACCCGGTACCGTACCACGTGTACCGCCCGTCGGTACTGTACACACGTGTGTGGGCAGAGTGCTGAGAACCTACCAGCGTACCGTTGGTCTGTTCGTCGTTCAGCATTGTGGCCGACGAGTACAGAAGTCAAAACTGCATGAAATCTTTGATATTGATCATTTACTTAATGCCCAAATTTTCCACCATAAATCGAAACAACTTTGGAAGTCACTAGAACAGGTGAATAGTGCACAGCCGTAGTTTGTTTTCTTTGGCTCTGGAACAAAGACCTACCGGTACCGCATCGGGTGTTTCGAGAGGAGGGACAGCAGCAGTGACTGGGAACCATTAACGCCTTTTGCTATGTGTTGCAGTGGTTTAGGTCTGTGGGCCAAGAAAGATAGAGATGATTTTGAAGAATACGCCATGGACAAGCTAGAGGCAATGCTGTCTGAGAATGTCACAAAGCTGTCGAAGGCTGAGCCCATGGAAGCAGAGGAATCATCGAAACTTGCACGGCTGATATATAATTCAATGACAACAAGCGGAAGAGTGTACCACTCTATGATGCACGTCTTTGACATTTCACAAACAATGAACGACCCTATACTCATCCTGTCAGCCTTGTTTCATGACGTGATTTATTATCAGATAGACAAGACATTTGATGAAGCGCAAATAGAGACCCTGGAAGGTCTATTGGTGCCTGATTCTGAACCGCTGAAATTGAAGCCAAGCTTCGACGAGTCTCTCATAAATTCTATCATCGAGCTGTACGGCTTGGAGCCTGGGTCAGAGTTGCCGAAAAGCGGTACCAATGAATTCTTGTCGGCAATTATTGGAGTAAGGCTATTGCAGAAATGGCTCTCACCAGAGCATTTGATACAAATTGCGACATGTATAGAGGCAACAATTCCATTCAGACCAGTGATTGATGGTAAAACACCAATGGATCGCCTATATGACCGGTTAGCAGCTGTTGCTAATGAAAAATCAGAGAGCTGGCTAGTCGAGACTGTTAGAATGGCAGCAGCTACGGCGAATTGTGACCTCTGCTCATTTGATAGCAACGATCGTGACTTCTTCTTGGATAGTTCATGGAAGCTAATCCCTGAAGGACGGCCAATCCTGTTGCAAGAAGATTGTCCTCTGATGGAATTCCTTTTGGAATGTCATGCTCTAATGGGACGAAGCTCCTTTCTGCAGGGAGCAGTTCCAAAAATTTTTCAGAGCTTTCGTCAAGTTCCGTCTGATTCAGAAATGGAGGACAAACAACGGAAGACTCGCGATAACTTGAGTCTAGTAATTGTGTACGGCGAAGTCAGACTGTTGCAAATGATGTGTTTGGTTGCTTTTGCCAAAGCAGTTGGAGAAGATCCACTATCCGTACCCTTGCGGCCATACCTAGGGTTGGAAGTACTAGAACCTACTAAGGCGAACCCAACACTGACAAGCGCTGAGCGCCAAATCAGGCACTGGCTTATCAGTGGAAGAAGAGCTGGCTTTGACTGGGATCCAGCTTCATCATCGCTTGGGCGTTATCTGTTCGATACCCTAGGGACAAAGGGTATTAGCGAATTGGTTGAAGTAGGAAAGAGCCACGAAAAGGGAAGCAAAGAAATACTGAATCACCTCCCAAAGACAATGGTCGAGGCGATAGGTAGCAACCTTGCAAAGCACTTTCCAGAAAAGGAAGAGAGTTATCTTCAGGTATCAAAGAAGTTTGGGGTAAGCACCTGATTTCATTGTCACTCAGATAAATATGCATACTTTTTGATCAGCGTAGGCATGCATTGGTGTCCTTCGCTTTTCATGTGATGTTATCATCTAGTGGACAAGTTTCGGTGACCATAATTTAGGCTTCTTCGCATTGATTTTTCCCCGTCGAAAGTAGAAGAAGCAATTCAAATGTAATAATAATGCTCTACAGCAGTTTAAATTTTGCCCAAAAAACATTGAGCTAGCATGATCTCATTCCATTATTTGCGATGATGTTGAAGAATTCTGTACGTTTCCCACTGTCACTCTCAAAACAACCACGAGCAGAATAAGTGAAAGTTGAAGCTCCCACCTTTTCGACTCCTCTCATGACCATGCACATATGTGAACATTCCATTGCAACCATTACTCCCAGCGGCTCAACAGTCTCCACTATTGCCTCCGCAACTTGTCTCGTCAATCGTTCTTGCACCTGAAGCCTCCTTGCAAAAACTTCAGCAATTCTTGCAAGCTTGCTCAAGCCAATAACTTTCCCATTGGGAATATAACCAATGTGTATCTTTCCAGTGAAGGGGACCATGTGGTGCTCGCATAGACTGTGAATGTCAATGTTGCGGACCAAGACCATTTCGTTATGATCCTCGGAGAAAACTGCCCCGTTTGTAACTTCTTTGCAGTTCTCGCAGTATCCTTGTGTCATAAACAGAAGCGCTTTAGCCCACCGCGTTGGTGTCTTCTGTAGGCCCTCTCTATCCGGGTCTTCACCGATGCATTCGAGTATTGTTTTGCAAGCATCAGTCATTTTCTTCAAGGTTTCATCATCACTTTCACGCGGCTTCTTCGCAGATAATTGGGTTCCATGACTCTCAGGAGATGAACGCTTTCTTTCGTGACGAGCTTTTTCTTCTTGATGATCCGATTGAACCTCTACAAGTATGCCTGAGTCAGAGGTCGTTGTTTGGCTTCCGGCTGGTTTGTGCATATCAGTATGCAGGTTTAGAGGAGCTTTCGGGACAAGATGCCTAACAACGCTTTCCTTCAGAACCTTGACATTGGTCGGAGTTGGTTTGATGGTGTCGGTAGTCGTGACGCCGGTAATCATTGGCAAACAACAGATTAAGCCAAAGAAAACTTGAATGATTGATGATGCTGGAAATGATGGGACGACAACGTCTGTCCGTCCAAAAGCGAAAGCGTAGGTTGGCGGCCAGAAGGGCAAGAGAAAAAAGGGTACCCTCGGACATTGTAACAGGTACCGGTACTTCACAAATGAAAAACTGTACAATAGTAATAAATAACGCTTCGAATTACAGTATGAGACTTGTTCGAAATGTGCTGTTTTTAGTCATCATCGTTATCCTCAAATAGACTGTCTCGAAAGCATTCGGGTGCATTGCGAACGAAGAAGCGATGATCAATCGTATGAGGGATTTCTAGTTGAAGCTCTTCGCTTGGAGTTTCTTCTTTTTGACCATCAATCACTTCCCATGCAGGTGATACTTGCACCAATGGACTGCCAAGAATCGCTGAATCTGTGCCTCCACTTTCGACTGGAGATGATTTGTCGTAGCCTTTTGTTATATTCTGCACCCAAGAGTGATCGCCTGTGGCCGGTGGAAGAGGCCCACAAGGCCCATATAATCGTCGTTGTTTCATAGACTTCGGAACATTTCTGGTCCAAAAGCCGACCATGAACGTCAATCGATTCGCAGTTTCCCCTTTCTGAGGATTTCTCCATGATCGAATCAAGTCTTTTTGCGACTGCGGGGTATTCCCTTCTTCTTTGTCGTCTGGTTGACCTCTTCCTGGGCACGGTAGAACTCCATGCAAGAGATTGCCTGGAAAAAGAAGGAACGAATTATCCTTAGGAGCACTCAGCCAGGCAGAATCGGCAACCTCTTTGGAATCAGGAGTTTGGTTGAGTATGATAGTTGTGCCTCCCTTGTTGTCGTCATCCCCACCTGTTAGATATAAAACTGATGAAAGTATTGGATGCGTCACTTTCTTTTCTTGCTGGAGCATAGATTCATCGGTATCAAAGTGAAGGTTATGCCCAAGGTTTGCTTTGATGGACCTTGTATGAACCCACCATTCGAACCCACAAATGGATTCTGCATCGGTCTTGCATAGGACTTGCTTGGCTCGTGGTAACAAATAATTTACAATCACATCTTCAATCAGATTTCGTGGCGCAATGTTCTTCTTATACTCCACAAAGTACGAATAGTAACCTCTATTAGAATAGTCACTCTCGTTCCAATACTCCGCATCCGGGGAAAACGTATCTTTTATGGACGCGTATAGTTTTTGCGGCAAGACTCCATCTTGAGGTCGGAATGCAAGGGGTGCTTTGGACACGCGTCTATCGGGTGCTTTTGTCTGCAACGTCCAAACATTTGGATGCAAACGGTGTGTGACAGGAAGCTTTTTCAAATGCATCAGCGCAGTTTGGTGATCAACCATCGACCACAGCATAGCGCACATGAAGCGGGCGGTTGATTCTACTGTTGATGCAGAATACTCGCCTTCTTTGTCTTGGTCATCATCCTCTTCCTTTTCGTCCTCGCTTTTCTTGTCGTCGGCTTCTAGATCCTCTTCTTCCTCCTCGCTCTCCTCTTGAGTCGGCTCAAATTCGACCCCCACCACTTGGTTCAGTATCAACAATTCAATCCATTCTTTTAAAAGCAAGTCTTCCACGTCTTCGTCGTTCAAGATCTCCAAGGCTTTCGATCGTAGCCGACTCGCATTTTCCACAGCACACTGGTACCACTGTCGGCAGTTGGATGGCGACAATTGATTCGTCATACGTCCAAAATTTGCACCCATAGACCATGTTGCAGCATTTTCAGGAAAGAAATCCAAAGATTTTATCAAAAGGGATTGGACTTGCTTGGCTCCATCATTCTTGGGGTCCCTTTGCTCGGATTGCATATCGTCCCTTGTGGACAGATATTCACCAATTGCAAGGTCTGCAAGTGTATTGTATGCGACCGATAAAAGTACGGGTAACAAGTCCACCACAGAAGTCCACGGTGAATCGGAGTACTTGACATGCACCTCCGATAGCTCGATGATTTCCTGAAGCTCGTCAACATCACCCTCTCCACCGTTTTCTTCTACGGAATCAAGGTACTGGCGAAAATGCTCCCATACTTCGGAGCATAGTGCCTCTAAATCAATCTTTGTCTTCTTTTTATTCGGTGGAGACATTGTTAATGAGTAAAAATGCAGATGATTGCATGCAATCCTTTTATTTTTACAAATCTTTTTCGTTTTGTGGTTGAATATCATTCGATTGAGTCGAGTCGACAATGGTGGTTCGACGACTCAACGGAGTCACGAGCGTTGAGCCCGCCAAAGCGACAACAGATAGCGCATTTGTCAAAAACGACATACCGAGAGTGATTTGAGAGGTCACATCCATCATGAGGTCTTCTTCCTATCATTCTCGATACTTCTCCAATCATTCTCCTTCCTTACATGCTTCGACAGGATCAGCCGCGGTACCAAGCCCGGCATTTACCCATCATCACACAGCTCCTCTTCACCAATTCAATCATCCAGAACAAGAGCGAGTACAAAATGAACTCCAATACGGGAGCCAGTCTCAATACAGGCACAATTCGCATTATCATAGCCACAGTACGACTGCTCAGACATCTTCGCAACATGTATATGCCGCTATAACACAACAAGCACCAGATGAACCATTCCTGTCCAAATCACCGTATAGCAATGTTGAACAAGCTGGGAAAGACATCCTTCGGTCCGCTCGGCAGAAACTCGATGCGAGGCGGAAAGCTAGACCAATATCTGTAGAGCAAAAGACTTCATCTACGTTGATACCAAATGCATTGGTGATGAAATCACCGTCTGTTGGTGATATCAAACGACAACTGTGGAGTGACGATGAAAAGTTACAGAGTTCACCAGTGACAAAACTCCATCATTCTACGGCAACACAACCACCAACACAACATGCTGATCAGAATAGTATCCAAACAAGCGAATCGGCATCGCTGAGTCTGCGAAGTTATAGATCTCTATCCCCATCAAGAGTTCACACCAACGTTATGGATCGAAGCTATGACTCTGTCGATGCCAAGTCTACAACACAAACTACTCCTACTACAAGTACTGACAGCGGGCGTGGACGTGGAGGGCCGCTTTTTCATTCCAAATATTATGCTGCTGCGAGAGCTGCACGATTGCGGGACCAGAAAGAGCAAGAACAACAAAGGTCTCGATCCAGTTCAATACCTGCGGTGTCATTGGGTAAAGAAAGTGCGTCGAAACTTCCAACTCGTCAGCCCAGCCCCCCGCGTTCCCATGCACCGAGATCAAGATCTCTTTCAAGATCGTTTTCATCAACAAACAAAAACGGTGCATCGGAACAGCAAGAAACTGCTCCAGCGCATCAGAACAGTCACTTGGGTTCAAATTCAAAACGATCTCGATCTCTCTCCAGATCATTCCCGCCGACCAAGGAAAGCATTTCATCAACTTGTGCAAAACAACACGCGACAATAACCTCCCGCCAGGCGAGCACCTCATTGCGAACTTCTCCGCTAAGGGCTCGATATATATCTAGGTCATTCTCATCGACGAACGAGACTGCAGCATCAACAAGGACAGTAGATTCGAAGCAACACGCGAATAATATACCCACTCGCCACACTAGCCCCTTACCAACGTCACAACGCAATTCGCACAGCATGCCACCGCGAAAGAAGTCCGAGCAGGCCAAGGTTGCCAAGGTCCCGAGCTCACCGCAAACCCACATGTCCAGTAACAGTCCCAGGTCTGCCTCATCTAGTTCAACCACGGAGAAGGAACACCGCCTCAAAGGGAGCTCCCCTAACGGAACTTCTATCCTTGCAAGGGGGAGACTCGCAAATATGGCACTTGAAAAGGGCTTAGCAAATAGGAACGGGAGATCTCGATCACCATTCATTGAGAAGCGGATGCGTTCGTTTTCTCGTGATCGTGAGCAGAACGAGCTCAAGCTGTCACCGGAACAGAGGCCGCAACAAACCGTTGAACAGCAACATTTTGTTGAAGCAGGGCAAGGGGCTTCAGACAGAACCCAACCGTTGCAGACGTATGGGGCAAGCTCGAGCATGCAAGGAGCTGAAAAGACTACAAAACCCAAAGTTGCGTCTGCGCGTGGAGAACGTTCCAGCATTGCAGCCTTTTGGAATGGTAAAATCAATCGAGTGACCTCGAGTCCGAGAGGATCGACTGAAAGCCCACAGAAACGTCCAACGAGGCAGAAAGAGGAGAAAGAAAAAGAAATCAATTCCACTGAATCCAAACCTTCCAGCTTGGATCTCATGGCCAAACTTAATGCAGTTGATCGTCAAAATCCAGCACAAGCTTTGGCTCAAATTGACTTCATTTTGCGAGAAGAAGGTCGAATGAACTCGTTTGAACCCATTTTGATCAATCCCAATGTTGGAAATGATGACGACTCGGCAGGGACAACGATATCATCCCTCACAAATCCGGATTATAGAGATTGGCAAATTCAGCAGCAAATGCGTGCAAATCAGAATGTTCCGAATCAGATCGCACCTACTACCGCAGTTTCTTCGTTTCGACGCCCGCGCCCATCGCATTTGCAGAACTACAATCCCAACAGTTTTTCAAAGGAAAAATCAAATCCCCTTTTCACCAATCATCAAAAGCAGCCACAGCCCGTTGCAACAACGACTTTAGAAAAGCAAAAAGCTAAACAAATGGCAAAGCTTGCGAACACTTCCAGGGAAGCGAAAACCATTATCTACAGTACTACGGTCAATCAAGAAACAACCCTTCAGGATTCCACTAGCTCTCCACTTCCAAGGCCATCGTCACTGCCTACGCAACGTTCGCATCCGTGGGATGGCGACGCACCTGATACTGAATCTATCCCAGTCAGTGTCCCACCGATTGAAGAAAGAGTTGCGACTATTGATGCACATACCGAATTCAAAAGGCAAGAGCAAACGATGCGTAGTCGAAGCACAGTTCCTGCCAAGACTCCTAGAGTGGAGACCAATTCAGGCTCATCAGGTCTGGCCGATAATGATTTCAATATTAATGCGAAGACAGGTGATTTGACTGCAAAGCAGTCAAACAAGAAAGTCTCGACTCCAAGAATCACTCCCCAACAGTATGCGAATTCGCGAAAGATTTCAGATAACTTTGACACAGCATGGGCCTTGATGCCAGATAGTGGCTTTGCGCCTGTGGGCAGCCCAAAAGGACGACAGGGACGGGGTTCACAATCATCGAGAACCTCTCGCACCCTAGACTTAAATACCTCGTTTGATGCTTCCAGCAATGCCACCCGATCCTATCATTCTCGGTCATTGTCCATTCCAGAAGACGGTGATAGCGAAGGAGTGAATGGAGAAAGGTTTTCGATTGAAGTCTCGCTGTACAATCCAGATCCAAACACTCCAAATAAGGGGGGCAGCAAACCCAAGTCTCGGAAAAGAGGATTTCTTCGATCATTGGTACGGCGGCAAAATGGAAAGAAAGGAACCACTTCTTCAACGAACAGCGAGTCGCAGAATAGTACAGGAATGTATTCTGGGTCACAGTCAAGTTCTGCTGCACAATCTCGTTCAGCACCGGGTAGCATGAATTCTGGGCGAAGCTCTTCAGTTGTTTCCCCGCCTTCTATCCGCAATGAATCTCGACAGAGAAGTCGATCGACGGCCCCTAGTAAACCTTCATCTCCGGCTCCATCGCAAACAGCGCAGTCTGATGGTTCAATCGATGGGTTTCGGACAGCTAGTATGGCTAAAAAATACAGCCGCGTAATGAGACTGTATGACGATGATTGATTGCGGCTAAATACTCTAAGCTCTAAAAGATGGTATCGTAATGTCCTGGTACCACTGTACTGTGCAATGAGCTGTATTATACCGATACTGTAAGACGCTGTTTTCTTAAACTCGGATTGATCAAACAATCGTCCATCCGACTCAATCAAATCGAATAAGCATCATACCTTTTCAAACTAAACAAAAGCTTCGCAAGTGACCCCTTTCACAACAGTATAGCTGTTCTGATCATGGAGAAATATGTTCTTGGTTATTTCCGAGAACAGCTTTCCAAGGTGAGAGACTATGTGTGTCCCCGTGCTCAGGATGACTTGAATTTTGTTTTCTGATGCACCGTTGCCTGGACAACTTAGATCATCATCGGATTCCGAGAGGAACAGGTAAATGCTAATCTTTTAAATGGGAAGGGTGAAATTCGAGATCTTCAAATAAATTGCTCCGTTGTGAACAAGATGGTGTCCCAATTGGTACCATTTGCAACATTCGAGGAAGTCCATGTTTCTAGATTGGGATTTCAGGTTACTTCGTGGGCAAACCTTCGAAAGGCACCAATAGTCGTGGATATCGGGTGCATTACAGCTGTCGTTGAGGAGCCTCTCAACTATGTTACCGGTATGAAGAAGACAGGGATTCGAATGTTCACAGAAAAGGAGCTAGCACGTATGATTGAAGAGGAACTTTTGAAACCATTCCGCAAAACTGGTGCTTATGGTATTGTGGATAGAATAACAGACAACTTGACAATCGAGATTGAAAAGATTGATATATCATTCTCTACGATGGGCAGATTCAAGACTAAACGAATTGGACCTTGGACCCCCCCTGTGCTTCATATTGAATGCAGGAATTTTCGAAGCACTGCTGTTGATATACATGGACATGAAGGAACCCCAGAACAAATCTGGGCGCACAACCACCGACGAAACCAGGCCTTTTTGCTTTGTAGAAAAGTGGCGTTGGAGACATGCGTTAGTCTGAAGAGCCCGGAAAAAGAAATCACTCTGATAAAAGGCTTGAAATTGGAAGTTCAAATTGCACTCAGACAGCGTTTGAGAGATGGTCATATTCTAGGAATACAGTCGGATGTAACTATTCCTTCGGTTGATGTAGTCCTGGATCAGGAGAATCTACCTATGGTTGCCAGTTTGATGGCGGGACTTCAATATTGCGTGACGAAAGATCGTTCTTATGAAGATCCGCTTCATTCAAAATCAGCACAGGGCGGTTCAGCTCTGGCTTCCGTCATTGCTTCTTCAAGAAACAGCAATCCCGAAGCAAAGACAGCTACGGCAGAGGAAGTGGCCAGCAATTTTACACCTGAAATTGACGATGACAACATTTCAGAAGGTTCTTCGTCGAGCAGCGAGGGCGACGAAGGAGTCGCGTCGGATGCTGCACAGTCAAGTGCCGAATCAACAAACACTTCTAAGCTGGACGTTTTGGAAAGGCCTGTTCTTGTGTTGCCACTTGGCATCATCATTCACCAAGATGTTTGTATCACAGCTTCGATTCACCAGGCTGTTATAAGAGGTTCCTACGCGGGTGAGGAAGACGGATGCGTACAACTCACAGCACAAGGAACAATCGCGGAGCTGATTTGGCCCAAGGCCAATAGCGAATTTGGTTTCCATGCCCAAGCATCCGTTGCGTACTGTACTCTAGAAGAGGCATATGGTAATCAGCGAACGACCCTTTTTATCAATGGAATAGCCCGGAAAGACCATAGCTCAATGGGTAACAAACAAACGAACGCAGAAGAGATCAGCTTTGACGAGAATTTTCCATTTTTCGAGAAGCGGTCTATTCGAAATGATCCTCTCGATCTACGTCGGACTTTCCCAAGTCAAGGTGTTGGGCAGAAACTTACCGTGGATTTCTTGAATAAAGACTTGGCCAACCCCAAGGTGTTCAACGAGACTGGCATCAATCAGGTCGAGATAATCTTGGACTTGCAACCGTGGTGGCGAGTCACTCGCTTTGTGTTGAATGAGCCAAGTGGCGGATACGATCCTAGGCTACATTCTGGTGACTGGTCAGATGTGTTGACTGTGGATATGCTTCAAGATCCCACAAAACCGATTGACCTCGATGATCAGCTACAATTTACAAAACAAAAGTTTCTTGGTGATGACTACATGCTTTCATCAGATGTATTTAGTGCTGTTGTCCGTCTTACGAACATCACAATCCGCTGCCCTGCGGCAATAAAAGAGAGTGTTCGAGCATGTGATTTGCTATTGGAACTAGAGGAAGTAACGGTCACGGTCACTTCAGATCTGCCGAGGTCTTTCCTGACTGGAAAACTCTCAAATTGGGAAAAAGAAGATGAAACAAACAACAAAAAAGTGGAGTTTCCAAATGATCATTCAGACATTCTGTTTCACATCGAAAGCGAGCAGGATTCCCTGTTGGCTCATCAGGCTTCGTCGAATTCCAAGATTTCATCAACCTTTCGTCAGCAGATCACTGTGCGGGGATTTCAAATGAGAATAATTCCTGTGGTTCCTTTTTGCAATGCTTCTGATCCACAACAGTTGTTTGCTCCTACTGATGTAACTCTAATTGCATCCCTCGAGGGAGGAAGCCCTTCGGTCGATGATGAAGCTGCAAAACTGGTATTTTACCTCTCGATCCATGTTCACAAAGCGTTTCTCAATCTCGATCTCGATCTAATTGCTGGTATGACAAGCACTCTTCTTTATCATGGTGATACAGTTATTGATGCCTTGAAACACGTGAAAGATATGGGGTCGAGTGCAAAGAACAAAACTAAAGTACGCAACCAGAAGGTTGTTAAGAAGTCAATGACGGGTAGACAGGAGATGATACGGCGGCAGGTTTTGCGGAGTAAAGCAGCTGCAGGACTCTCTATAGTTGTTTGTTTACAGCTGTCTGAGTTTGGTCTTTCCTTCTGGCGTCAGAACATTCCGTTGGAAAGCCCTGTGATATCAACTGACAGCAAAGAATCCAGCCTTTCGTTCGACGCAAGTCACATTGCTGCATTGAGGCTACTGGAAATTCGAATAGAGAATTTTGAAGTTGGAGCTGAGTTTGGATTTAGAAATGAAAAAGTATCGCGGACAGTATTGAAATGCTGCCTGGAACGTTTTCAAGTACGACTTTGTAGGGTTCGGAACAACCTGAAGCAAAACAGCCCCACATTGAGTTCAGATGCACAGGAACATCATGACAGTATGGTGGAGCTTCTTTCTTTCGGTGGGAAACCTGGACAGGACAAGGTGCTGAGCACCCCAAACGAGGACCCGCCAATTGCTATCAGATGCGAAGAACTAAAGTGTAATGACTCAAAAGCGTGGTCACTGGCTGCCAAAGTAACCTCTTCGGCGATTTTGAATCTCTACTTTGATGAACTAAAGGATTGCGCTGCATTGTGCATTGAGGCACTAATGATGCCAAGCTGGTCCAAGAGAAATCCCCGAAATGTAGGCAACGTAATATTTCCTCCGCATTCGCTGGGTGCTTTCTTTCATTCCCTCATACCCAAGATGCAATCAAGCGGGAAAAAGACAAAGAATCTCGATATCGATTTCGGTTCAAATTTCGAGGAACCGGCAGTTGAGCGCATGATGAAGAAGTTTCTCGAGGAATTTCTGCCGCATCTAGATATGATTTTGTGCCGTTGCGAACTCGCAAATTTCACCATACAAATACCTATTGGTCCATCCAACAGCAAGCGAATTGGTTTAATCCTTAACCAATCTGACCTCTCTATGATGTTATGCCCAGATCCGGATCGATTGGTCCACGAAATTGAAGAGGTCCTATCTACCGAAACATCGAAGTGGCGCTTCATGATGGCGTCAAAAGCCAGTGGTTTGCATTTGGGATTTTTGTCACGCTCCAGTCTTTTCGCGCACCCTTCTACTGATCCCAACAGTGATGTTCAAATCCTCGTACAGCCATGTGGTATTGACGTCACTTACTCTGGAGGGCGGTTCGACCTCTCGATGAGTGACAATCTACGAATAGGTGATATTCGCTTGCTTGAAGCTCAAGTATCTCACATGAAAGAGATCACAAAGAATTTCAAAGACAGGACACTGGATCTTTCTGCCCAGCTTTCCACGTTGCCTGCATGGCCAAGCGCAAAAGGCAAAGGGTTTGATGTCCATGCGAAAGAAACAAAATATGATGGAGAGGAGGAGACGGCGAACCTTCGTGCAGTTCGCAATTCTCGATCCCTACTGGATATGTTGCACACTGAGCTTGTCGAGTACGAACAGAGGGTCAGAGATGAGCTTGGGAAAAAGGATTTAAAGGTGGCTCTTTTGCAAAAGGAAGTGTTCGTCAAGGAACGAGAACGCTTCAGTGCGGTGTCTCTTTTGGCGTCACGTGCGTCTGGTTGGATTCGAATGGGTGGTGTCCACTTGGTTGGTCAAAGAGTCACTAGGAAGGCAACAATGCTGCCTTACTGGATGATTCTCCGAAAGGAACTGATTCTCCTGTTCAGCGCACCTGGGGAGGTAAGATAGAGTTTCAATCTCGAAGGTTTCCTTTTTACGTTTCTGACATTATCTCTGTAGCTCCGGCCACTCGATGCAGTACAACTAGGAGGCGCTACGATAAGAGATCTCGGTGGAGCAGGTGTCAAACGAGGTTTTGCAATAGTCGAAAGAGACAACACTACAAGGTTTTTCGTCTGCGAATCTGCTGCCGACTATACGGTTTGGATAAGCGATCTATCAGCCGCTATTTTGGCTTGCAACGGGACAGTAGATGTGGGCGGAACAGTAGACGAAAAAGGCGATGCTAGTGGTAACGTGGAAAAAAGCCTTGGCAACATGGACACAGTCGAAGGAGAAGGACCGGGTTTGCGGGAGAAAATCAATCTATCAAATCGTCTTGCAGGTGCAAAGAACAAGTTTGGTTCTGCGATACAAACAGCACGGCAGAAAGGAAGGGTAGTGTCTGACACAGCTAGGCAGAAGAGCAAGGAAATGTCAGATCGCTTCGACGGTAGTAGCAAGGGTTCACTGGGGTCGACGGATAGGTTTGAATCCGAAGATGCCCGTTCTACGACTGGAAACAGCACTACTGATGGTGAGGGTAACGAGGGCAAAGGCCGTTTCAGTAGATTTGGATCAGCACTCCAAAGTGCACGACAACGAGTTCGTGAAACCGCTGAAGAAAAACAAGGTTCCCTAGCTGGCCTACGCAATAAAATCCCAGTGCCAGGTCGGCTAACAAAGGGAGACAATCGTCCAACGGAAGTGGAGGTGATACACAACGACTCTATTGAAATTTATTCCTGGAGATGCCGTGCATGCACTTACACCAGCAATGTCGAGAATGCTCCAACTGTACAATCGACTTGCGAGATGTGTGGGTCTCCATGGCAACCAGAGGAAGTAAACGACCAGGAAGCTTCAGCGCCCGCTGCTCCGTCACCAAACGATCCGAATGCGAGCTCTAATCACAGTCCCTTGACACCAGTTGAAGAATCCCAAGAAGGGAATACGGGTGCAAACCGTGGCGATACCAACCGCCGCGGGTTTCTTGGAATTGGAGGTGGTCTACCAAAACAAGATGGCATGAATCTCCAAGGAAGGTTCAACTTCCGGAAGAAAAACAGCGATATCAGCGAAAGGTATTCACCAATCACGATGCGAGATATTTTTGCTCGAGGACGAGCCCCACCCTTACCTGACCACGCATTGGATTGGGAACCGTTGAAGTTGTTTGAAGGTCGTTGGATTGTATCTGTGACACCGGAACCAGTCGACTCCAATATCTCAAAATCTACCACAGAAACAGAACCCCAGGAAGTGCCGTCTGACAATACTTCTGAACAAAACAGTGATTTAGCTCATAAGCCTTCTTCCGCACCAGGAGAGAATGTTCGAGCTTTCTTCCGCATCAAGGTGCGACAATGCGACAAGAACCATAAAGATTCTTCGTCAGAGAATCTCCGCACACTGGGTGATATTCTTGAAATCTATACCCAAGTTTCGGAAGATATTGAGCGGATTGCAGCACAGCTCCTTCAAGTCGATACCACCAATGGCCAGGTATCATTAAGCGACAGGGAGAACGTGGTCGATAAACTAGTGGTTTGCGGTATGATGCTGGGTGGCATCTTGGATATGGATGAGATGTCCAACCTTTTGAACAAGACTCGCAACTACCAAGGTATGTGCTTTGTTCAGATTTTGTAGGCGAATGATGTGATATCTCAAAAGTTTTACTGTAGCGGATGTATTGGAGGGATTCTTGAACTCAGTACTTGAATGCCCAATGCCAGTAGGCACCCTAGGAAGCCTTACAGAGGTTCTTGGAATATGTGTTTCGACTAAAGACGTCACCCTCGTACCATCTCAAACAGAATCTAGAACAGAAAGTGCGAAAGATGACACTGTGACTTCAACTATTGAACTTGGTGAAAACCGGAAAGCTAACAAAGAAGACGACATGTTGTTGTCGGCATCACAACTGGAACCAGAGAAAATGCTCTCTCTAATCTCTACTTGCGGTGCTCAGATGCTTCGAGCCGAGTACAATAGTCCACGGCCTACAAAAAACCGACCTGTGACACAGTCAGAAACCGAAGCTCTTCCGGTCCCAGCGGTTATTAATAAATTTACGGCCTTTGGATCGCCGCTTCTGCCAGCTTCGATCCAAAAGGAACTTCAAAGACCTTTACATGACGCTCTCATTCGAATCATGGCTGAACGTGACGTGTCAAATGCACAACTCATTGGAAGCAGTGTCCTACATGCCCATGCACTCGAAAATGAGAAGCGAAAGAATAGATTGCTTGAGCTGGAACTCGAGGTTTTGCGTCGGTTGTCGCAGGCAAATCAGCCTAGTGGTAACTTATTCGGTGGCCAACTAGCTGCCACTGTGCCACACAAGGATCTGGAAGCAAAGGTGAAGAAGCTCCAGCTTGAAAACAGTGACGACATGATGATAGCATTAAGTCAACAGCTTGGAGTAGAAATTCATGCCAAGACTGAGCTTGAGGCTGAAATCAAGAGGATGAAAGAGAGCGATAAACTCAAAAGTGAGGTTGAAATAGCCGAAAACGAAGCACTGAAAAAAGAACTAAAGAGGGTGAAGGATCTCCTGGCTGCAGAGGAGCGCAGTAAACAAAGCGCCTTTATGGAATCTGAAAAGTATAAGGCTTCATACGAACGCCTGAAGGCAGAGCATGGAGAAAACTAAGTAGATAGGAATTGTTTCCGATGGGAGACATCAATTAGTATTCCTTTCAAATGGAACTAGACAATTCAGCAAGACGACAGTGCATTGTCCGCAATCTGCGTCAGGTCTTCTTCAACTTGCTCCCGCGTCTTCCCGCACCAATGTTTGTGATACTTAAAATGTTTCTTTTGGCACGCTGTACTGCAGTATTGAGCTAGCCTACAACGAGAACATCGAAGCAGTCCTATTCTGATAGATAAGCACGCCCAGCAATGGCGAGAACCTTTGACGCGTTTCCACTTTTTGAATTCATTCGAGTCGCCCTCATAAAATCTCGTCTCTGCTTTTTCCCTAATATCTTGTTTTGATGGCAGCGCTATGTACAACACAGCCTCGGCATCAATAGCGGACTGAAACCGATCTGTCGAAGGAAAAAGATGAATCTGCCGCCGAATCGAAAATCCTGCCCACTCGTAAAAGAATCGTTTGTCTGTCACTGTCGAGCCCGCTTCGTCCAGTTCAATTTCCGTATTGGTCAATCTTGTTGCCTTTATTTGAATGCTTCGAGCTGATGCATCATTGTTCAATGATTCCAAAGTGAAGTTGTCCTTTACAAATCTCTTCACCCAAAACCACAGCTCCTCCAAGAACTTGCGGCCCCTGTATTCCTTATGTACTGAAATCATTTCTATTGTTGGACCGATGCTAGGGTCTTTTGACATATCCTTGTAGGCTAGCAAGCATCGAGCAACAACTATGTCACAGATACAGAGATCGAATTTTGTGGAAATGCCTTGTTTCAGGTCACCTCCAAAGCCTGTTGTAACTCGAAGAATCTTTTCTTGCCCGACTTGCCGTTCTATCGTGTCATGAAAAAGGAAAGCACAGTAACCCCATTGACAGAATGCCGAGATTTTGAAGATCATTTCACATCCTGCCTCATCTGTAGCTTCAAACATTGCATACCGACCAACATTGGCTTCGTATTCACCAGTGTACATGAATCCTTTCAAGAGTACTTCCCCTGCAGCATTCTTGATCGCAACTCTATCATCCGATATTCTTTCTACCTTAGCTTGAAGCTTCTCATGCGCCATACGAAAAAAGTCCAACAGATCTTGAAATACTGATTCTGCAAAGTTACATGTCATCCACATTGTCCCATGGTTTTCTCTGGCAATGGGATTGGCACTGCCACATTGCACATGCTCCCAATCCACTGGCCAATCTGACTTGTTGTTGATATTGGGCAGTTCAATTTGTAAAGCTCGGACGAGACTGCTCTCAACTAACGATCGCCGTGCTTCTTTCATGGGCAATGCACATTCGAAATCCAGAGGTTTTATGGATTAGTCGTAGTCGTAATAGATTTGATCAGTGATGCGAATTAAAAATCATTCAATTTTATAAATCAGCTATATAATAAATAATTTCACAGAGATGGCAGATTCACTATTAGCTCAGTTGGTAGAGCGTGCGACTGTTAATCGCAAGGTCAGCGGTTCGATCCCGCTATAGTGAGTGTTTTTTTTCGACATAACTGCAACTACTACTGCGAAGTATTATTTTACGCATGGTGTTATTAAAAATACCTGGTACCATACATGTACAGACTGCAACTACTGTGAAGTATTATGTTATGCATGGTGGTACCATACATGTACAGGAGCGCACAGTGTAAGAAGGGTGAAGTTACAATTGTCGCATCAGTCTTCAGTACTAATATACTATGGTCCAGCTGAGGCAACAGGTATCTAGACGAATTAAAAAGCAATTTACAATCAACGCGTCATAGAAATCTTTTAATGATCCCTTCGCTTCTTTCGTTGCCCGCTCCCTCGTTGATTATGAAGTGCTCCACCTCTTCCTCCGCTACCACCGGCATAGCCCTTCCGAATCTGCTTATGGATACTTTCCTCCAGTCCACCGTCGTCTCCTTTTCCAGTTCTTCGTTTTCTTTGACCCTGTCCTTTTGTTGCGGCCAACTGCTCCTTGAGCTCTCTTGTCGCTAGTCGTTGGGCTTCATTGACACGCTCTAGAAGCACCAAGACAGTCTCTTCATCCAACTTATACTCGGGTAACTTCTTTCCCAACAGGCCCTCGAGTCGTTGGTAGACCTCTACATCATACTGTGTCACCATTGCAATAGCCTTACCTGACTTTCCAGCACGGGCAGTCCGACCGACTCGGTGGATGTAATCCTTACCATGTCCTGGTAAATCAAAGTTCACCACAACGTCGACATTGGGGATGTCCAAACCGCGAGAGGCCACATCAGTGCAAATCAGAATCGAACGAGACCCGCTGGTGAATTTGTTCAGTGCACCCAAACGTTTTGGCTGAGACATTTGTCCATGTAGACAGATTGCAGGAAATCCAAGATTTCGCAACATCAGAGCCAATCTCTGGACATTGTTACAAGTTGCTCCTGTGAGAAAAAAAAAGCATGGACGAGGGTGAGAAGCAGTCCCAATGGACAAACATGCAAACTTTCATTCTACAATCCACAATTTGTTGCGTACCAAAGACAAGTATCGATTGTCCCGCAAACTCGTTAATCAAATATGTCAGGTAGCAGTCCTTGTACTTTGCAGGAATGAAGAGATAATTCTGTAGAAGGTGTTTTGGCGTTTGGAATTTTGTGGAGACTTCGACCTTGATTGGATCCTTCAAACACGCTCGCTGCAGTTTTTGAACCTTGGAAGTCATGGTAGCCGAGAAGAGCAACGTTCTTCGTTCCTCTGGAATAACTTGCAAAAGTTCGTTCAACTCTTGTTCAAAGTCTAACGAGAGCATGCGATCAGCTTCATCCAGTACAAGATACTTCAGCTTGCGAAGATGGAATCCCTTTGTGTTTGTCAAGTGATCCAGCAGCCGACCGGGTGTGGCAACAATAATGTGCGGATTGCGGCCAAGCGCGATAGCTTGTTGCGTTTGAGAAACACCACCAACGACACAAACACTTGTTGCCCCCATTGCCTGTCCAAGACCCTCGACGACTTGGTGAATTTGAAACGCCAATTCCCTCGTTGGTGCCAAAATGACTGCAAAGACAGCACCACGGACAGGGTTCTCAAGAAGATTCTGCAATACCGGTATGCAAAACGCTCCAGTCTTTCCACTTCCTGTTTCTGCAAGACCAATAATATCTCTTCCCTGCAGCGCGTCAGGCAATACTTTTTCCTGAATACGGGTTGCATTTGCCCAGCCCAACTTATCACATGCCTCACAGATGGCCTCGCAAACGCCAAGAGAAGCAAATGATGTTTCGGTCAATATTCCAACCTCCCCGTCAGGTTCGTCGGCAGAACCTTGTGCTGTCTTTGGTTCCTCATTTTCATTCGTTCTTCTTTCGACCGCCTTCTTTTCTTCTGCTTCTACTTCTACGTCCTCTTTGCGCACCACATTGCTCTTGATTTGCTTCTTTTTCGACGCTGATCCCATCTTGGGTTGTTTCGTTGCGAGGGAAGGTATCTATCGAAAATGGAAATGTAAAGAAAATGGCATGAGTTTTGGATTATTGGTGGTGTCGGATGGTTTGATTCATCGGACTAATATCTTTGATTCTGAATTCCTGATTCCGTTTTTCAACTGCAAGTCGAAAGTTACAGTCAAAATTGATCTCTTACTGGTACGAGTATACCGTATCCAAGATCGTCATCAAAATGATGTTTTACATCAGCCTTCTCCTCATCCAGCTAGCTCTATGCACTGGGTTCTCAGTGAGGCCCTCGTCAATTACCAATTCTTTGGTTGGACAAGGAAGATACTCAGGTTTCCCATCTTCAAGTAATGGCTTGGCTCAATTCATGAGCACTGATGACAACGACGTCACACCTCAAAGAAGGAGAAGGCGGAAGAAGGTTGACACCGACTTGACTGACAAAGTGAATGAAGACAGTGGGGAAAGCGTGATCGCCAATGCAACGATAGATTTGAAACCGCGAGCTAGAGCACCCGTTACGCTAGAAGTACAGGATGTAAGAGGACTCGTAGGAGGGGTTCCAAGTGTCAAATCCACTCGTAATCCTCCTCCAACTACAAAGTCGAATGCCCCTCCCACTCCAATGGCCAGCGACCAAAGCTTGGAAACTTCAACAGATGGCACAGTGCCAGACGATTCCTTCGCTCAACTCTTGGAGGATGCGCGTAGAATGAGCGACGATACCGGTGGTATTGGTGACAGTGGAGGTGACGGTGATGACACTATTAAGGCCAAGGCCCGTAATATTCTATCGACAATTGTGACGGCCGACTTTTTTGTTGTTTTCGGGTTTCTCCTTTGGTTTCTTGCTGGGATTGGATTCCGTGCCGTCTTCAATGATGACACCGTCCAAATTGCATTCAATAGTAAGATTTTGTGTTGATGGGCACCGGTGACTCTCAACCAAACACTATCCTGACACTTCCATTCTTCTTCATAAAGATAATTTTGAACTTCTTGTGCAACCAGCTCTAGGGGTCTTGATGTTGGGAACAGTTGCCGGCAACTTCTTGAAGGACGAGGAGGAAGAGGATTAGACCTAATATTTTCAAAGTATTCTCCTCATCTACCATCAGTCCAGTTCACTTCACTTCACTTCATTTTATTGCCCACATCCTTTGCTAGCTCTCTTGTTTTGCCATTCTATTTTCGCTTTGCTGTTGATAGGTCATTATTTCCTGCAGGATGCAGCGAGGCTGGCAGCTCCTTGTTCAAAGCGTGGTATGTTGCTCCTCTAGTTGTGATTGCTCCACCACCCAAGCATACCAGACCCTTAAGGTAAATACCACAGACTTGACCAGTAGCAATACCACGGAATGGTTTCTCCAAGACGACTTCAACCCCTCGACCATCCTTTGTTGCCCTCACCTCGCACTCGTTTAGTGGCTGTAGGTGCCTTATGCGACACTGTGCCTTGAGCGGAAGCTTTGGTGGGATTCCTTGAATCCAATTTACGCCCTCCACTATAAATGAGTCGCTATACAGAGCCGGATGGTGAGTTCCTGGACAAACAAGTACAGTTTTTGCATCTGGTTTGTCGACCACAAACCACTTTTGCGCAGCCCCGGATATCTTTGCCCCCTGTCCAATTGTGGCATATGCTAGTGAAGGTGTTTCACTCGGATAGAAGGATGATATCACCGAACCATCGTCAACATTGATGCACGTGGCTTTCATCTCCTGCCCACTCTTGGGCTCGATGTACTCGTTAACAAACTCTGCATGGCGCCTCTTTCCAATAAAGCAAATGCCCATCGATTCTCGTTTTGACGCAGTTGGCAATCTGGCAGATTGTGCTATATCTCTGACAGACTCTGAATGCATATCTCCTTGCGATGGGTCTTTGGTAGATCCCTTGTTCAGATCTCCGAGGGGGAACATGACACCACGCAATGCATTCGCAGACACTCCACAGAGGAAATAAGACTGATCTTTGCGTACATCTCTCGCTGCCATCAGGATGGGCTGTTCCATATCCAAAAAATCTGCCGATGCGGGATTGGAATCAAGGAATTCTTCTAGACAAAGAGGGACTTGCGTTCTATCATCAGACCCATCATACAGTCTTGCATAATGCCCCGTCGCCAATGTATCAATGTCGAATCTCTTTCGCAGATATTCCTTCAGTACCCCAAATTTAATGTATCGATTGCAATCGACGTCTGGATTCGGCGTGATTGATTGAGACAAATTTGTAATATAGGGCTCAAACACGCTGTTCCAATAATCCTGCTCAAATGATGTGTGAAAAATTGGAATATCCAGATGCCTTGCAACTGCTTGTGCATCCTTCCAGTCGCCTTCCCAACACTTTGTGTCTCGAGAGCCATCATCGTCGCCATGATAGTCCCAGTTTGACATGTGTATTCCAAGGACGTCCATGTTCATTTTAGTAAGCAGATGAGCTGCCACCGAAGAATCAACACCCCCGCTCAATGCAACTGCAACTTGGCGTCGTGCTAAGGGCGCGCTGAATAGTCCCATTGCGTCGGTAGACACTTCAATGGAGGAGGGACGTGAATTTATAGTGTTACTGTATAATATATATTACTGCAAGGACAATTGTGACATCGCGAGGCTCTGCGCGAGCGGAAGTTGGTGCAAACGCAAAACGCAAAACGCAACACGCAACACACAACACACAACACACAACAAGTAATGTTGACAAGGAAGAAACTTACAAACACTGCAATATTGTCCATGGGGATTATCTCACTCATCACTTCTCATGGCTCTGCATTTGAATCGCTGCAGGTACATCAGCGTAGTATAGCGAAATCCTCTCGCAGCATTATCCGATGCCTGGGTTCACAAGATGGGGAGAAAGACGAAGTTATCGTTAGAACAATTGATACAGAAGCTAGCACGTTTGACTGGGATGACAGAATAGACATACAGAAGAGATGGACAAATAGTGAAAAGGGATGGAACGTTGGCGTCGAGTGGAAAGAGACACCTTACGGAGCTGGTTTGTTCGCAACCCAAGACATTGATGCAGGGACGTTACTGCGGAAAGGGAGAATCGGCCTCAATCTCATCGAGTTCCAGTCTATTGAAGAGATCGACATTTTTTGCAGAGGAAGTGGTGATTGCAGCAGCTCTGAGATGGACGCAAAACTAATGTATGTGAAGGATTACCTGTGGGGCTTCAATCCCAATGCTGATGAAAGAGGCTACGATATTTTGGATAGCGGGGCAAACAAGCTGAGCCTGGAGCACGAAGAGGCGAGATTTTTTGGTATGTGGGTGCCAGGGAACGGATTGAATCACAGCCCAAACCCAAACACTGTATATCGAGCGGCAGTTCCAGGTGGCACAGAGGTTGGGATCGATCTTTTTGCATTGATAGACATCAGTAAAGATGATGAGCTACTGGATGATTATCGTCGACATGGTACTGCGCCGACTTGGTTACTCAGTTTCGCTAGAGAACGGGGTGTTACTCTGAATTTTGCTGAATGTAACGATTTTGTTGTTTGCAGTGATGAAGGAAAGGGCCCATGAGCAAGAGTTTGATGGGATTTCAATCATGTCGACGGGGATATGAATGCTATTTTTGCGTTGAATGAAGAAAAAAAATGTCGCTTCAATGTTTGAAGATCTTTGCACTGATTGCGTGTTCAGGGTTCCTTGGATTGATGTGCATTGAACATGTAGTCTCAGGAAGAAAACTGCAATACGGAATTTGTCATGCAGTAATGTGAGATTTGCATTAAAGTCAGAAAAGGCAGATGGGAAAGGTCTGTCGTGGAATTAAATCGAATGACAATCGCCCACCCGAAAGTCTTCAGAGAATCCATTCAATATGCAGCAGTATAAGTGGAAACAGACAAAGCTATACGGCTTCTGCTCCTCTTCGTCCAGAGACTGCTGCCAACTGTAGATCAAAACAAACTCATAAACTCTTTGAACTTTCAATCGATCGATCGATCTCAACTCTACATAAGAAATATATTTTCCCTTCAATTTTATCTTGAAGAAAATCGTCAACACTTTCGAACGTAGACCTTCCAGGTACCACCAGGTACAGTGGTACTGGTAATAGCGTTGGTCAATGGACAAGCAGGTGTGTCCGGTAGAAATAGAGTTACGGAGAAACAGTTGAAGGTTTTTCTTCGCGTCTGCATCTCCAGCTACTTTTTGAAAAACGGACGACCAATTCCACAAGATTTTATACCTACACTGCCTACAGTACCAACGAGAGCCAATGACAGTAACAGAAGCAAAAATCTTGACTGTGGAAACAATTCCAAAGTATCTTGAATCTCACTTGACGAGTTTGCAAGGTGTTGTCGATACTTTGGATGGCATCGAGGTTACTACAATTGCTGGTGGAAATGTCAACTACGCATTTTGTATCAAGCTGGGCAATGGATCCACGATCTTTTTGAAGCAAGCTCCAGAATTCGTGGCTATTTTCGGGCCCGATGGCTTTCCTTTAACTTCCGAAAGGATGCAGCGAGAAATGGATGTCTATAACGAATGGAAGGATATGTTGGGCGAGGAATTATCCAAGAAATATTTGCCAACAATTCATTTCTTTGACAGTGAGTAAGAGTGTTCACAGTACCGAACTGGATTGAATCGATAACAGGTGCCTCATTGATGTTTATGCTTTTCTCATCATCATAGAAAGCTGCATGGTCGTCATTATGGAGTTTTTTGATGGGTATGACTTGTTGGATCATGTCTTGGTTGATAGGGCCGGTGACTATCATCCAAACGTAGGTCAGTCCTTGGGGGACTTTTTGGGCAAAACCCATGCAAGAACCCACGCATCTAAGGTCTCCGCTGAACGAAAAGAGCACTTAATTAAGCATTATGAGAACAGGGAAATGAGAGATATTCAACTTGAATTTGTCTTCACAAAATGCTACAAGGAAGCTACGGACGAGCAACGTGCGGGGCTCGACGTGACACCAGAATTCATGGGTGAGATTGAGCTCCTTAAAAAGCAGTATGATGGCGAATCATCTTCCAACTTGGTACTTTCGCATGGAGATATTCATCCCGGTAGTGTTATGGTGGACTCCTCCGGAAATACCAAGGTAATAGATCCGGAGTTCACTGTAAGTTTTATTGTTCCAAGTCTTTCATGTTTCATTTTGGTGCTCATCCATTCGCACCGGAAAGATATATGGTCCACCTGGACTTGATGTTGGCTCCCTTTTGTCTGGTTATTGTCTCGGTGCCATCCATCAAGCGTATTCCAACAATCCGAATGGTGTAGATCGCATTGTGGATGGGGCAAAGGAAATTTGGGACTCCTATGCGAAAGCAATGAAGGAAGAGGGGCTGGAAGATTTTCTTCCTGCTATTGAGGTCGAATCTGTTGGCTTTACTGTAGCAGAGATCTGCCGCACTGCTCTCGAATTCGCAGGAGGCCGCAAATGGCTACAATTTGAAAATGCCGACACGAAGGCCGCTGCGAAAAAGGCTGCCTTGCAAGTGGTTGGAAACTGCATGATTGCACGTCACAAGGGAGGTATGGATTTGCTCTTTTCAGAAACGAAATCTGTTTCAGTCAGAAGATAGGCTTTTAGACTATTCCGTACATGTAACTTTTAGCAAACCAATGAAGATGGCTTGCATGTTATAAAAATAGAATTCAGCCTCAGAAGATAGGCTTTTAGACTATTCCGTACATGTAACTTTTAGCAAACCAATGAAGATGGCTTGCATGTTATAAAAATAGAATTCAGCCTCAGAAGATAGGCTTTTAGACTATTCCGTACATGTAACTTTTAGCAAACCAATGAAGATGGCTTGCATGTTATAAAAATAGAATTCAGCCTCAGAAGATAGGCTTTTAGACTATTCCGTACATGTAACTTTTAGCAAACCAATGAAGATGGCTTGCATGTTATAAAAATAGAATTCAGCCTCACATACTCCTGCGGCGCTATTTCAAAAAGGAACGCTCACTATAGCGGGATCGAACCGCTGACCTTGCGATTAACAGTCGCACGCTCTGCCAACTGAGCTAATAGTGAACTGCCTCTTCGCACGATAATAGAGTTCTAATAACTACTGGTTTTGCAAGCCTTGCACTTGACGGCAAACCAATCGATTCATTCTGATGGTTCTGGCATCAAAATCACTACTGGTCCATGTGCTTTAAGAGCTCGCTTTCTACAATCCACCATAGCAACCTCACTGGAATCCAGAGAAGAAATCTGAAAGAGAGGCTCCGATATCTGAGAAGATTTACTCAGAAGCACTGCACTCAGATGTCTGATGTATCGAATGCGAAATGGTTGGCGTCGAAGGTGAATAACCTGAGGGCCATTGCTGAAAATGAACAGCTAGAAGGTTTAGACCAGAAGATATACAGTGACAATCCATGCTGGGGCTCACCTGAGAAATGTGACTTGCAGCACCTATTTTCAAAGGTGCAGAAAAAGGATGTTGTAATCCATGAAACCAAGAACTATTTAATTTTCAACAAACCCCCTGATCTCAGGATGGACGGGCCATATCCATCGACGGTTCACAAAGTCTTGACATTCTGGTTTCCACCCCCTTCGATAAATACAAACAACGAAAAGGAATTGTTAAGCAGAGTGTCAAAGTTGCACCAGCACAATCATGTTGACGATAACGCGTTGCGTCCGTGTCACCAACTTGACTACGCCACTTCTGGTATTTTGTGTGTTGCAAGAACCCATGAGGCAGCTTCAGCTGCTGGAGTGTTATGGGAGGGTAGAAAAGTATCAAAGTCGTACTTGGCAGTGATACATGGCCACATCAAGTCAAACACTTCGCTTCCAGTTTTGAAATCTGAAGTTGTATTGTCGACATTATCACAAGTGGAGAGAAGCTATCGGAACAGAAGGGGAAAATCAAAATCGAAGGTCACTTTTAATGGCTTCATGCCCCCTCATGCAATATTTTGTAAATGGAAGTCTGTTAGGGAGAATGGGAAAGCAAAAAAGAAAAAGCGCAGGCGCGCTAGTCAACTCTCTGAGGAGCAGTGGTCGAAAGTATGGGAACCTATAGAGAAGATTGTTCCGGAAACTGCGGTAGCCATGGATTGGAAAGATCTTTGCAAAAATCGAGTTGAATGGAAAAAAACTTTTGTGGCAGCCGCAGCAATTCACAATCGTTTACTTCGGAACGAAAGAGAAGCTGAAGAACCAGAAAAGGGGGAACCAAGTCTGCCGACATTGTTCATGGTCGAGGAAGACCTGTATATCTTCTGTCCTCTTGCACAGGCGTCGAGTGACTTTACTATGAAGATTCCTTTATCAATCGCGCAGTTGTACCCTTCGGTGGCAAAACTTGGAGCAAACGACGACGAGGAGGACTTCAAGCCTTCACTAACTCGATGTCAAATCATTGAAGAGGTAACCTATCGAGGAAGACCAGCTACAAAAGTAAAGTTGTGGCCGATTACAGGCCGCCGCCACCAGCTTCGAGTGCATACGGCCTTGAGTGGACATGCTATACTTGGAGATGTTAGCTACAGTAGTGATGTTAACGAACAGGAAGCAACAACGAAAACGCGACTTCCACCGAGGATGTGTCTACATGCGTACTCACTAGCTTTACCGCTGTTAGGTGAAAGGCAGGACTGGAGTATCACAACCACAGACCCTTTTTCAGTTGTTGAAGGGGAGCTAGTGATAAAAGAAATATAGTATTACAGTAGAATGCATCTTTCTAGTTGATCTACCGTACATGCGTCGAAGATTTTTTCTATTTCAATCAAGCCCACAAGCTACAGTAACTGAAGATCTGTTTCAATCGTGAGGTATATATTTACGAGTAGTTGTGACTAATTCAGTCACGAATGTGGCAAGTTTCGAGTACTCGTGCTAGAAAACTTCAGAACATATTTCGTGGAGAGAACTATCTGTCAACGAACACGGTAATGGCTATATAGTAGAGGTAATTGACTATCAAAGCTGCACCTTTGTAAGCACTTGCTTTGCCTACATCTGGAACGAAAGCAGATGACCACGTATGTGGACGTTGATAGGTCCGCCGAGGCAATTCAGGAGGACGAAGAACTCATAGAGGCCGTCAACCAAATTGTCGAGAAGACTGCAGAAATCATCTACGAAGATGTCAAGAACGATGTTTCTGGATTCTATTTGAAAGTGAGACAATCAATCTATACGATGTTCCCATTTTTGATGTGTTGGAAGGATGACCGAGCTTTGTTCTGGGATGACATGCACAAGTTAGCAGTAACCTTTGCTTTGTTTGTTCTAGCGTTTCTGATCCTCTCGCCGTCGCAATTCTGGGTAAAGAAATCCTCATCGTGGTTATCTTTTGGAAATAAAACTTCAAAAACTCAGCGAAAGGCCTCAGCGCGACATTTCAACCATCTCCAAAGGCTGAGACGTTTCACTTCTCGCGGTGATGAAACCGAATCATCAGAGGATATATTGGAACGACCACAACCTCAACGAAGAAGATCATTTTCGAGCGTCGATTACAAACTTAAGGATTTTGAAATGGATGACGATGAAGACGAGGATGAGGATGAGGAAAAAGAAGAGGAGAGATTTGCCAAGATGTGGCCAACGATAGTTTCGCAATCGCGGTATCGAAGTTTGGTGTTGCCTCCCGAGTGCAAACGAGTAGACAAGCCACCTAGTAGTTACATGATCTCCACATTAAAAGAAGAGAAGAAAGATGACAAAGAGCAAGGTGACGACGATAATCCATTTGATCGGCTGGTGACCTACTGGAGGCACTTTCTTGTTTTCATGGTGTCAATGATGCGATATGATTACGGAGGGGCAGGGTGGACGTTGTTCTACTGGCTGGAGTCTCTGGGCAGAGCGAGAAAAAAGATGCAGAAATCAAAGAAAGACGACAGCAATGACGACGACGAGTCAGAGTCCAGCAGCGTGCTAGACAAGCGGAGTGGTTTTGGTACAGCTTCCGCCCAGACCACTTCCGAGTCGTCCCCTGTTATGAAGCCAAGAGGCAGACCCAGAAGAAAACGAGACTCGATAATGGCGCAACAACCTTGTCGTGAAACTATTGATGGTTCGAAAGTTGTCACTAATGAGAATGACACGAACGATGCTACCGATACTCCGAATGTCCCACAAAGCACTCAATCGCAGCTTTCCACGGGGGACGAGGAGAAGAAAGACTGCGTTGATGACAGCGAAAGTACAAGAACACTCGTAGAAGAAAGTTCCATTTCATCTCCACCGTCGACACCTAAGAAAAGCACGACGACAGAATCTTGTGCCTCTAGTGAGCCGCCTACAAAAAAAGATAGTTTTTCAAGTGTTTACGACACTCCAGCAAATGATCGCAGCTCTGATCCAACAACACCAAGCGACCCTGTTGTTCCCTTGGAATTCGATTGCGATGAGGCTACAAACCCGGTATTACATTCCGGAAGGACGAAAGACGCGCTGAAATATTACCGACCAGCAACACAGCGGAAGAATCTAGGAACAGACTTTATGTCACGTGAGAAGAATTATCTGACATCGTCTGCACCCGGAAGTTTTCTTCCCAACATGAGAGGTCAAGTGGAACGGAGAGGATCTGCAGATGATACTTATTTCTTTGAAGCGGCTAGTACCGATGAGTCACTGCGTAAAATGGCAGTAGAGATCCCGGTTCCAGATCGAAATGGGTACATTTTGGGCGACGAGTTTCTTGAAGATGATGAAAACACGCCGCTACTTGTTTTTGTTAATTCCAGATCTGGTCCACAACAAGGCCACCTCTTGATTACCCAACTTCGTAGTTTGCTGAATCCGGTTCAAGTTTGGGACTTATCGGACGGAGGACCGGAAGAAGCTTTAGAGAGTTTTTCTGCTTTTACAAGATTGCGGATTTTGGTTTGTGGTGGTGACGGTACAGTGAGCTGGATCATTAGTACCATCGAAAAGATGAAGCTGCAAAGATGGCCACCCATTGCAATCTTACCCTTGGGGACAGGCAATGATTTGGCTAGAGTACACGGTTGGGGTGGTGGGTATAGTAACGAGTCTCTAATTGAAATACTTGAGCAGGTTGCTGAAAGCTATATTTCTTGGCTCGACCGATGGGAATTTACTATCGAAAATAAGAAGGGAAAAGTGAAAAAGGTGAAGTCCTTCTTCAACTACTTTGGGGTCGGTGCAGATGCCCAGATGGCGTTGCAAGTTCACAAGGTGAGTGTACAATTCCCTAGCCATCCACAGGTATCTTTGATGTACTCCGTACTAATCTTGTGCTCTATCTAGCTGCGGGAATACCAACCGAATCTATTCTTTTCGCGAGTCATCAACAAGGCCTGGTATGGGATATTTGGTGCCGAAGATGCCATCAAGGTCCGTAACATTACCTCCTTTTGCTTTAGTCCTTTGTGTTTTCCTAACCAGTGATGAACAATAGGCAACTTCATTGAATCTCCCAAACGACATAACACTCATTGCAGACGGCGTCGAGGTTCCTCTTCCGCCTGATTCTCAAGGGATTATTCTCTTGAACATTGATTCGTATGGGGGAGGTGTTCCGCTATGGGCTCGTGGTTCAAAGGAATCGCCCTCAATCAGCAATAGTATTGATCGCCCGTACTCGATAAAAAGATCAAGGAGCCTCGAGTAAGTACCATTGATGTGTTGGAATCACAAGTTTGAGCCAAAAGGCTATATTTCTCATGCTTTGGTTTGTGAAGTCCCGGTTGGATGCGAAGAAGGAGTAGAGCGCTGGGATTAGATGAAATCGACCCGCCTTCCATGTTTGGAGAAGAGGATGGCGTCGATGACATTTCGACATGTCTCACCGACGAAGAAAGGTTTGCTAGAGTTACAAGTTGTGAGCGCCCGAGCAGCTGCCAAGATGGTTTCCTAGATGTTGTTTCGGTTCGCGGATCGTTTCATTTAGGACAAATTCGTGTCGGACTCAGTACGTGTCAGCAACTTTGCCAATGCAGGGATCTCAAAATTGTCATCAAACGCAAAGTTCCAGTTCAACTAGATGGTGAACCTTGGAGTCAGAGTGCATGTACACTCCATGTGAAACGGAAAAAGGAGGCTGCAATTATGTTGCACCGTTCTGCTGGTGATAGCAACGGTGTGGAAACTGAAATGTCAAAACTTCTTGATTGGGCCGAAGAACGCTCCTACATTGATAGTGAGACGCACGCGGTGCTGATGAAAGAATTCAGCCGTCGCATCGAAAACAAGACGCGCGAACGTCGGCTAAGATCCAAGGACGGTTTGATTCTATCACTGAAACGAGCCATGGAGAGTACTGGGAATTTGGGGAATGGGGGATACCAGAGCGGTCACAATGGAATTATGTTTTAGATTGTATTGCACAAATCATGCTGCACATGAATTGGTGGAGTTTGACACGCTTTGATTCAATCCTCGATCCAACCCAGCTATCGAGAGAATTAAAAAATCAGTTACTCCCTGTCAACTAGTTTGAAGTACATGTACACGAGTACGAGGTACTGACTGTACTGTACAATACCCTGGTACACGTGTACTGGTACCAGATATAACACTTTTTTCAGTCTACATTTGTTGTCTTTCGGAAGTCTCAGTCCGATGGTACGCGACCACCTCATTGGTTCAAAAGTTTGATTAAACAAGACTGATGTCGAGTGTGACATAAATCTGCCGGTATTTTATATTTACATTACTGTATATCAAAGAAATGAAGTTTTAGTCGAGCGTTGAACAAACCCACAAAATTTGAGCTGCCAAAGCAGTTTGAGACAATACATTCATCATCGAAAGAATCAGACTGGCCAATAGTGACCCGAAAGTAACATTAACGTAGCAGCAAGATGGCAACGGAGGTGGAAATTGATCCATCCTTCCAGCTGAAGCCAGATTCGGAACTAACGGCGACTCAAGACATGCCACAAAACACCAAAACCTATGCTGACTCCAATGGGACAAGGAAATCTCCTCGGAAGAAGAGTCTAATGGGCGTCTTCAAAAAGAAGAAGAACATGCAATACGAGACGATGGAGGATACCCCAGCAACTGCTCCTTCGACACCAGAGGGAAACGAAGATCTCGAGATTGATCTAACCGTCAACGTCGTCTCGGCTGCTGGAGAGGATCCAGCTTTTGGGTTTGACGCGGATGATAACAATAATATGATGGCCATGGACGTTCCTGATATCTTTCCACATGAAGGGCAACGCACGGCGACTTCCGACGACCAGAACCAAATCGTCCAACCGGCCCAATTCAAGGTCCCAACTCAATTTGAGCCAGAGCTGGAAGTTGTTCTGGACGATACACACGACAAGCAGCTGCAAAAGGAAAACGAACAGGCGCGAAAACACCTTGAAACTGCACATCAGCAAGTTGGCCTAGTTTCCACACACACCAATGATCTAGCAAAAGACGATGCTGTATTTTGCACCCCCTTGAATGGCTTTTATGAAGAACCACCAAAGGCCCAACAACCTGCTAATGGATTTGAAACTGCCGAGTCCAGTCAGGATCCGCCACTCCAAGCGACCAAGCAACGGGCGGTTATCACCACATCTGATCTTGGCGAGGAGTACGCTAGGCACGAAAATTTTGAAGTCGTTTTGGATCCATCTTACTACTCCCCCTCGGAAAAGAATGGTTTCAGTGAAAAAAGGGGCGCTGAAGCCGGCAGAATCACTATACCAACTGTCGACAATGCAGCACTTGAAATTCAGCGAGACTTAGAAGGCTTTGAGCGACAAATGAAAGAAGAATCGAGGGAAGAAAAGTCACCAGGAACACAACTGGAATCAAAGCAGCTGGAGCCATTGGTCTCTCATGAAGCACCGAGAGCTTCACCCTCCCCGCTGGATGCGGGAAGCGAAGAATTACCAATGGGTGTGGTCGAGGTATCAATCGAAGAACCGCCAGAAGTTAAGATAAGCGTCGAGACGCAACCCGCAGTTCAAGAGACAAAGCCGAAGAAAGAGAAGAAGAGCCGAAAAATGAATCTCGGAAAGCTGACGAAGAAAGTCAAAGCCATGTCTTCCAGGGCATCCGTAAAAGCTCTTTCATCGAAGGCATCCAAGGTATTGAAGAGCGTACCAACTCCAGTTTTGCCATCCAAGAAAGATAGACAAGAATTCAGCCCTTCTGCGGAGGAGTCAGAAAAAACTGCGGAGCCAGAAAAACCAACGAAACCAAAAGCACTATGGAGAGCTGTAGAAGATCCAAATTCCGGAAAGTTTTACTACTATCATCGAAATACGCGAGAAACGACTTGGAGCAAACCGCAAGAATATATGGCGTATGAAGGAGCCATGGCGAAATACGAGCGTGATCGTATTTCTTACGAAAAGTACCATCACAAGCCAATTGAAGAGCTTGTAATTGATACGAGTATCAACGCTGAAGGCTCACCATCGGGGCAGGATGACCTCTCGAACGGAACTGAGGACCAAATGGATGACGATGAAGTGGACAGGCTTGGGTTAAAGAATGTTGAATATCTCGAAGAGGAACCATTTGATGAAGGACCTTCCGAACCAAAACCCTTTGACGAAGCGTATGACGATCCACGGCCATTAGCTCCATTAGGCTCGCAAGGCAGGGTGGCTTCTCAATTTAGTACAATGACGGAAAAGACTGAACGAATCAACAACGTTACAAATGGGAGTCAAATTTCACACAAGAGCCAAGGATTTTCTGGGCTCGAAATCTTGGATGAAGACAAACGCGAGCATCAGAGTGAGCAAAGCTTCAGTGGTGCAATGAGGGGACCAAGAGCTCCGCGCCCTGTTCCCCGTGTGTCAAGCAGTCACCGAACGAGAGAGCTCCGAGTGGAAGATCTTGGTGGCTCTCGTATTGCTGCGGAGACATTTGATAGGCGTGGCAGAGTTGTGAAGGGCCGCGAGCTATCTTCTAACGAGGAGGTTTCCTCTTTGTCGGAGCGGAGACCAGCTAACGGCACGTTTGACCAAGACGATACGATTTCTGGTCTGAGTGACGTGGATATGGACTACAACATGCGAAGAGACAACTTCAATAATGCAAGACATCGCGCTCTCGATGATGCCATAGAGAGAAAAGACGGAGATCTTTTCAAGGCTCTGATGGCTGGTATGAAAGCCTCTGGTGATGGCATACAGAAGACATATCCTGGTTGGAATCAGAGTGAAGTCGACAGAATGATTGCCAGGGATGATTGGGATACTGTCCGGTCTTATGTCTCAGCCATAAGAGGCGTCAACTCAATGCCACATCTACCAACTAATGTGGCACCAGCACGATTTGGCAAAAACACTACCGACGAAGTAGCGTCTTTGGATACTGACTACTCGGTCTAAATGTAAACTCATAACGGAGATGGTTCTTCTTTTGTGCAGTTTTCATTTAGTCTCATCATACAGGACTCATCGAGCACGAAGTGTGTCCGAACGAATGTGTCCAAGAGCTGAAAAAAGTATTTTTCCTATCAAAACTATCGTTTTACAAGTAACGCTCCTCCAAGCCCATTCCTATCTCTTCCTCTATAGCAGTTGTACCCTTCCTCCACTAGCCATGTTGTCACTGCACGTTCCAAGGCTCCACCTCCTTTCTGATGCGTTTTGGATCCAACGTGATGTCCAGTACCAGTGACAATCCATACCTCATGTAGCTCAGATAGCTTGTTCGGCAGGACCCTGGCCAAGACAGCTGAAAAAGTCTTGGTAGACTGGAAATGGAGGTCAATAACATCTCTTCTCTTGACGCTAGCTGAAACTCGGGTGTACCGTTCAATTGGATCAGGGATATGAAAGAATGTTGCATCCCTATTTTCGTGAGGATTCCACAAATCTTGTGGGATACGAACCGTCGGCAGAGCTGATGGCGTTGCCGCTTTTGGACTAGCGACGCTCGTTGGAGATGCAAATTTAAACTGACTGTACCCTTTGGATGCAATATTGGCGAAAGAGCTTGCTTCCAAATTCGTTCGGACAGATGTTGGAGTACGATTAGCCTTCATTCCATGAGATGACGCACTGCTACTATCCATTGTAGGTGTTGAAGCCGCTGGTAGCGGACCAAAGTCGCCTGAAAAGACCTGCTGCGGAGCTTGTGATCTGCTTGGTATATTTTCCACTAGTTTTGGGTTGAAGCCATGAAGGAATCTACAAGTACTTCCTTTTCCACACCTTCCTCGAAGCCAGAACAAACAGGTGTGACCTTCGACATCATGACTAAACTGGCAATCACTGCGATAGCAGCCGCCATGAAGCATGTGTCTGCAGACAGGCTTTGCTGTCATTGCTGCATCAACTACATATTGTGCAATATTGATATCACCTTTTGCAATAAACCCAGCTTCCCTCGCCGCCTCTTCACTCAGGTCATGATTCATGGACAATAGAATTTCGACACAGGAATCTAATTGTTGCTTGAAGAATTGATTGCCCGGAGGTGCACTGTGCAATGCAGTATTTGAAGGTTGCGTGGCTGATTTTGAGTTGCATGCAGAGTTATCTTCTACATCCACACTGTTGGCTCGTGTCCGTGCTGGTCGAAAGAGTGCGGCTGCCAAATCTGGATCAGTATGAGTCTTTGACCCCTTTCGTCCACGGCTCATCTTTTCTGGTGCTTGTTGTTTTTTCACCGAGGCGGATGTTGCAGCTGAAAGCGTGGGGAAGGCACCTCCATCATCCGATGGTGAATCTGATTTCTTTCCATCATCTGATTCTTTCTCCTGTTCTTGTTCTTGTTGATTCCTTTGTGTTAGTTCTTGTTCTTGTTTCTGCTGTTGCTGCTCAAAAGCCTCGCGAAAATGAGCGTGCCCACCAATTCTGGAAATGTGCGGAGATGGGTTGTTCAAAGCACCAAGAAGGTCCACAGGAACCAGCGCTTCCATTTTCATGGGAGATGGTGCGCCGACTTGAATGGGAGTGAATGGCTCTCCAAACACAGAGTCGAATTTGACATCTTCAGAGGAAGTTTCTTTGCTAGACGTGTCGCTCATGCTCTTGAATGAATCCAAGCCTCCGCCGGAGTACAAACCAAAACTTTGGGACCTCTTTCGTGTCTGAACTCCCACGGTTGTAAAAACTCCAAAGCTAGCAGATCGACTTCTGGTTTCGCTGGGAATAGTTCCAGTACAAACAGCTGTTGCAATAGCCAAAACTGCTTGTGTTGCAGACTCATTCTCCATGCTACACTGATCCTCCAACAACTCCAGCAATGACTCAAATTCTGGCAACTTCGTAACCTCATCTTTGCTACTAATGTCCGCACAACGTAACAATGAAGTCACATATGGACCCACACTCTCATCCACCACGGCTTCGGGAGGGCTCAGTCTTCGCAAGACGCGTATAGCGTATGCATCCACTGCCGTCTCCAACGCCGCCGACGAAGTCCCATTCATCTCCACCGATGTAATGGGCACCATTTTGTCGTCTATTTACAATTCTAATAAGACTTTCTTTGTCTCCTTCTTTAGTATCTCCGCGTCAACACGTAGTTGTCATTGCGACCAAAAAATGGGAACTCGGATGGATGAAACGAAACTCTATTTCTGCTTGGACAATGCTGCGTTGCTGATGAAATATTGTTCCCAACGGTGTTACTACTTTTTTTGAAGGAGATTGGTTTCTTTGGCGCTTGGAGGCTAATGAGAACTGTGTTCGACAGCACCCGGTATTCAAGTGTGATTCTTGTGCCTTGGGTCTTCGTCACTTCAATTATTGCGTTCGTACCAAAATTTTACGTAGCCAAATTTTTTCTTTGATTCGAACTAGTCGATCATTGGGAACTTGTTGAGCTAATGTACAGTACAGTAGCGAGTAGAGTCGAGCAGTAAGGTACAGTAGTGGTACTGTAGCTATTTTACTGTTGTGGCTTGTTTCTCACCTCTCAAACGAAGCAGTATTTGAAAGTAGGACATGGCTTGGCATTCTACTTTGTGTTCTTCCGTTTCAATGCATACAGTACACGTACCTGGTACAGTATATACCGTACCATGGCACGGTATTGTGACTGTCCTCACTACTTCCATCAAATTCAAATTCGGGATAACTCTTTTTTAACCGTTTATGCTCACCCCTCAACTATTTTCACCACCGACTACCTGCTACCGTTACCAGGTAGCTGGTACTGCAACCAAGACCGTGACCCACCTGTGGCAACAAGGAAAGGCTACTGATATAATAGGACTAGTAGCGTAGCCTTCGTTTTTAAATTCCATCTTACACTTTTAGTGATAGGTCTACTGTAGTTTCCAACGACGAGGCAGACGAACAAGTGACTACCTAACGGAGTAGTTCACAATGGTTACGATCCCAGTTGAAGTAGAAGTAGCAGACGTGTACAATAAGAACAAAGTGGCTACAGTTTGTTGATCTTATGATTGCACATATGGGGTGTTGTATTCTCCTGGAGTATTTGGGTCACTCTTGTCCATTAGGTCCGAACGATGTGCGCCGAGAATTGCTGCAAAGGATCCCAATAGAATGCATTCTACCAAACATAGCAGGCTCATGAATCCCTCTTGGGCTCCAGAGAACCCATCTTTACCTTCATCGAATTTGTAACCAGTGTATCTAGTGATACGAGTTCAATTGGATGCATGGGGTTAGTGAATCACTCACTCATTTTTCTACGAATCTTCTGATCGAACGAAACCAAGCTTGGCACTTACATCAATGAAAGGAAAAAGAACATTTGCGCCATTGCCAAAACTCCACCCATAAAAAAACCAACGGCCATGGAATTGTGAAATTTGCGCATAATCATGGTACCACCAATGCTTAATCCCAACAACATGGCAGCAGACCAGAACGAAACAAAGGCTTCCGCAAACGATCGAGATCCCATTACAACGCATGACATGAGTGCCAAAATTCCAGTCATTGCCAAGATCGAATACCTAGATCAAATGAACCAATCAATGAGGGAGGGTTAGAATCAGAGGTTGTTGTGTATTGGAAACAAAGAGGGAATCGTACCACCATCCAGCAATTAAGCGCCTTGAGGACCCGCCGCAGAATTTGTGAGCTATCGCTGAAGTTACAGATGTCATCATGATGGAATAGTGCTGACTTGGAGTTAGGAGAGGGACAGTGAATCTCCTATTTAGCTCTTTCGTTATTTTTCTTTCCTTTCGACGAGCAGGAATTGAACTTGAAAAAGAGCGAGCCGCTGTCTTTCAGCGCCGCGCCGGCATATTTAATTTGAAATTCATGTCACTTTTCTGGTATCAATTTTCACAACGGACCATCTTGTTTCTGAAAGCATTCACCATGGCTTGTCACTACAAGGGTACCACGAACGGCTTCTATCATGCTGGCCTCGACAGGGCTACAATGAGTAAGCCTCCTTTCGGATGGTAAGCAATAGAAAAATTCCTTTCAGTAACGGGCTTACCTGAGACCCCTACCGGAATTCGCCGTCAATGTTTCAAAAAATGAAAGTCATTTCTATTATTTATATTTACAGCAAGATCTATTCTCGCTACTATCGATGACTGTTTGAATGCGGCTCGAGAGAAGCAGTTTGGGTGAATGAATCATCGATCATACCATGCGAGTGTTCGTCCAACTTGGTGTGGAATTGTATTCAGGATCTTCTTGCTTTTCTTCTTCAGCCAACAGATTTTCATTTTTCCCATCGTTGTCGATTGCTGTACCATCCGGATCATCTTCATGCGCAGAAGCATGCCCGGCATCAGCCTTGAGGAAATGGTCTGCGATCCAAAAGTAAATGACGTTCAAGAAACCGGGAAAGAAGATCATGACGAATAACAATTCGAATCTGATATTGACTTGAAATGGTTCAAAAAGTATGCCTCCAAAGAATGCTAGTGGCTCTGCAAAGAATACCATGGTGTAGTAGATGATAACCTTGGCAATCGATTGAATGATGATCCAGACTAAAACTTGATTGAACCAATGGATTAGCCCCCCAGGGCCTTCATACACACCATTGTGTTTCAATGATGCCCAATCGTAACGATTTGCCAAAATATCGATCACCTTCAAGAACCACACAGCCAGCACTAGCCCCAGAGTGGTATCCACCAAATAACAGATGCCATACCACGCGCATTGATCATTCAATGTTCCACCAGCCGCAACATTCTCAATGATGACTGCCGCAATAAACTAAAAAGAGGCAAACATATAGAATATACTTGTCATTAGCAATGAAAACGGCCGAGCATTGGAATTCATACATCACACTGTCAATGTGTTGACTTACCATGTTGCAGACGTGTGCATAACACGCGCCAAGGCCTTGTTTCGACACGTCCAACATCCAGGTTCGAAATTTCCGCCTCGGTCGCTCAAAGTGTCGCTTGAACCACAGCGACAGCAACGCTGCAATCGCAAGTACTAGTTGCACAGCAATGGTGAAGAAGTCATCACTGTCATACACCTTGCAGACTTCTTCGAGTTCTTCCTCCACATAATCGTCTGCCACTGCGTCGTCTGCCATTGTTGTTGAATTTTACAGTGTTATACTCTGAACTTTCAAACACACATGTAATAGGACTCGAAAGTGCCAATGTCTTGATGAAAGGGATGAACTTGTTTCGGTCGCCAAGTTTGAGAATGGGTTGGAGTGGATGCTGATATTACTGACGATACAATACTGTATATTACGGTATGATGTAACTTGTACACAAAGACGACTCCACGCGAAAGAGTGGATGTTTGTCTTCAAAAATAGGCAGGCTTTCGCTCGCTGGCCTGTCATTTTTTTACTGGCCAGATTTAGTCTTGGCGGACAATGAATCGATTCATTCGATGATGGACCACATTTTGTATGGTGGTACTGGTACTGTATGATACCCCGGTACGTCCGGTGGTACCGGTACTGCACGTGTACGGTACAACAAATGAATTGACTCATTGACTCACTCTACAGCTGTTGAACTAATTTTTGGTTTCCCCCTTTGTCGAATGTATGTACACGTATGGCACTGCTGGTTGCTGTGGAACTGGCACCAATCATGGTTCCAGCCAATTGTTGCAATCATACGACTAGCTAGAATCTAGTAGTACTACCGGTGGTACCTAGTGGTAGTGGTAGCAAGTCAATGAGTTTCGGCAAATTGTACTGTAACTTGCTCTATTTCTCCAAAAAACCAATGATCACGAATCAATTTTGGGCGAGACAAGTCTTCGGACACCGACTTGTTAATCAGATTCTCTCGCACACATCGCCATTTGCAGTCCTGGTTTGCCGTTCCCAGTCTGCAGTGACAATAATACAAGTACGAGTACTGTGTTGGTATTTTCATAGCAATCCATTTTCCTTACCCCCATCATCAATCAAAACATTACCATACAGCTATTCTGTTTTTCTTCATCGAGAAGGACTGTTAGAATAAGCATCTTCGGCGCGCGTTGTTTGCAATCTCACGATATCGAACCTTTTTCGAGACTTTGTCTGGATTTTGCGACAAATCTTTTGACTTGAACGAGATTTGCAAGTTGCAACGAGATAATACGAGCTACACAAGTCGCGCTGTATTCAGCTTCGGTTCCAAGTTATTATTCTGGAGCAGTATGGCGCATCGGATAAGCCCGTCTACTTCGACGACGCGACAATTGACGAGAACAAAATACTCAATGAGTAGCTTCCGAATACTTTTCTTTTTTGTCTTCGCAGTTGAATCGGTCAAGGCGAATGCGTTTTTTGAACCGACGCCAACAGAGCCACCAGTGAATATTCTATGGACAGATGATGACGTCGTTGTAAATACGGCAAACACTACAACAACGTCAATACCAACCACTAGCCCAATACAGAGTCCACCTCCTCCTACTCTTGCTCCAGTTGTCCCACCTACACCATTTCCTTCAAAGGCACCTACCAAGAGACCTACAAAGGCGCCTACACAGAATCCAACGCCAGGCCCGACTCCCTTTCCCACGCCACCTCCGACTCCATTGCCCACAAAGCTTCCCACTCCATTGCCAACCAAGAACCCCACTCCGTTGCCAACTAAGAACCCAACCCCAGCGCCCACAAAGGCTCCCACAAAGGCACCAACCCCGGGACCAACTGCAGCACCATCGCAAAGTCCAACTAGGAGACCAACTCGGCTTCCATCCTCAGCGCCATCGAGGATACCAACACCAAACCCAACCAAGGCTCCAACACAAACTCCGTCTCGATTCCCAACTGGAAGGCCGTCGGTCTCACCAACCAGAGAGAATTCTTCCTTACCAACCCCGTCTCCTAGTATTTCCCCGACAGATGTTGCATCTGTTCCACCAACTCAGTTTCCTAGTCAGGAACCATCCAAAATCCCGACCACGCAACCATCCAAAATGCCAACCAACATTCCGTCGATATCGCCCACTGTATCCCCGGCGCCATCGAGCAATCCAACGACGCCTCAACCATCTTCGCTGCCATCGTTTGGTCCAACTATGCAGCCAAGTTATGAACCCAGCTCGTTGCCGTCGAGTTCGCCTTCTCAGTCACCCTCTTTACCCCAACAAGAAGTCTTGATTGTCTCGTTCATGACGCTTGCACCATATCGATCAACATCTGTGTTGTCCGGTACTTCTTCTATCGCATTTGAACGGGCAACCCGGGAGCATGTGTTTCAACAAATTAAGCTGTTGGATATTGAACCAGAACTTTTGGAATTGAGTGTTCAGACTGACATCAAAACCCAAGTCCCACCGGAGGCTCCCAGTGCGGCCGATCAATCGAACGATGCAAGATTGCTACAGAACGCCAGGTTTGCAAACAATTCGCTGATTGTGGAATTTAATGTATTTGTAACCTTTCGCTCTATGAGCAACGACCACGATTTGGATGAGTTCGTCTTTTCTGCTTGGGATGCACCCGGTGAGAAGGAATCATTTATCAATCGCTTGAAATCGCTCTCTTCGTTTTTCCAAAATATCGAGGAGGTCAACGTAGAAGTTGAGGGCTTTATACCAAAGAGACCTGATCCAGTCGATCTTGCTGAAGATGGACCAGATATTGCGGTGATTGCGGGGGGTGCTGGTGGTGGTGCGCTGTTGCTTCTCTTGTGCGGCTACTTGTACGTCCGAAACAAGAGCGAGAAGGAAGGGATAAATGACTATGATCAAACCAAGGCAACGACACAATCTGGTCAAAGAATAGCGGCCGAAATTTTGGTGGAACCACAAGATGAAGTCAGTACGCTTGGTGACCCAATGTTTGCTCCGGGAGGTATGCTTATTGGGAGTCTGGAAAAGGACGAAGTCACTGCAAGGTAAGCACGAGTATGAGTCAATGTGAAGTCTTAAAGCTTCAACATATATACTCATCCAACTGCAATGTTCTGATTCTAGTGTCGGCGACGACTATGACTATGCCAGACAATATCGAAACGAACGGAATCCAGCCTCACTGGCTGGAGACCGGTCAAGACTAATGTCAGAAGACTATACAAAGTCTTCGTCTGTGAATTCTGCCACCATGATGTCGAAACTAGGGCGTATGGGCGAATCGCTATTTGCTGACGATGCTTCCTTTGAACAGCAATTCGCTCAACCGGAAGAGCGATTCGACGTTGTTGCACCTGCTGGAAAACTAGGGATGGTGATTGACACACCCAACGGCGGCTTCCCGGTGGTCCATGCTATTAAAGACACAAGTGTTCTGTCGGACAGGGTGCGTGTTGGCGACCGTCTACTCTCGGTGGACGGGGATGACTGTACCGCAATGACAGCTATGCAAGTGTCAAAGCTAATCAGTCTCAAATCCGAGAAACCTGCTCGTGTTCTTGTATTCGCTCGCTCTAATGCGAGTCCAACCGCGTAACGACGAACGAGACACAAACCAAGAAGAGTGTTCATATCTGTGTGATTTTTGTATAGACTATTTGAGCTGTCATGAACTGTGGATTCCAAGTCTAGAGGTTAAATTTCTAGAGTATGAAAGTAGAGAATTAGAGTGGCACTTGTCCAGTGGTCCCGTACTTTTCAATGTATTCCTTTTGACCTCGGGACAACGTCTTCGAGATTGGCGAGTTGATCTTAGCGAAGTCTCCCCAACCGGTACTCATTACTGGAGCGACAGCAGCCACTAGTTCATCTATTTCTGGCGCCGCGGCAGCTTCGGGCTCAGCAATCGGAGCTGGAGGTGCAACAGGAGCTGCTGGTGGGGGTGGAGGAGTAGCTTCGACTACTGGGGCGGCTGGTTCTTCGACAGGAGTAGGAGCGGCAGGTACCTCTGCTACGAAATTAGCAAACGCTGCAATATCATCTGACTCTTCGACTGTGACCATGATTGGAGTTCCAACGGCAATATCATCTTTCTCATTGTAAAAAATAAGTTGGTGATTTTATATGTGGATTTGTCTGTCTTCACTTATATCGTTCAAAACTTACCTCCTCCAGCGTCCATGAGAATCTTGGCAACAAAACCTTCGTCTTGAGCTTCAAAGTCCATGGAGGCTTTGTCCTAGTGGTCGTTGGAATTGTAAGATTAGAACAAATTAGGGTTTGGGTCTGCACAAAGAGCCACCAACAATCATAATGAGCGAAAGAGTCCCTTTCGATTCTTAGCAACGTACCGTTTCAATTTTGGCAAGAGGCTCCCCTGCAGAAAATTCGGACCCTTCTGAAACGTACCACTCAGCCAGAACTCCCGTTTCCATTGTCTGTAAAGATACGAAGTCCGTCGGTTAATACATCTATGTCATCTTGCGCCAATCAAAACAGAACAGTCAAAATTCTCACTTACTGGCGATAGAGCTGGCATTCCGACCACCTTTTAATTGTTTGTCAATATGAGAGGAGTCATGAGGGCATAAAAGAGCATCGTCAGAATAATGCTTACCAAGTGATATGGGAGATCGTCCTCACCAACAGCTATCGATCGGGAGAAGGATCGTACGGCAGCTACTCTCTTGGAGTGTTGAAGCGAGAGGGAAGAAGAACGAGCAGCAACTCTTGACAAATGTGACAATCGGCAGATAGATGTGGAAGCCATTTTTCCTCGATATTTTATTGGATAAAATTGATTCTGGATTTCTGATATTTCAAGCTCGGTCTCGCGATTCTGTCTACTGAGTCTTGATCGATTGTTAGGTGCAACAAGGGAGTCAGTTGGAATATGTTTTCAGCCACAACAAAAATCAAAATCTTTTGTTGGCTTCTATTCTCGTTGAGCGAAGTTCTCGGCAGCAAAACGGCAGAAGATCGCCGATGACGGACGACACGCAGAATTTCAGAGGTGGTCGGATGGGTCAATCATCAGTTTATGTTTTGAAGGAAGGACAGACGACAATGTCAAGGTCCAATCATCCAGTGTCAACATTGTCAATCACAATCATCACAATTCGCAACTCATTCCTCATTCCATTCAGTGCTTAGTACAAAGATTATTTTGGGTCCAAGTGGTACAGGAGATCGCTATTATCTTCCGCACTGTAGTACGAGAAGTAACTACTATAATATACTCTTGCATCAGCTAGTATTACTATCAGCCAGCTATTAGTACGAACATTGTGCTGCTAATCACTACTACATCTATCAGCCAGCCAGTCAGCCCGCCCTATTGGGTGAAGGATCGAATTACTTGTGCCTCCCGACCAAACTATGTTGGCACTACCCATTACAATGAAATAGCAGTAGATCTAAAAGCGCGGTTGTTTGTTTGGGAAGCTGCGGAGCCAAGTGGTGAAAGAAGTATTTTGAATTTTGCCGGAGTGCGGTGCTGTGACCTTGTTTAGCGTGAATGTTTAGCGTGGATTTGGACCTATCAAAGTACTTTAACGCTAAACATGAATTGGATGAACGAAGTGCAGACGACGATATTCAAATACCCAAATTTCACACTCACCACAATGGATGACAATTCAACTCTACACTGGCTTAGAATTAGATTGAATTTTGTAGTCGAATGTTAATATATTGTATTCTATCTTGTTGTGGATGTCATGGGAGGAGGTCGTTGCCTAGATACAACTGGAAACCTGGTCACTCCCCCTCCTGATAGGGCAAGCAACAGGCAGTGCACACCAATAATTCAGCCATGATCTGTAGGTTTTCGTCATATTTGATTTGCCAGGCGGGTTGTCACTTTCCTCGTTATTCTTTCATGTATCATCTTTGAGCGCTATTTTGAGGAAGCATGCTGGCTTGTAGGTATAAATCACTGGAGAATTGTCGCCAAGCAATTGCTGCTGCTACCCCTGCCTGAAACCTTGTATTGCATCAGCTACAGTCGTAAGTGCCTTCATATGCTGTGCATTCTTGGTATCTCATACAATTCGCCTGAAAGCTCCCCAGTTCGGATTTCTTTCACTCTGCTCACTTGATGACAGGCAGCGCCCATGCTGATTTGCAAGCCAACTAGAAGATTGACAAAACAACCTCATCCCATTTGCCATCCGCTTCGTCGTCTGGAAATCTTAGATGCTCTCATTTTTTCAGTCTGCACAGTGGACGACAGCGCTCATGCCGATCTTCAAAGCCAACGAGCAAGGAGATAGCAAAACAATATTATTCCCCTTGCGGGCACCACTGACTCCAGTTGTATCAGCTCGTTCGTTTCAGCCCCCATGGCGGAAGATTGTTGGCGAAACGCATGTTTCTTCCTCTGCTTCAGTTCCAATCTTGTCTTCTTAATCATTTGATGGCTCGGTTTTGGGTAACAAGGCTCGCCAGCAGCCCCGTGGCTTCACCTCGTTGGATTACAAGAAATACACATCACAATTGCCAACTTCTGAAGCAGCTGTCACCATCAGTCTATTCTTTGTCTCCTGATCTCAGTTTCATTTGTTGTTCGCTATGAGGAAGCTTGTGAAAACAAGTAGCTACAGTATGGTTTTAAATGATTCGGTTCACGATTTTGTAGTGTCATCCATCATCTTATGTATCCGGGGTACTTTGGGGCGTCTGATCATGGGCCAAATTTTGAAAATAGTTTTACGTGCAAGGAAGCACCGTTTTGTCTGACGAAAGGGCATGAAGTCCAATCAGTCAAACTACGAAAATTGTAACCATCTGCCCATCGCATCGCATCGTATGATATCAATATCACAGTCTTCAAGACACAACCCTGTCGATAAAAACCATGACAACCACTGTCACATCGTCAATTTTTTTTTCCCTCATGGTTGTTTCGCAACTTCTCAGACAGCGAGCTTTCCAAGCTCATGCGTTCTGCTCTCTGAACTGCCGACAACAGAAATTCCCCAGCACAAACAAGCAATTCATTCGTCTCCTTGCTAGCGCTACAGGCACCCAATACACGGATGAAGCACTGGGAGAAGCCAGGCGAAAACTAGAGGAAGCAGTGAAACTATACGAAGCGAATGTCAAAGCAACCCCGCCAAATGTTGACCTAATTCTTCGCGAGCTGGAGACTGAAGCAAGTGAACCAGACTTTTGGGAGACTTCGAACCAAGCACGAAACTCCCACGTAACATCACAGATCAGTCGTTATAGTCGCATTGTAGCAAGATTAAAAGAATGGGAAAGTCTAAAAGGGGATGGAGAGGTAGCAGTGGATATGTTGCTGTCAGAAGATGCCGATGACTTCTTTTCAATCGAGGAGAAAGAATCCCTTTTGGAAGAACTCAAGGTGGCCAGCGAAAAGCTACTGGAAGACGGCAAACGATACGAGCTAGAGTTGTTACTGAGCGGGCCATATGACGACCAACCTTGCAGAATTCTCTTGACAGCTGGAGCGGGAGGTACGGAAGCCAATGATTGGGTTGCTGACCTTCGGCGCATGTATGAACGACACGCTTCTAAGATGGGTTTCGCCGTAACGCTGGAGGATGAGCAAGCAGGAGAAGTGGTTGGGTATAAAAGTGTCGAATTAATCGTTGATGGTGGAGCAAACCCATACGGGTGGTTCAAGGGAGAAAAGGGGGCGCACCGCCTGGTGCGGCTGTCCCCTTTCAATGCAAACAACAAACGACAAACTACTTTCGCGGGAGTTGATGTGGCGCCCATCTTTGTCGACGAAGCAACTTTTGACGACATCGATATTCCCGACAGTGAATTAGAGATCACCACCATGCGAAGTGGTGGAGCGGGTGGGCAAAACGTGAATAAGGTCAACTCGGCCGTCCGAATCAAGCACCTGCCCACAGGATTGGCTGTAAAGTGTACACAAGAGCGTAGCCAGGCGATGAATAAGGACATTGCAATGAAACGATTAAAGGCTCAGCTCTTGGCCATTGCCAAAGAACAAAGAGTCGCAGAAATCAAGGAAATTCACGGGGATCGAGTCGAAGCTGCCTGGGGTCAACAAATTCGAAACTATGTTCTCCACCCTTACAAGATGATTAAGGATCAACGGACAGGCTGGGAGACTAGTAACGTGCAGAACTTCCTCGATGGCGACTTGGAATCTTGTATTGCTGAACTCCTCCGACACAATGCCCAAGAAGAACAGGATGCTAGCCTGCAAGAACCATCGACAGCGCAATAGCATTGGGTAGGATTTGGCGATACCATCGTGGATAAATCACTGTAGAAAGCCCACGCTGCTGACACAAAACGATTGGTCGGAGGGATGATCTGGTCTCTTTAAAAGGAAAGTGTTCCTGTCGCCCTTGTTTTGTTGCTACTCCACAGTATGCTACTTCGCGAATTACTATGTCTCGACTATATTAATAATATAGAGATATTACATCTTACGTGAAATTGCACCTAGTTCTAGAGCTCACTTTCTATTCTTTATTGCATCTCGGATTACTTTGAACCGCTGGACACATTGTTTTTTGGTTTTCCCCTCGACACTTTTGGCAATGCTTGCCCATCGCTCATTCTTGTCAATTGATGCAGGAAACTTCGCAAGAGCGGCTTGCAGCGCCTTGTCCTGTTCGTCAGACCAGGAATCTTCTGTCGAAGCACCATCTGTTGCCGGTGCATCTGTCGTTGCAGCAGCAGCATTTGTTCCATTTCGACTGGCCGTGGATGCCTTATTCTGGTTGAATGTTTCGATGCACTCTTCTCGCGTTCGAGGCATCTCTGGGTGGCAAACATTATTGATATATGAAGCAATTTGGTCCCAACGGTTTGCTCCTCCAGGAGGGAACTTTTTCACACCCTTTGCCAATGTAGACATTTCATCTTTTGTGAAGGGCTTCTTTTTGGGACCTGTGGCGCTTTTGTCCGAATTTGTCGTGCTTGCGACTACTACAGGTGCCTCTTCTGCCTCTTTTTCCATATTCTTCACATTGTTCGCGCGTTTCCGGACGAGCTCTAGCACTTCTCCTGGTGATGACTTCGAGTCCAGGTTTGTGTTCAACTTGGTGAGTTGTTCCCGATTTAAAGTGGAACAAATCATATCGACTTCGTCTTCCAATGCATGTTCGGACTCCAGCAAAGATGCCAACGCTTCACTAACATGGCGTCTGAAAACCTGCTTCGTCTTTCGAAGTAGTTTCTTCTCCTTTTCGCGTTGTAGTTTTTCCTCTTTCTTCCGTTCTTCAACTTCCTTTTGCTTCCGCTCCTCCGCAAGCCGTGATTCCTCTTCTTGCCGTTTCTTCTCGAGCGCCTCTTCTTCTCGCCGTCTTTGTTTCTCTTCCTTCTCTCTGATAAGCCTTTGTTTCTCTTGTAGTAGACGTGGATCTGCCGCCATTGCCCTTTCCAGTAAAGTTGTGATTCTAGACAACTCCTGCTGCTTTAATTTCTTGGCGCGTTTGTCAATTTCCTTTTGATACCATCTTTTCTCATATCTGGATTCTGCCTGCTCCAGCTGGTCCTGCGTCTCTAATTCTCGCGAGGCCTGCATCCCAAAGTCTCTCCATGACTCGAAGTGAGCCCAATAGTCGTAGAACTCTAAGCGAGAAAAGGTTAGAACAAGACATCTCGTACTGTAACAGCGGATGGATCGAAGATAACTTACGATTTACTTCACCAATCGGTGTAGACTCGTCCCCCAATGAAAGTGGTTTCAGCATGCTAGTCCTGGAACTACGCGATTTCCTTCTGTTGCTCTTCTTGTTTGAGGTCGGCAATAATCTGGCATCAAAGTGAAGGTTTCTTTGGAAGCAGCTGCCAAAATCCTCGAAGAAGTTGTCGGTTTTCTCATCTGGTATACTCTCGTCAAATGGCATCTCTGTAGAGTCGTAGGCAAGCTTTTGTGTGCTCAAAATATCGAAAGCAGCCTTCACTTTGAGGAACACTGCATCTTCTTCTCCCCGACCTGACTTATCAGGGTGATATTTTAAGCAGGCTTTGCGATACGCCTTCTTGACATCGTCGGGAGACAAAGTGGCTTTGAAAGGCAGATGTAACACCTTGTAGTAATCCAAAGCGTCAAGATCTTGCTCCGAGAGGGAAAACAAGTCAATCGCAGGGGATTCACTTTCTTGGCTCTTGTCGTCGCTCTCTGAATCTTCATTTTCGTTGTCGTTGGGGTTGGAAGAAAAGTCGAAATCGTCGCTTAATGTGTGCACCGATTTGAATTCAGTAAAACCCTTTCCAACTGACTCAATGCAGATTGTTTCCAGGGTATCAGCCCAGTCCAAGGTAACTCCAGCCAGGGCAATCGACGGCATTCTTTTGTTGTGAGTTGTTGGGTGGTTTTGGGTCAATCCGTCAAACACCGTCAATGGTGAATGCGCACTATGTGCGCACAAAACAACTGCATTTGTCTGCGGATTGCAATTTTTGGTGAAACAGATATGACATTGCGGGATGACAGCAAAACAAAAGATGCACAAACCTTCCTCTTATCTCTTCATTGCAGCAATATTATGCTTACTTCGACCATCTGAGGCATCGTCGTCGCATCGACCGATAGCTTTCTTGTTGGACGTAGACAATACGCTCTATGATGAATTGGACAGCGGGATCGAATCTCAAATTGTAAAGAACACACATTCATACTGCAAAGAAAGGTTTGGAATGGAGAAGGAAGAAGCTGATGACCTTTTTCGACAGTTTGGATCCACAATGGAAGGTTTAAAACAAACCATTTTGAAAGGAAAGCTAGAATCTGAGGTTCACGAAGCTTTGGATGATTTTTATGCAACAGTTTACAAAAAGATCGACTACTCAAGTTTGCTGCTGGAATCGACGGCGCAAGAGTCTTCGACTGGATACTCTATGACAAGAGACCGAAAGCAACTACGTCAGCTGCTCCGTTTCTGTCCGCATCCTATATGGATATCGTCAAATTCGCCGAGCTGGCACGTTCGAAGGACACTTGAGGCCATGGGTCTTGCTGATATTCATTTTGAACGTTGTTTCACACCTGACCGACTCCCATTCTATCCTACGAAGCATGACCCAATTCGTTTCTTTGGTGAATACTGCGAGGAATTGCTTTCCTACGCTCGATTGATCGTCTTTGATGATTCAAGCTGGAATCTTTCCCGCATATGCGAGAACTTTCCAAGAGCGGAAGGCGTACTCGTCTCGCGTCGAAATCCTTTGACTACCGCATGGCTTCGGACCGTTTTACTCGATCCTGAGTTTAAATTCGATCAAGTACAATACCTTGACTCAAAGAATGCCGTGGATCGAAAATCGATAAACTCGAATATCTGGAATGAAGTTGTAGCCAGTCTTCAAGGCCTTCGAAAACGTGAAGTACATATTGCAGATGTTGGCGCGGGGATTCTGTCCATGCTTGATCTCTTCCTTCATGGAGACGTCAGTAAAGGTCTAAACCCTCTTCTGATAGACACGAAGGGACCTTATTTCGTTCACTACACTGCCTACGAGTCAAATGCAAAGCTCTATGAAGCTTGCCACCAAAAGCTTCTTTCATGGGGATTAACAGCACGAGAGAAATCGGAAAATGTGATCATCTACGAGGGACCGTCGGTACGAGTGAGACTCATTCTAGAAGACTTTGACAGGTCGCCACCAATTCCAACCCCTGATTTGATTGTTGGTTGCTGTTTCGCTGATTTGTTCGATCCTTCTCAACTCGTGCCATCGTTGATAAGGTCCTTTAGTCTTTTAGATTGTCAGCGCACAATCTTATATTTCCCCATTACATTTGAAGGCATTACCCAACTGTTCCCTCCGCAACCTTTTGAGTCGACCATCGACGGTACGATACCATCAGACACAGCTGCACTTGGTGTTTATTCAGAGGCACTTTCCAGAGACCTTGGACACAACTTAGATCCAGCGTTACTGCAAGATGAAATGGAACGACATGGTTTTTCCCTTCAGAGGAAAGGTGGGTCTATGTGGAATATCCATCATGATGTAAATCCCTACCTTTATATGTGCATGCTCTACTTCTTTGGAAGTGCTGCTGGACCAAAACTACAACACAATGGATTTGACGCACAAGGCTGGATACAAAGAATACGCAAAACGAATCCTCATATTCAAGTGTCGAACGTAGACTTGATGTTTCGGGTTGGAAAAAATCTCGATCACTGTCTACACAACACTGAATCTGACCTGGTAATGGAGGAAATCTATTTTGTCGGAACTAGAGACGTGATAACTCGCAAGAAGAGGATCCCCGAGCTCCTCCCAACACAAGTGCTAAGTAAGTACGAAACCTTGCGATGAAATCAGATCGCATATGTCGACTCAAGCATGCCCCAGTCAAATCATCGCATTCTTTAATAAGTTCAGGGACAGAGTTGAAAATTTTTAATGGACAGTTTGACGACGCCGTACTTGACGCAACAATTGAAGACATGAAAGATGAGCGAATGGCGTACCCATTGTCGTATGGTTATTGCCTTGTCGGACACGTCATTCAGTGCGGAGATGCCGTGCCGAATGATCTTATCGGGAAACTTGTTTTTAGCTTCTCTCCACATGCATCCCATGTCGTCACTAATTTTGATAATATTCATGTCGTTCCAGATAATATTTCACCTGAAGATGCCATTTTCATGCCATCGGTGGAAACTGCTCTTTCGTTGATTCATGATGCCAGTCCTCGAATGGGAGAGAATGTCGCCGTGTTCGGGCAAGGATTAATTGGGCTACTAGTGACGGCTATTCTCGGTACTCAAAGACAGACTTCGAATTCGGCAAAGTTTGGAGTGGTTACTGCGTTTGAGACTATCCCAACTCGCTTAATGGCTGCTGCACGATTCGGAGCTTCACAAGCACTCTTGCCTGGTAGCTTTAGTGGGCCTTTTGACGTTTCGATTGAAGTTAGTGGAAACTTTAAAGCACTTCAATCAGCCATAGATCTTACAGCTGATGGTGGACGGATTATCGTCGGATCGTGGTATGGTAACTCCGCAGTAAATTTGAATCTCGGGATTGAGTTTCACCGGAGTCAGAAGACAATTAGGGCATCTCAAGTGAGCAAAATCCCCTTGCAATTGCAAAGTACATGGAACAAAGATAGACGATTTGAATTCACTTGGGAGCTAGTAAGGAACTTAAAGCCGTCGCGGATGCTGTCTAGAGTAACTGACATCAACGGTGGGAAAACTGCTTACGAAGCGCTTGATAGGGGTGAAGAAATCGCCATTGCATTCAAATATTGATCAGGTTATTAAGCTTAACTTGCAGCCTTCTCTAGCCGAAAATGCGTTTTCTGTGTACCACCGTACGGTTTGCACTGTCCTTTGGCTTAGTTGAACGAACGTCGCCTGTAGAAGAGCACATAGGCTGCGGACGAGATTAACTCGTGTGTTCGAGTGCCTATCTTTGTGACAGACGAGTCGTCGAAAGCTGCGAACGTGTTGCTCATTGAATTCTCGTCCCATTCGCGAGCAAACGCCGTATAGTGACCGAAACCTAGCCGCCCATAGTGGTTGATCACGCCAAACAAGTCATACTCAGCCGGGACAGTTTCATCGATAATTGATGATGTCGCTTTCGCGCAATGTGGCTCCATATTGAGGCCATCAACTGGAAAATCTACGAAAGTGTCCAACTTTTCACGTCGAAGCGTATGTTTGTATGCAAACCGCTTCAGATGAACGACCAGAATATTTGGTAGCCTCCACAATTTCATCGTTTTCAGTGCCTTGACGTGTTCTTTGCAACTAGAACAATACCACATGTTGCGCTCATCAAGACGCTCTGGGTTTGTGAATGTCTCGAAGCATTGATCTAATGAAATCGCACTTCTATTATGGTTGTTGCGTTGAGACCGCAGTACATTCTGCATGCTGTCATGTTCAGCATGTGCCATGAAAAGTTCTGGGCGGATAACTGATCCACCCTTTCGAGCCACTCGAGCATCCCATTCCAGCGACAAGAACAAGAAATCTTCAGTGCACTTGTCACCGATGAACTTCAGCAGAGAGTCAGATGAATGAACTGGCAAGAGAGATGTGAGCTTCCCATCTCCCGTCGAAAAAGCATCTATAGGAGCTTTGCTTTTTCCATCAATTATGTGTATTTTCAGAATGTCCTCGGGCTTGAAGTCTTCATCGTCGATGTCGTCATCTCCATTTTTTTCTCCGATATAATGGCGTAGCATTCTCCATAAACGCTCCCAGACCTGTTGACATGGCAGATCGATATGAAATGAAATCATCAATGGATAACCTATCAGAGTTTTGTCCCGTTCTTCACCATCTCCTTTACATACGAGGGTGTTGACAGCAACGGCGTGAATACTCCGACTTGTGAAAGGCTCAATCTCGAAAGCAGCAACAACGTCGTTGGCTCCGATCTTGTGAACAGCTTTGTTGTCGTGTAAGAGTTCATAAATGGTGTGATTGTAGATATCGGCGAAAACGATTTTGCTCTGTGAGACGCCGGTCTGTTCTGCGAGTTTCGACTTGAGATCGGCAACAGAACCACGGCGAGAAACAGTGATCGCGTGTCGAAGAGGCATTTTACCTCCTACGGCACCGAAAAATAAAACAGGGATAGTAACTGTAATGCTTTCCATCTGTGGGATTTCCAATGACACGTGATTAAATGCATCAAATGAAACAGAAACTCTTCTGCACTTTGGGCAAATGCATGTGGATTGAAATTGTCCATAGAAGGTATCAAAGACCAACGAATCGTTACGTTTCCGATGTGCATCCCAAGCCCCTGCGCCTGCTATGGCCATATTTTGTCCATCAGTAACATCTGGCATTTCCACATAAGGTGCACTCGTTATTCGATTGAGATCTTCATGCAGACCATCCAGGAGGTATGCGAGAAATTCTTGTGCGTCGTGCTGTAAAGAACCAGCAAAACGGGGAGCGAACAGCGCAATGGCCCTTTTAAGTGACGTAGGCGATATTGCAGTGGCTTTGTCGTTCATCCATAATCCTTTCATCACTACATCATAAGCAACCGCCAGTTTCCCACCTGTTCCCAAAACGTTGGTTTTGTTGATGTCTTTTCTGAACTGATTCGATAAGAAGTACCGCGTAAGCGGGGTAGCATGGCTTAGACATTGCAGTGCAGAATTCATGAAACAAGTATTTCCCAGGTTGTTCAATCCGATCATTCCTCCTTCTCTAGTACGTTGCCTTCCGCCCAAGCTGCCGTTTGTACAAGACCCTCGATGGAAAGGCCAATGAGATTCTTGGCACTCCCAACCACAGTAGCTTACTGACATACAGCTTTTGCATTTCAAAGATGCATATGGAGCTTTGCAAGCAGTGCAGCTTTGCAGAGCTCTCGATCGACGACGATCTCTAGAAGGAGGATACAGATTGACGACTCCCGCAGCAGTGGTCCTGCGACAAATACTCGGGGTTACTTCTCCGTACCATGATCGCAGTGCGAAATATACTTCTCTTGGTAATATTTCATAGTGATAACCTCGCACCAAGTTGGGTTTGAGATGAAGTTGCCCAGGCCTGCAAAACCAATGTAGGTGAAGACTTGAATCAGGCACAAACAGACATGAATTGTCAATAGATTCTGGCTGTAGACGAAAATTACTACCACAGCTAGAGTCATCGTCAGACGAGTCATCATTCTCATCCATCTGTGGCAAGGTAGCGCCCGATGGCAGTAACTGCAAAACATGTTTCGCTCTGTCCCTGTCGTCATTTTCTGCAAAATGATAAAAGAAATCCACGTATCTACACCAGTCTCGCCACCAATTCCATGAGAGTATGAAAAAAGCTTCCTCTCCTCTCTGCTCTCTTGATCCCTTGCGCGCCATCAGCAACCTCAATATATCTTGTTTCATTTCCGCGGCGGTCCTTTGACAACTCTTTCTACTCACATTATCGGTGTCTTTTTCCTTTCCAAGAGTTTCATTATCTGACGAGTAAGATTCACAGATTCTCTGCAATCTCGCTAGAGCGGTTTTGTACGTTTCATTTTGCTTTTGGTCAACCCCGGGGCTCTCATCTTCATGAAAGGACAAACACTCCTTCAAATCATCCATCGATTCATTCAAGACTTTTCGAATCGTTTCTTTAGACCATGTTCTATTATTGTCTAGACACAATCCCTCCTTCGCTAGGGCCCTGCGATATAAAGCTAGACTGATCAATTAGCTAATGATAGTAGAATCGACAATGCAAGATTCTAGTGCTTCGTTCAAACTCGGCAACAAATCGAGGTTGTCATCATTATCCACTTCCTCCAGACTTCAATTTGCGGCATTCTTACCCTTCCTGTTTTTCGGTTCTTTGGCAAGAATCCAATTGCATAACTTAACGGCTTCCTCGAATTCTTTTAGCTTCAGACGAATCATCGCTAAATTTGCATTCAAGGCAATAACCAGCGGGGAATCATCGAGATTATGTAGCCCATCAAGCCCATTCTGATACGCCTTTGAAGCGTCGCCAAACTGCCCGTTGGTGTAATGATGATTACCACGTTCTTTCCAAATCAGTGCCGTTTCCTCGGGATTAGTATTGTTTGTGTCATTGTCATTCGTTTGGTTCATCAAAGTTCTAGGAGGTTGCTCCTGATCGCACGAATTCAGGCTCTGTTGTATTATATTGTTTGATGTTACATGTGAGAATATTCAATGAATTGGAGGTTCGTACGTCACCTCACAGAGATGGGATGGACGAACAGTAGCCTCTGATGTCGTATCAACCAAGATGTTGTTGACACGATATATACACACTATAGATATATACTTTTACTACATTGATCCTACCCTTAAAAGACATCAGATTTTCACACGCTCCCTCTGCGTTTTACAACACTGAATACGACATACTGAATGCCGGGAGGAGAGTCAACGCGACGGTCAAGAAGAACAAATCTAGGACAACCACCACGTCGACTCGGAGAAGAAGAAGAAACCTTGGAACAAGACAGCAACAGAACTGTTCGATTTCGCGACGAAAACCTCGAAGAAATTATCGACAACAGAACTGCCCAAGTTGAAATGGATCAAGGGCAAGGTGCAGCACCACAACAGGGTGCAGACGCGAATGCAGCAAACCAAGGAAACAACCAGAATGTTGCAAACAATCCGGCACAAGCCGCTGGGAACAATGCGGGTCAAGCAGTGACCCCACAGTTACGCCAAGTGATTGCGACTGAAATTGCGAATGCGATAGGGCCGCTAATGCAACTGCTCCAAGGACAACAGCAACAGCCGCCACAGCAAGCCCAACCTCAAGCACAACAGCAACCACCAGCGCCACATCAGCAGCAGCAGCCACCAGCACAACAGATCCAAGGACAGCAGCAACAGCCGCCACAGCAGGCACAACCGCTAGCGCAACAACAGCCTCTAGCGCAACAACAGCCTGCACAACAACAGCTGCCGCCACTACAAAATCCTCCGGTACCGCAACCACAACCAGCTGCTGCCGCCGCAGTCCAACAACCACAAATTGTAATGGCGTCAATGTCCACCTTTCCACAAGGGACCGACCCAATGATTGATCCCAAGGATCCTGTGCATGGTCGCCTTAATCGGAGTATGTATAACGAGGCCAAGGAGGAACTCAAGACCAAGATTGACGGGAAGAACTTGAGCATGGTTATCTCGGAACTCAGGGAGAGATGCAGTGCAATCAACTGCACGGACCTATTCAACGTTGTCACCACAAATGGGACAAAGAATTTACTCAAGCACTATGGAGAGATCACATTCGAGCCATGAACACATCCTTAATCTTTGAGCATGATTCTGTGCCGGTGGGAATTGACAGCTGCACGTCTGCAACTGTGTGTGGGGCACGACCGATGTTCATTGGAGAACTGGAACCGGTGTTTGGTCTTAAGCTTGAAGGCGCAACAAATACAAGCATTCCAATTGTCGGACGCGGCACACTACACATCTGTGCTCTCAACACCTTACAGCTAGAGAGGCATGGATCCGCCCCACTGCACTGACTATTGGAAATGTGGAACTACCTGCGGGATCAGTCCTGCAACACCAAGAAGATCGGGAACTAATAAATCAAGAAATGGACAACAAGAACTTCGAGAAGGACCCTTTTGACCTTTGTGGTGAGACAGCACCTATTCTTGCCGACACAATCGCGGGAGCATTTGAAGAACCGGCACTGAAAGATTTCAATTTTGAATCTATTCTGTCAGAAGACTGGGATTCAACAGCCCCTGAAGCCCGACTCCCATCACTGAATGAGACGGACAAACGTACTTTGATGCTACGATGGCACTATCGTCTTGGCCACATGCCGTTCAGCCATCTCAAAGCAAGTGCAGCCGCTGGACTACTTGACCCTTGTCTTGCCACTGTTCAAGAACATCCATTTTGCCCTGGCTGTCAGTTTGGGAAAGCAACACGTCGGCCATGGCGTCATCGCTCTAAGAAGAAAGACGGGAGCCGAAAGAAACTTTGTCAAGCAACTCATCCTGGTGACATTATCTCTGTGGACACTGCGGAATCCCAAAATGTACCTGGCCTTGTTGCCCAGTTGCGTGGACGTCCAACCCTTATGCGGTACCATTATGCGACCACATTTGTGGATCACTTCTCTGATCTTGACTATGTGCATCTCCACCAACGCAATGATGGTGACAGCATTCTTGAAGCAAAACTTGCATTTGAACGCTATGCTGGGACCTTTGGCGTCTCTGTGAAACACTATCATTGTGATAATGGCGTGTTTGCCGACACCAACTTCAAAACGGCATGTCGCGCTGCTCGTGAAACCTCCAGTTTTATGGGGATTTGCAATGATTTCCTCCTCTCAAATTCGAAATTCCACTCTTCGAGAGGGAGAGAAACGGACAGCACTGCAGGAATTGTGAACACCGATGATAGACCAGATGTCAAACAATTTCAGCACTGCAGGAATTGTGAACACCGATGATAGACCAGATGTCAAACAATTTCACACATTTGGCTGCCCGGTGTACAACTTGGATCCAAAGCTTCAGAGTGGAAATTCACTGGAAAATAAATGGTGTGATCAAGCGCGTATTGGAATTTATCTTGGACTATCACGAGAACATGCACACTCAGTATCACTAGTGTTGAACCCCGACACAGGACTGACTTCACCACAGTTTCATGTGAAGCACGATGAACGATTCGAAACGACAAAGATTCCAGCAATGAGGAATGTTGGAAAATGGCAAGGAATCACGAGAATACACGAAACTGTACTGAAGCCAAAGAGAGCACGATCAAACAAGAGAACCAAACTGTCCCATACTCCCGTGTCTGAGCCCATTGACACAACTCAAACTCCCACACCTGAGTCAAATGGTGAGAACGGTGCACCCGTGCAAGAGAGCATGGGAGCCCATTCGATCGACCGGAACGGCCAAGATAGGCTAGGTCAACCCGAGCGGAACGGCCAAGATAGGCTAGCTCACGACCGGAACGGCCGAGATAGGCTAGGTCAACCCGAGCGGAACGGCCGAGATAGGCTAGCTCACGACCGGAACGGCCAAGATAGGCTAGGTCAACCCGAGCGGAACGGCCGAGATAGGCTAGCTCACGACCGGAACGGCCAAGATAGGCTAGGTCAACCCGAGCGGAACGGCCAAGATAGGCTAGCTCACGACCGGAACGGGGAAGACCCCATGCATACTCAGCAAGAGAATGAGCAATTGATTCAGAGGGAGACTCCAGCGTCTTCACAAAGGGAGACCCAATCCGATCCTCAGAGGGAGACACAATTGTTTTCTCAGAGGGAGGATGGATCCGCCTCTCAGAGGGAGACAGAAAGAGTGAGTTTCCAACATCCGGCGCTGCAGGGAACAGTAAACTCCCAAACACAAGCAATTCAAGCCCTGAAAGCACACAAATCCTCCTCACAGAAACGAAAACGAGGACGAGAGGAGATGGAAGAAACTGAAACTGCGACGTCCCTTGAGGAACATCGCCGCGAAATGCAATTGACGATCCGATGTTATAAAACTGAGATCGCCAGAGAGGTTCATGCAGAAGAGCTGGTCGAGCAATGCATGACTTCAAATCCGTTTGCATTCGCAGCGACGCTTGCAGATGAAGACACTATGTATCTGAATCAGGCAAAGAAAGAACCTGACTGGGTACAGTTTCACGAAGCAATGGTCAAAGAAATACAAGACCACACTGAGGGGAAACACTGGGAAGTCGTTCCAAGAAGTTCCATGCCAGAAGGCCACCGTGCCATGCGTGGAGTATGGTCCATGAAGCGAAAGCGGAGAGTGGGAACCGGAGAAGTCTACAAATGAAAGGCGAGATTATGCATCGATGGCAGTTCGCAAGAGAAAGGCGTCAACTATTGGGAGACCTACTCCCCAGTTGTTGGTTGGGAGACAATTCGAAGCCTACTGACACTGGCGATACTCAATGGATGGACTACCAGACAAATCGACTTCGTACTGGCATTTCCACAAGCAGAAGTTGAATGTCCGATGTACATGGAAATTCCGAAAGAATGTTACGTTGATGGATCGGAGTTGAACGATAACAACGTTTTGCTTTTGAAGAAGAACTTATATGGGACCAAGCAGGCGAGCCGTGTGTGGTTCGAATTTCTGAAGGAAGGACTGGAGGAAATTGGTTTTGTACAGTCGAGTGAGGACAAGGCAGTCTTCTACAAAGGCGAGACGATCTTTGTTGTATATGTTGATGATGGGATTTTGATGGGTCCAAACGGACGCGAAATTGATGACGTCATCGGACAACTCGGACACAAGTATAAATTAACGGACGAAGGCGACCTAAATGAATATCTCGGCATCAAAATGAAGAGAACCAAAGACGGTCGTGAACTAACCCAACCAGCACTGATCCAACGCATATTGCAGACGGTCGGAGTGTCGCTCAATAGAGGAGATCGGCAAGAAGTGAAAACCCCAGCGACAAAAACGTTACACAAAGATGAAGGGGGTGAGAAGCGCCGAATGAATTGGGACTACAGATCGGTGGTTGGGATGCTGAATTGGTTGGCACGTTCAACGCGTCCAGAACTCATATTTGCAGTGTCACAAGTTGGTAGGTTCATGGCGTTTCCTAAGAAATCCCATGAAGATGCGATAATGAGAATATGCACCTACTTGAGAGACACTCGAGACAAAGGAATGATCATGAAACCTGACAAGAATAAAGGATTTGAGGTTTATGCCGATGCAGATTTCGCTGGAGGATACAACAAGCACAATGCAGAAGACCCAGCGACAGCAAAATCACGAACTTGCTATCACATCATGTTTAACAACTGCCTTGTATATTCCCACTCAAAACTTCAGACAGAGATTGCATTGAGTACAACTGAAGCGGAGTACATTTGCTTGTCCCAAGCGCTACGGACAGTGATCAGTTTGATGCGATTCTTCAAAGAACTAGCAAGGAAGATCAAATCATTCAAGTACAAACGACGAAGGTTCAAATGCAAGGCATTTGAAGACAACAATGGCGCGATAGCGATCGCAACAACTGAAAACTTACGGCCACGAACAAAACACATCAATATCAAATACCATCACTTCAAACGCTACGTGCGAAAAGGGTATGTGACGATTGAACGGATAGACACAATTGATCAACTTGCCGACATTGGTACCAAGCCTCTTTTGCCCCATATGTTCATACCATTGCGGAAAGCACTCATTGGATGGTAATAAATGCTCTGACTATTCGTCCTCCCAAGAGGGAGTGTGAGAATATTCAATGAATTGGAGGTTCGTACGTCACCTCACAGAGATGGGATGGACGAACAGTAGCCTCTGATGTCGTATCAACCAAGATGTTGTTGACACGATATATACACACTATAGATATATACTTTTACTACATTGATCCTACCCTTAAAAGACATCAGATTTTCACATTACAGACTTTTATTTTGTGTCAAATACTGTAGCGGGTGACGAACAGACGTGGAAGTTAACTCAATTACAGGAGTGACTCTAGCACCTTGAGCTCATCTTACATCTAGTTGAGTTCTAATCGAGTAAATGCGTCTCCCCCATCACTCTGTTCTGCTGCCCCCCATTGCTTCACCAATTTCTTCTCAGACTGAAACCACCGCCGTAACTTAGTCTTCAAAACTCCACCAGTCCCATGTCCATGTAAAACAAATATGGCTCCCCGTTGATTAATGATTGCTTTGGAGATTTTGGTTCTGATACGATCTTTCGCCTCTTCAAAATTACAACCTCTGACGTCCACGGTATTTGATTCTGTTCGAATCACGATAGTCTGCTTTGGTTTGGCAGGATCTACTGAAGCAGGCGCCTTTTTCATTTCACTTTTCAGAGCCCTTTCAGCTGTTTTCGACAGTTTCGAGCCCTTCGAAGGCGTCTTCAAGTTGAATGAGGAATTGGAGACAGTTGGTCTTAATGCAACATCAGCTGGTTTTAATGCAACATCAGTCAACTTCATCGCCATAGTTACACCCGAGACTTTGACCTGTACCTGTCGACCTAGAATCTTCTCAACAATCGCTTGACGTTGGAAAAGCGGACCAATCTTGCAAACAATCAGCTCGTCGCCTTCCTTCAGCTCGGGACGTTCCCGCATTTCTTGTATGGGAACTAGTTCTGCTTGTGCATCTTGCAGCGTTTCCTTTGCTATCTTCTTTGCCCTCAGGACACTAGGGACATTTTCTGCCTCACTTATAGCATCCCGTTTCACAAATCTGATATCATCCCAGCTCTTTGCCACCAACTTCTTCGATGGATCGGACTTGAGCTTTTTCAATACATCTTCGAGGATCGCTTCCTTCTCTTCTAATGCCTTCGCAAACTTTTTTGCTTCGTCTCGCCGTGCAGTAAGCATTTTTCTTTCCAGCTTATTCTGTTCCTCTTTCATCTTTTGCTCCATAACCTTCATTTCATTTTGCTTCTGTTCCAACTCTTCTACCCTCTCATCAATCAATGCTTTCTGATCTTCCAAATCTCGGATGAGGTCCCCCATCTGGCGCGTCTCTGAATCCAACAGTTCATTTGCTCTGGCAATCACTGGTTGAGGAAGTCCAAGTCGCTCAGCGACAGAGATCGCAAATGACTCACCAACAGTGCCAGGAAGAAGCTTATAGGTTGGACGACCCTTGACAAATTGCATACCTCCAACTGAAAACCTATCATCAGATGCTGCGAGCTGCTTCAACGCCATATAGTGCGTTGTGATTGCAACGCGGCATCCAGTTGCCAAAAGTGCCTCGAGAAGTGCTTGTGCAATGGCCACACCCTGGGCCGGGTCTGTACCTGAGCCAACCTCATCCATCAACACCAAGGCATCCTTGCCTGAATTTGCCAATACCTCACGACACACAAGTAGGTGGCCTGAAAACGTCGATAGATCGGATCCAACGCTTTGTATGTCTCCAATATCTGCAAGTACTGGATCAAAATAGTCCACTCTTGGCTCGTAGCCTGGACAAGAAGGTGTAGCAGGAACAGGAATTCCAGTTCTGGCCAATAATGCGGCAAGCCCCAAAAGCTTCAAGATTACAGTTTTCCCACCAGAGTTGGGTCCGGTAAGAACAAGTCCCTGATTTCCATTCGCACCAAGGTCGAGATCAGAACCGACAACATTATCAATTTTGCGAAGTAGAAGAACAGGATGCTTTGCATTTTTTAAAGAAATGATCCCCTCGTTCCCGACTTCGGGGATGACACCGCCGATTTTGGCTCCAAGTAAGCACCTTGCTAGTGTAAGATCCACCTGACCCACTGCTTCGACTGCATCCTTCAAATCGTAGCGGTTGCTCCAAACTTGATCGGTCAAGTAACGCCAAACACGAGCTTCTTCAGACCGGAGCTCTGCTTCAGTTTGGCGTAACTCGTTTGTAGGAGTGATAATTTCACTGGGTTCTACATATACTGTTTTGCCAGATCTTGAAGAATCATGAACAATCCCGAACTGCGAAGCATATCGGGGCTTCATGGGGATAACGAGCCTGCCTCCTCCGTTCGATATTTCGGAGTACAGAGGGCCACCACTCTCCAATTCCAATTTGGATTTCACCGAAGGCATGTTCACAAGGGAGTCTAAGGTGGACAATATCTCAGTTTTTAGGGTTTTGATCTTTTCCCGAAGCCGTCCCAACGTTGGAAATGTCTTGCTTGAAAGGCTGCCCCGTTCATCGAACGCTTCATCTAACAGATCATGAAGTGTGTCATTGAGCTGCATGCCTTCCAATAGACCTGGAAGAGCGACGAATTCTTTCGCCTCTATCTTTCGCAATCCATTGCTCCATAGCTGTAGGTCTTGAAAGGCATTCATCATCGTCCAGACGTCTAAAAGCTCCGGGCCCTCGAGAACATTGTCGTTCTCCATTATCTCGAGTATTGAATCTAAGTCGAAGGACACCCCTTCCAATGGAGGCGGGTTGCCCCTACCAATTGTCACTTTGTAGTTTAGACGATTCTTGTATGATGGATTTCCAAGATCCAGAAATTCGTCCAACAACCATTGCATTTCCTGAACCTCCTTGTATCGTGCGCGTACGCCGTCAGGAGAAGTCGCAACCAGTGGCCGATTTGCTACCTTTGTAGCAGACTCTTTATCTTTCGGTTTTATATCTTTATTCATTTGGTGCGCAAGTGCTTCTTGTGCCCGTTTCTTTCCAGGGAGTGAAAGGCATTCATCCACCAAAGCATGGATGACGAAAGGAAAATCAATAGTATCAATCGAGCGCTGGAAAAGGTCAAGCATTTCTCCTTGAGGCGTGAAATCTTCAGTTGGCAATTCTACTTTCGCTATTGAAGACTCTGGTCTCGATTTAGGCTGTATCTTTCCCGCCCACCAGTCATTGTTCTGTTGTTGTTGGCTCTTTTCGTTCAACGAGGACGGAGCTTCAAAGACTGGGTCGACCTTTGGATCCCAACTGGACTTATGCAAAGGTTGTCGCAGTAGGGAGTATCCATCTTTTCCAGCTTTTGATTCGTTTTCGGATAACGCAACAGAGCTTTGTACTTCATCATTGACAGCGGCCTGATAAGATTTTTTTCGTTGACCATGACCACATGTGTTTTCTGTTGGAAGGAGAAATGATTCACTCGGAGGCATGCATAGATGTGCGAAAATGAGTGCTAAGTGAAACATGTTGCGAGAAACTTTCTTATTGTAGAAAATCATGGCTTTCCCAATGGCGGTATTGCTCTGTTATTAATATGTTTCGTTGTTTTGGTCGTTGGTAGTGGTTGTTTTGTCAAAATTCACGGATGACGGTGATGCATTCACTCCCTGACACATTCTCATCATTCGTTTCTGATTCATTTGGAAGTACTCGTGAAGTTTCTCATTTCTTAGACTGACTGAAGACTGACGTAATATTAAAATACATGTATGAATTGGGTTTGGGGCTCAGCACTTATTGGGGTTGGGGTCATCTTTCCAATGACTGGACCTCACATCACCAAAAAAAATGAGGATGAAATATCTGTTGTGATAATACGATCTCGACATTTCATCCATAAGCCTTGCGAGAAGCATTTACACAGTGATATTTTTTTGAATACGGCACTGATCCGATACAGCCAAGAATGGCAGATACATCCGACAGGGACAGCGACGATTCTAGTGGCGACGCTCTCGATGTATCTCCAGAAACTGAAAGTGTGATAGTTTCACTGGTTGATGATGAATACATTGCAAAACAGATCACAGAATTTCGACAGGTTCTGTTGGATAAGGCAGAAGAGGAGAGTGAATTTTACTTGGAAGAAAGGCTGCTATCTCTAAGACTTGGTGCAGAGTTTTCGAGTGACCTCGTTTCAAATTCCAACGAAGAAGAGGCACTTCCTCCTGAAATAGAGAGAAGAATATTGGTCAGGCTTGTTGAAGCATACTATATTGGACAAGGAGACGTTGTAGCACTTGGTCGACAACTTACAAGTTTCCACAAGGCGTTGCAACCATTCTGGAAAGAAACAAATCCTGGAAGTAGCACTTTTTCCAGACTTCCTGGCGAAACATCCGCGGATATATTCGAACATCTGAGATCAGTCTTTTCATCAGAAGATGCTAAAAATCCTTCCATCTTTTTCCGGGCATTCTGCTACGCGCATCATCGACTTGATTATTCTTCTTTAGTGGACGATACGCTGTTGGACGCATATTGTCTTTGCTTTTTTACCATTCAAGTACTGCAAGGCAGTTTTCATGGAATTGACCTGGACATCGGATCAATTCATACTATGATTGATGATGAATTCTTCGACGGCAAAAGTCACGATGATATTGAATTGACATCAGAAGACATCCTTTGGTGTTTCTGTCATTTGTTGTTGAGGATTGGATCTGTGATCCGCAGCAAGCATGGACTGGATTTTTACAATGGAATCTTTGCGGAGCCTTACAGTGTCATAATGAAGGAAGAATTGCTTGTTGCTCGACTGTCGATGGATTTAAGGCCCGAGAGCCCTGCTTCATTCTATGCTGCATACAGAATGGTAATGGATACAAGACGAATATTGCCAGAGAAAATGCAAAGTGGTTGGTTAGAACCTGCATATGGCTTTGCGATTCAGGGTCTTTCGAAAGCAGAAAAATGGAACGATCCATTTTTCCTCTATATCTTCATCGTCATTCGGGCGTTTTGGCTACCAACGTCAATGGAAGCACCCGATTCATATTCTTTTGGAGAAATAAGGGCGAAAATAGAGACTGCGAATGAATACAAGAGAGAAGCAAAGGAATACATTCCCAGTCACCAGTTTTGGTTTGCTGAACAGCACGAGGTTTTGTTGAGAAACATCTTGAAGGCATTTCCAATTGATGACGACTTTGAAATCACATTCCCGCTGATGGACTGCACTACTTTTAGACCAATACAGCCGAAGGGCAAGAAGACAACAGACACCCCCCCTTCGTCACCTTAAATCGTGCTATTTGAAGGCGAGGCTCTGGTCGCTTTTCCGCAACATTTTCTGGAGTATATTGCTTTGCCAAAAGCTTGGGCGAAGTCAAATTTTCGTAATCAATGCAAATGGAAGTTCAGAATTTAGTCACCGATGAGACGATAATTGAGTAGAAGTTACTTTTGTCTGTAGCTATAAACAGTACTGATGTAGCTGAAAGCGAATTGCCCAATTATGGAATACATGGCCATTTCTACTGTTGATACTATAGCTAATACAAGTTATGGAGTTGGAAAGTAGATGTTGATCCCGATTCATGTTTGGCTCTGGATCAACAAAGTACTTGAAGTCCCATGGTGGATGGTATTACATTCACGTCATTGCGTATCTCAAGCCTTCCAAAGAAGGATCTCCAATCAAATTTGTCAATAATCCATTTGTCCCGTACCAAAGCAAGATACCAGCAGTGAATGGTGTGACTAACGGTGCAATCTTCCCATAAACGGAAGTATCATCTTCACCGAGCTCCTTCAACTTCACAAGAGCTGTCCCTCCAGACGCTGCTGTCAATAGTAACGGAGTCGAATAGCCAAGAGTGTAGAACAAGAGAAGCACAGCCCCGAGGAAAGGATTTGAACTTCCGGCCACGTAGGCAAGAATGGAAGTGAGCACTGGGGTCGCACAAGGAGATGCAACTAGTGCGGATGAGCCTCCCAGCAGAAAGGTGCGAAATAACGATCCTTGTGAATCGTTTTTGTCATTGTTTTCCAAAATATTTCCTTTCCCGTCAATCAAAATCGGTTCGTCAGTAGTCTTCTTCGCATTGATTTGCTGCAACGAAGGCAGGGGTAATGTTACGAGATCCAATAATTGGAAACCCATCAGGCAGCAAATCGTGTTTGAGGCGAGAGGAAGGAAAATACTGGTACCACCGCTGTTTCCATAAACTGCTCCACCCACTGAGGCTGCCACTAATCCCAAGGAACAAAATACAGATGCCAATCCCAGCGCAAATGCCAAAGTTGGCAGAGCAGTTCCTTTGTCTTCTCGCTCTCCAGCTGCTGTCGATATGTATGACATAGTAAGAGGAAGTAGCCCCCAGACACACGGTGAGACCGAAGTTAGCAATCCTGCACCATAAATGACCGGAATGGAGGAAAGGAGGTTCGAAGGATCCTGCAGCGACGTCGAAGCTAAAGACGAAGCTGCTGTTTGAGCATTGAAAGCCAAGTCTTCGAAGTTGGCGAGGTTTAGGCTTGACGATGTGATGTGATTTGAAAAAGGGGCATTTGCAGGTGATCGATGAATAGGCGGAGTGAGATTCACAAACGCTGTTGCAGTATGAGCCAAAAACAAAGAGAAAAACACAAGGGTTGAAACCATTTCGATTCCTCTTGAGTCTCTGAATGTGTCGAACAAAATTTTTGAGTTTTACACCGCGTTGTTTTTCATGACGTGGAGAAATCATGGGTCCATGCAGTCAAATTCCTTCTGCATGTTGAAAATTAGTAGATACCATTTTACTTCGATCTTTTAACTAGCACAGTCGCAACGGAACCAATAATAGCTCCTGTAGCAAGCAGCAAAACAGGACTAGGGTTCCTTCTTGGTTCACCAAGCTGTGCGAAACCGGCCTGTCCTTCAGTTGGCAAAAATTTACCAGTCGAGTTGAGCTTATCACAACTCTCGATAACTCTCTTACACATGCTTTCTTCGGCCTTGCGAATCCAAACTCGTGGGTCATAGAACTTTTTGTTGGGCTTATCGGCGCCTTTAGGGTTCCCGATTTGTGCCTGCAAAAAGTCGCGATTTTCCTTTTCAAATGCTCGGAGTCCATCCCAATACGACCATTGTGTGTCAGTGTCAACATTCATCTTAACAACCCCATTGTCCACAGCGAGCTTAATTTCTGCATCTGTTGACCCAGAGCCCCCGTGCATGACCAAAAAGATTGGTTTCTCAACAGAAGAACCCAATTGACTCTTTGTGTACTCTTGGTGTTTTCCGAGGCGCTCAGGGGCTAGGACGACATTTCCAGGCTTGTAAACTCCATGAACGTTACCAAAAGCAGCAGCAATGGAAAATCTCTCTCCAATTTTTGATAACGCCTTATAAACTGAGTAGACTTGTTCAGGACTTGTGTACAACTTCTCAGGGTCAACGTCTTCGTTACTAACACCATCTTCTTCTCCGCCGGTAATACCGATTTCCATTTCTAACCAAATATTCATTGGAGCCATGCGCTTAAAATATTCAACGCAAATGGCAACATTTTCATCGTCGGGCTCTTCGGAAAGATCAAGCATGTGGCTCGAAAAGAGTGGCTCTCCGAACTTGTCAAAAAACTCTTCGTCAGCTTGAAGCATTCCTTCATACCTTTACAAAGAGCAACCGGTGTAAGAAGCGTAGGTTGGATTTAAACAGCTAGAAGGGTCAATTCGTACCAAGGCAGAAGTTTTTTGGCACAATGATCTGAGTGGAGAATAACTGGGATGCCATAATACTTTGCAACCGATCGGACATGCATGGCCAATGCGACGGAGCCTGCCGCAGAAGCATTTGGGTCCTTGACGCTCTTTCCGACAAAGAATTGACCCCCACCATTGGAAACTTGGATAATGATCGGACTCTTTGCCTTTCTCGCAGCTTCGAGGGCCGCATTTACCGTTGAAGAACTCTGTGTCATGAAGTGCCATATCCGTTAGCTCCACACAACTCTTTCTCTTCCGCCAGCACTCTCTTCACTTACAGTACAATTGACTGCTGGGATAGCATAACTATTGGCTCTAGCATGCTCAAATAATTTCAAACAATCGTCTCCAGTGATTACACCGGAAGGAACAAGATCATTCAGCGATGCCATGGTGGATAAAAAGTTTGTTTAAAAAAATAGGTTTCTGTTTTGGAGTTGACTTCTTCGACTAGTTGAGATTTATAAACTTCTTTGACTCGTACAATTCAACCAGTCGACTGACTCCTGTACTGTACGTTCCATTGATTGATGTCAACGGGCAGCAAATATTCTACCCCGCGCCTAGTGGCTCATCCATGCTCGCTCAGTAGTACCTGTCGATTCTTGTAGCGCTGGACGCATGGGCATTACCTTATCCTTACCATCCTTTGGAGCATCATCCAAAAAATGCAAAACACTTATGTGAGGAAAAGTTGGCAATCGCAAAAGACAACAAAATAAAGAATCTCGTTCATGCATATTCCAATCATTGTTGGGGATGAAAAAAGGAATGTGCCGAATTGCTCGAAAGCTGGCCATCCAGAGTGAATCCCCCATGCAATTGCCAAAATAATGTGCACCTACCTACCCACATCCACAAACCACCTCACTATGGCGAAGATCTAAAATCTTTCAAGAAATGGAAAGAAATTGAGCATAGATGTCGACGACGAAAGAATTCACAGATCGTTGGACAGAATTTGGTCCTTCTTCAGTCGGCATTCGCTTTTGGGGATGAAAAATTGAAATGTGCAATTACCCAAAGGTTTACACAATCAGAGTGTATTCCCCGTTTGTTGGTGATTTAACAAACTTATTGTATACGACAGAAGCTTACATTGGCTCGCCTCTTTATCTTCCTGATTCAGAAGCTAGAAATAAGGTTGTGAGAGAACCCACCAAGATTTACATCAGGAGAACGTCAAAAATCAACTCTCTGGGTTCGCGACAACAGAAGCACTTTTTGGCAAAAGGAATTGAAAACAATAAAGACGGGAATGATGTGACACTAGAACAGTGCCACTCCCGACCATTTTGCCGGCGTGTTTCTGCAATACTCTTCCACAAACGTAACGGACGACACTTTCATTGGAGGGTTGTGTATCCTGACTAATTTGTGGTTCTCCTCTTCTTCTTCGAATCCAGGCGTTCATGTTGCACATGTACCTACCTACAGTGGTTCTCTTTTTCTTCTTCGAATCCAGACGTCGATGTTGCATGTGTACATACCCAAACTACGCCATGACTACAACAGTAAGTACGACCACCTTTATTTTCAAACAAAAATTTAGTGAGTCAAGAATGGCAATAGATAACGGGATTTGTCCGAACGCGTGTGACTCCTGCAACGATGGCATTCGACGCCGAAGTGTCTGGGAACGTAATGATATCGCGAAATTCAGGAATATATAGTGCAAAGAGCATGTTGGATACGGACAATCCAAACACTCTTATAGCACGAATATCGCTTGTTCATAGATGTGTCAAACCGTCTCGAACGGAGGAAACCTACATGTTAGTTGTAATCAAGTTTTTATTTTGTTGTCGGTCGTCGTTTTGAGTCTTTGGATCAGGATGGCAAAATTGATGGTGGGACGTTCGACGGACGGACTACTGCCGCGCTGGCGATCGAGAGGAAACGGTCGTGCCTGAAGTACCACAGCAACGCAATTCTGCTGCTTTTTCAGCTCGCGAGAATCAAACGGCAGTACGTGAGATCTCTTATGACCGATCTGAAGCAGCATCAGCACGATACAGGATCCAATAGCAAAACCTTGTAGTAAGTAATCAAAGCATGACATCCAGTGTTCGAACATGAAGGGATGATAGGGTCTTAATATTGTCAGGATGACGAAAGCGTCGGCTTGGAAAGGAATTGTTTGTTTCAGAGCATATGAAAATACGATAATGTATCTCACATCAAATCTCCTTCTTCTCCCCGACATTGCAGAGCAACAAAAAACTATAGATCATGTCTGTTGAAATGGAAACATGCCCGGCCTCTGCGCCCTTTTTCGGATTCATGGGAGTTACATCTGCTCTTGTTTTCGCCAACATTGGAGCCGCCTACGGAACTGCCAAGTCTGGTGTTGGTATCTCCTCCATGGGTGTTATGAATCCTGGTCTTGTTATGAGAAACATCATTCCAGTGGTTATGGCCGGTGTGTTGGGTATTTATGGGTTGATTGTTGCCGTTATCATCCAGGGTTCAATTGTTGCTCCACAAGGAGGACTCAGTCAATACAGCCTATACACAGGGTTTGCTCACTTGGCAGCAGGTCTGTGCTGTGGTCTTTCTGGTCTTGCGGCCGGTATGGCCATTGGAATTGTGGGAGACGCAGGTGTTCGTGCTGTTGGACAACAAGAGAAGCTGTTCGTTGGTATGATTCTGATTTTGATTTTTGCTGAGGCTCTTGGTCTTTACGGTTTGATTGTGGCTCTTATTTTGTCTCAGAACTCGTACACTTGCGACAATAACAACTAAAAGCCAAATTGATTTATTTACATAATTTTTTGTTATCAAGAAAGCCTTTACTGCACATGTATCGTTTTTTCCGTAGCACACAACATGACGCTGTAGTGGGGTCTCGTTCAAGGATGGATAAAACACCATCGATGGGGGCTTCGTACACGAACCGTATGTCAGCATATCGGTTATGAAAGGAGTAGAGCAAAAAAGGGATATGTTGGAGATTTGCAATCGATATGGTGAGCGTTGGGTGTACCAGGTACCCTCCTCTGATACAGATACCATTATCCTACGGTAACGGTACCATGGGGTTACCTGGTACCAGGTACCTCGGTTTTTTTCGAAATCGGAGTGATCAATCGATCGTGCAACAGTCGCGCGGTTCTGAGCGAGATTCGAGCGGACGATGCAATGCATTTGGTTTCTGGGCCACAACGAGATGGAGGGTCAAGAGGTGAAACCTGAGGCTCCCGAGGAGACAAAGACAGAAGCCCCGCCTCCGGCAGAAGCGGAAACAAACGAGCCGGATGCAAAAGGGAATGTGATTGGAAGTCCAGCCATCCGTCCCATTTTCTTGGGAAATCTGAGGGGTGTCTTTGAAGCGGAACAGGTCTCGGAGGTTTTTACTAAACCGATAATCCCACCTGATTTAGACCAAAGCAGCTTCAAGCCGTTTCCCGTTGATCGGGTTGACGTGAAGCGGGGATTCTGTTTCGTCTTCTTGAAGGATGCCGCCTCTCAAGCCGATAAGGACGACGCTGAACGATTTGTTTCTGCCATCAACGGAATGTAAGAAAGCTCTTTCTACGTATGTTCTACGAGTCTCTAGTACCAGGGTACAGTGCGCATCATTGGCATTTTTTCAACCTCCTTGTTGCAACTACTGCGACTGTTGCAACTCATGAAACACAATTGCGACGATCCTTCCTCTATCACTGGGCTCCCTTCTACTGATCTACCTACTTTCCTTTCATCCAACATGACCTTCATATCTTTCACTGACACCTACTTTTTGTCCTTCCTGTGCAACGTTTTTCTCAGGGAAGTACCAAATCTCTCATCAGCACTTCGAGTTGAATTTGCAAGGGGTGATGGAAGAATCAAGAAAAAAGAAGACGACCGACGCAAGAATATCCAACCCTCTGAAACCCTCTTTGTCGTGAACTTCCATGAAGAGACTACAAAAAGAGAAGATCTGCAAATGCTTTTCGAGCCTTTTGGTGAATTGGTCAGAATTGACATGAAGAGAAACTACGCCTTTGTCCAGTTTCGTTCGGTAGATGATGCAACTAAAGCCAAAGAGACAACTGATGGAGGAAAGTTGGATCAAAGCGTCTTGACTGTTGAATTTGTTGCTCGTCGACGTCAAGATGACAGTGGGCGCCGTCGACGAAGAGATGGTGGGCCAAGAGGTGGCGATCGTCGAGGAGGAGGTCGAGATTATCGTGGTGGACCTTCTGATCGATATGATCGCGGTTACGGTGATCGATACGATAGAGATCGACACGATCGCGGTTACGGTGGCGATCGATATGACGCAAGAGGACGTGGAAGGGATAGGTCTCCTCCAGGGGGCTACCGTGGTGCATCGCCTGCTGGGTATGCTCGTCGCAGTCGCTCTCGATCCCGATCGCCGAGAGGTGGAGTCGGGGGATACAGATCCAGAAGTCCGCCAAGAAGAAGTTATGATGATCGCGATAGGGGTCGATATGATGATTACAGGGATAATGGTCGTCGTGGTTGGAGCCCTGAAAACTACCGGGGTCGGGGAAGCCCTGACAGAGGGTATGGCCGCCCTTAGAGTGTTTGAAAATGTCTGCATGACGCTTTCATGGACAAGCTTCAATGCAGTTCGTAACTATTGTTGACAAATTATCCAGTTCTTGATACGATGTTTTTACTAGCACCAGATATCACTCAAAACAGTCACATGCTTATATCAATATTGTCTCGTTCGTTCCAGAATGTGCACCCATCTGTGAGAACGGACTGCGATGAACGGGAAACGCTGTGTTCCTACAGTAGCACGCGAATAATGAATGGGATTGCAATACTGGGATGAGAGAGATCACCTCGCCCGAGATGATCGCTTATCTAAACATCATTCGCACGAACTCCTCGTAGTTGATCTCTCCATCCCCGTCGATATCTGCTTCCTTCACCATGTCTGATATCTCCTCATCAGTTAACTTCTCTCCCAGATTCTCCATAATCAGTCGCAACTCTTCGCTTGTAATCTTTCCATTGCCATCGGCATCAAATATTTGGAATGCTTCTCTCATTTCTTCTTCTGCGTTTTCATCCCTTTCATTTCTTGAGGCTGCAGGCATCATTTGAATGAACTCCTCAAAATCTATTGTCCCATTGCCGTCCATATCCGCCTTGCAAAATAAAACGATTCAGGGCAAAATCTCAAACATCCAATATACTGAAATGATAGTCAACATACCTCTTTGATCATATCTTCGACTTCTTCTTCTGTAGGCTGGTGACCGAGTGATCGCAGTACGGTACCAAGCTCCTCTGCATCAATTGTACCTGTTGAGAACGAGGACAGTGAGAAGAAAATTATCCCAAATCAGACAAGTACATATCCAGTGATTGCTGACAAATTCGCAACTAGGAAATTTGATGCTTCAATGTCGCACTAGATCAACAAAATGAAAGATGGAGGAGACTTTTTGCCTTCCGAATTCCATTCTCTCCAGAAGAACCTACCATCACCATCCTTGTCGAAAAGACTGAAAGCTTCTTTGAACTCCTCCAATTGTTCACTTGTGTATTCATCCTCCATATTTAGTCGTTAGAGTAGCGCCACCTACAAGAGTTACTCTCAATGTTCAAGCTTTCAAAGGACAAAGGACCAGCCGACGTTGTAAAACAACCGATGATGTTGACAAAAATGTCGAAGACGACATTGCGTTGGCACCCTCTTGGATCCGTTTCTGGTACTAATTCTACGTGGGAACTAAATCAGTTCTTTATTAGAATATTGAATGAAGCTGAAAAATACTGTAGCAACTATGAAGCAACGCATCGCAGATCGCAGCAAGTACGTACCGTATACCGATAAGATAGTTTCATTCCTGGCAGCATGAAAAACTATTGTATCCAGACCTACCGGTAGAGTAGTGCACCGGTAATCGTAATTTAAAATTGTAGAACACTTTCAATGCAACGTATGTACGTCCATCCGTTCGACGTCACCAACAACAACGATAACACCGAACACACAAATAAATGCCCACCATCAAGCAGGGGAGCTGAATAATGTTTGCCGCTTCAAGATTTGCCTCACAGCAGATTCTAAAGAGAACAACAGAGGCATCAACGAGATTTGTTGCTACACACGCCCCTAAAGCGTTACAGCATGAGCTGGCAACACTCCCACAATTCGAACCAATCAGTTTCAACTATCCAAAGAATATCTATGAAGCATTTGGCCTTTGGACGTGGCTAATCAAGAGAACATTTCAGCCATCGATCATCCGAAAGAAAAGAAAATGCGGTTATTTGAAAAGGAGCAAAAGTGTTGGCGGCAGAAAAATTCTGAGACGACGGATGCAGAAAGGGCGGTCACGTTTATTTGGGGCCTGAGTTTCTGCTATAACACTGTGCAAACAAATCAATTTCAATGGTCCAAACAGCGTAACACAATATAGTCTAATCGACCGTTATATTGTGTCTGTGATTTTTCGTTCTACCGATACAATAAACCTCATCCAAGTCTTGTCGTTGTTTGCTTCAGTGTGCTCAAAATACTGTTTCCTGCAACAGCATGATCGCAGCATGTTGTTACTTGTCCAGAACCAGTAAGCTTGTCACACTCTATCAAACCTAGTACAAGGTCATTGCTTGCGGGAAGTTGGGCAACAAGGCGCAGCCTTCCGTTGTCGAATTTTGCGGGGCCCACGGGATTCAACGCAGTCTCTTTGAAAACAGCGGCAATCAAAGCATCAACGTTTCCTGAACTAATTGCAAAACTTGCAGAAACCCTCTGGAAGCCATGCATCTTAGTTAGTGTGGAATCAAAATCGGTCACATTCATGTTGCACGGTCGCAACAGTTCGCCAACATGAGGTTTGATTTCGACTGGCACTCCACCACTTGAAGACTTGATATCCAGTCGAATAACCATATCCCCTTCTCTGTTCGAGGCAGACGTAAACTGAATACAAACGTGAGCTGTAGACATTTGGCCCTTCTTCAACTCCGGAATTTCTGGAGGACAAACAGTTCTTTTGATTGCGATGCCTCCTTTCGAGCTCGAGCGAGGGAGTATCTTGATTCTCCTGAGAGAGCCATCATCGTTTTTCCTGCGTCAAAAGCGGCATTGGGTCAGAATGTTGGTTGGTATCATGCGGGTGGGCAGTCAGAAACAGAGAATACATACTTGTTCTTGAACTGAATTTGTACACATATGACAGCAGAACTATCGGGATCAAGACCTGCTAACTTCACTTCGCGCTCTCTCGCCTTCCCACGTAGGTATCTAGCTCGCGCGGCGAGCCCACCGCACAACTCTGGACGCACAAGCTGCATCCAAGAGCTAGTGTCCCTCTCGCTGCTTGTCTCATCAGCTGACTCTGGTACAGCTATTGGAGCCATGACCAAACCACGCAAATCATCAATAGCAGAGGCTGATCCAGTCGGCTGCATTTGCGCTGGACGATCAATGTTGGAAGAGTGATTTCCCATGCGAAGGAGATCAACTTGTGTGCTCAAAAGGTCGTTGTGTGTGTTCAAGTTGATGCTAGGAGCTGTATCGACACCTGATGACGATTCAGAAGTTGATGAATCCGATCCATCACTGTCGGACGAGCCATCACTGCTGCTCTTTATGGCGAACAACGATTCCATGCTTTGGGGTTGTGAAACTAAAGAAGTGCCGACTACGTTTTCCATTTGAACCAGCCCCCCTCCCAACGCTGTTTCATTTGTAAATGTGCCTGGATTGTTGCTCTTAGGGTCATGCATATCTGAATCTGAGCCCGTCTCTTCGCTATCACTACCCGACCATTCACTCGACGACGAGTCGCTCGAAGATGAACCGCTCGAAGATTCGCTCGAATCTGAATTGTAAAAGTCACCAGATGGTGCGTCGTTTTTACTTGCAGACTTTGGCTTCATGCTATCAAATGCTTTTGACAAATCTTCATTCTGATCACGAAGAGATTTGGCACTGTTTTTTTCTCCCCAGGGCGGGAGTGGAATATATGCATCTCGAGCTTTGTGCCCAACCAAGCTGCTTAGTGTTCCAAACCGGAATTTAGCTGCGTTGCCTTTAGACAGATCATTTACAGGCAAAAACGAGGGAACAAGTCTCTTGTCCAAAACAACCTGCTTCGCTTGGTGGAGACTCAATGAATTTCTGAAAGTTGGTAGAGTGTCCATTGCGCTCATATCGTGTTTTAATCCAATCGATACGTGAAGTAAAGAGCTCTCAAACCGTGCTCTGTCTTTGACATCTGGATCAACATCTACACGCCCCATGGCTAGGATGTGTTCGCAGATAGCGACTTCAGCTGACAAAGCGGCAATTGTACCGGAAGCAATGGAGAGGATGACTTTCGTAGCAAAATGAATTGCTTGTTGTTTTTCTGGCTCCTCAAGCTTTGGAAATGACCCAGCAATCATACGACCAACTTCCAACCGCGCTCGTGCTTTAGCATCACCATTCAAGCCCCTTAGTTCTATAGACGAATAATAAGCATTTGTCATCCACTCCCCCGTGAGCCATATTGCAGCCGCAGCATCTTTCGCAGGAAGCGTTATATCGAAGTCCTCAACCTGAGACCCATCTTCGTTGTTATCTTCGTCACTATCGTCTATGTCGCCCTTTGATACGTTTCTAACTGCTCGGCTAGATAGACGCTTGAGGAGTAGCAATAACGAGCGCCGAAGGACGTGTCCTTGAATTCCATTTGGATCATCGATGTTCACATTGGAAACACCAATTGACGAATCAGTGAGAATCAACAAAATATTTTGCATCACAGAAATGGCCTCGCCAACAACCGCGGGGCTTTCGCTGTTCTGTGTCGTTAGAGCCAAGCCGTGTAAGCAGTCAAGAGCTACCCGATTTGCGTCCCGCCTTCTTTCTGCAAAATTTCCACTCTTCAAACCTTCTCGATCGTAAATAATCCGAGAGAGCTCTACAACCTTTCCGACAGCCCGAATGGACGCGGATACAAATTTGGTATCAGGACTTCGAATGTACATACGCATCTCTTTCAATACGGCTTCGATGGCTGCTGGTTCCAAAGCCAAGGATGTCAAGATATCAATCTTTATAAGGCGAGTAAAAGGAGGATCAAGAGCCTACAAGGAGTAACGGCCCAGTCAGCAATACGTGCAGATCCCATTGAAACTGAGAGCAGTGGATTCAACCTACCTTGACAAAGAAGTCGGGAAGAAAAGGCGCAAAAGCAGAAGGACATTCCTGAACCAGGGTCTGAATTGATGTCAAAACGACATATTGTATTTCCCGCCGATCTCTGTGAATACGAACTAAGGCTCGCCCGATAGCTGACCGCGCCTTGACACTTGATACTCCACAGTAATAGTGTAAGGAGCACACGCTCAAAACAACTCCAGCGTTTCGGCTCTTGAGCAAAGGCATTGAAGAGTCAAGGAGCAATCGATGATCTTCATCCAATTCCATATCTTCCTTGGCATCTGGTGAGATATGAATTGGAGGATCTACATTGGACATTCCAACAATTGGAGGTTGTCGCATAGCGCTAGCAATGGATGTTGCGTTTCCCAGCGGGCCCTCGTACACCTCTTCTTCGGAACTCGAGTCCTCATCATCAGAATAAAACCCCTTTCTGATAACACGACGTCGAACCCTCTTCGGTAAATTGGATGGCAACCCTTGCTGCACTTGTTCCACTGTCTCCTCAGGTTCATCAATATAGTTCGAAGCTGCTTTGACTCGGCTTTCCTTCGGCGTAACTCGGGAAACTCGTCTTTCTCTATCAATCTTTTCTGCTGTACCGTTCTTCCAAGCCTTTGGTTCCTTGAAGAACACTCTGCAGTATCTTGCCAAGGTGTCGATGACCACAACTTGACCCCACTCGTCCATATCCGTCAGCAGGTGGCAAATCTTTCGGAAGCTACTGTGCATGAATTCCAACCTTTCTGGACAAAGTTCTGCGAAAGCAATTAATACACTTGTCAAAACCATCGTTGATGTTTCGACTTCCAACAGATTCTTCATGATCTCCAAAAGCATTTGTCGCTGCTCGATATCACACCTTGGACTAAGTTTTGATAAAGCATTCGCAGCGCATTTACGAACATATGGAGATGAATCTTTAGCACACTTTTGCACACCCAGTATTTGGATTTGCAAAATGTCCTGGATCCGAATGGAACTCAGAACTCTCAACGCGAGGCCACGAATAAGCTGTTCGTGATCTGCGAGACCTCTTTGAAAGGAGTTAATGCTTAAAAGTGAAAGCTCCCTTGTAGTTGCATCATGATCGGCGTACTGGACGAGGTACATAAATACCATCTTTCGCACTTCGAGACTTGTGGCCCCCACTAGTTTGACAACATGAGGATAAAAATCCGAGACATCACGTCCTTTGGAAATGCTTGCTAGCAACCATTTCATACCCCGTTGCAACGTTGGAGTTGAATTTGGATTGGAAGGGTCCGTTGTGCTGAGCTCATTGCGAACCGTCGCCGGACTGATTGTCTCTTCCCAAAACTGGGCATCTCCAAGAGTGCTCAAAGCAGAGGAAAGTTGAGTGTTGAGCAAAGCTGTTGGATCTGTCGCTGCGACGACGGAGCTCGTGGCGGCAACGACGGAACTTGCGGTAGTGTTCATCAGAGTTTTCGCAGTTCAGAAGGTGGTTGGAAATCAAATTGAAATTAATAATAGTGTTACCATTTTCTGCTTTCCATGGGTTTTGGCACCATGCGCGACATCTGCGACGCAGGTACCAGTACCCCGCACCAGGTACCCGTACACCCCGTACCTGTTACAGTACTTCAAACTGAAACTGGATTCAATGTAACAGGCACCATTCCGCCTATTTGCCTTCACAACATCAACCATATCTCAATTGCCCTAGAATACTGTGCATTGGTATAATAGAAAAAAGATTCAAATATAAGCAGTTGTGTTCTTGCACATGTGTGTATATTGGAATTCTAATTTTACTGCACAGAATCGCTATCGCATTTCGGTTGGATATTGTAATGCTCGACCTTTAATTATTGTTGTCGCAAGTGTACGAGTTCTGAGACAAAATAAGAGCCACAATCAAACCGTAAAGACCAAGAGCCTCAGCAAAAATCAAAATCAGAATCATACCAACGAACAGCTTCTCTTGTTGTCCAACAGCACGAACACCTGCGTCTCCCACAATTCCAATGGCCATACCGGCCGCAAGACCAGAAAGACCACAGCACAGACCTGCTGCCAAGTGAGCAAACCCTGTGTATAGGCTGTATTGACTGAGTCCTCCTTGTGGAGCAACAATTGAACCCTGGATGATAACGGCAACAATCAACCCATAAATACCCAACACACCGGCCATAACCACTGGAATGATGTTTCTCATAACAAGACCAGGATTCATAACACCCATGGAGGAGATACCAACACCAGACTTGGCAGTTCCGTAGGCGGCTCCAATGTTGGCGAAAACAAGAGCAGATGTAACTCCCATGAATCCGAAAAAGGGCGCAGAGGCTGGGCATGTTTCCATTTCAACAGACATGATCTATAGTTTTTTGTGGATGATAGTCTGAAAATCCAATGGAGGGGGCGAAAAGTGTTAGCCTCAATTGGGAATAAGACTTGTGGAGAAATGAAACAAGTCGTGCTAAATGAAAATGAGGGCTCAATGAAACATGAATCAATCCGTCAACACAGTTTTAAAATTGAGGCACATCGCCTCGTGTTTAATGCTGCGAGGAGATTACACCAATCCATACCCACTATATCAAGGACAACGAAACTTCATGAGTGTTTCTCACCTAAATTGAACGTTGTAGAGAAGTGTGCTGTTGATGAAGCTCTTTTTCAACCGATCTCTCCGAAGTCGGCGTACAGTACCGTTCGAACCACAGAAGCTGGCTGGCGTCGGCATTGGGCTGTCGTTCGTGCCCGCTCGCCAAAGATGATTACTTCGACTAATCAAGTCGATTTAGTCATCGAGATAATCAGTCGGTGCAGAGCGGGCGCAGGCAGGCAGAACGCAGTTTTTAAAAAGTACTCCTATTAATACCAGTTACAGTGCTACCAGTTATTGTAGTTCGTCATCAGCTAGACTAAGACTGACTCTAAGTAACCCTGGTAAACTACAGGAGAGTAATGACTGGTCAAGTCTACTTGTATCGTTATATTTTGGAATCGTTAACCTGTTCATTCTGCTGTTCTCCTTTTTGGCACCAATCGACGTCTCCAAAGTCTTGTCCGTCGTACTTTCTTCCTATCGATACCACGAGTGCCAGTCGGCGCCGCAACGACAGAAGAAGGAGGGGCATCCCGCTGTTCGTCAAGCCTATCTGGTACCGGTATAGCTTCGCTTTCTCTTGTAATTGTATCACCATTGCAAGTGTCTAGGGTTTGGGGAAGAGTATTTTGATGATACCCTTGATCATCTCGTGATTCAATAGATTTCCCTTGAGCGGCTGTTTGTGGTGCAGCGTTTGTTGCATGATTCAAAGCGCTTGGTTCCTGATGGGAGATGGTAGAAGGTAGGTTTAGGGGTAGTTCCAACTTTTCTGTTCGTGATCGTTGAATTTGCAACTGCGATGGAATATCAAGTTCAAAAGAATCAACCAAGGCTTCAAGGTTGTCTATGGATATTGTGTGAACTTGCAGGTAGATTCTTGTGATTTCTTCAGCAGCCATAACTGCAATATTGGAGCTAGCAAATGTCTCACCCGTCAACTTGTTGCAGCATTTTGCAAGTCTCTCAAAAAGCGTTACAACCGTTTCCAGTGTTTGGCGAAGGTTGTTCTTTTGAATACCTTCAGGCTTATCCGGGCTGAACGCTGACGTAATTGTAGTTGTCACACTCACATTGGATGTGTGCGGAGTTGTTGCAGTAGCGGTTTCAGAGGGTAGGGAAAACAATGATGTATCTCCCCCCCGTATTGTGTCTGGACTTTTGGGTTCTTCCACAAAACCTATTGAAGCTCGAAATCCAGCCATGCAGCGCCACTGTCCTTCCTGTCTGAGACCACTTGAAGAACTATTCATGGGAAAGTGAACTGAGTATCATAACTCTATCAAGAAAGCACGGGCAGAGAGATGAGTTGGAACTTACGATTTAAGGACGGTCATCCTCTTTTCCGAAGCTGGAACGGAAATTCGGACGAGGGCGCTGATGAACCGCAGAGCTTGCTCAAAATCGTCTTTGTGTTGTGAAATGCGTTGAAATGTGGATGGCCTGTCTTGAATGATGTTTTCAATGATGGAACAGATTGCGTCACGATTGCGTTGAGAAAATCCAGCGAAAAAGCTTTCAACGCAAGGCATTGAGTTTGTGAGGAGCGAAAGACTCCCTCCTCTCCCTCCTTGTGAAGAAGCCCCCATAATCTCCTTAACCAGAGAAACATTATCTTGTAGTCTTTCGATTGTCGAAAAGAGCAAATCGTCCCTGTCAAACCGCTGGCCTTGCGCTCTGCTGAAACCAAGTGAATTGAAGTCTTGTCGATCCGATCCAATCATGTCCTCGCAATGGGAGAGAATCTCTTCGTCGAGCCCATGGCCAACAAGGCTTTCAATATCTTTTGTCGACTGGCTCATACCGCTAACATTCAAGTCTTGCGTCGACGCTGCATTTCTCACGAAAAAATCATTGCCCTCCATAGTGTTCATTGACTTTGGAACGTGATGTTCGAAATTATCGACGGCGAAACTCCTTGAAAAGCTTGTTTCGAGATTCGATGCAACAAGTATGTTCGCAGCTGTATTTCGATGGTAGTCCGAGGACGGCGAAGCATGGGAAAAACTTTCTTCATCCAATCGATGGCGCGTAGGCAATATGCGCTGACTAGCCATCGATTCATACTCGCTGTTGACGTCGTTGATTCCCTTGCTCATCCCAGAACCTTGATGATCCGCCCAGTTCCTTGATTGTAGAGCGGAGGCTGAAGAGAGGATCGAGCTATCTGTTCCATGAAAGGAATGCTGTGAGTTTGCTAGTAGAGCTCCGACTGCCGTTCTGGCTTGTCCAGCTATCAAGCTAGGAGATCGTGCCACATCTTCTGCTGCAGAATTACTAGAATGGGTATAAAAGGAAGATGTCGACACTTGCGGAGATGTAATAGAGGTTGATGGTAGCATTGGAGGTAGCATCGGGTGGGAGGCAGAAAACTTGTCACCATTCGTAGTTTCATAGTTTCTCGAGACTGGGGGGAGGCAATCCAATTGTCGTCTTTGTAGTCCCAGTTCCCGTCGAATTGTCGCAGCTGACTTTCTACCTCTGAGTCCCTGGGGGGTTCGTGGCAAGGTGTCGATTGTGGAGTTGACCGTATCTCCACTCGAACTGGCAGACACTCCAGGAGAATCAATATCATTTGTCATTTGAAGACTGCTGGACATGACGGAATCTGCATAGGACCTTCTGCTTGCAAGAGTCGACATCATATTGAAGAAAGTTGAATTGGATACAGTGACGGAAACAAATTGTGGTGTCGGCAGGGGAGCAGTGTAGAATGCAAGTATAGTATCGACAAAATGAAGTCGAGCACACGCTTGTGCTGTTTCGAATGTCAGATTCAAGGAGTAGCCAAACGATTCGGAACAGTAATCCAGAAGGGTTCAGGATAATTCAGTCTTATCGCTCTGAAAGGAAAGAAAGTAATGCAGAGGTGACACTCCGAATTGAACACTCTTGAGTATGCTTTCAGATTTTTCCTTGGTGTAAGATTTGCAAAAAAGTCGTTGGAGGCGGAAAATGTGAGTCAAACGATCATCAGGTAACGGAAAGCTTATTCACGATCTTCAGCACGTATATCAATACAATGATCACCATCCCAGATAGTTTGGGGCGGGAAAGAATGAATCAAAATGCAGGGGAGCAGAAACATCACGACATTTCATGTATATATTTGTACGACACTTCCACTCCCCCAAATATGTGTGGCGGCCAGACGTGCATCTCTTGCCGTGTACCACAGATTTCCAAAGAAGAAAAATGCGACCGACCCGTAGAAGCTGGTACTGGCAGCCCAGTAAACTCCCGCCGCGACTTTGTTGTTCCCAAAGTTTCCAATTCACAGTCGTCGAAGAGCATCATCTGTGGCATTATCGTTTCTGCACTCAGAACTAACACACTTTTAACTCGACAAAGTTTAGCTTCAAACTTGTAAATAATGTTTGGCGGAATTCCATTTGAACACTTTGGTGGTGGTATGCCAGGAGGCATGCCCGGGGGAATGGGCAGAGGAGGTGGAGGCGACGTGGACACGCAAAAGCTTTACGACGTCTTGGGGGTAGAAAAGAGTGCGGACGCAAAAGAAATCAAGAAGGCCTACAGAAAACTGGCTGTCAAGCACCATCCTGATAAAGGAGGTGACGAGCATGTTTTCAAAGAGATTAACGCCGCTTACGAAATTCTTAGTGACGAAGAAAAGCGCAATCTTTACGACAAGTATGGTTTGGAAGGCGTTGAACAAGGAGATGCACCATCAGCCGGTGGCGAAGATCTCTTTTCCATGTTCTTTGGAGGTGGTGGCGGTAGAAGATCCGCAGGGCCTAGGAAGGGACCAAGCATTCAACACCCAATAAAGGTAGCCTTGGAAGACTTATACAACGGCAAGACAGTCAAACTTGCCATTAACCGAAAGGTCATGGCTGGAGACTCCAAATTTTGCGATAACTGCAATGGAAAGGGTGCAGTCTTAGAGCTCCGTCAAATCGGACCTGGAATGGTCACACAGATGCAAAGAACATGCAGTTCCTGTAAGGGTCAAGGGCAAGTTTATAAGACTAAAAACGAACGCAAGGTCGTCGAGGTCCACATTGAGAAAGGTGCCACCCACAATCAAAAGATTACTTTCCGAGGAATGGCAGATGAAACTCCAGGGAGAGAGACTGGAGATGTTCACTTTGTCGTTCAAGAAAAGGACCACGATTTGTTCAAACGAAAAGGTGCCGATCTGTTGCTCATGCAAGACATCAGTGTCAACCAAGCATTAACTGGGTTTTCGGTAAGTGTATCTTGTCCTATACCGCCTCTATTGTATTAGTTTCAAGGAGTAACTCATCGCATTGATTCCAGTACAAATTCAAACACTTGGATGGACGAGAGCTGATTATCAAGACGAAGCCAGGTGAGGTCATCGAATGCGAGATTGAAGTTGGTGGAAAGAAGATGCCGTACATGACAAAGGTTGCAAATGAGGGTATGCCCAGCAAGGGAAACCCATTCGTAAAGGGAGATCTTTACGTCATGTTTCATGTGAAATTCCCCAAGAAGATCGACCCCAAGGTCGCGGAACAGATTTGTAAATTGTTGCCGGATCCTAACGTTGAGGAGAAGTATGATGCAATGGAGGTTGAGGAACATTTCATGGAACCTGCTGATTTGAGACACTTTGGAAAGGGCGGTGCCGCAGTGGCTGGAGGAGATTATGACAGCGACGATGAAGAAGGACAGCCTGTACAGTGCCAACAATCGTAATTTTGAAAGAAAGCGATAAAATATTCCCAACGATACCCCGACAATTTATTTTTGAGATTCTTCGCCTCCATTTCTACGTAGTTTATTCCTGCTTTACTGCTTTGCAAGAACCCCTCAACCTCGCTGTTCCACCAGGTGAGGGGTTGGGGGTTGCCATCATCACCTGTCGGGTGCGAGATGAAATCTTGGTCGAATAGAAAGTCGTCCGCCATCTCTTTCGCATCTTCCGCTGAAGTAACGAGTTGCCCCATGCAAAGGACGTTCGAATCGTTTACTGCTCTCGAACAGCGCAGTGCAAGGAGATTTTCACATGTTGCGGCCCTGACGCCAGGGAATTTCTTTGCCATTGTTCCTACATCCATTCCCGTTCCAGCACACACCAAGGCACCCATGTCGTTCTTGTTTGCGCTTTTTGCCAAAACTTTACCAACCTCAGTAGCAGCATCGTAATAAGTGTCACTCCCGAAATCAATGATCTTGACCTTTTTCCCCTCCTCACTCGATTGAATTCAATGTGAGACTTTACCACGTCCTTCAAGAAGGTTTTGCTTTGCCAAATCCGTCACACGCAAAGTGGATTGTTTTCGTCGACGTCATTTTCAATAAACCAGCAAATCAATTCAATGATTATTCGCCAACTACAGACCGTTGCGACGATATGAGCTACCTCTTGTTTGATGGGAGTCCAACAGTACAGTAAGGTAAGGTACCAATTACCTGCAGAAAAGTTTTTGTCTGTCGGTGGGTCTGACGTCACCCTCAAAAGTGACTTGTACGACTGACTCGTCTAACAGTACCAGGGTACAGTACCAGCATCGTACAGTATCTGGTCACTGGTCACTACGATTTACCACCTACTGGGTACTTGAATAAGAAAAGAATGCAGCCATAAAATACAAAAGAAACGACAAGCATCTTCCCTAGACCCAATGAAGTACCGAATTAGTCATCCTTGCCTCGTTTTTCCGCTGTTCTTTCAAAGCGGAAATCTCGAACTTTACCATCAACATTCCGAGCAACATTTTTAGTCTTGCAGCTCCTGGTAGACCCTGGGCGAGGAGATACATAGCTTTGTCCAAAAGGTTCGTCTTCAAAATCCAATATTCGAAAGTGAAAACAGCAGTAAACAAGAGCGATAATAATGGCCACCAGAAAGGTCCCACCATAAGAAATACTTCCGAAGCTGTTGTTGCTCCACTTGCTCGAAGACAAAATGGCTCCAAGTCTATGAGTGGGACAAACCAAAGAGTCACACCATCGTTGTGTAGAGTCTGTGACTCCGCATCGATCCATAACTAAATGACAGTCCTCTCGTATCGTTGCAACATTGCATGGTATGGAATGAGCTTTCTTTACCCACTGATGTTTCAGAAGATTGCCGTCATCTCCCCAACCGTCGCTCCCTTGACCATAGTAAGGCTCGTCCTCAAGTGCAGTTGCGTGACAATTTGATAGTCCAACTGCTCTACACCAGTCTAAAGCTGGGCAAAATGTTGAGAACTCCTCCAGTCTGTGGTGCTTGTCGAGGTGTGCATCCAAATAGTATCGACTACTAAATGTCTTTCCGTTGTATCCGCATTCAAACCAGATTCGTTTTCCTTTTCTCTTTGCACGTTGTTGAGCTACAAATGTTGGGTACGCTCCAGCAACTTTGGTTGGGGAGTCCACCACCAAGCTGTGTTCTTCATCAATCCTGTAAGCGTCTAACGAGGGATTTAAAGGACAGTGATCCATCCGTCGGCCATTCGCATGTAACCAGTGTTCCAAGAGCACCCAGACGTCGCTATGGTCCAAGAAACCATGGTACAAAATCTTATTTTCTGCCTGAATGACTTGTAGCAGGTGTTGATGCACAAGCTTTCTTGCTGCACGACTGAGCCGTCGGTCACATGATCCTTCCTCTTGTGTCTGAGAATGTCCCTTGCCGTTTCCAGTTGCCATGGTTCCGTCTAGATCACCGATCATTGGAGCTTCTCATATCACCCTGATCCGGCACAATACCAAATGAGGGACGAATACTGAGTGCTTTGCCGCTATTCATACTGGACCTGGTAGTGGTACGAGGATGATAGCATCGGTTTTTTGTTCTGAGAGAAGTCTGTCCGTCTATCGATCGGTCTGTGACGAAGTCCATTAAAAAACTCTTCAAATATCATGGAAGACAATAATTACAAAGCCTCCAAATGTATACCAAAAGGCACGGTCATACAAGAATGGAAGCCGTATAAGATAATTTCTATTATTGAAGACAAAAGAGAAGAAGGATTCGCTGAATTGCCAGGCTATGCACAATGTCCTGTGTTAAATCACTCAATTGAAATACGAAGAACAAGCCAAAACCTCGGATCCCCAGAGCTCCCAAGATTTGTGAATCGACTGTTTCGAGATGGGTCCTTCGAAGCGCTTTGCGTCCTGGCTCTATTTGATGAGTTGCTGTGTGGCAAAAGGATTCCGATGTCGGGCGCTCTGGAACGGGAATCGCATGATGGAAATCGTCATATGGAAGATTCCTCCCTTTTGATAGAAAGCTGGCCATTTGTGCAAAATGAAGTATCATGGATGCAGTTCCTTTCTTTGTACCATTACATTGAGTCCAGTATGCACATGTTGACTATTGACCACCCCCTGACCCACTACGCAAAGCATGTCTTATTTCAAACGGAACATTTTGATGAGGCTGTCAAGATTTGTCAAAGAAAGAAGTGGATCCCCAAAGAGAGCGAAAATAGGCTTCAAGTCTCGCAATTCCTCTTAGATTACGTGGCATCACTACCTCCTCGCATTGTGGGGGTGTTGATTGGTAACCCGGCGTCGAACTCGACCTCGGTAACTTTAAAGCAATGCAGTATCCCGTCGGCATACCTCGAATTGACTGTTGACAAATTAAGTGATCAGATGAAATGCAAAATGATTTCCATGTACGATCTTCAACGTGAAGAGCCAATAACAGTTTCTACCAGGGTAAACGGACTCGATCCTCTTCAGGATCAACTTGACGGCAAACTGCAAATCAATTCAATGGAGAAAGCATTAATGGCTCAACGGCTAGCCCACAATCATTTTCAAAATGAAAAGTACAGGGAGGCCATGTCCATGTATAAAGAATGCTACGAATTTTTCTCCCCAAAAGACGAGACCAGAGCTGCCGATTTGCTGCATTCAATGGCAGCTGTTCGGTTGTCACAGTTGAAGTTCCTGCAGGCACAACGAGAGTGGAAAAAGGGTTCCAAATACCAACACGTAAATGCTGGAATAGCTCTTCAACTAGCGAAGCAGACCGCCTATGGATATTTTGAAAATTCTCGCGCTGGATCAAAACAGATAAAAGTGCTGCAGCACGAAGCTATCGGATCGTCTCGCACACTCTTCATAACACCGCGTACCGTTTCACCGAACATGTGCAGGAAGTTGATCGCGTGGGCGAAAGATCACGCATCTGAGCAAGGGGGTTGGACTACAAGCCGACATTACGCAGTCCCAACAAACGACATTCCTTTGCATGTCTCGAAGAATCTCTTGAATTGGTTTGTCGGCTGGTTTCAAGAAACCGCAATACCACTTCTTCAATCACAATTTCGAACTAAGCAAACTTTCTTTGTCCATGACGCCTTTTTGGTACGATATTCAGCAGGGAGCTCCAGTGAATATTTGCCCTTACACTACGACGAGTCTACTCATAGTCTCGTCTTGGCACTCAACTCCGAATTCGACGGCGGCGGGACGTACTTCTACAACCTCGACCATACGGTTGTCCCCGGTTCCGGAAGCCTTGTCAGCTTCAGAGGCAATAAATTGCTTCATGGTGGAAACGTGGTGACAAAGGGAGAAAGATTCATAATTGCAGCCTTTCTTTACGTCGATGATGAAACAACATGTGAGCAAAAGAGATCTTCGTCGACGTCAGTTCAAAATACGTCGAAACGATCAAAACCTGAGGAGGGCTTCTCTTTCGGCTTCTTTTGATGCTTCATAGAAGTAGCACATTTCCTTCATATCGTTTTATTCTAATAACTGAAGTCTCACGGAGTTGGTGCTTCTAGTTTTTATGTCGCTGGAAATTGATTCGAACCTAACTCGTGGATTTGCAACAGCTCACCAAACTCAATCGCCACACAAGGCGCTCCATACTTGAACGACATCGGCTCGATCCACGTACAGGGGCATTGCTACCCAGTTGTCGATGGGACAGACGTTTGGCATTTTGGCGCGGTATGCGAAACTTCGATCCCACACCTTGATTCGGTGTTTCGTCGTGCTAGATACACCCGTCAGTCCCTCAAAGGGAAAGTCACTCAAATTTGCAGGCTTGGACATCTCGTGATCCCAATTGACCTTGTGCTTTCCTTTCCACAACATCTCGTTGAGAGCTATCTGGTCGTCGCAATAGCACTTTTTGCAAAGCTCGTCTGATGTGTCTGGTTTGTCGGGCTGCAATTCCAAGCAATTGCAACGGTTGACCAGACTCCTTACAAATCGTTTCACTTTACTGTCGTCTCGCAGCCAAGACAGTCCACCGCAGACTGTGAAGCCCATTTCTTCAAAAACATGGGTAGGGTAGGAGGTGGAGTAGGCGTGAAACACGTCGTACTCTGACTGTTCGAGGTTCTGCAAAGCAAAATTTCTTCTAAACACATTGTCAACATCCGTGATAAGAACCGAGTGCCCTTTCAGCAGTTGATCGTAGACATACTTCCATCGCCTTCCAAATATTTGTCTTCGATAGATTCTCGAGTCCTCGTTCCAAGTCGTACATGGTTTATACGGAAGCTCCTCCCAACGAATCTGTGCCTTGTGTTTGCGGAAGAAATCCACAGCTGCATCATCCACAGCCACAACAACCTGTTCGCTGTAGCCCAAGTCACTCAATCGCTGGTACCAACGCAGGGCATATTCACGGTAGTTGTAGTCAGCAAAGCCTAAAATTTTGGTTCTCGAAAATCTGTTGGACTTTGGAACGTTGTGGTTTTGATTGATTGTGACATTGGTTTTCCCAAACTGAGGCCGAGTCACCTCATGATTAAGATCGCTTGGGGCCAGAAGAAAGTTGGTAGAAGCTATGATAAGTAGCAATATTCCAATTTGTTCACGGCTCCGAAAGCATGGAAACATGTAGGTACGTACTGTCGGCAAAAATTCGGTGCTATGACCTGCTTGGACGTAAAACTATGAACGACAGCAGGTCGCGAGGCATGATCAGGCGCCAAAAAGTAACCCGGATGTACAAGATGATGGATGACCAGGGGTTCCAAAAATATCATTTTTAGGAATTGCAATTGTTTGGGATTCCCAATTCTTTTATTGATCCAAATTCAATTTAGTCGGAAATTGCAGGTTTTCTTTAGATCTCTGCAATTATTCTATTGTAATTGCTGACCAGCTATTTGCAATTCATTGTTATTGCTGTTATCTATTTGCAATTAATTTCTATTGGACATTGATTATGATTCACTATTTGCAATTAATTGCAGCTGAACGCTGACACAAATTCAATTATTGCTGGCAGCTACAGCACCTAAAATTGACTGAGCTTGGTCAGTTTTCTTGTTGGTGCTGGATGCCATGTCTATTCCTTCTCCTACTAAAGAAACGTTGTTATACCAAAACCGTTCATTATACTTGAGCATCATGATGGCTTCGAAGAGCTTTGGCACCATTTGTGAGCGGTTTGGGGCCAAGAGGTTCCCAGCAATAGACCATTGCCTCTCAACTTCTGATGCTGAACCGGACAAAGT